CCCTTGCTATGTTTAAAATGGTTTGGGTGTGACGGCCATGCGATACTGTCGTCACCGTGGGCACTGTGGCATTTTAATTACTTCAGTTTAGTGTAAAAGCCGGATATGGGCGAGGGAAAAGTGAAGCATATGTATGTTGTAGGGAGAGTATCAGTAGGACGTCTAATGAAATGAAAGCGTACCCGTATCAAGAGACTATCTTGGGACTATCTCGGATCATGTCGCAGAATATAGGAACATTCTCCTGCAAGGGCATTCCTCTCTATTCCTTTTTTTGTTTTTTCGCCATGCCGTGAATTCTCCGTTCAAGGTACAGCGAACCAGCTAATTGCAAATTGGAACACAACTCGCAGTGCCAATTCCATTAGTTTAGTTTATTTTATGTCTTGGGGTCTCGGGGCACAGTAAGGACCGCAAATGACCCCAGACACAAAAATCGCGCATAGTTAGAACTGGGGCACATCGGCTAAGGCATAGAAAGTGGTGTAAAATTTCGTACCGATTCATACGAGAGTGATGTCTGTGGAGGCCAACTCGGCAGCTCAGTGCCGGTAGCAGAGACCTCCAGAGGGAGAGTGGTATCGGTATCTGGTTTTTTCATTGTTTTGGTACTAACCCGAACGCGGCCTTGACTCCACTCAATGTACTGTACCTTGGACATAACTGGCTGCAGCCGGGTGTCCGGTTGGAGCTTTTACGGTAGGGCAAGGGGTAAAGTCTGGTAACAACCAAGAAAACAAACAGGGTAAACTACAAGGGGAAGGAAAAATGGAAATAAGATACCAAAGATACATAATAATACACTGCAAAACACCTAAAAGTCAAAATGGCCCGAAAGAATGACTGATGAGCGGATCAAAGAGTACCTAGCTTATACCTTCCCCAGCAACCATTTTCACAAGTATTCCCCCTCAAAATGACAAACACGGGATTTCAGGCAAAATACCTTTCTCTCCATTTTATTTATTTATTTTAATATTTTTCATTATTGTATTTTTTTAATTCCCGGAATTTCAATTTTTGAATTTCAATTTTATTTTTTTATTTTTTTTATTTCCCTCACTCTTTTCTCTCATTATCCACCTACCCACTCCGGTTCCCTCTTTTGACCCCCCCCGGTAATCCATTATAAAACAGACCTTCCTTCACTCATCTTGTTTTTCTCTTTTCCTCTCTTTACATAGGATCTGTTCCGACTCTGTCATATCGTCATTTCGTTGTTTTCACTCATATCGTTGGGTTCCAAGGCTGTGTGAGCCGAATCAACAACAATGGCGGAGCGGAGAATTTCCTATGCTGTTGACGTCGAAAATGGTGAGCGTCACACCCGTGAGGCTGGTGACGAGAGCAATCTCGACGAGTACTCTGCTCTCAACCGCTACATCTCGACTGCCCAGGCCAACCGCCGTGGCTCTACTTCCAGCGCTGGTGCTCTGAGCACTGGCTCCGAGAAGAAGAAGCCCTGGTGGAAGTTCGGTGGTGGTGGTGCCGGTGGTGTCCAAGATGGTTTCGTTACCCCCGATGAGTGGCTCCAGACCGACCTTCGCAGTGGTCTGAGCTCTGCCGACATTGAGCCTCGTCGCAAGAAGACCGGCTGGAACGAGCTGGTTACTGAGAAGACCAACATCTTCCTCCAGTTCATTGGTTACTTCCGTGGTCCCATTCTCTATGGTAAGTGGCCTCGACATACGTCTCATTGACGCGTCTTGTGCCAATTGGTCACTAACATGGCTCTTTTTTACTCCGAATAGTTATGGAACTCGCTGTCCTCCTCGCTGCCGGTCTGCGTGACTGGATCGATCTTGGTGTTATCTGTGGTATTCTTTTGCTTAACGCTCTCGTCGGTTGGTACCAGGAGAAGCAGGCTGCCGATGTCGTTGCTTCTCTCAAGGGTGATATCGCTATGCGTGCTATCGTTGTCCGTAACGGCCAGGAGGAGGAGATTCTCGCCCGTGAGCTCGTTGCTGGTGATATTGTTATCGTCGAGGAGGGTACTGTCATCCCTGCCGATGTTCGCCTGATCTGTGACTACTCCAAGCCCGAGATGTTCGAGAACTACAAGGAGTACCTCGCCAACGCCACCTCCGACGACCTCAAGGAGAAGCACGGTGATGATGACGATGATGAGGGTGAGACCCACCAGGGTGTCTCTCTCATTGCTTGTGATCAGTCCGCTATCACTGGTGAATCTCTCGCTGTCGACAAGTACATGGCTGATGTCTGTTACTACACCACCGGTTGCAAGCGCGGCAAGGCCTACGGTATTGTCACTGCTACTGCCCGTCACTCCTTCGTCGGTCGCACTGCCGCCCTTGTCCAGGGTGCCCAGGACTCCGGTCACTTCAAGGCTGTCATGGACAACATCGGTACTTCTCTGCTCGTTCTCGTCATGTTCTGGATTCTCGCCGCCTGGATTGGTGGTTTCTTCCGTCACTTGAAGATCGCTACCCCCGAGGACAACGACAACAACCTGCTTCACTACACCCTGATTCTTCTGATTATCGGTGTTCCCGTCGGTCTCCCCGTTGTCACTACCACCACCCTCGCTGTCGGTGCCGCCTACCTCGCCGAGCAGAAGGCTATCGTCCAGAAGCTCACTGCCATCGAGTCCCTCGCTGGTGTCGATATTCTCTGCTCTGACAAGACCGGTACTCTCACTGCCAACCAGCTCTCCATCCGTGAGCCCTACGTCTCTGAGGGTGTTGATGTCAACTGGATGATGGCCGTCGCTGCTATTGCCTCTTCCCACAACATCAAGAACCTCGACCCCATCGATAAGGTCACCGTCCTTACCCTCCGTCGCTACCCCAAGGCCCGTGAGATCCTTTCCCGCAACTGGATCACCGAGAAGTACACTCCTTTCGACCCCGTCTCCAAGCGCATCACCACTGTCTGTACCTGCGACGGTGTCCGCTACATCTGTGCCAAGGGTGCCCCCAAGGCTATCCTCAACATGTCCGAATGCTCCCAGGAGGAGGCCGTTCTCTACCGTGAGAAGGTCACCGAGTTCGCTCGCCGTGGTTTCCGTTCCCTTGGTGTTGCCGTCCAGAAGGAGGGTGAGCCCTGGCAGCTTCTGGGCATGTACCCCATGTTCGATCCCCCCCGTGAGGATACCGCCCACACCATCGCTGAGGCCCAGGTTCTCGGTCTCTCCGTCAAGATGCTTACTGGTGATGCTATCTCCATCGCTAAGGAGACTTGCAAGATGCTTGCCCTCGGTACCAAGGTTTACAACTCTGAGCGTCTGATCCACGGTGGTCTCGCTGGTTCCGCCCAGCACGACCTTGTCGAGAAGGCTGATGGTTTCGCTGAAGTCTTCCCCGAGCACAAGTACCAGGTCGTCGAGATGCTCCAGCAGCGTGGTCACTTGACTGCCATGACTGGTGACGGTGTCAACGATGCTCCCTCTCTCAAGAAGGCCGATTGTGGTATTGCCGTCGAAGGTTCCACTGAGGCTGCCCAGGCTGCCGCCGATATTGTCTTCCTCGCCCCCGGTCTCTCCACCATCGTCGATGCTATCAAGCTTGCCCGCCAGATTTTCCAGCGTATGAAGGCTTACATCCAGTACCGTATTGCTCTGTGTCTCCACCTCGAGATCTACCTGGTTACCTCCATGATCATCATCAACGAGACTGTTGACTCTTCCCTCATTGTCTTCATCGCCTTGTTCGCTGATCTTGCCACCATCGCCGTTGCCTACGATAACGCTCACTTCGAAGCCCGCCCCGTCGAGTGGCAGCTGCCTAAGATCTGGGTTATCTCTGTCGTTCTTGGAGTCCTGCTCGCTGCCGCTACCTGGATTATCCGTGCCACTCTCTTCCTTGAGAACGGTGGTATCATCCAGAACTTCGGTTCCCCCAGGAGATTCTCTTCCTCGAGATTGCTCTGACTGAGAACTGGCTCATCTTCGTTACCCGTGGTGGAAAGACCTGGCCCTCGTGGCAGTTGGTTATTGCCATCTTCATCGTCGATGTTCTCGCTACCTTGTTCTGTGTCTTCGGCTGGCTCGCACCCGACTGGAAGCAGACCTCTCCCCGTGACCCTGCTGGCCCCAACTTCTCCGTGAACAACGATGTCGACATTGTCACCGTCGTTGTCATCTGGGCCTACTCCATCGGTGTGACTGTCATCATCGCCGTTGTGTACTACCTCCTGACCATCGTTCCCGGTCTCGACAACCTTGGCCGCAAGACCCGCTCCAAGGCCGACACCAAGATCGAGAACATGATCGCTCACCTTTCCAAGCTTGCTATCGAGATGGAGCACGACTCGGAAGGAAAGACTCGTTACACTCTCGGTGCCCGCGCCGAGGAGATCGAGGACAACGAGTAAATGCTCGTTTCTTAGCTTTTTTGCAACTCGTTACTGATTCGAGGTCTAATTTCTTTATCTCCCTGCGATTACCCGCAAATTTTGCCGTGCCACCTACTTGAACATGCATGCCGTGGGAGTGTGCAGAGTCGAGTTCCGACTTTTTTGTGCTTCCTTTTACCCGTATTATAGACTTTGTGTGTTTCATTTACCCCTTGGCTGTGGTTTGCTTTCGAGTTGCTAGAGTCATGTTTTTATTCTCTACGTGTATGTATGTCGTTAATAGTGGCACTTAGTCAATCTAAGGGATTCTAATCATTTCTGTTCTTTGTAACTTCAATTGTAAGCTCTCCATTGTAAACCCCAGACTCTCGGTCTCCCTCTGCTGGTGCGACTTTTCGTCTGTGATTCCGCGGGCCTTCAAATCTATAAAGTGATAGTACACCATCGACGCTATACACCCCTCTCCCACCGCCCTACCTAAGGTTGTATTATTGTCGGATTTCTTAGTCTCTTTCTTAGCATCTGTAGCTTAACTTTAACTACCTAATATCAATCTCACCACCACGCACTTCGACGTGCACCACGTAGTTCTTCCTCGTAACAGTTATATTATATAGCCCCGGCTGTTAAAAAAAAAAAAAAATACAAAAGCAGGAAAGAAAACAAATAAGGAAAAGTAGAGCCCTTCAATCACTAAAAATCATTTTCTGATGGCCAGGGGTAGTTCCGCTCTTCCCACTCTTCAACTCCTGCCTCTGGCTTTGTGAAGATAGTTCTCGTTCACGCGCGCGTACCCGTTCACTTCGCTTCCGACTTCGATCCTGCTGGTTCCTCCGGTCTATGGCAGCTTCGTCGGCACCAAAGAGTTTTCGAAGCCAGTCTAGCATTGTGCCGTCTTCAGAATTGATGTTTTAAAAAGGTTCCAATGTATGGAGTGAAGTAGTGGTGATGGATTGCTCTGAATGTATATAATTTAGTCCAGTGTTTTAGCTATAGAGCCTTATTTTGTTGTCCTTGTGCCTTACCTAGGTATGTGTTGGTGTAGAGACTTACGGTGATTAGGGTGGTTGTGAGAGTTGTCAAGACGGGGGTGGTAAACGCTGTTTCTAATAAGAGTGAGATTGGGCTTCCCTTTAAGCTGATTGATTATTGTCGAATACTAAAATAGAAGTTGATTGATTATTGTCGACTATTAAAATAGAAATTGCTTGATTATTGTCGAATACGAAGGTGGAGTATATGGTTGAGACATGGCCACATAATGTCTGAGGTTTGGCGCTGGTCACTTTCTGACGCAGAAGTATTGTAGAGTTATATCGCCGAGTAATCGAAGAATTCCGTAGCGCGGCTACTAAAAGCGTCTACTCAGGTAGTGTGAGTCGCGTAAAAAGATCGTTTATGAATCCCATTGATCCCATCGATGATTGTAACGGGCGGCAACGGGCCGCAACAGTCAACCGGAGATTCGGTAGGTTTCCGAAGGAGGCCCCCTATTAAACCGAACTATTTCGAGCGTAGAGACTAGTTTCGGATCAAAGTACAGAGTACTTTGCAGCATATTTGTATCATTATTCGATCACCTGTTCTTTTGCTCTGCAGCTTTACCTGAACCTGAGCTGCGTGTATAGTTTATAGATGATTGAATTCTCCCTGGAGATGTGCACAGAGTACGTACTAACTTCCAAGGTTCTTCCGCAACGTTTGTCAGCGCTGCAGCTGATGCACGAAAATCGGGTCCTTGGTGTGTTGAACTTATAGTTGAATGTTGAACTTATAGTTGAACTTATAGATGCCAGGGAAAAGAGTCGGAAAGAAAAGACAGGAGACAGGATGACAAACCTGGGCGGTCAAGGCCAAAGTGGTCATTTTCGTTTTCACAGGTCCTCATATTGTAGTTGGATGCTATAATATCATAGTCTTCTTCCAAGGTTGGTCCGATATTCTTACTCATTCCTGCTTATTCCTGCCCCGGTTGATCTACATTGGCTGCATTGTGCCTCGAGGTCTTGCCCAACGCTTACAGGTGGAAGCCAATTCTCCGTCCCCATACTTTTTTCCCCGGACCAATTTCCATTTCGTGGAGACAAGCTTTCCCCGTGAATGCCAAGTATAGAGAAGTAGAGAAATACCACAAATGCACTCAACTTCTAACCTATCCTGGCATTAGGCTTTGCTCCCGCAGGATGAATCTTCTAATTTTCCGTCTCCTGCCGCAAGTGGCTGTGACTTCTATACAACCCCCTCTCTCCAAATGTCCTATAAAAGAACAGTAAAACCCCCATAGACCGTACCCATCAGACGTGAGCAATCACTCACATCCACCGAACACGATGCTCCCATCCATCCTCCCCCTACTGTGTCTGCTCCTGCACACCCTAGGAGCCAACGCCGTCGCCATCCACCCCATTTCCCGACAAACCTGCCAATCAACTGGAACCCATTGTCCTCCAGGAACCCTAATCGTCAGCGCAACCTCCAAAAACGCCTCCCACAAAACCATCCAATCCGCCATAAACTCCCTCCCGGACGATGCAACCCCCCAAACAATCCTCATCCTAGAAGGAACCTACACGGAACAAGTAAACATAACCCGCTCAGGCCCAATAACCCTACTGGGCCAAACAACCTCCCCAAAAGATGCAACCCGCAACCTCGTGCGCCTCACCTGGGCTGCAGGGAACAGGGACAGCACCGGCAGCATCGACAATGTCTTCTCCAGCGTGCTGGTTGTAGCCCCCACGCTCGAATCGAGTCTCACAGGCTCAGGACCGACAGGGTATCCCGTGCCCGCCGATACGCCATTCGGAAATAAAGATTTCCGCGTGTATAACGTCGACTTTGATAATACTTGGGCGGAGTACTCAGACGGACCGGCACATGCGCTGAGTCTTAGTCGGGCTAATGGCGGGTTTTATTATTGTGGATTTTATTCGTATCAGGATACGGTATGTTCTTCGAACTATTCTTCTCCCAGTCCCCCCCAAAAAAAAAGCCTCTACTAACTACTACCAACATCCACAGGTCTACATAGGCAAACTCGGAAATGCCTACTTCTACGAAAGCATCCTAGCCGGCCAAACTGACTTCCTCTACGGCTTCGGTACAGCCTGGATCCAATCTAGCGCCCTGCAACTCCGCGGCTGTGGAGGTGGTATAACTGCCTGGAAGGGGACTAACACGACAACACCGAACAAGTACGGTGTGTATATCGTTGACTCGAGTGTGCGTGCGGCGAACACCTCCGTCGCGGCTGATATCAAGGGCGCGTGTGCGCTTGGCCGGCCGTGGAATAGTCTGCACCGCTCAATCTTTGCACGGTCTTATGAGGACGGCAGTATTGATCCGCAGGGGTATATTGATTGGGTTGTTGATGGTGTTGCGAGGTTCGAGAAAGGTGTTACGCTTATGGCGGAGTATCGGGTTTATGGCCCCGGGGTTAATGAGACTGCTCGTGTTGAGGGTGGGGTTACTTCTGTTCTTGGATCGAAGGAGTTTGAGACGTATAGTACTCCGCAGAAGGTTTTTGGGGACACGAAGTGGGTTGATTGGGCGGTTGTTAAGGGGAATTGAGTGGTATGGGTCTTGTAGTGAGGCTTTTGTATAAACACTACCAACTAGCTAGTATTTCATATATCAACCACTCCTACTCCTTATTCAATTACGCATCTCCAGGCTCCTGACGCATCTCCCCAATAGCCTTCCCATCCGAAGTCCCATAAGTATCCGCATACCTCCCCACCATCCACTCATGGACGGTGATCGGGGGATATCTAGCTCCCTCCTTGGGATCCTCACAACCAGGAAGACACCGGATAGTATAATTCGGATTTCCAGAAAAGAAGAAAGGAACACTAAACCGCTCCTTACCACTAGTATTAATAACCCGGTGCAGATTCGACAAGTACCGATTATTCGTCCAGTGCATCATCATATTCCCCAGATTAACAACATACGCCCCAGGAACAGGTGTCACATCGACCCATTCAGACGAGAGGTTATTCCACACCTGTAACCCGCCCGTATCATCCTGCAGGAGCATGGTGATAGCACCGAAATCCGTATGTGCGCCGATCCCTGTATTCGACTTAGTTCTCGGCTCATTCACATTCACACATTCTAGCACATGGTTCCCCCCCCCTTTCTTTTGAGCTACTAACCTCTCTCAAGACCCGACGCATCAACCTCCTGAGGCGGATAATGAAGTAGTCTCAGAATCGAGACGGGATGATCGCAGAAATCTCCGAAAACATCCTCATCTAGACCCAGCGTACGCGCAAGAACTTTCATGATGGCTACGGCAAGCTCAATCATGGCGTCGTGGTACTCGTCCATGATGCGACGGAAGCCTTTCGCGTCGGTGAGTTCGGAGGGATACTTATTCGGACCCTGACCGAAGCGTTGTTGGACGACGTATTCATCGTCGAGGGGGAGGTCTTTTCCGAGGTAGAAGCCTTCTTTTAGGTCGCCTTTTGTGCGTTTTTCGAAGTTTTGTGAGCGGAGACGCTCGTATCCGCGGTTGAAACCCCCGGTGGCTTTGCGGGTTAGTTATCTATGTTTTTCTTTTTGATATTGATGAAGAGGGGAGGGGGGGAAGGTGTATTACATTGGTTGTATTTCTCTTTTGTTTCTAATGGGAGGTTGAAGAATTCACTTGAGTGTTGGAGGACTGCGGTTTGTAGTTCGGTTGGAATGGGGTGGTTGATTAGCTGGAAGAAGCCGAATTGTTCACACGCTTGTTGGATTTGGTGGATGAGGTCTTCTTTGGTTGAATCATTGGCATAGAAGGCTGTTGTGAGGGTTAGATATCCTTGGAGTATATGATAGGATGTTAGAGGCGCTGCTTACGGGTGAAATCTATGATAGGGGGTTCGTTAGGGTTCATTTTGAAGGTATACAGGTGTGTATTTAAGTATATGAGATGAGAGAATGGTCTTTTCTAGTCCTTTATCCCTGATCCCCAGGGCTTATATCTTCGTAAATGCGGGGGATTCGTTATCTCAACCACTCAGGAACTCTCCGATGCTATTATGTACATCCACTTACTAGTTATCTATCGGAAATCCGAACATCCGACTCTGCTCCTGTACATTCCTTTCAAGGGATTTGTGGGACTTGTAATGGAGATGAATATGATCAGATTATTAAAGAGATGGCAAATATAGGATAGGTCTATGAAAAAAAGAACAAATATTCGAACACTAGGGTACACGTATGCGTACGAAAGAAAAAGCATAAAGATAGAACTCCGTAAAAAACACACTGGGTATCATATGCGCTCTAATCAAACATGCTACAAATGCATGGGCGTCCACTCCTGTCCGGGGTAAGACGTGGGGGACATGACGATCTCCTCGCTGGAGTCGTCCGCGGTGATGGCAAGCTCTACTGGCTGAGGCGGGTCGTTGACTACACGAGCCTCGTTCTCACTGCGATGAGGATGGGTGGATATCGCGGAGGCGTTGGAGACAGCGATACTGCGGGGTGCGTTGTTCTCCGAGGCTTGGGATGCCGAGTCCGAATCCATTGGCTTTCGGGATCGAATGCTGACTTGAGGAGCCAGATTTTGTTGCTTGAGATCGCCTTGTAGTTCGGGTTGTTGTCCCGGGTGGGTCTGTGTGTTTGTCGGAGCCTCGGGTATCTCCCCATATAGTTCGTGTCGAAGGTGCTCCCCGTGCATGCGATCTTTGTGTTCGCCATGCTCCTCCTGTTCCTGGGTCTCGCTCAGTGTGCCTAGCTGCGAGTCCTGGTTTAGGTCTTGTTGGGTTTCTTGCTTGCGCAGCTCCTCTTCCTGGAGTTCATGTATCCGCTTGCCTTGTAACCCCTCCAGCGGTGACGGTGGATGCGCAGCTCTACTATCCGGGAAGGACATGGGCGACGGTGATCGTGAATGACCTGGGAGAGGCTGGCTGAGATGGCGAGAGCCGGTGGGGGGTTCGTTCATGGATCCGGACTGAAACTGCGAGTAAAATCGGCCGGTCGCTAGGGAGTTGGATGACGAACTGGATGGGAGTGATATACTGGCACGTTGACGGTCATCGCGCGGTAGAAGGTTTGTGTCGCTCGGTGGTGGTGGTGGAGGTGCCCTGGGCTCGGGGGGGCTGGGTTGGTAAAGGCTTTTCCTTAAACGGATTGCTGATAATTGGTGGTGTATCGTGTGAACCGAAACTAGCATTTACATTTCCATTTGTCGACGGGCGTTTCGGCAGATATTTGTTCGGTAGCTGCTCTGAAATTGTTCTTGTGTGAGCGGCCGATTTTCTCTCCGGGTCTTGAGAGTCCTGCCGGCCAAACAGCACCTGTTTTTAGTTAGAAAAAGAAACCAAAGGAACCGCCTAGACTTGACATACGCTAATCCTGCTGAATGTTCGTTTCCGCTGAGCTGCCGGGGGACCCTGGGGGCCTTGAGACCCTTGAAGTTGAATACCAGAGAGAAGATCTCCCACTGAAGCGCGTCTCCGTCTCCCGAACTCCTTGAGTTTTCCAATAGTCGACTCCCCATTCTCTGCAGGAGAACCGGATTCCGAAGGTTGCGAAAGACCGTTAGCAGGCGTGGACGGGCGAGTTCCTTTACCATTGACGCTTTGCTTTCCGAAGCTACCAAAGCTTAGCATGCTGCTTCGGGTTCCCGGCGAGTACCTGACTTCATTTCTCAAGGGGCTACGGAAATCTGGAGCGGATGGAGGTAGGCCGCTGATCGATTTTCTTTTGGATTCGAGGACCTCAGCAGAGCTGGTGAACTCTGAGGACCCCGATGGATAGAAAGGTATGAAAGACCTCCTTTTCTTCCCTCGAACAGATGAGTGGGAGCTACCAGGAGGGTCATCCATAGAACTCTCAGCCTTGTCTTCATACCCTGGTTCTGGTGCTACCTCGTTTGCTGTCTCTTGCAAAGGAGAAGGGGGGTCCCTGTCGAGTTCCTCATTAGATGTACGTCCGGGCTGCTCATCAGCTCCAAGTGTTGAGACAGAGAAATGACGTCTATGATCCTGGCGAGGTGCAAGCCCATTATTAGTATCCTTGGGAGGAGGCGAAGGAGGTTTAGGGCTTTCATCAAGCACTGGACGGATTGACGGAGCAACAATCTCTGGTGTAGACTTGCTTGGTCGATGTTTCTGGCTGTTCATAATCGGGAAAGGGATGTGGAAAGGTTCATCAGGAATGACTGGCAAGCTCTTTTTTGCAAGTGGGGCTTTCTTCACTGGCGCTTCAGCATCGGGTTGATTGCTAGTCGTGTTTCCTCCCGGCTGTAGCAGTGGCTCTGTACATTGCTGTTTCCCGCCATTTACTTGGCTGAGGGCATTCAACGCCATTGGGGTACTTGCCGCCCTTTGAGGATGAGAATCTGTGGGTGAAAGGCCTAGCGCAGCTATCATCTCTTGCTCCAAATCTCCAGCAAAGGCAGACTTCCCCGGAACTTCAGGTTGAGGAGGGACACCGTTGGGAGATGACAATTGCTTTGGTTGCACAGTTGTTTTGCCAACACGGTTGTGCGACAGGTCGTTATTCCCCGATTGGGTCGCCTTGATAGGTTTGCGGGCATCGTGTTCATCCTGTGGATGATCTAGGCAGAGACTGACCCCTGGTGGATCAGAATCAGAGTTGAGCCCTGTTCGCTCGGATTTGAAGATGGGCAAGCCGCCAAAGGTGACAGAGTTTCGTAGAGAAGAGCTACCAGATGCTTCACCCGACCCCGAAGGGAATGAGAACTGAAAGCTGCGGCGAGAAGCAGTTTGAGTTGACTGAACCTACAACATTACCAACATCAGAATATAAACAAATAAGGGCGGGGCGTTAGATTGTAGAAAAATGGCGGATGCATCAATCGTGTCTCATTCTAGAGCTCAATGCCAAAAAGAAGTGCTCGGAATTACATCGTGGTATCCAGATAAGTGAAGTAATGCAGCAATATGTAAAGGGAAACATCAAAGCGACGGCCTGCGCCGCGCTTACCCAAGTAAACAACTCGCTCAGACGAAGAAAAATCAGATATCTACCTTCTCAGAGCTTCCACTGGGTCGGAACCTGCTTCTGCCCTTAGCAAATAGTCCCTTGGCTGCCCCAGTTGCCTTGCCACTAAACGCTCCCGCAGTATGGAGGAGCTCCTTTCCTTTCTCCCCGACTTTATCCTTGTTCATCACGGTACCGATATGGCCCGACGGACGTCTCATATGAGTGGCGCCAGTCGTAGTACCGTCGTTCAAGGAACTGAGATTTGAAAGAGTGCCCAACTTGGGGAATCTGCTGCGGGAAGCATCTGATGGTGGCACGGTAGGGGAGAGATTCTGGCTCTGTCGGACCACGTCGGCATGCTCGGGATGATGGTGAACCGTGAACTGTAGCCAATGATTCAAACCGGTGTCAATGGTGGCGAACTGGTCGCGGGTGTGCTCGAAAGACTTGATACGCTGGTTGATAGATGTGATACCGAGAATGTCACGGAATCCCAAAAGTTTAGACTCATCGAGAGATGTGCTGCCGGCGTTAGAAGTCACTTGAAGTTGTGGAGGTGGCGTGGCTCCTGGTCCCATAACTTGCTCCGGTGGTGTAAGGTTCTCTGGGATAGGTGGAACAATCGAAAGTCGAGGTCTTTCCACGGCACGCTGGGTAGTGCACCCTTCATCTCCAGAAGCAATCGGGTCATGCGACACCTCCGACGCCAATGGAGCGGACTCCTCACGTATAGGCTCAGGCTCTTGCATAGATAACGATGTGGCTAGAGGAGGGGGCGAGGAATAGCTGCCGGGCATTTGAGGCGGCTCTGGTTCTGACGAATCAGAGGATTCCCATGAGAATCGTCTTTCTAACTTGGGCTTCTTTGGCTGACTAATGATTGTGGATGAAGAGTTCCCAGTCGCACCTTGACTGGTCGCATAAGGGTCTTGAGACGCCAAAGGAGGTGGGCTAGCCCAGTCTGGATGGCTTTCAGAAAGCATAGTCTGGTGTGGAACGGGCTGTGCGGGTGCTTGCGATTGAGGTTGGTCGCTGGGCTCCAGGTCGTCCATGGGGGTGGTTTCCCGGCTTAATGATCGGATAATCTCTTCCCTCAAACGATCATTGTCGGCATTTTGTGGCGATTCTTCGGCTCCCATGATGGTGGGGATTTCGCCATGGAAGGAGTCAGCGCCCGATGCGCTTCCGAACTTGAGAGGGGCAGGCATATCCTGCCCATTGTTCGTGTATGGTTGCATCGATGATTTTTGGGGAGAGATTCCCGCATCGGATGATTCTGGTGAAAAATTTGGGAGGAGAGGAATGGAGGATAATTCTGCACGGCCTGCCGTTGGGGTATCCTGATCTGTGACTTGAGGTTTTCTTGAAGGACTGTTGTCCGAACTAGGAAGGCTCAGATCCCGGCGATGACCAGGGTTAAACGCTGGAGTCGCATTCGTAGTTGCCTTCGGAGTCCCCGACTCATTAGGCTCCTCGAGAATGGTGGGTGTTCTTTCATCAGTCATAGTACGAGCGCCCATGATAGGGCTGATTGTCGAAGTGCCATCACTGTTCGACCGCGTGACACTAGTGGTAGTAGATTGTGGAGTTTCTGGGACATCGAAGGCTTGGTTCACTACCGATCTGAATCCCGCCGAGGGGTTGTGGTGCAGAGAAGGCTCCTGAGCTGCAGGGCTATCCTTTGGCGTGTTGGACTCTGCACCACCCAAGAAATCGGCACCAAAGCTCGACATGCGCTTGACTTCCGGTAAACTCAAATCTGGGGTCTGTTGATTTGTTTGAGGTGGAACCCCAAACCCATCAGGCTTGGAATCATTGCCACCAGGGATAGGAGACTGCTGTGTCGCTTTCTCCTCGCGCATGCGTTTATAGAGGTCGGCCGGCCTTACAAAGGGAAGGGGCTTTTGGTCTCCTCCACTAAAGCTCCTACCTTTTCCATCAGCCAAATGCGGCTCACTAGCTCCGGCTCCAAATCCGATGCCAGACAAACGTCTCGATGACAACTCGGAGGAACTGGCAGTGTTGTGGGTAGCATAGGGAGGCCGAGTTACTGCGGGTGGCACCTCCTCTTCCTCCTCTTCATCATCGTCACTACCCCAGTCACCTCCATCATATGAATATTGTTTCGCTTCCACCCAGCGTTTTGTTTTGGAGCGATTCACGTTTGTTTGGAATGATATCGGGGTTCCGCTACCGCTGCCTGACGAGAGCGGACTGCGAACATTTGGCGGGGAAGGGCTAAAGCAGGTCTCAGTATTTGTGCGACTAGATACGCGACTGAGTCTGTATGGATAGTCTTACAGTTTTTGGGTAGGGTCTGCCATCAGGGGAACAGGATCAAGGGACCGAGGCAAGCTCGATTACCAGCATCAACTATTGCGTGGTGATCTCCGATGAGTTTGCACGAGAGCAAAGAGAAAAGAGCAAAGTTGTAAGGGTTATATGAGAATGTGAACAGTACTGTTCCCTTTAAAGACAGTGTGTATGGGGAAGGACGAAGGTGGCGATTTGGGCCAAGTTGGGCAAGGCACCGATCAAATGGGTTGGGATAATTGGAGGAAACAAGATTAATGTACAGGATTGGTGTACAAGAATGAGGTGTATCCACAGAAGAATATAAGAATATCAAGTCTGCTACTCTGTATATCAAGAGATCAAGAGATCAAGAGATCAAGAGAATAAAGTGAATGAGTGTATTAGAATCATGAAACAAGCTACTTCCCCTGATCTATCGACTTTAGGTGGCGGTGCGGGGCTTATGTAAGGGCACGTTTCCGATTTACGTGGACCAACGGGGTAAATTTAGATTGACCTTGACTTGGTTGACTTGACCTGGTTGACCTGGATGACCTTTCATCTTCTTACTTGAACTGTACCGAGTATAGTCTCTTTGTTTTGTTTCTGAATTTAATCAAAGTCACCTTGTACCCTCGGAGATTTCTGCAACCGGACACATCTTCAACCTCGCCCCCTTATCGATTGCAGATAGAATCACACTTCAGTTTCAAGACCGAATTCGGCTTCTATCGACCTTAATTTACATTTGCTTCTCAATATTGGTCCTACTTGAAAGACTATAGCTACTTGTCTCCCATCCTCGCTTCCCATCCCTCCTTCCACGCCGCAATTATGACCGGCCCGTCGATACAAGACCGGACCAGCGAGTTCAGCGCTATCTTGGGCCACGCCCAGAAGCGCCTGGGAACATCGAAAGTTGGTTCACAGCGCCAGGCCTTGTTGACTGATGCGCAAAGGCGACAGGCCGATGGATCACCTCAGGGTGCTGCACAGGAGAAGGCGGCAAGATCGGAGTTCGCGCGGCGGGCGCGAGATATCGGAAGGGGGATTACTGGAACAATGGCAAAATTGCAACGATTGGCTGAATGTGAGTCTGGTCACATTGCTCAAGATGTCAGCAATCTAACTAGGAAATAGTGGCGAAACGGAAAACACTGTTCGACGACCGACCTGTCGAAATCTCCGAATTGACATACGTGATTAAACAAGACCTTGCCGCCCTGAACCAAAGCATCGCCTCGCTGCAGGCTCTCACCCATGCACAACACCCCAAATCGAATCGTTCGAAGACAGACCAGGAAGGAGAACACAATGACAATGTGAGTGAGACATGAACGGTCGCGCGCGGACAAAGTCGCTGATTTCCCATTACAGGTTGTTGTTATGCTGCAGGGAAAGCTGGCCGATGTAGGTGCTAGTTTCAAGGAGGTACTCGAAGTCCGCACGAAGAATATTCAGGCATCCCGAACTCGAACCGAGAATTTCGTTTCCTCGGTATCTTCCAAATCACACAGTGCCCTCGATGCACAGCGCTCAGACTCGCCTTTGTATAACACATCGGGACGACGGACACCCCAGCCCGGATATCAAGGCAACTCCTCCGACCTTTTGACCCTCGAGCCCTCAAACCCTTCGCCTTTGGGGCGTCCATCATTCCAATCAGACCAACAGTTGATGGTAATGGAAGAAGGAGAGTCGAGTAACACATATGTTCAAGCTCGAGGCGAAGCCATCGAAGCCATTGAGCGAACCATTAGCGAATTAGGTGGTATTTTTGGTCAGCTGGCGCAGATGGTCAGTGAGCAGTCAGAAATGATCCAGCGCATAGATGCCAATACCGAAGATGTCGTCGACAACGTCGAGGGAGCGCAGAGAGAACTAATGAAATATTGGACGCGTGTCTCCGGGAATCGCTGGCTAATTGCCAAAATGTTTGGTATTCTGATGGTATGTCCTCTCATGTTGAATTTTGCGTCTGTATATCTAACTAATGACTGTTATAGATCTTCTTCCTTCTCTGGGTCTTGATTTCATGATAGACATGAGATCCATCCCTTCTTTCAATGTTTCTTCATACTGTATTATAATACCTGGCCGGTGTGCTTTCGACAGATCATGGCCCTTCTGCATATCCGCACTCGCTGAGCATTTTCAATTTTTTTTCTTATCCTGGCTAAACTCTGGGATGTTCGAACCATCACGCTCTTTATCTTCCGTTTCATTTTTCCCCCAGTACTTTTTACTCTTTGTTGCTTGGGACTGTGTCCTCGAGAGTCACCTGCGTAAATACATCTCATGTACTATTCGAATCCAATGAACCGAGATCATGGGACAGCCATGAACCACTTTAGAAACATCTCGAAGCTAGTATTGCTATTCTAATTTCACGAATCAAACTGCGACATTACATTCCACAGTTCTGAATCTGCCCACCCTAACGAGGGCTGATTATCGAACAGATCCCACACAAGACTGTCATCCCATCCCTCCACGGACGGTGGCGCAGTAGGACCTCCAGTGGAATCTGCACTTCCAAGACTGACCAAAGCCTGATCGGCATCGGCAGCACGGCCAAGTATATGTGTGTAGGACGCCATCTGGCTCTCGGTGTTTCCAGCCGTGTTCGCATCAGAGAGTGCAACTGCTGGCTGTCCCGAACGGGAAGATTTAGGATTGCCTTTCACCAAAGGTGCACACAGGCTCAAGAATTTGGAGAATAGCTTGTAGAGTTTACCAATCGAGGCATTCGCCTCGGCGAATTGGCGTAGGTCGTCAGTAATCGTTTTGATCATATTGAAGTCTCTCTCGTTTGATGTTGCGATCACATTGCAAAACAGGACAAAGAATGGCGCCAACGGGAATAGTAGCATTGTCCTATTAACAGGCCATTAGTCTTCACTGTGAAAGGCATTAAAGGACAGCTTTGAGATGGCTATATCATACCAGGTAAGAAAGTGTGGATATGAATCAATCGAGTTGGTGTAGCTTGAGAATGCTTCCTGTAAAGCTCGGAGAGTGGTGAGAGCTTCCCGGGCTGTGTATAGACAGTTCTCGCAAACCAAGCGGGACTTGAGTACCGCGGAGCGGGCTTGGATGATTGTCGTGAGAACAGAGTAGTAGTTGAAATCCATTGATGGCCATTCGTGCAGAATTTGGCGCCATAACTCTGGGGATTGCTCTTCTTGGCGACGACGAAACTGGAATTTGGATTAGCAGTTGCTTGCTGGCGGATGCTCGATCTGTCTTACCGCTTGCATACTGGAGTGTATTATGTGTGCTCGCGCCACAAGATCAGACAGTATATTGGCCTTCTCTGTGTCTCCTATTGTCTTCTTTGTATCAAGCAAGACGCTCAGTAGATCACTTTTCAACTCTGAATACTCGACTATGCCTTTTATCATGGCAGATGTTGGCAGATCAGGGTCAAGGTGAATTAACTGGGTTGGTCTAATTTTCAGATCTGGGAGAGACGGTGGTCGGAGGAGCAGCAGGCTGAGGGTTTTGTCGAAGTAATAGCATGTATACACACAATCATGAATATTCTCCTCTATCTCGGTTCGAGGATTGGGATCTGTGATGTTGTGATAGTTTAAGGAAACGATAATCATCGACGCTTGTGCTATCAACATCCAGCTGCGTGTCATGTTTCCTAAATACCGCATCAAACGGGCCTGTGTTGGGTCAGAGCCGAGTCGATATTAGATGGAGTCACACTAAAGAGAGAAAATGAACATACCCCGGATAGAATCGATTGAAGCAAAAGAAGGTTAGGTTCAGCTGCCAGTGGAATTTGATCCAAAATCTCGATGGCAGCAGCTTCATACCTTTTTTTGAGTGACCGAAAATGATCACCCAAACGTCCGCTCGTGAGCAGAGGAGCCATTTTTGATATAAAAGCCATGGCCTTTATCCAAACATTGATTCGATAATACTGGAGCACTTGCTCACACTCTGTGCCCTCGATAATCGCGAGCCCCATTTGCTCTAGAACTTTGTCGGAGATGTGATCAGGCCAGTTGATTGTTCCCTGTGAATTTGTTCTCTTATCGGGTCCTAGGTACACAATCAGCGTCACTCACATCTGCCAGATTGTTGATAATTTACCAGGTAGCATCATGAAGAGCAATTCTGGTGTGAGAGTAGGGGGTTCTAGGTTTTCTTGAACATCGATATCATGCATAGCCGCAGTCTCCTCGAAATTTAATGTCGGATTTGACAGCTGACTGACAAACTTGCGCGCTGATTCAAGCGCAGTTCGTCTATCCTTTGATAGAGCAGGGTTGCATTTAAGTTCATGCTCAATGTATTCTCTAGCCTCATAAGCATGATGCGTTGAGCTAGGAGAATGTGTCTGGTGAACATTTTGTTGCGCCACTGTCTGAGACTTGCGGTGCTTGCTTAGTGGTAGCTGCAAGGGGGCCGTATCATGGAGGTCATATGCTCGATATCGCTTTTGCTTGTCATTGAGTACTTCTGTAGTACTTGGCTGGTTAGCCGAAGGCGACGAAGATGCGCTGCTCGCGGCATGATGCCTTGTTGGAAAGCATGTTGCCTCTTTATTAGCCGACTCTTCTAATTTCGCCAATCTTTGGGTCAAAGTTTCTAATCTTTGAAATATCAGCGACTGATTCTGCAGGCGTGTAATACGAATTGCACGTACCGGGAGACCCGAGGTCTATGAACTCGTGCTTGGCGGTTGCGAAGACATTCTGCACCTGCATCGGTGCAGTTCATGCAAGGATCCTGGCGATCGCATTTCACCTACAATAACTCCAGATAAGCTTCGGGATATCAGGCAATCGAATGCGAGAAACAAATGAAAGGTGAAAGGATATATCTACGTACCTTTCGGGTATGACATAAATCGCACTAGTAACATTAGTTGAGCTACATATTTCAGAAATAGCGTATGCCTTTCGCATTGCCGTTATTCAGAAAAACTTACCGCCGACATGCTTCGGAATTTTGAACGGAATTTCGGAATCAAAGCAGATTCATCACGCAAAGGGAATGTCAAAGTAGCCCTGGTGGAGGGAGCTTGGTCGAAGTCTTGGGGTTGTCGGCTCCCGAACTACCGGGAACCGACCAAAAGCGGTTTAGTGCAGAGCTTCATATATGGCCCTTTTTTCAATTTGCATACAAATAGGGAGAACCATAATTATTGGATATTCTAGCAAAAAGCTTGATAAAAAAAATGCGGCGAACTTCTGGAGTGCAATATTCTCCATACACCAGTTAATAAAACCAGTTAATAAACTACAAGCAGCATTCAAGGGGCTACCGCTTCGCAGGAGAAAAAAAAGGGAAGTCACGCAGTCTCCTAACCGTGCAAAATTTGTTCGGATTTGGCAAGGCCATAATATTCACCTTGTCTCGATGTCTCAATTCTGGATTCTGATCAGGCATAATGTCGCCAATTCAATCGTTAGCCTCTTGGACGAAGTCTCATTTAGAATCATCACCAACTGGTGGCTTGTCGTGCTGCCTGTCCTCACTCTTCTCCTCCAGGCCACTGGCCATTGGCTTATCTTCATCCGATGGCTCAGCCCGCTGGAGTTCTTCTCTTGGGACAGGGTTATCTGTTGGCTCATCTTGTTCCCACCTCTCACTATCTTTCTCCAGGCCACCTTGAATCGTCTCATCCCCTTCCGATGACTGAGTGTTCAGTTTCTTCCGCTCTGCTCGGAGCTGTTGCCATTCTTCCTGGCTCCGCCCTGGCTCTTCTATGCGTTTGCCAAAGGCGTAACATGGCGGACTGGACTGGGCACCTAAATAGGGACTACCGAATAATCTTTGTTTGTGTGTTTTTGGTTCCATCTTTCTTGTTTTAAACAAAAATAGCGTGGTGCCTTTGTAGTATTCAATCCATTTTGCCCTAGAAAGTGGGTGAGCAAGAATAGTTGGCGGCTTATGCGGTCTCGTGATGCCTTTTTGGTGGGTGGTATATAGAAGCGGCAAAAAAAGCGAATTCTAAGCAAGATATTTTTTTATGTATAACCTTTGATGCACCAGTTGTATTGAAGGTTCATTCAAGAATAAATCGATCCGCACAATTCCTGGAAATTACAACTTGTTGGCTAATAGTTGTGCTGAGCTTTGAGCTATCATTCATCATAACAGTCATAACAGTATTCACATTCTAACTTCACAACAGACCCGTGGAGAACGTGCACTTCTGAATCCTCAACGGTATGCGGAATAGCACCTCGTTCATCCATCTCATTTTGAGCTGCTTGGAACCATACATGGTTAAGCTTTGGGTCGAGGGATGTTTGTTCGCTATGATCACTGAAAGATGCCGTGTACTCGTTCAAGTCTTGTCGCATCGCCCATAGAAACTCCTTTCTATGAGACCACGTAGAATCATGCTCGCCCTTTTGTTTTCTTTGGTCATCCTTCGAGATAGAGATAAAGAATTCAAGGATTCTCTCCATGGTTGAGGTGGTAAGAAGGAGACTAAACCAGCTTTCGGCGGTGGAGTGGGGAATTTCCGGTCCCATCAAGCGCTGGACCGTCGAAAAAAGAAGCTGCATGCAGTGGTGGGTCGACAGAAATATAAGTGTATCGTCAAAAGGCGCATTTCGAAGAATCGTTTGTTGTCGTTCCGTGGAACAGGCCATAATTTTGTGGTGATGACCCGAGTGGTCAGAGCCGGAGTCAGAAGATGCAGATGATTCTAGGAAGAATACCGCGTAGGCTCTATATTCGAGTAAGTATGCTTCCCAGAAAAAGAATTGACGTAGTGGGGCCATACATCGGATACAAAAGCTTGGCTTGGAGCGAAGCTACAGCTTTGCTATAGACAACTTCTTTCTCTGTCTTGGAAGATGACCACAAAGGCTGAGCAATTGTATCAGTCTCCAGATGATGTTCAACTACATGAGCAGCCAAGTGATGGGAGAGTCGGATGCAAGTATTCCAGCATCGTTTTAAATCGCCGAGATATCCCAGAGAGTATTCCGCGTTGTCATGAGGCATGCCTGTGCTGTACTCTGGAGGTGGGGGAGGAAATAGCTCGGAGATAAAGGCAATATCATCGCCTGGCGACAGGCCTTCGTCAATACAATGCCTTTGGTGATGTGTCTGCTTTCGGAGTTGAATATATGCCCATGCTATGGCGTATTCCAGCTTGGAAACCCGGTCATGGAGTGCTCGACAGGAAAGAGACAAAGAGCCGATATCCTTCAGGTCACAGGAGGCTAGGATGTTAACAAAGACATGGGATGGAAGCCGCTTCCACGGTGAAGCTTTAGACCCGGCTGACACCGAGTCCCGTTTGCCTTTTCGAAGGACTGTTCTGACTCGACTGAGAAAATGCATTATGACTCATACATTGGATGAATCCTTTGAAATATTCTTTGGCATGTAATGTTGGAATCCTTGACATGAAAACGACCGGTAAGAAAGATAAATGGATGATAGAAATACTCAGATAGAATCGCTCGGGTTGTAATGTTGAGTCTGTCGGGACTGCGGAGACACAGGGATGGGACCAAATGTAATATTGCAAAAACACATTCAGAATACTTTGGGCGAAGATGTGATATTTTAAGAATGTCAACCTGGAATCAAGCAATAGCAGTGGAGAATAGAGAAGCCAATCGAAGCACATAATGTGAAACAACCGAGATTAGATTGGACTTGGTGCCTTATATCCAAGGCATCAAATTCCAACGGCCCCCGACCTTTCCGAGCCGTATGTCATATCCTTTGCTCTCCATAATGCCACCAAAGGTCAAATTGCTGAAGTAAATGTACCAATTCACTCATGCCTATCTGTGTGGTTTTTCAAAGAGTGTGCTGCAGCGATGGCTAGTCTAAATGGCCCCTTAAATGGCGGGCGGGCAACGGACTCGCCATCCAAACAACCTGCATCGTTTGCATGCGTGGTCTGTCACAACCGGAAGGTTAAATGCGATAGGCAGGACCCCTCTACCCCTTGTTCAAATTGTGCAAAGGCGAATGTGGAGTGCATCTACCGTGCCCCACCGCCACCTCGTCGCAAAAGGGACCGGGAAACGAATGGGAGCGTGTCTCAAGAACGCGGAAAATATGTTAGACGCAGCGCCGGGTTCGATGGTAATCCCACTGCCATTCAGCATCATCGCCCTACCGAGGGAGGTCAATGGACGGAGGGAGGGAAAAGTGGATCCGGGAGGATGATCATGAAAGATGGAAACTCCATCTATCTCGACAAGTGAGTTGCTTGTGCTACATTTCGCCTATTGTCAGGATTCTAACTTGTACATTAGCAATCTTTGGACGAGTGTTAGCAACGAGGTTGGTATTTTCTAACTTCCGTATGGTGTCAATTCTGACTATCTTTGCTAGCTTCCAAATGCCGCAGACGTATTGGGCGAGGGATCAGATGATGGTACCGATAACTTTGCTCAGGATGTGAGCGACGAGTATGCGATACTCTCGACATCTGCAACAAGAGAAATTCTTACGGAGCTTCACCCAAGCCCTCTGAATATCTTCAAGTTATGGCAGGCATTTCTCGAGAATGTGAACCCGCTGACCAAAATTATACATGCTCCGACTGCGCAACAGCAAATTCTAGATGCCATGAGTGATCTGGGAAAAGTAAGTCGAGAGATCGAAGCATTGATGTTTGCAATATATTGCATAGCATTGGTTTCCTCGCAAGCAGAAGATGTCGAAAAGTCATTTGGAGAAAGCAAGAAAGCCCTCCTATCAAAGTGCAGAAGAGGAGCCCAACTCGCTTTTAAGAATGCGTCACTTCTTCGTACATCAAGCCCTGTGGTCCTACAAGCGTTTATGCTATACCTAGTACGTTCACCTTCCTTCGACGAAATATACTGCTCTTTAACAATATTTGGATAGCTCTGCATGCGTTCGTTCTCTGATCCCCATACTATCTGGACATTATGTGGTATTGCAGTAAGAATCGCGCAAAGAATTGGGATTCATCGTGACGGATCTGCACACGGACTTTCAATATTCGAAACTGAGATGCGCCGTCGCATCTGGTTCCAGCTCATGATCATAGATGCTACATCCGCACAGTTCTGTGGTGTAGCATCAACACCACTCCCAGCCACTATTGATGTTAAACCGCCAATGAACGCAAATGATAGCGACCTCGATCCTCGCATGACCGAGCCAGCCTACGAGAAGCCAGGACCGACAGAAATGATGTTTGTTCTGGCTCGGAGTGCATTTGGAAAATGGCTCCTTCGTGTGTCAAATCAGGTTGAGAGTTCTAATAGTGGGCCATGGGCCTTCTTATCATCGTCATCGATGTCCTTGAAGGACAAGGACAAGACTATTGATGAACTTGAGGCACACCTGGAAGATAGGTTCCTCCGGCATTGCGATAAATCCATTCCGCTGCATATGGCAACGACAATGATGGCGCGTTCGGCTATATACTACACTCGGCTGATGGCACACCATCCTCGCCAATACCAGGATCCTAATACTCGCATCTCCCAAGCAGAGAAAAACGTCATCTTCGAGAATTGCCTCAAGATGACAGAGTATGCTGACTCTGCCCAAAACAATCCAGTTGTTCGAAAGTACTCGTGGCACATGGTGAATCACATGCCGTGGGACGCCATAATATTCATGCTCTCGGAAATGAGGCACCGGACTGATTCCGAAGAGAAAAGCAAAGTCTGGCAACTGATTGGAAATGTGTATTCTGGGCATATCAAGACAATAAGCAAGAACGGTCCAACGCCTCTTCACATGGCCATTCAAAATTTAATTGTCAAGGCCTGGCGGACGTACATTGACGAGTGTAATCTCAATCACCGCGCACCAACGCCGTGTCCAACCATCATTGCATCTTTGCTAGCGAGTGCGGGAGGAATTTCTAGCACGGAGCAGGAAGATGAAAACTTCCCAGCTAGTGAGCATGGTGCTGGGATACAAGATCAACCCAGACATGACCGCTCTAGTTCACAATTCGGACTGGAGGCTGAAAACTTTGGTTTCCTGCTTGGCAATAGCCCGCAGGATTGGAATGAATGGGACAATCTTCTGAGTAACTTCCAAGGATCTTTTACAGACGATGCAGCATACTTGTCGTGACACAAGCATGATTCCCGATGCTGTGGCTGAAAATCCACTCACCTACTCTTTGTAGCGAATCAAGGGGTCTGGTATCAATTATCATGTTCGAAATCCAGTTTACCCCAACATTTTTGGAGAGCCTCGCACCGATCGGCACGCGACGCTCCGATGCCGTCCACAATCCTCGCTCGGGATCGGCAACTAAACAGCCGAACAGTGATGATCAACATTACTTTGGGGTACGCTTCTATACTAAGTAATGGTACATGCGCAGTCAAAATTCTATTTAAAGTCACTTCCGTTCGGTGCTGATTTTGGATATGACCACCAATATCCTACCATCGTCTTTTGATCGCGATTCTTCCCTTGATACATTAGTTCAACATATATACCCTAAATCTGAAGAGCGTCCCAAAATGAGACCCAAGACGGATGTTCTCATTGTCGGCGCAGGCCCAACAGGCCTTGTCCTTGCTCTGTGGCTCCACCACCAAGGTGTCAATGTCCACATTTTTGACCAGGCAGATGGTCCGGCGAAAAACTCACGAGCTATAGTTGTTCATGCACGCATAGTGGAGCTGTATAGACAACTTGGGTTGACCGAAGACTTGCTGGCGCTGGGGTTCAAGCTGCCGGCGTCAAATGTTTGGGTCGAGACGGAGCACAAAGGCCACATTTCGCTGCGAGACTTTGGACGCGAGTTGACCCCGTACCCGTTCATGCTGAATATACCGCAAGATGACCATGAAAGAATGCTCGAAAAGCGACTGAATGACGTCGGCATCCATGTCGCACGAGGGTTAAAATTGCAAGGCTTTGTGGACCACGGGTCAAGCATCACTGCTACCCTGTTCCGCGAGAGTGACCAGAGCTCAAGCACACACGAGGCGTCATACATAGTTGGGTGTGATGGAGCACATTCAGCTGTTCGCCGCGGAATTGGTGCCAAATTCGAAGGCGAAACATACAAACCGCTGTTCTACATCGCCGACGTCGAAGGCAAAAGCGACAAGCACTTCAACGGCGAAGGGCACGTAGTGTTCACGAGCGACACTTTCACCCAGGTATTGCCGTACAAAAAGGCAGGCCATGCGCGATTGGTTGGTATTACGATCCCAGATACTGACGACGATGACAATGGCGAATCGCCAGAGCCTGAGCATCAGATCACATTCGATGACGTTAGACCCCAAATCATGCAAGTGATGGATATCGACATCTCAAATGTTAACTGGTTCTCAACCTACCGCTGCCACCACCGTGTGGCCGACAAATTCTGCAGCAATCGCGCGTTCCTTGTTGGAGATGCAGCTCACATCCACAGCCCAGTCGGTGGGCAGGGTATGAATACCGGCATCATGGACTCAGTCAACCTAGCGTGGAAGCTAGCAACGGTTCTCAAAACAAACATGACCGAAGAAGCACAATACCAACTATTAGATTCATATGAGTCTGAACGCCGGGAATTCGCCATGATAATAGTCAAGTCGACTGACATGGGTTTTACGACGCTTACATCGAAAGGATTCTTCCCACACATTCTTCGAAATTGGCTGATTCCATACCTTGTGCCACTGCTGTTGAAATTCGATTTTGCCCGAACCAAAATCTTCCGGGGCGCCTCTCAACTCATTTGCAATTACAGGGGCAGTAGTCTTTCTCGTATTGGCGAAGGGACCGTGCAGCCTGGCGACCGTCTTCCATGGGTTGAAATCAACGAGGTGGACAATTTTTCTACCCTACGAGAAGTTTGTTGGCAGCTCCATATCTACGGGGAGTCTGTGCCGGAACTTGAAAAGTGGGCCCGGGAAATGAATGCGAAGGTTTTTACATTCCACTGGCACGATCAATACGGCAAAGTCGGCATAGTCAAGAATGCCGTTTACTTGCTCCGACCTGACCAGTATATTGCGGGCATTTTTGAGGGCCCCTCTGCTAAGGCGGGGTTGGACGAGTACTTCGCTACTCGGGGATTTTTTCCACATACAGGCAGAGATTAGAGATTAGACTTGTTTCAAAATATCACCCAGACCACTACTATCACCTTCTAATTTGGACCATCGTTATTCTACTCCTATTTAGCCACGTGCATTTTCATGGGTCGCGTTTTCCCGTCAATTTCCTGTTTAAGATGCGGAATGTAGCCGACTCAGGCTCCTCTAAGATTATGTTGTACTTCAAAGGAAAGCGTGAACATGGGATATGGGAGCCACATGGTCTTCACACCCCTCGGCATGCGAAAGGAACGGAGCGTGATTGGTGACTTGGCACATATTAAAGCCCGTTGGTGGATGATGTGATTGGTGTACCTGTGGGGCTAACCATGGAAGCTCAGCCAAAGTGGATTCTATGAGACCCCACCTATACTTCCCACCTGGGCATACTTTGGAATCTTCCAAAGGTCATTGCATCCAATCTCTACATGGGAATTAACAACTGGTGCTCTAACACAATCAGTCCGGTAACATCCGAACTATCCTAACTCCACACCCACCCACACGGCTTTTACAAGGCGTGCTCGCTTACCATCGACAGATCGTTGATCGGCGGTTGAAAGCTCACAGGCTGAACATGTGGCAGGAATGGCCGCTTTTCATTTGCTATGGAGTCTAATTTCCGCCTATACATTCACCCAACGCCATTATCTCTCTAATGCACATATCATGCATGCAGGAGAGATATAAAAGTCGTCCAACGACCGAGGAAATGATTTTCGTATTCACCTCAGTCCAACTCTCCCTACCACATAATCTACAGGCACAATGAAGACCACCGCTCTCATTTCCTTGCTCGGCCTGTCCGGCAGCGCTCTGGGTGCGGCCGTGGAGAAGGGCAACGGAAACGCGCCCTTCGGCTACAAGTCTGGCTCGAAGGAGTCTATTGCCAACCTGAAGGGCAAGATCGAGAACGTTGTCTGGGTTCTCTTGGAAAACCGTGGATTCGACAACATCCTGGGTGGTGTGAAGAAGAAGGGTTTGGACAACGTTGTCAACAATGGTCCTTTCTACAACCTGGAGGATATCACCAACCCTAAGAGCAAGAAGTGGTCCACCCAGTCTAAGAACTACGACTCGGTTCTCAATGACCCCGACCACTCGCTTACTGGTACCAACTTCGAGCTCTATGGTCAATATAATCCTAGCAATGAAGCCATTGCCAATGGCACTTTGACTCCCAACCTGTCCGGCTTTGTCAACCGCCAGATTGTTCAGCACCCCAAGATCTCTGCTGAGCGCGCAACTGACGAGGTCATGGGATACTACTCTGAGAGTCAGATCCCCACTATCGTTGACATCGTTGATGAGTTCACTACCTTCAACAACTGGCACTCCTGTGTCCCTGGTGTAAGTACTATCCATTTTGCAAACCAGCCAAAGATATCAAACTGACCATCAACCAGCCCACCAACCCCAACCGTCTCTGTGCGGTCGCTGGTGTTACTGATGGTCATGGCAAGAACGACGAGGACTTCGACACCTCCGCCATCCCGACCACCAGCATCTTCGAGGCTGCCTCCGAGAAGGGCATCTCGTGGCTCAACTACGATGGCACCAACGGCGCCTTCCTTCCCGATTCCATGTTCTTCGACTGGACCGCCAAAAACGCCAAGAGCAACGTCGTCCCGGTCGAGAACTTCTACCAGGATGCCTACCTGGGTCTTCTCCCCCAGCTGTCCTACATTAACCCCTCCTGCTGTGGCCTGAACACCAACTCCATGCACCCCTCCGGCAACGTCTCCTTCGGTGAGGTTTTCCTGAAGCAGATCTACGATGCCGTCCGCACCGGCCCTCAATGGGAGAAGACCCTCTTCCTTGTCACCTTCGACGAGACCGGTGGATTCTTCGACCACGTCGCTCCCCCTCTTGCCGTCCGCCCCGATAACAAGACCTACACTGAGACCGCGCATGATGGCAGCTCGTACACTTTCAGCTTCGACCGTCTCGGTGGTCGTATCCCCACCTGGTTGCTCTCTCCTTACGCCCCCAAGGGTCACGTTGAGGGCTACGGTACCGACCCCGTCACTGGCGAGTCTTCCCCGTACAGTGCTACCTCCGTGCTCAAGACCCTCGGTTACTTGTGGGACCTCAAGGATATGAGCCCTCGTGTCGAGCACTCACCCGCCTTTGACCACCTCATCGGCCCCAACACCCGCACTACCCCCAAGACTCTTAAGAACCCCCACACTTTCCCCGATGCCATTTAAGAGCCTGTTGTACAGAGTTGCACTGGCTTGGTGGGATTTCTATTTGATGTGGTATAGATGAACGGTTGAATAGCTTGTTAATAGTTATTAATTCCCCTTTTTCTTTCTATAGAGTTTATTTGTTTGTTGGGGTTTCCTACTAGCCTTCGGCTTGTTTCAGTGAACCCGGTTGGTTTGATGTCATGTTTGAAACGTTACAATTATTAAAATACTACTGCAATTCGTTTTTCTATTCTCTTTTCAAGTGTCTTATTATATGTCCTTATGTGTCTGTCTCCTGAAATGATCAGTCGTAAAAAACAACATTTCTAAATATAACTTGTTACTATTGAGAGAAACTTCAGCAACCAGTTCTAAGATTTTGTTCCGTCTTTTGTTCCTTTGCGAATTGACTGTCAAGTTGCACCCCAGAACTACTGCAAGCCTGCACCAGACCTCGGCATATCTCTTGAAGACAATATCACCCGAGGATGGGAGTGTCGGATGTGCTCTAACTTAGATACTCCTTCTATACCTCGAGTCCTTGGTTTTTGACGCCATTCCTGGCCAATCTTCTCATATAACGACGGTTTCAAGAAAGAGATCAAGCTTCCTTTATCAATTCCGTTCGCGGGCGCATCCGATCATGCAGCCGTCGTAGTCTTTTTGTCATTTGTCATTTGTCATTTGTTTTCGCAGGTTCCATTGGAGAACTTTGGCTACCAAGTGTAAAGTGCAGTTTGTTTCTAAGAAACAAAACCCCCATGTAATGCATCTAAAATTGGAGAGAACAAATATGTACAAGATGCAAAAGTGTATGATTGATGCCTGAGGCAGACACCCTAAACTTAATTGAGGTGTCGATCTGGAGATTCTCGAATTCCGCCCGGAGTTGCCAATTGATAATCAACCTTCCCTTCGAGATCTCCCCAACCACAGCTGCGCAACAATTAAAATGCCTTCTCCCATGAGATTGGCAAGTGGGCTCCTAACCCGAGCCACCCGCAACATCGCCATTGAATCCGTCCCAACACAACGCATCCTCCCTCTCCTCCGAAACAACACCGCATCACAATGCCGAGCCTACACCCAAGCACAGCGCCCACGATGCAACCAAAGCATGCGCACCATGATCTCCACACAGAACAACTTCTCAACCTCTGCCTTCCGAGCTGGCCCCAAGACAATGGGCCAGATGCGCCAGCGCAACTCGACCGGCCCATTCTCGTGGAAGGCCGCACTGCTCTTCGTCCTGACCGGTGCCGGTATGATGCTGTACTTCCGCGTTGAGAAAGCCCGTCTTGAGCGCAAGCGCATGACGGAGATGAGCAAGGGTGTTGGCAAGCCGAAGGTTGGCGGTCCGTTCGTCTTGAAGGATCTTGACGGGAACGAGTTCACGGCGGAGGACCTGAAGGGCAAATACAGCTTCGTGAGTTACCCCGGATAACGGAACAGAAGAGGATCAATAGATTTGATATACTGGAACAGTATTTGCTGACACAATCTCGCTTTATTTCTCCAGGTCTACTTCGGCTTCACTCACTGCCCCGATATCTGCCCCGATGAACTGGACAAGATGGCCGAGATCATCGAGAAGGTCAATGCCGCTACCGGAGACAAGAAGCTCTTCATGCCCGTTTTCATTACTTGCGATCCCGTCCGTGATACGCCCGAGGTGCTGCGCGAGTACCTGAAGGAGTTCCACACTGGTATCGTCGGCTTGACTGGCACGTACGAGCAGGTCAAGAACGTCTGCAAGCAGTACCGTGTGTACTTCAGTACTCCTAAGGATGTCAAGCCCGGCGAGGACTACCTTGTGGATCACAGTATCTACTTCTACCTGATGGGTGAGTTGATAACGCTACAACCTAAGTTATCTATCTTCAGTATGCTAACAGATTTACCATAGACCCCGACAATGACTTCGTTGAGTGTATCGGCCGCCAGGATACCCCCGAGTCTGCATCCAAGGTAATCTTGGAGCACATCAATGACTGGAAGAGGGAGGGAAAGCCACTCAAGACCGAGTAAGAGTCTTGCGCTAGGTGTATGTAAGGAAATTGTACAATATAGTCATTCGAATAACTGAATACCCTACTCACGCCGGAACTGTGTTCCAAATGCTCCTGCTTTTTATTCTCATGCTCGTATACCCTGTATGCCCGGTCATTTGCCGAAACAAACAAACATAAAGACCCTGCAAACCAATTTTGTTCGGCCCAATTTTGTTCGGCCAACACCTGTAAAAGAACCCATCAGCATCATCCACAATCCACTCACAAGAACACAACCAACCAACCAAGTTCACCATTCATAAACTCCCAACCTAAACACCCCGAGAGCCCAAAAGCTTCCCCTCAGCATCCCGATCCGCATTAGCCCTCCACTCCATCCCGCCATCAACAAACTCCTCCCTCTTCCAAATCTCCGCCTTCTCCTTACAAGCCTCAAGCACCTCCTCCCCCGCCCTCCACGCAGCCCCCCGATGTCCCGCACTAACAGCAATAGCAATAGAAGCCTCTCCAATCGGCACAATGCCGAGTCTGTGCGCAATACTCACGCCTTCAAGCTCATGTGTCTTGACAGCGGCCTCGGCGATCCCCGCTAGCGTCTTCAGCGTCAGAGGTGGGTAGGCCGTGTAGCTGAGCTGGGAGACGGAGCGGCCTTCGAAAGTATCGCGCGTTGTACCGAGGAAGAGGATGTTGGCGCCTGCTGCGGGTGAGGCGGTTTGTGATAAACAGGTGTTTGCATCGAGGGTTTCGTAGGTTAGGGTTATGTGGATGTTTTGTGTTGCGTCATGGTGGGTGCGTGGGTAGGTTTTTGGGTCGAGGTGGGCGGGGGAGCGTGGTTGGTTCTGAGGAACTCATTTTGATTTGGATTGGGATTTGGGAGGATCAATTATTCGAGTAGATTGGGTTGTTTTAGATGTTGGATGTTGTTGGAGTTTCTGATTGTCGGTCCCCCTCGATGCTTATCAGGTGCTGCGGGGATCGGATAAGAGCGCACCCCCGATCTGCGGAGAGCACAGAGGGAATTGACAGCTTTAGATACTTAGGGTTTGTGTTGGTTCTAGCACTCAAATTATGTTGCTTGTAGTTGTCTTCACGTCTCTTCATTGCAGGAAACAATTTAGGTACAATTTATGAAGGAAGTGGCTTGTGGTCAGCCTCAGATCTCATATATATATCTCACATCACAGAAGCAACACAACGGCCTCATACGGTCGAAGTGTCCATTTTCCACCAGAGAACCTCTGGGAAGCCTCCTCAACACCTTCGTAAGTGTTAAGCAAGACCTGCTTGATGCCTGTGATACCATTGCTGGCTGCATTCCATTCCAGAGTCTTCTCTGTCCAGTGACACACAACCAAGGCCTTTTGATCTTCATACTGGCGAGTGTATGCAAAGATCTCCTGGTTTGGTTTGTCTAGAAGTGTGAAATCACCATACACAAAGATATCAAGATATTGCTTGCGCAATTTCAGGACAGTTGCCCAGTAATGGTATGTTGAGTTGGGATCCTTGACTTCGGCTTCGGCATTGACCCGCACATAATCGGTGTTCACAGACATCCAGGGCTTGACACCAGGCCCTGTGAAACCTGCATTCTCAGCAGCTGACCACTGGACCGGAGTGCGTCCGTTGTCGCGGGACTTCTTCTGATATTCTTGGAGAGCGATTGCTTGGGCAGCTGTGTCGTCCTTTGGGATTCTGTAGAATATCTATAGTTAGCAGACATTCGTAACTTCTAGCAGGAGAGTGAAATTACCTTTTCCAGTGGTTCAGACAATCAATGTCTTTGTATTCTTCAATACCCCACGACTTGGGCACATTTCGGGTTCCCAGCTCTTGTCCTTGGTAAACAAATGGAGTACCAGCCTGCAGTGCCAGCGCGGTAGCCAGCATCTTAGACGCAACCAGTCGATACTCTTCACTAGCGTTTGTGTAACGATCAATAGATCGCGGCTGATCATGATTCTCCCAGTAGAGCGCATTCCACCCATCATTGTCGTACATGAAAGTCTGCCAACGCTCAAAGAAGTCCTTCAAATCAGTGAGTTTCCAGCTCCCAGGCTCAAACTTATCATATTTGCCATGGTCAATGTCAACATGTTCGAAATTGAAGATCATATTGAGCTCATTGCGCTCGAATTGCACCGCAAGTAGCACCTCTTTCTCATCAGTGACGAACGGCATCTCTCCAACACTGAAGGCATCATACTCCTTGAGAATCTTGCCAAGATCCGCGAGGTACTCATGCAAGCGCGGGCCGTTGGCGTACCACTTGTCGCCCCATTGCCACGGAGTCCGCGGGTCCTTGATGGGTCCATCAGGGAAGCTCTGCTCCTTGCTAATGAAGTTGATCACGTCCATGCGGAATCCATCGCAGCCCTTGTCGAGCCAGAATCGCATGATATCGTGCACAGCCTTACGGACGGGTGGGTGTTCCCAGTTTAGGTCAGGTTGCTCGACTGCGTAGAGATGCAGGTAGTATTCTTGGGTCAGTTCGTCCCATTCCCAGACACTTCCTATAGTAGAATTTAGGTTAGATGGATCTATTCAATTTACGGGGATATTAAAATACATACCCTGGAAATGAGACACCCAGTTGTTTGGAGGCTGGCGGTTGCCCTGTTCATCATACGTGGCCGGCTTCCAGACATACCAGTTCCGGTACTCGTTATCCTTGGAGCTGCGGGACTGCTTGAACCATTCATGTTGGTCGCTGGTGTGGTTGACGACTAAATCCATGAGAAGTTTCATACCCCGCTGATGGCAGCCGGCAATCAGCTTCTCGACATCTTCAACTGTGCCATACTCATCGGCAATACTGTAGTAGTCGGAAATATCATAGCCCATGTCCACCTGCGGGGATTTGTACGATGGACACAGCCAAACGATATCCACGGCTAGATTCTTGATGTAATCCAGCTCGGAGATGATACCGGGGATATCACCAATACCATCATCATTGGAATCCTTAAAGGATGCAGGCCAGATTTGATATACAGAGCTTTCTTTCCACCAAGCACGGTGGTTGGACTTTGCTGGAGTAGCCATGGCAATTGTGAGAGGAAATTAGGAAATTCTGAGAGGAAATAAGAAAGAGTTTAGGATTCTGGAGTATTTCCTATATAATATGTTCTTTGCTATGAGAGCTGTGCTGGCAAGGACACTTGGAGCATGGTCAATCGCTCATGTTTATCCCACCGCGGGGCAGATTCAATCAATCATCGCGGACCCTCTATTGATATGTCGGGCCGAGATCACTAGGGGTGAGCCGTACTTTGGAACACAGCTTGTATCTGTTGAATCAGAAGCCACACGATGTGGATCGTCTCCACCTAAATGATACTAGAACTGGATAATAATGGGCAATCACTACATATGGACGGAGTAAAATGATGCAACCGAGCTGAGAGATTCTTGGCGGGCTAGTTTTTACTCAACATATACATTTATTTTGACGATTGCCGCCAAGTGTGTCTCCTTGAAGGTCTCTTGGGTGTAATCCGAATATGTACACAAAGCGCTAAAAAGAACTTCCATTATATCACCTGGAATCTGGCTGTTTCAATGAACGGGCGAGAGAGTCACGGGCGACTAACTACCTAGGTATGCCACCGGTTCGTAACTCTCTTATTGGTTCATATTGCCAGGCATTAATTTAGATCCACTCTCACTTTACAAGTATGGAATCGGAAACTAATTATATAGTTATCAGTAACATTAAAGCCTTCTGAGATAAGAGTATCCAAGACAGCCCTTGTCCAATGAGAGAATTGTGTCTAGCGTGGCACATTTAGTCGCCCGTGCTTATGTACACTTCATGTTGTATACACACATAATGTATGCTTCAAGAAGGCGGTGAGGTTAAGTTATGAATCGATAGGTAGGGAGGCGGAGTGTGCGGACTATACTTTCTCCGTAGGCGAAGATCCATCGTGGACGGGTGAATGAAAAGCCCGGTCCGAGATCATTCAGATTAGATCCCTTATCGTTATCGTAGCTTTCTCTCCAAGGTTGCTCAGATGGTTTCTGGATGTTTTGGAGGTGACACTTAACATCCATCTTCTTGCTCATTAGTTTTCAAATGCTCCATTATGGCGCCTCCACATCGGAATGAGACATTTGCTTCCGGGTCGGGTCGTCGCCCCTTTCCTTCGCGAAATGATCGCGATGGTCGTATGTATGATGATCGTGAGCGATCTCGTTCGCCTGGTAAGCATCTCCCCGCACGTCAATGATGTATAAGGCTATACACGCCCTCATCGCAGGACCAATTTCTCCATCGATGGAATTGTGGCTAACTTGATTGTCATTTGAATCGACGAATGAAGACCGCGCACGCTCGCCTCGAAGACTCGAGTACTCCCGAGACCGAGAATCTGGACAAGGCTACAGAAGCCATGATCGCGATGATTATCGCCGTCGAAACTCGCGCTCATCTCCTCATAGGGGTAGACACGCATACAGAGACCGTGACCGCGAGGGTTATCGAAGCGCGAGCGGCAATCCAAGCCGAAGTCGCAGCCCTCGCCGAGGTCAGCCCCATATGGGGCAGGTGAGTCGAGAAGTGATGATGGATGGACTTCCGGCGGACATGACAGAAGAACATGTGAGTTGTTAACACTGGTATCTGAATATTTGCATTCTTAAGTACAAATGCTGACAATGCCCTCATTTATTCATGAACAGGTTGCAGCTGAACTCCGAAATGCTTATCACACCGACGGCCTAGATAAAATTAGGGTTATTCGTGACCGAGAGACGAGTATGTGAAAGGGGAAGACCGCTTGAAAATTTTGCATCGTTTTAACCTGATATTGCGTCCGACAGAGTTGTCGCGGCGACTAGGGTTCCTGCGATTTCACACGATTGACGCCTCACGGGAATTTGTTGAACGCAACCATCCTTACATATTCTTTTATGGTCCTACCAACGACCGAAGTACGCAAGTGCGCATCGCTTACAGCCGCGAGAGAGAAGACCGCCCTCGTGCAAGTGACTGGAACTGCAGGAAGGTAAGTCAACGCGGTGGCATCAGGCAACCTGCTTTCCCAGATCGGAGGAGTACCCAGTTACCTCCTCGTGTATTGTTCTGCGCTTACAAAATCAGTGTCTCGTTCTCAACTTTTCCACACGTACACATTGTTTCAAGTGCAGTGACCCACGACCCGGTACGTACACCACCACCACCACCACCACCACTCTTCACACAACTCACACAACTCTCCTTCTAACATTGAATCTTCCAACCAGACATGGATCTTTCTGGCCCCGCTGGAGTTCCGGCTCCCAAGATAGCTAACGATGGTGACAATGATGTTGCCCCTGAGACTCAGCCTTCCCAGTTCCTCCTGATCCGTGGCTTGGAGGCATCTGTCACAGAGGAGCTTCTTGCAAAAGGAGTTTCCAAATTGTATCGGCCCTCCGGCAACAATGACAGTGCCCCTGATAATCAAAAGAAGGGATCAAAGGTAGCCTCGACCACTGGTGACAGCAACCTGGGGGCCCGTGAAGGCTCTCTGCGTCGCGTGCTACTTGTACGTGATCGCAAAACCAATGCAAGTTGGCGTTACGGATTCGCAGAATTTGCGGGAATTAAGGTATGCTTGTTTTATTCATCTCCTTACTTTCCTTTTCTCCCCCTAATCTTTCACATTTTAGGATGCACAAGATGCAATGACGCGACTCAACTCTTTCGAGAAATTTACCATTTCCTCTAAGCCGGTGTTGGTCACCTACATCCATGGCGGAGTGTTTGTTCCTGTCATGAACGCCCCCTCCGGTGCTAGCTACTACACGTTCAGCCCGTCTAACAACCCCTCTCTGAAGTTGATGTACTGGGATGATGAGGCATACGTGACAGAACTGGTGCTGTCGACAACAGAAGACGATGCCGCACAGGAGCAGAAAGCCAACAAGACAGCTTCCAACCACGGAGACGGTCAAGCCAAGGGCACAAAGGACTCTGATAAAGGAAAAAAGAGAAAGGTCGATGCCACAACCAGTGCCAGTACCAAGAAGCTTGCAATGCCACCCCAGCTCCAATTCTGGAGCGAACGTCACGCTGAGCTACATGGGATCAACAGAGATGATGCTGGAAACCCCGCAGAGAGCTCGAACTTAGCAGCTCCAACCACTGACTCTGCTGCCCCGGCTACTGAGCTTGCTGCCCCGGTGACTGACTCAGCTGCCGCACCAACTCCATCATTTGCCGACTGGGGCAAGCTCCGCTGCCTCTTGTGCATGCAAGATCTTGTTGATGAGGGACATCTCAGGTGGCACGAGTACGCCAGTGATATCCACCGCGAAAACATGAAAGATGTCAAACTGAGAATCCTCGGCATGTGTTGGTTGGTTATTTATGGTATTATTCCCATGCCAACCCCCAACTACGAAGGCAGCAAGGACGCATATCGTGACGAGATCGAGGAGCGATATTGGATTCCGCCATCACCCCGATCCTTCGCCGACCAAAAGCGGAACTGGTGCCTGTTGTGCTTCAGCAAGTTTGATAGCGCGGAAGAGCTCCACGCACACGACCGTAACAGTGAACACCATCGGAATGAGCTGAAAAATGAAGAGGCCGTGAAGTGGGCCGAGGCCCAGCTTAAGAAGGCGGGTATCGCCCAGGATATCGTGCAGGAGGCCCCCAAAGCCCCAGAAGCTCCAGAATACCGAGACCGTGCAAAGGAACGACGCAAGGCATTCGGAAGTGGTGACGCCAATGTCCGCCAGCAGGCCCCCGCTCAAGAAGAAGAAAAGGATGAGACTCCCGTGCAGACTACCTCGATTGGAGCCTCCCTTCTCAGCAAGATGGGTTGGACCGAGGGGTCTGGTCTCGGTGCTCAGGGAACCGGTGTGACCGAGCCGATTCCCACTGAAATCTATGCCCAGGGTGTGGGACTGGGTGCCCAAGGAAGTCGCTTGGGCGAAGCTACAGAGGAAGCTGGGCGCAACACCAGGGGCCGCTACGAGGAGTTCCTGGAGAAGACCAAGGACACTGCCCGCCAGCGCTACGAGGACATGGACCGTTCCTGATCAATTCAGGACGGTTGCATGTACGGGGTGGAAGTGAGGGGGGAATGAAGTGAGAGTGAAGAGAGGGGAGTGGGGTGGAGGAGAATACGCGATGATTTTTTAAGCCACGAAAGTGGCCGATCCCATGTAAGATTACGACCTAACGAACCTGTACTAGTACACTTGCTCGCACCCGCTTTGGGTGTCATTCCATTCCATTGTAGCCGGTAGTCCACGCCCAGTAAATGCATAACTAGTTATAGGGCCCATTTCCCGCTTACATAAGGCCCGTTGGCAATGCCCACCCGCCCGTCCTCCATGGGTGATGTCGCCGTCGAATCCTGATCATTATTCATTTCTTGGTCACTAGGTATGCCCAACCCTATAGACCCATGTTAGTAATTATCTGCGTTATGGTTGACATCTCCTACTTCTCAGTTCATTCTTGTCGCATCTGAGCTTCCACAAGGGTCAATTCATTAAACGCCATGGCAGAAAATATGAAGGGGTGGCAGCAGGCTGCTCCTGGCCCTATTGAGGAGAAGCTCAGTCTTGTTGACGACACCCCACGCCCTAATACAATCCTTAAGAAAGGCGAGATTCTCGCCCGCGTCGTCAGCGCCGGTCTCAATCCCGCAGACTACAAGATCATGGAGATAGGGTTTATCTCCCGCGCTATCGTCAAGTTCCCTAAGGTGGCGGGCATGGACCTTAGCGGCACTGTCGTAGCCGTGGCTGAGGGATCGACGGACGTCAAGGTCGGCGACAACATCCTTGGCCGCGTCGAGCCCTTTAGGCCTCACGGCTCTCTGTCGCAGTACGTGGTGCTGCCCCCAGATGGATACGCCGTGCTTCCCAAGGGCGTGGATCTCGACCACGCTGCTGGGGTGCCTACCACGGGGCTGACGGCGTACCAGAGCATCAAGCCCTACATCAAAGCAGGCGACCGCATATTTATTAACGGCGGCTCCGGAGGAGCGGGGACCTTTGGTATCCAAATTGCAAAGGCCCTCGGATGTCACGTCACGACGTCCTGCTCAACTGCCAAGGTCGCCCTAGTCAAGAAACTAGGTGCCGACGAAGTAATCGACTACCGCGTCGAAGATATCATGACTAAACTCAAAGCCGAGGGCCAAGTCTACGATCTAGTGGTGGACAACGTCGATAATTCGCCGAAAGACTTTTTCTCTGCTACGCCCATGTTTCTTAAGCCGGAGGGACACTACATTAGCGTTGGAGGCTCCGCATCGCTACACACGGCCAAGAATATCGCTAAGGGCCTGCTATGGCCGACCTTACTGGGTGGCACGCCGCGCAAATTTGTCCCGTATGTCACCAAGAATGTACACGAGGACTATGAGCAGCTGGTAAAGTGGCTGGCTGACGGTACTATCACAACGATTATCGAGACTACCTTTGAGTTTGAGCAGGCAATTGAAGCCTTCAAGCATCTGAAGGAGGGCTCTAGTGCGGGCAAAGTCATTGTACATGTCTCACCCAAGATATCCAATGTATAAAGTTCAATGTACGATGTTTATTATATTCTTATGGATCTCGATAGCAACTGTCTACATCTTGAATTTGAGGGCTGTGGCCAGGTGTTGTGTTTGCTTCGTTTGCGTTGTTTGCGTGGAATATTCCTCACAGGTATCATAGAATAAGCTGGCATTATTACGAATATGTGTAAAACATGTTGTTTTTCTATATCATCTGATGAGGGTTTGAAAGATTATCTTTATGGGCACGATATGGAAGGCGTTCGGAATCTCTCGTGGGCTTGATACCCATGTTTTAAAGAATAATAAAACCTCGGCGACGTGGTGAGGAGAATCCGAGATATTTATCTAGTTAGAAAAATCTAGATAGGAAACATATATGCCGTATCTCGTGACCATGGAGCCCCCTAGAACCTTGAGTTTTGTTTCTTGGCTCTTATAAAACCTATATCCAATATTGGAATATTACCAGGTCAGCAAAAAATGTTTTAGCTGGTTGCAGCTGCAATAACTACCGGGGAAAAATCTAAGGAAGAAATCTTGATCTATTTAGTCTACTAAAAGAAGGATATGTATACCCTGAGTCTAGCAAGTAAACTCCTTAGCCTGCTAACAAACAATAATGTATGGGCTGATCCATGAAATATCATTGATTGATGCCATACATTATCGTACTGCCTATTTTGTCACAAGTTAATCCCTGATGAGGGTATATCGCTTTCCAACCAATCCAAGCTGGGCTGCGCTTCAAACAGCTGCCACAGAATGTTTTCATTACAGGTGGAAATATTCCCTCCTTGGGTCGGAATGGTAACCATTTGGGTTGTTTCTTCTCTTGTAAATGGTTCTCCTTCTCTTGGGACGGATTGCTGACAGGACCAATCCAAACCCTGGCCGAATATAGGTAGAGACTGATTAACGCTTGAGACCTCTGTACTTGAGCTGACCGCATTCAAGGAGTTGAGCCCAGTATCCATGATGCCATCAATAACGAAAGATGTCTGCGTTGACACTGGTGGAACGTGGCTTATTTCATCTCTCGGGTTCATTGGCGGCTTGCACAAGTTCATAAGCATAGAGCATAGGCTGTGCAATCGGCGGATAGAATAGTTAACGTCCATGGTTTGCGCCAGAATATCCACAATGTCCGACAAAAGTTGAAAGTCGTGTCTATGTGAAGTCGCGACGACATTACAGAAGACGATGAAATAAGGGCTCAGCGGGAAACTTAACATGCTCCTAGAATGCCATTAACAGGAGTCCTTCAAAAGCAGTAGAGAAGAATCAAGTTTTGTGAGGCTTTCATACCACATAATGAATATAGAACAGAATTCTGAGGCTTGGTTAGATCTTCCTAGTGGGTCGCGTAGCCGCCTGACGGAAAGCAGCGCCTCACGCGCGTATGACAAACACTTCTCTCGTGACTCGGTAGACTTATTGATGGAAGGATCATATCGGCACAGCACCGTCATGAGAGAATAATGTGCAAAATCCAAAGCCATAAATTGTTGATGAAGGTGACAATCGCCATCATTGGCCGGCTGAGATCTGACCTACTTGGAACTGAGCAAATCTTCGTAAAATATCATAGAAGGGCTTACCTGATCATATTTGAATTTAAACAGCTGTAATTTCTGTGTAAGTGATGCGATAATCGCTGAACAATCAATTTCGCCAAGATGAGAATCTGACTGTAAATGTCGGATGATTTTTTCCTGGATCTGTGCTTGAAGTAGACCACCCTCTATAACGAAGGAAAAAGGCCCTTGGACGAAGCGTGTCGATGATAAAATCGAAAGGAAGTCCAACTCTGGCAGAGAAACAGGTTTATTATGATTCATGGATATGGTCTTATCAAGCACGTAACATTGGTGCACTGCTGCAAGAATTTCCGCCTCGGACTCATTATTTGGATCAAATGTGAAGGTAGTGGGGGTGTGCCAGCCGAGTACCTTGCAAATATTTGAGGCATGAGCAATCAAGGTCCAACACTTGTCAGTATCACCTTGATATTGGAATAAAATCGCCTGGAGAGTCAGAAGACTGTTATTGAAGTACTAATTCAATAGTAAAGAAACTTACACCAGCCAAAAGCGCCTGCATCAATGGCAAGCTTGGTGGAATAGTGAGACTGAGCCAGTCAAGTGCGTCTAATGCGGTCTCCAAATGCCTCTGAGAACTTTGCCGTAGGTAACTTTGCATTCTTGGACTCTGAGTGGAGAGTGGCAGGGATACGATGTAGCAGAAGGCTTTACAATGCACACATATAGTGTATTGAAGCAAGGTCTGCTCGTTTCCATCCTTCTCGAGAAGTGCAAGAGTCATCCTCTCTAATGTGGTAGAGGGGATGCAGAAAGTGTATTCATAAAGATAGGCTCTTTGTGACGTCCTAGCATTGTCTTTGATATGTGAGTATGACTGGAGGAACATTGTTGGGGGAGTATTACCGTTAAGCATGGTGTACAAAAACTCGAGCGTGATAGGAGGCTTTTCATGCAAACGAGCGGCACTCACTCCCACATCAGGGCCCTGTAAATTTTTGTACCTAGCAGTAAATTCCAGATCAAGTGTTTGCTCGACAAAGGAAAGAGCGGACTTAAGAATGGCACGTCGACTCGCGCTGGAAGGTCCACTGTGTCTCAGCTCATGCAGAATGAATGATCGAGCTTCCAAGGACGGGGGATACTGAGATGCTGATTCAAGAACATTGATTGCCAATGAGTTGAAGAAATCACCATTGGGTATGCCTTTATCTGCATAGCGCTGTCGCTTTGTCCTATGGAGGGAGGCTTCGTCGGTGCAAAAGATATGTCCTGTCTTGCTGTTTGCCAGTGTAGTATTAGAGCTGGTTGACAAACTAGATTTGGTACGTAAGGCCTCGGCATCTGATGTAACATCGCGATTGTAGGGGCTCAATTTCGGCGATGCAGCTAATGAGGTAACACCGGCGAGGCAGTCTTCCAAATTGGAAACCCGTTTGATAATACTATGGATTCGTTCGTTGCTGATGCTAGTAGGGGTGAGAAGCCAGCCTTTTGCATAAGTTTGATAGGATATTTTACTCACCTTTGCTGCGCAGGCCTGGATTTGCGAACGCGTTTACGGCGAGTGCGAAGACAGTGAGCTTTTGATTCGAGGCAACCACCGCATGGGTTACCACGATCACATTTCACCTACGATAGAATTTCTGTGAGCACACAAAATATAACATTGCGAATAGAGTAATACCTTTCTAGCAAAGCATAGGTCACACTATCATCAATGGTTAACGACAAGACGGGCACAATTTTGGACCCAGAAGACGTACAGCCAATGCTCCTTCAACCGATGGCCGCGAAACCGATGGCCGCGACTCCGACATTTCGGACAAAACACACCCCGACCATAGGAGTGGATAGAGAGAAATGTTTTGAACGCAATAACCAGAAGAGTCATACAATGCTAATGGAAAAACTAGTTCAGACAAGAAATCTACAGGTCATGTCGGATGCCAAGCCTTCCGACGTTCCGAAGCTAACTTCCTTCAGAATTGAGTTCCGAACTAAAACAGAAGACAAAAGGTTTATTTCCACGGTGATCGAGAGTGGCGTGGGTATTGTGGAACTGTGATTAATTCGCCCCATCCGTAGATTCCGCTGATTAATACTAATTCGCAATTCCATGCCTATAGGGCTAGAATATCGAAAAGTGTCAGAAATGAAGGATTAGATATATAGATCGAATGGGCTATTTACCCAGATCATATGGCCGTGAAAACAAGAATATCACAGAAAAAGGCGTACATATTGCATGATTATTGGCCAGCATGTTTATTGACATTCGTTTGGTCATGCTCAGACTTATATACCACTGAATAGTACTACATTTCTGTCTCAGAGTACCAAAAACGCAGTTACAATCTAAAGAATACCAATTTAGAGTGGCTATAATTTGATTCAATTTCCACTGCTAGTAGATAGCAACCGATAGGCGATTTTAGTAAGTAATATATATCAATTTCTAAGAAAACTAAGACTTGAATTATTGTCATATTGAAAAGTCCGTCGCTAGACTAAAAATATATATCGTTGTCTTATTCACGAAAAAAATCAAAATCTCCAAAATTCTCAAAATTAGACAGATATGATATGAACAGCTTTCAGCTTTAGGGAAAATTTGATATGGATCATCGTTATTTTAATTTCAAGTCGTAACCCATCGTATCTACGATGTGTTTTAGAGATGGTCGCTCGTTTACCAGATACCTTATCTAGGTACGTCATTGTTGAATATTGGAGTCTCAAAAACACCCATTTTGTATGTGACACAGGTTATCCTTTGGCTGCTGACATGTGATACCAATTCTCCTAAAGGTATGTCTAAATTTCTGGGTGGTTCGCCCAAAACTCTTCCAAGGAAGTGGTCTTAGCTTTCAGCTTATCGTTGTCGAGTTTCGGGAAAGTCCAAGTTCCATCTATGGCGTGGAGTTGGTAAAACCATCCGATATAGCGCTCAAAGTGACTTTTGTCCCCTTGTTCTCGGGCACTCAGTGCCTTCGCACGCAGGTCTTCCACGCTCCCCATGATATCCAGAGTGACCTTTCTTCCCTGGCTCTGCTCGTAAATTTCGGCAATTTCGATCAAAGAATTCGCTCCCGAGCAAACGTTCCAAAAGCCACCATCGACAGCATCATCACGCTGTAGTATTTCGGCCGTGAACTCAGCGGCATCTTGCTCAGTTGTCCAGTACCAGACAGCATGCCCAGTTCCCCAAATTTTCATTCGCTTCTCTTTGGGATCCCACAGGTTCGGCTGGTCGGGTCCAAAATGGCCATGATCTGCGAAGGAAAAAAGGGTTTCCGCAAATATTCCGTTGAAGACGTAGATGGGCTTGATATCGGAGGTCATCTCGACCTGGTGCCGGAAAGAGACGTACGCATCATAGCTCTCATGCTTTCCAAGCTCCAAGTTCCGCCAATCATGATTCCAGCTCGCAGCCACGAATATTTTGACACCAGAACGCTCGGCTGCATGAAGAAGGAGTAGTTGCCCATCGAGTTGAAGACGTGGATGCATGCCGTAAGCACAGATGACAGCATCGACGCCTGTACAAGCACGGTCCAGAGCTGCGACATCGTAGAATAGCGGACACTCAATGAAAGATTCTAGCAGGCTGTGGGCCTCTGGAACCATCTTGGAGAGGTTTCGACCCATGCCTCGAACTTTGTGCCCACGACTGATGAGGCTATGGACCAGTTTCTGGCCCAGATTACCAGTGACACCGGCAACGAGGACGAGCATGCTAGAATTTCAAAGTGATGGAGATAAGCAAGAGTTCAAACAAGGATCTGCTACTGCAAAACAGCCTTTTCAAAGCCAGAAATCAAGCCAAATCTACTTACGTTCAGCGTTCTTCAATGTGTAGTGCGCAATGGTTTAGTTTCGGAATAGTGAAGATCGGGCGTATTCAAAGACTTACTTAGAGTTGATAAGTCATTTAATAGTTGAATCTGCAGTGCCTTGAAACTTGTGGAGAACAAGTGATAGCTTCCTCGGACTCACCTTTCGGACAACAATGCTTCGGACAACAATGCTTCGGACTCTTCCCTCCTCCGACGCTTTCCTTTCTCGGACGGCTCCAACAGTCCGAACTGCTGAGACAAGTGACCTCATTTGTCTTTGTAAAGAGTCAAAAATATTTTTTCCGAGGTTGGACATCCTTAACTCGTTGACCGGAGCGGTGTCATTTTTTTTTTTTTTCTTAGCCCATCCTCTTCATGGACAGTTAAAGGGATCCAGTTCTACCAATCTGTACTCTTCTTGTATTCCATTTGAAAACTTCCCTTGGAAATCATGGTCTTTCCTATATTTTCCTTATTAGCCCTCAGCCTGGTGGTGCCGCTCATCGTCGCGTATCCTAATTGCTCAGTCGAGGGTGCATATCCCACGGCTATCATAGCCAGCGGTACCATAGTTGGCACAACTACGCAACCATCATCACCTACAGCGACTGTAAATAAATACCTCGGTATCCCGTTCGCACAGTCTCCGCCCATCCGATTTTCGCCCCCTGAAAACCCCCTACCTTGGAATTCACCGTTGAACGCGACAGAATTCAAGCCCGCTTGTATTCAGCAATTTATGAGTATTAGCATTCTAACAAGATTATTACTGAATGCCACTGATGTTTGTTCAGATGATGAGTTTGGGAAGATATTCAACAATCCGCCTTTACCAGAGAGCGAAGATTGCCTCTACCTCAATGTGTTTGCCCCGGGGGGCTCGGTTCCAGGCGCCGATAAGCCAGTCATGTTTTGGATACACGGTGGGAGCTTTCAGCTTGGCTCTGCCAGCGTCCCAGAATACGACGGCTCTGTGATAGCAGCACAGCATGATGTTATTGTTGTAACCACAAATTATAGAACGAACGGTATTTACTCATATTATGCTGGCCGGGAAGGACAAGACTAACACATTGTTGATAGTATTTGGCTTCCCTGCCTCGCCACAGATTGCCCTAGAACAAAGGAATCTCGGGTTTATGGATCAAAGACAAGCACTCACCTGGGTAACCAAAAACATTCGAGCTTTTGGGGGCGATCCATCAAAAGTGACGGTATTTGGTGAATCGTCAGGGGGCTATTCTGTGAAACAGCTCCTCGCCAACCCTCCTAGTCCATTACAGTTCCGTGCTGCCATCATGCAAAGTCAGGCCTTGGGGGATCAAGGTGACGGGGACAAATCCTGGGCAGCTTTGGCGGATGATCTAGGGTGTAACTCGACAACGTCTGGAATCTCGCAACTCGAGTGTATGCGGTCCTCTCCTGCTGATCAAATCAGAGCTATTCTCAACAGCGGTACCCTCGGCTTCCCACCAGCTGTTGATAACAAGACCAACAATGGCAATTTTGAGGCAGCCATCAACGCGCACACCGTCGCCAACGTGCCAATTCTTCTTGGAACCAACGCAGACGAAGGAACCGTGTTGACTTCTGTTATGCCGGACTCCCAGATTCTTTTGCAGAACTTTTTGGGTAACGACACTCACTCCCAAGCCCTGGCTCGTGCAGCTTACCCCCATGACGCCACCGAGAAAGAGCTAAAATCCCGCATTGTTACCGACTATCTCTATACCTGTACGACGTCTGCAATCGCCAATGTGCTCAACGATGCCAATTATAAAGTGTGGCGGTATTACTTCAATGCAAGCTTCCCTAACACTCAGCCCTTCCCAGGAGCGGGCGCTTGGCATACATCTGAGATCTCTCTCGTTTTTGGTACCTACCCGAGGAATTACATGACCACACCTCAGCAGATTGAATTAAGCAAATTTATGCAGCATTCTTGGGCTTCTTTTGCCAAGGATCCGGAAAGAGGTCCCGGCTGGACAATGATTGAGGGTGGGAAGGAGGACTTGCAGGTAATCGGAGCGAATGGGACATCATGGGGGCAACCGGCCAGCATAGAATCCGTTGAAGATATCTGTAGTGTTTATTCTCCAGCGATCAGAATAGGGGGCTTGTAGCCCTGAAAAGGCCTAGAGTATAGGTGCTTGGACAATCCTATTCCATCCCTACTATCTCGTGTTCCATGTCATTTTCTTGGCACCAACAGGCTGTTCCTGTGAAATTACGATCGGATATATTGAAATACAATGCGATTGAGCTCCAAACCTGAAATTTAGGCCAGGGGTAAAAATTATATGCCAAGACTTATATCTATCTCTATATGGGTGGGGACATGACTGGTTTGAGAGCTCGAACAGCGGCTTAGCCAAATAGGCTGCCAACAATAGATAGTGACGTAAATTGCCACAACAACAAGTCGAGTGCTGAAAGGGCTCATGCGACAATCCTTTATAGTAGTGGTGGCACTGCTTATCAAGAAATCCTTATGGAATTCCAGTTAGAAGCGACCATTTAAACATTGCATGCTCTGCGCACTGTGTGTTGACATATCATCAAGGTTTCCCTGGGTAGCAGGATGCCAAACCATAAATACAGCCATGACTAAAATCATAGGTGTGCCGTCAAACACATACAATGGCCATTCATGAGTCAGGAGATATCCATCGTTGCCTTCGATATACTCGATGACACGGAAAACAGATCGAACGAGAATCAGTCCGCTCATCCCGTACAACGAGTACAGAATCCGCATGGAACGCCGATTATGTTCGCTGAGAGCTTTGGAGGCGTGCATTTGGTGCCACCGCTGATGAAAGATAGCAATTGCAACGACAAACCCGGATAGAAATATGACTTGAATCACCAATCCCAGGATCATAACAACCTTTCCGGTGTCTTTAGTGGACTGCTTGCTTTTGGTTGAGGATAGCATGGATCCTGCCACAGCCTGAATAAAAAACGAAAGAATGTCACCAGACACAAAGATTATGGTCATCCATCTGGGATGAAGTGCAGACAGCGATGTTGCTTTGAGGTTTGATATCATCCGTCCAAGAGTGGCGTAGATAGACGCGGCGAATAATGCCGGTGCAAGAAGTATTAAGAGAGTCTGGACGACGTACAGCCAGATTTGTCCGCTGCGATGATGGGCCATGGCACGGATGGCGAAGCCAGCTGTTTCAACTAATGTTTCGAATAACGAATTAGCAAAGCCTGAGGGTTGGGTGGATAAATCAACTCACAGAGGCCTCCGAGTATGAACCAGCAGCAAAGCTTTCTATACTCTCGCGTTACTCGCCAGCAGTGAACAGCAGAGCAAATTGCAAACAAGCTCGCAAACACGATTCCGGCAACGAAAGACGGAAGGTAGTTCCAGATAAAAGACCCATGATAGGTTTCGAGGCGCGCCATGTTGCAGAAAACTAGGGGAAATGGTAATAGAATAAGATGGAATTTGGGCTTCAGAACTGGCATTCCTATTATATACAAAAGTCTCTCCTTCAACACTACACACGAGCGCGAGCTTCTTTTCCTTGATACTCGGGAATACCAAGCTCTTGGCAACTTCCACTTAGCGCCCAATCTAGTTAGCGTTACGAGCTTTGTGGGGCTAACTTGGCGAGAACGCAAGTAGTGGAGCCAACACGGCACTCGGTACGGAGTACATCTTGGTCTGAATGATCTGCAAGAGCTCTCGCAACGCTAGCTGTATCTCGAAAATGCCAATGGCTTTAACCAAGGTAATATGAGACACAAAGTCTCATAGCGATTACCGAGGTCTGATTATCAGCAAGCAGATTTTATGCGAGATCTATTTAAACATGCTCTCTGTCTTGTTGGATTCTAGAGAAATGCAAAAACATCCATTCTTTCTGTTTCCAACCAGACATGATGAACGCAAACATACTCCTTCTTTTAGCTGCAGTGGCAGCTCTTCAGGTGACACCGGCAGTGGCTGAGTGCAATTCCTCCAAACTACCGAAGATAGATTTGGGGTACGAAGTCCACCGAGCCCAGTCCTTTAATGTGAATATCCTTGCCAGCTTTAACGTTTCCAAATTGTTGATAAATGATGTATAGGAGACAACGCAAATCTACACCTTTTCTAACATTCGCTACGCCGAAGCACCGGTTGGAGATCTTCGTTGGGCTCCTCCTCTTGCACCCAAAGGTCGAATGTCGGGTATACAGGACGGAGCCATGAACCGTGTTTGCCCACAAGGATTTCCTAGGTGGTTTAACGTGACATCTCAATTTCAGGCGGCTTTTGCGAATAACCAAGCTTCGTCTTTTGAGTACGAAGAGGTCAACAGCCGGGCCGAGGCTGATTTCGCCTCCTTGCCTGAAAATCCCGACGTTAATGCAACCCAGTATACAGAGGACTGTCTCTTTCTGGATGTTATTACACCAAAAAAGGCATTCTTCAATCGTGATGGTCACCGTTTAGCCCCAGTATTAGTTTGGTAAGTGCCCCATTTGACTCAATCGCGTTTATGTCTGACGAAATAAGGATCCACGGAGGGGCTTATGTCGCAGGCAACAAGATCGACGGCAGTGCTGGGGATCCCACCCGTCTCATTTTGAACAGTCAGAAGGATGGGTCCGACGGTATTGTCTATGTCGCGATTAACTACCGGCTAGGTGGATTAGGCTGGTTAGCAGGGCGCGAATTTGAGGCAGCTGGCGGAGTTCCCAACCTCGGCCTTCATGACCAGCGGCTTGCCCTGGAGTGGGTTCAGCAGAACATCAATCTGTTTGGTGGTGATCGGAATAACATTACAGTCGCTGGTGGTAAGTACTGAGTCTATCGTCTTAGAGTCTGGGTCTAACATGGAGGGATATAGGATCCGCTGGAGCAGGCAGTATCATGCATCATCTCATTGCAAATGGTGGGACCGGTGAGCTTCCCTTCAAACGCGCCTACATCGAGTCCCCGGGATGGGTTCCCACCTCATCAGAGACCCAGGTTCAAGCTGCACGGGCACTATTTGACAGTATTGGTACACAGAGCATCTCCGAAGCTCGCAGGGTACCATCTGAGAGTATTATTCATGCGAATACCCATGTGATATCCTCCTCGAAGGACAGCACATTCTCATTTGGACCAGTGGTTGATGGAACATATGTACCGACTACTCCAGGTCAAGCGTTTCTTGACCACAACTTCAACCCCAACGTCACAATCCTTACATCTCACGCCAGTAACGAGGGATTAACATTTATAGCACCATATGTAACCACGGATGAGTTGTTTACCTCTCACCTCCAAGGTCTCTTTCCCTTGGCGGACTCTTGCGATATAGGTTATATCGTTAACACATCATACTCGCTCGACCAATTCAACAACTCCTGGTACGACCGCGCAATCGGCTTCATTGGCGACTTTGGTCTGGTGTGTAATGTTGAACAACTCTCGGCGGCCTACAGCAACCAAACTTATCGCTACCAATGGAGTGTTTTCCCGGCAATTCATGGTGGGGATTTCCTGCATCTGTTTTATAACGGAGCGGGCAGGGACCAGGTTGATGGATCTATTATCGTTCCTTACGCAGACATCCTGCAGGGCTACATCGCAAACTTTGTGAAATTCGGCAATCCGAACGGGGAAGGGCTCCCGGAGCTCCCTATCACTGGCCCAGAAAGAAAGATTCTAGGTATTCAGGACGGGGGAATCGATATCCAGAAGGGTCCTGGCAATATTGACAGATGCCAGTGGCTCCAAACAGCAGACTTGTGGGCGTAAAAAGGAACATGCATTCAATGAAGCAGGTGGATGTTGTTTTTAATGTACCTATATCTTTTGAGTTGGGCCACATCGCTCCTAGAAAATGTATACTCTGTATATGTAGCTTCACTTCTTCTCCCATGAACTTTGGCTTCTAGCTAAATTTGAAGGATTTTGTATTTAAAAATTGTTTAATACACAAGACTTGCCTCCTAAAAACAGTAATCAACCATCGTCTTTCAACCTGTGAACCAGTCACGAGTAGTCCCATAAATTTTCGATCTATCCCACTCCCCCTCCTTCGGAAACAATGGCCTGAAGTCATTCGAAGCAGCTATCATCCCCGGAATTTCAACATCAAAGTTGTGTCTGATCAGACGCAAGGTTGTGTCAATCCACACTCGTTGTTCAAGCGGCGCAAAGAAAACTGAGCGAGCAACATATAACGGGTTGACGAGTTGGATTGGGCCTAGAGGCGAGATTTGATAGATTGTGGGATTCGGTGGAAGGCTAGGCGGCGTGATACCTAGGAAGAATGGGGCGGAGCTGTATATTGATTGAAATACATCCAGGAGTGAATTTTGGGTTTCTGAAGTACTGGCGTGGTCTTGGGAGGCGTTCAGGGATAGCCAAAGGTCACTTTGATTCAGGGAGGCGTTGCAGCGAAGAATGACAGATAGAACCATTGCTCTCAAGGTGTAGTATCTGCAGTGGAGCTCTGCCGTGTGCAGATTGCGGTAAAGATAGGCTTCTCGGAGATTAGGGCCAAGTAAGTGTGGTGCAGATGAAATCCTGTGCAGGTCTGCGGCTGGGATTGAACAGGCTTTTGAGATCAGAGGCAGATTATTATGCCAAAAAGTAAGTCTGGTATCGAGCTCTTTGCATTGCTGAATGAGAGACCTCATTGACAATAAATTTTGTGGACTGCGATCGTCCAGCAAGGCGGATTGTGTAGAGGCACGTAGATTCGCTACTGATATACCCAGACTAGCAAGTTCGATAGAGGGATTTGATTTTATGTTCTGACAAAACACGCAATCGTGAAATATGTGGTAGTGAGTATCCAGGAAATGGCTCATGGATTTAGATTTCAGGACATGATTCATCACCTTAATATTTGGTTAGCAAAAACGTGCCAAATAGTAATAGGAGTTGACTCGCCACTCACCACCATCTCCCTAAATGCGAAAAAAATCAAAATGGAGGCCTCATCCATTGGGAACTCCCTACTTTCATTTCGAAGAAGAGAATGGATGATATCATAATGTGCCCCCCACAGGGCAAGGGATGTTTCCGTGGCAGAAAGACCCTTTTTCACTCGTAAATAACCAACTCAAAATGAAATCAAGGATGGCTCACCTCGATGCTGTTAATTGAAAGGATGGTCAATAGTACTTCATTAATGTTCTCAATTCTTTCTGCATCTCGCAATTGAGCCCTGACAACCCCAAGTATCTGCCCATACCGAGCAATAGATGCAACAGCGGGGGCTCTGCCGTTCCTAGCTCGCGTCACAAGAAAATCACACAGGATTGAAAATATGACCTTGAAGACGGAATTTTCCTGGGCTTGGCGGTAAATGACAGGAATTATTCCATATAAGTCCGCCATGGGCATTTCCTGCTGTCCGGAAATCAACATCCATTGCAAAACTGTCCGGACATTTTCTAGAGTGCTATCGAGATCAGACTTCGGCCCAGCTATGTTGATGAACTTGTGAGTTTCATCTCGAAATATCACAGACACCTGGTCTCGGTATCCTTGGCACTGGCGCTTTGCTTTACTGCACCTTGAACATGTGGGCTTGCCTTCGTCACACTTTTCTTTTGTTAGCAATGTCTACTGGCTCTATTGCTTGCACCGGAATCGACGAACCTTGACGCGCCGCTTGAGACAAGTCAGACAACCTTTGCTAGCTCCATAGAAAACCATGACTTGACTGAGATTCCAGTGAGGTTGCTAGGGGAAGGGACTAATGGAACGTTCAATGGCTTTATCGGACTTGGATATTAACTTAGTGTCCAACTCATCACCACGGAAGAGGATGCTGCAGGTGACCTGGATCGGTAAGTCTGCCTCGCCAAAAGGCCAGGTATAGATGGGAATCAGCCCAATATAGTCGTCGGGGTAAGCTATGGGGAGAGATATAGCAATACGTTGTATTGCACGACCTGGACTGACTGGCTCCGAGGAAAACAAAAGGAGAAAGAAACGGAGAGGGAGCAAAGTATCTAATCCAATCCATCTTCCTGGATCTGTGACCCCGAGCGGTTTGCAGGTTTTGCATTCTCTCGGCGTCTCAGGCAATTGAGGCTTGGCACTTGGCTAAACCGATACGAAACTAGGGTTCCAAGGTTGAGGGTTTGTACGGGCGACTAGGTAAGTATGCGACCTAGACACAACTCTCTCATTGGATAATATTGCCAGGCAGTAATTCCAAGGTTTTCATCCACACTTCTATGGTATATATCAACTTGTCTACCATATTAAACACCAAGTATATTTAATTGATACTTTTACACACTTATACCCTATGGTAGTTCTATGGTATCAAAACGATTTATTTCTTTTAATTTTAAAATCACAAAAGGGTAGTACGAAAGCCAAACTAATTTAAAAAACCCTAACTAACTGGTCATAATGTATTTCACTACCAAGCGGCCACTACCCCCGAGTGGCCACCCCAACCAAACCGCATTAATTAATATAAGTCACGAGGTTAAGGAATTATACTTACTAAAAAGACCCACGGGCACCTATGACGCCTATAGCCCGTAGGTCCTAAGGGTAGGGCCTGTCTATAGGCCCGTGGCCAATGCCCACCTGCCCGTCCATGGGCGATGTCGTAGTTTAGTACTACTAGTATTGAAACATCAAGAAGTCCTCCGATGGCAGAGTACGTTGATTATTAAGGCATATGTAATTATAATTCAGGTATTTTGATCTAAATTAGGGCATCCAGGCAGAAAGTCCCCCCCAAAGGGGGTTTGAGCCCTGGCCCCTATACGTCTTCGTAATCTACAGGAGGGACTGGCTGCGGGGTGCAGACCATGTCCCAGTCTGACAGTATGCTGCCCCCTTCATTTTGAGGTGTAGTTTGATCGTATTGCCGACCACATAAGGATATCTGAGATAATCAGTATATTTCTAAGACTCCGTATGCAGGCCACCCACTGGTTTTCTCACCGATCCATTATGACCGGGAGGCTGAATCAAATCTCAAGTTTTGAGGCATTCCACCAAAACCTTCGAAGCAAATGTCATTCAGGTGAGACAAAGAGTTTGGAGAGTACAGTTGACGTCGATTTGGCAATAATATTGGGCGGTAGCGGTGTGACATGATCCCCCAGATTGTAATTCTGAATTCAAATTTGAACTCTATACGATTAGTAGAACGTTACAATACAGCGATTATGAGACACTGGTTTATAATCGCCCACGACCCCCTCAATATTCCATAATAGGGGCTCATAAGGCCTCTATGAATAGGCCATCGGTTGCGTTAGGCTTTACCGTGATATACTTTTTAGGAGGGATCAATTCAGGGGATACTTCAAGCTTATAGTCTACATGGGACCAATTAACCTTCTACGATCCTCGTTTATCCAAGACTCGAATCCGGGTTCAATGTAAGGAGTGGTGTGTGTGTGTATATATGTACAAGTTAAGTATTTCGAGTCCGGAATCAGTTACTCTCTTTGGTATCCTGATTTTCCTTTTCCTCCCGGAACGCCCTCTTCATCTTCTCCTTCTCCAACTGCTTCTCAAACTTATCACCAAGGATCTTAGTTACCCATTCAGTGACCTCCGTCTCAAGCTCCTCATCACTCTTCACAGGTGTGTCACTACCACCCTGCAACCCATTGCGCACGAATCTCCGCATATCCTCAAGTCCATTAATATTCAATGCATACCCGACTGCACCGCCGGCCATAATTCCAAACGAGATCACATTGAGAGTTGCCAGATTTAGAGCCTCGAATGCATCACCTGCCGAGTTCGAGTGCGGTTGGTGGTATGTCGAGCTTGTGTAAAATGGTGGGATGCAGGAGATGCGTTTCTTATGGAAGGCGCGGCGTGTGACTAATACCGACAGCGCGAAGAAGGTCATTCCTCCGAAGAAGAGTTTGAGGTTTGTGTTTGTTTGCGGTGAGGGTGGTTGTGCTAGTTGTGTTTGTGTTTGTGCTGGGGCTGCGGATGCATCGGGTGTTGGCTTTTCTTGAGGTGTTGATTGGCTCGACTCCGGGGTTGAAGTTGGGCTTGAGCCCCAGCCGAATAGTGAGACCATTGTTATGCGCGTCGTGTATGAGAATGAGGAGTATTTTGTTGGTGATGCGAGGCAGAGCTCGGTGGGTTGAAAAAGGGTGAATGGAGAAAGATCGAGGGTTGGAGGGTTGAATAGAAAGGATAATTAGGTACGTTTTTCTTCCGCGAGGGTAAAGTAACTCAAAACACAGTATCTGAGGGGTTGTCCTGCTGTTCGCGTGAAGGAAGCAAATCCGTGCGGAGGCGGAGATGATATTGCAGATCCACACGTGACCCGATACCCGCTGAGGATTTCTAATGTTGGCTGCCTTCATTGTTGACATTTAACAATTTGGAGGAAAGTGGACTTATATTTCTGTGAAACGACGGGATTGATACCAAATAGATACAATAGCTAGAAATCTCCCGTTCTGGAATGACGCAAAGCCATACGGCTACAACGCGGATGAGGCTGAATGATAATCGGTGTTTTTAGGGCTAGGTCATCCGCTGACTCGGATATCTCATTGAATAAGTCGATTGCATAGCGATTGGGATAGCATAGGGCAGATAGCCAAGTCCATGATGGAGACTCGTTAATCGTCGTGTCTTTTTTTTACAAGTTCTCACATTTTCATGCGTAGAAGTTCGAGACACCTGCTTGTCCAAGTATTGTGCAAGTATTGTACCTGAGCGACGAACTCAAAGGGAAACTGTAGATTTAGACTGATATTGAGTGAATTATCTTCTATGTATTACCAAAACATAACATGAATCAAATCGGAAGTATATAAAATGTGCAAAAACGCCGAGTATGCAACTCTCAAATAACAATAGACCAAACCGAAAATCGTTCAAAAACATTTCAAAAATCATTCTCTTATGTTCATAATTCAGCGCGCTTCGAAAAAATCGTCAATATATGCTCATGAAAATGCAAATCATAATAACATCCCAGAAGATGCTATGCAAAAAGTCGTCAAGGAAAATTATTTCATATTACCAGTGGTAATGAGCATATCAGTGCGACCAGGTCGATGGAAGCGATCGATACCAAGATGCTCCTTACCATCACGGCCGACATAGATGCCGAAACCGTACAAAGGCAGCTGACGCTCCGAGGGTGGAGCAACAATAAGACGAGTGACGAGGTCAGTCTTGCTCCTGGGCTCGCGCAGGATTTTATCGGACAGAAGAGGTGACTGATAAAGATAGCTCATCAGATCAGCCAGAGTGGTGATATCGTGTGGAAGATAGCGACGACGACCCGGCCAAATTGCCACGAAAGATATGGCATATAAGCCACAGAAACCAATCAAAGCGTAGAATGCTGGCAAAAAGGCAGCAATGCGGATTTCGTCGTGAGAGGGGAACCATAGGGCGATGAAGACACCGCCGGCGAGGATGGGGATGCCGATGGATAGAAGGCTCATGAGAGAGATGAATGCAACTTTGAAGTGGCGGTTGATGATGGCCTGGATGGTGACTTGGAATGGGTAAGAGGATGGGTAGGAGAGTAGGATGCTGCGTTCGGCAGATGCGCCGCTGGGGGATGAGAGCTCGGCATATGGTTGGAGAGCCCGGAAGTATACATCAACGGGTTGCCAGGCGAGGAAGAGGACGTTGCCGATTAATGCGGGGATGAAGCTGTATACAAAATTGGAGGCGGAGAATGCGCTTGTCGATGGGAGTGTTGGAAGTCTAGGAGGGAAGCCGCTCACGATGGCGTTGTTGATAAAGCTAACGGCAACAAAAGCGGCGAAGAGGGCAAAGACGATGATAATCCAAATAAATACTGGGATTTTGCGAAGGAACCAAGGTGACCAGCGATAACGAGCAGATGGCGAGTAGAGATGCTGTTCGTTTGGCTCATTGGGGAGTCCACCGTTGTGCTCAATATCGAAGCAGACCGTGGCGAGTCCGTTTGGTTGGTTCTCTTGGCTTTTACCCGTCTGGTGGAGAGATGGGGTGCGCACGGGAGCATCTACCTCGCCAATTCCGTAGAAGATTTCGGTCTTGCTTGAGAGTTTCCAATAGCCCAGTCGGAGGACTCGGGGATCAAGGGATTCTTGGACCGAGGGGACTGTCTCGGAATGCTCAAAGTCGTGGAGGATGTTTGATCGCTGAATGATCGAGACCAAATCTGCCAGGCTAACGGGATCCCACATCAAGCCAGACCGACCACGAAGGAAACGGACGAAAAGCATGATTAGACCTAGAGTCAAAACACCATATAATCCCACCAATGTCCAACCCACAGATTGAACCGCAGCCCATTTCCAGACACCTTCTCCGTCGATGACGTAGTACTTTGCCTGGAAAAGACAGCTGAGGAGAGGGATGGCGAAGAAGTTCGAAAGCCAAATTGTGAACAGAGAGAATCCGAACAAGGCTTCACCATGTCGGAAATGGGAGAAGTCGGGGAAAACGAAGTTTTTCGAAAGGATAGGTAAGCGATTAATTACTAGGCCTTCTTTCCGCTCTGCCGACATCATAGAAAAAGGTGCTATGCGATATACCGCAGCCTGAATGACGAATGACCAAATGATGATGGGCGCGGCAGCAATTTGTGGTAGGAACTGAAGCACAAAATACCTCGAGTCACCTTGACGAAGGTAGTTCCATAATCCGTTCTCGCCACGGGACCAAACATTGCAAAACACAATAGCCGCCATCATGGCCAGACAGCAAAATATCGTGAGTGCCAAAGCCCACGGCCGCAGAACAAGAGGCAGGTAGTCCAAGGAAGGATACAGCAAGCTTTCTTCCGGCGCATCAACAGGCATAAAGGACTCGGGGTCCACTGACATTGGCCTTTGCGGCAAAGCCTGTGGTGAAGGAGATGTATACGATGGTCTCACTGGAGGCGTGTCATGTCGAATTGGGGTGCGTGTGCGGGTGAAATAGCCGAGTCCTTCATCCCATACAAGTCTATCAGTTGGATAGTCACTTGTCGTTGTGGTGGAAATAGAGTCTGTCCTTTGGACTCCCCGAGCTCTGTCCTGGGTGAGTTGATCGATTGCAAACCGGACGTATGGTGAATCGTCCAAGCCTGGAGTTGGGGCTGGTCCCGGGTAGTCACCGGGAGATCTGTGAGAAGCCTCGTTTGATCTTGACCCGTCGGATATGGGGCTGATTTGACCCGGTCTGTCGTCTACAAACCGGACTGTGCTGGAGGTTGGTGGGCGTTGAGACTCGCGATCTTCTTGGGCAAGATTGATCTGCGACATGGCGGGTGATGGTGCATGAGAGTCTGGAGTCCTGAATCGCATGATTGTTGCTAGACTCTCAGGACTAGAAGGAGCTCGATCTGAGAATGAATAGTAGTCGTCTGATGCCGCCTCGGATTGTTGAGATTCTGTCCGGGCAAGTTGCGGCTTGCTTGCTATATAGGAGTCAGTTGACTTGAGTCTTCTGAAAGTTGTGTGATGTCTGTGATTAAGAAGCCAACGGGAATGGGAGGTCTTATATGCACGTACTGTTAACGTTGCGCAGGCTGAAGTTTCTAATCGGGTTCGTCATGCTGGCTGGTTATTGATCCCACGCGCAACTATAATCAATCTAGAAGCATTCCTCGACGCCCTTGAGATGCGAAGGGATTTTTTTGAGGACCAGCAATCGCTGCCCAGCGGGTTTTGTCTGCCATAGTGCTGGGTGACGTCTCCCAGCCACCCCAGCCACCACGTCGAGCTTTGCACTCGACAAGCCAATAGGGATGAATTAAAACAAGGATTTTTAACTCAGACAGTATTAATCTGATGAATCACAGTTAAAATGATATCGAATCAAAATTCGAGGAACAATTATGGAGATGGTTGAGTTGTTTCGCGGCCCGATCACCAGCACATCCATCGCCTAAAGCTTGGCCTTTTTGCGATCTCCCAAAGTCTCACCAGGTCTCACACCCGATCGTCTTCTGTTTCAATTGTTAATGTTTCAATTTCACATTTAATCAGAAATCATCTCCATGGTAACAATTTCAACTATAGTTCTGTATGTCTTGCCAGACTCTGGACCTACAATGTCACAATCCGGGCACTTCCTCGCATCCCCGTGCAAGTTCCACACTGGGTCCCAAGGCAATAATTGGCAACAATTGCTACCCTAGATGACTGTTGTACGCAATAAAAAAGCAGGGCGTGTCCCAAAAATTGTCAATGGTCCCAATTCAACGATGCAGTGTGGTGTTGCAATTGTTTTTCTCCCTTGCTGGTATCAGTGGCTGGAACTAGGGCTTCGCGGGCCGAACACCACATGAAAACATAAGGCTGTATCCAGGGGAGCATGAAACAGATGATCGAGTTCAATTTTACTTTATTAGACATTGTTTGGGATACTCCTATATATCATGATTAAATATTTCTAGTTTCTAACTCGGTTGCCATGCATAAAGAAATTGACAGACGCTGACAGATAGCATCCGCTATGAATGATCGTTCCAAGGGATTTAGGAGTTGAGACACACAGAGACTATGCACCATGGGTAATTATTCCATTTCTTATCAGGCGCTGAATTTGAAAGTTGGCTGGCTCTACAACAATCACATGTGCTTCCCCGGTTCAGTTTGAAGCTTGCCATATACCACTTGGGAACGTTGGCGTTGGCGTATAGGGTCTAGGTCTATCAGCTACACTGGGTGGTCTTGTTAAGCTCCTTGGGTGATCGAAATTTTCGGCATGTCGTGGGGATTCACCAATTACTTGCACCAAGTCGTCGTCGTAGCTGGATACTTGGGGACTGACGCACTAGGCAGAAAGACATGGCTCTGCTGCAGTTTCGGATATTCTTGCTCATCGTGATCCAAAAATATTCCCCGAACACTATCAGGCCCACTGCTTTTGCCTCTGACCTTCAAAACGATCCCAGGTCTATATTGAAAGGTAAGTGGCCTCCTTTCTACCAGATTACAGGTACCAACAGATTTTAATAGCTTGAATACATGAACGAAGGGCTTCAGCAAGACTATAGAGGAAATTTATTCAACGAAGCCAGTTGAGGAGTAGCCTAAGAAAATCCGCTTTCGCCTCTATTGATCTCTAACTCAACATTCCGATAACCAAATATTCAGCAAGAAATTTCTAACCTACCCCGCATTTTAAGTGGTTTGACCCTCAAAAGGATTTGTCTAAAAGGTCTGACAGTCTCTGCTCGATACCCCTAGCCGAATCAGCTTTAAATCGGGCTTCTCCGCAGCCAATTCCCCTCTAAGCTCTCGACCAACAACCCCTGAGCTTAAGTTGATTGATCCAAAAGTCCTTAACCACATGAAGCATTCAATAGAGGCAGGATTTTAAGCCGGTCGCACATCGTGCATATTGCTCCTAGGACAGACCATTTGCATCCTGAACCCTGACATACCGAATGAGGATCTGATATTCATATGCAGTCGTCATCATTTACCTATCAGAGAGTTCGCCATGAGCGCTATGGAATTCCTCGCTGACGTTGAAGGCGGCGTGGTGCCGGTGGACTGCCACAAGAAAGTGCTGCAGATAGCATTCATCTATATGGATGAGGGGCTATGGCTCGAGAACGGCGTCTTTGAGGTCGTCGAGAAGCTGCACGCACGTGGATGGTCGTTCGGCGAGGGCAAGTTGAGGTTCAATCGGTAAGTTGCAAGACTAGGATTCCCTGGTACTATGATTCCCCGGTGAATAGCACTGTACTATAAGTACAAAGCCTAATAAATCACAGCACCCTGGATATATTCTACCTCACCCAGCTTGCAGCGGCCATTTACCGCTCCACCGACCAACTTGAGGGCGACTTCCCCTCTCCTGATGATTTCCAGTCCTTCTACACCACGCACCACGCACTCCTCCACTCCTCCGTATGGCGTTCTTATTACTCTACTACATTCCTTACCCAGCGCACCACAGCGCGCTTCTACCGCCTGCCTGACCTCCAAGACCTACCTGACTCTGACTCACCATTGGGACTGCCGCGCCAGCGACCCACTGCATTCGCTACTAAACTACCCCGCTGGGCCTACAGTGTCGCGCGCACGCATCGTAGGCAGCCCACCCTCCCGCTCGCGACTCTCACTGGGTTAGCTATTAGCACGCTCGAGACGACTATCACGCGCCTGCGTATGGCTCACACTAGCGTGTTACCCTACTCGGAGACGCAAGCGCGCTTCTGGCTTGATTACATGGGGCTCGGTTCCCCTGGCCGATCTGGCTCATCCAAGGCAGTTTCCCGAGAAGCGTTGGAGCCGAACATGTTCGGCATACTGGTCGCGCAGGGGGCGTATGATATGTACGCCTGGGAAGCAAAGTACTCGGCGCAGCTGTGGGAGGCGAGTGCGGCGATGAGGGGGGTTGCTAAGCCGGATATGGATGGCGTCTGGAAGAGTGAGGTCATGTGGTGCGGGTTGCCAGATGGTGGGGTGGGGCCGCAGGCATGGTGTAGAGGATGGGAGGCAGAGGTTGGTAGTGAGGAGGAGGTCGAGTTTTTGTCTGCTGTTGCAGTGGAGGAGACAGTGGGGGTGAAGGCAGACGTGGGCGAGTTGGACTTTATAGTGCGCTCGCACATGTTGCTTGGGGTGATGCGGGCTGCAGTTGAGCGAGGACGTGAGAGAGATGGTTTTCTGGATGAACTAGCGAGAGGTATGACGGGGATAGGTAAGATTGAGGAAGGGAGGATAAGGAGATGGCTGAGAGAAGTCTTGGGGGTCGTGGAGCCATATGTGAAGACATGGGAGGGTGTGTGGCCTACTATAGAGGTGGAGAGGAGGGAGGTGTTACGGCGGATCTTGGTGGAGAATGGGCAGCTCTTTGCAAGATGGAAGCTTTCACCGGGTTTGAAGGAGTTCAGTTTTGCGTTAGGTCCGATGGAGTAGGAGTGGTAGACATGCGACTATTCAGACATTCAAATCAAAGGAGGAGTATACTAGACGAAGGCATATATATGCATAACCCGCATCAGTACACTGGTTTAATACCATGAACTATATGGGCTTTTGCAGTGCGTGAACAGTGCTTGTCATAACTTCCATTTGCCTCCCGTTTGCCTGTTTCTCTTTGGCTGCCCTCTCTTTGAAATCGGTTCATTTGCGTCCATAAAGCTATATAATTAGTTTCATGATAGCAGGTTCTTTCTACCTTCAACATCCTCTCCACGCAGTAAACCAATATAGCCACCCGGAGGCAGCAGGAGAATGGATAAAAATTATATATAGTTCTATTTGCTATTCATTATGTCAATCCCTGAGCCTACATATGGTATATGACCAATTACAGGACGGAGTATGTGTTGAACATACAGGGTATGAATACTTGTTAGTTTGCAGACTGAGCCTTACTTCGGATGCTTTTACAGGGTGCATAAAGCCTGAATTACTAGTTGCAATACTTAATGGTTCCTCTTCTGCTTTCTACTGACCGTAGCATTCACTACAACAGAAGGTACGTGAGAATACAAGTCCTTCTAAACTGGGCACAGCTAATGACGATTGCCAGTATTCAAGTGATGGTTTGGAACCAAGACCGAGGTTTTCCCCACACCCATCTAGCACGAACGTCCATTAGCTTGATGGGGAGACGTCAGATGGTGCCTTGGCATAGCGCTGACAATATTCCGCTCGCGCTGGGTCAAGTACACCGCGCAATTTGCCCTTATGATGCAAAACTGGCCAGCCAATGGCAGAACTCCGACGTTGACACAAATGACAGCCAGCCAGAGGATACATCATAGAGCGTGGAACCAAATCCTTGGAATATTGGTGTGTATTTTTAGTTCTCACTGCTTTTTTGACTTTATATACTACGGTACTAACAGCAACTTGTCATAGTACCCTCTCGCTGGCCAAGTGGGCCAGCCAGTCTCCTCTTTTACAGCCCGTTATCTGATCTGACCTACTATGCCCGGCAGGTTATACGGTCGTATAATGGGCCGCAGCGCGCATCGGTGGCTTGGTGGATTTGACAGCGGAGCTGCAATTTCAGTAGCAGCCTGGGCCTTTGGACTGCCATGATACAACTCATGAGTTAATGCTGAATTGTATACGCGAGGGTCTTCTTACGTTGCCTATGACTGCCCCTGCGCCACAGAGGTTGGTACGGCAATGCTTTCCCCAAACGCCTGCTTGATACGCCCCCTTCCGCTACTGGCTTGCCTGGAAAAATCACGCACGCCTAGCGTGAATGGTTTCAGTCGACGAGTTGAGGTAGTGTACAAAATTTTGAGATGTTTGTCTGACCTCCCTTTATGCTTAGCAAAATTATAGAGAATATGTATGAGTGTGTAGCGCTAAATTTTCTGTATATGAATATACACGTAGTTCACAGATGCGGCCGATCCTCAGCTTTATAAAAAGTCTCTCATTTCCTTCCTGAGTCCACTGCAAAAGCATTCACAGAAGTCCCGGGGAGATGTGGAAATTACCATTTTCCCCCTTCACTGTATTGTTGCTACAAGTAGGTTATAGGTAGCTATTTGCTTTGCTACGCTCTGAAACTGGATTTGACATCAATCTATGTTTCTATTATGCATGGATAAGCTTTGTGCGAAATCCCGACGCCATTCAACGTGATCTTATTGTTATTTCTCGCCCATTATGGGAAAGTACTCTGTTCGTACATGTTACGTCAGTAACACGCAAATATAGCAGACTTGAGAGTTGATAAAGACCCAGGAAAGGGAAGCAGGACTTGCGCATATTGCCAGCACCTCCAATTCCGAATCGAACATAGCGCTCTTGAAGACCAGATGTCAAGTGGGTATCCCGGACCCCACTGACCTGAGGGCTCTCCAATGACTGCATCGGAGTTACTCTGTCAAAGTTCTCCAACGGCTGCCCCTCCTCATCCTCGGATTTCTGCCGTTTCGGCCAACTGAAAAATTTCCATAGACAGCGCATGTTGTTTTGCAAATAGAGTAAATGAGCAACTGTGGAACAAGTTCATCAAATCAGTCCTCTTGCACTTGATATCTTGATAGGTTAAACTTACCCTTGGGTCAAGTGCGAACAAGCTCAAGCGACCTTTGCATAACCCTGTCACATTCGGGAATGGGAGTTAGTTATAGGACTAGCTAGAAGGTCCCTTGCCGTGATTCACACGCTGGGTTACACAAACACTGTACGACCCATGAAGCTCCAATTTCCCCGAAACACTCAGAATGACTACCGTTCATATTGAGATAGGAAGATAGAAAAACTTACAAGCTATCAGTATACTATAAAATTTAGTCAACCTTTGGAGATAGATCAATCACACATTTGGAATTTGGGTAAAGTGTCCATAGCTATTGCCGATAAGGACATGCACCAGGTCCAAGAATTGCAACTCTACCACGACGTGTAACAGCATGTCCCCGTGGTTTTTGCATATTTTATCAAAGTCCCAAGAAATCAATATGAACGAAGATTTGTTGCGTCAACAAGAGGCCTGGATGGCTTCCATTCTATATCCCCAGAGCCAGTCTTGAATGCTAACTTTGATAGGCATAGATTTCATTCTACTAAGCAGTTCCTCAGGGGTCAAATCATATAGTGATGTGTCAGGACTGTAAGCGGTCACACAACTGACACAATAGTGAAACCCCGCCTGGAAGCGATTGGTCCATGAGATCACAAGTTTAAGCTTATTGACTTGAAGATATCGACTGCGTTCGAGGGGAGCTTGTGCAGTAACCTGCACCAACAGAAGAACATCAACTGGCCATAGCCAAAGGCGATTAACTTTAATCTGGTCTCTAACAAATGGAACGAACTTTGACAATCAGGCTAGAGCTTCGAGGTGGAGACGGCCTGTTTCATATTAAAATGTGGGACTGTGGGCCTCCAACGGCGTTAGAGTCCGGCCCAAGCGTTTCCTGGGGCCAATTTCCCAACTGAAAGTAGAAAGTGCTGTGCCTCATTAGTGGATCGCGAGATTGCGAGTTCTGTTTGAAGGGTGTGCTCATTGATGGATCGTGACATATGGCGTATGGATGTCATATGGAAACATTTCAAAACGCGGATTTCGTTTCACCACGAATAAGATGAGGCTTCTGAAACCATGCGCATATCTTGGCTGTTTGAAAACCTTAGCCCGAAAGGAGAATGAGCTTCACAGTCATTTAGAAGGAAAATCAGGACCCAATCGAACACGGCAGAGAAAAAGTCTTGTTTCCCATATAAGAAACAAGGATTCAAGAAGTTGGTAAATTAGCCAGCAGGCATAGCCAATGATTATGGGTACCAACGATGCTTGAAATTGTCCAAGCCGCCCACGAGTACTCCGACGCCCGGGCTTGGCAACCTGTCCCGATGCGGCACTTCAACCGGACAGAGCGAATTAGAAGTCAGAACAGCTCTGCGCCATCAACCCCGACATTCCAGGGAGGGAACCGTGCAGGCAGACATCTTGTTTAGCCTCACATCGGACTTTCAAGGGGGATTGAAAGAGAAGATCTAGAGACGATAGACAGCTTCATATCATAGGGAAATGACCTAGTAATGTAGATGTGTACAGAGTCAGACGTAGAAATAGAGTGGGATCATCTGACTGCTGCCTGAGGCTAGACATCCAAACCTCCTCTGTCCTCTCTCCACAGACTCTCCCCCCAATGGCTTATCTGCACTCTTGTCATTCCTTTATTCCTTTAGTCTTTTGATTCTTTAAATTTCCTTTGGTTCCTACCTTCTTGGCTTTCCCCCTCATTTGCTTCTTTTTTCCTTCTACTTCTTTGCCTTGAAAGCTTTTGTTTCGATCTCGGGTTCAGATGTCCCCTGCCAATGCGGTGCTAAACCCTCAACTCTTGCGTCGCGTGTGCCATTAGGCCATTAAAATAATCGCTTATTTTGTTTATATCTGATTTCTTCTTTGGCCTGGAAGTAAACACAAAGTTGACCTCCAGGGTCTCCCCTCATCATGTTGCTCAAGCCTGCGACACCCCTCACCATCTTGCTGCTGATCGCATTTGCGCTTTTGCTACTCTCATGTCTTTCCACTCCTATTGTTAAGGGGATTCCTCTAGCAACTTTCAAAGATGTCGATTATGGTGTCTTTGGATATTGCAAGGGTAACACCTGCACCAATATCCATGTGGGATACACGAGCAGTAAGTCTCTCCCTTACGTTTCTGCCTGCGCTCCGCTAAATTTCATGCAGATGATATAAGTAGCACCGGCGATGATTTTAATCTCCCTTCCGGTACTCGAAAGTCACTATCCGCGATCCTCATCATCCACCCAGTCGCTGCCTTCCTGACCCTCATCTGCCTCTGCCTGGCGATCGCGGCCCACTTCCATGCGCCCTCCCACTCGCCGCGCTTCCTGTTGGCGCTTCTTATCTTGTTGTTGCCAACCCTCCTCGTGACTCTCCTCGCATTCCTTGTCGATATCTTGCTCTTTGTGCCACATTTAGGATGGGGTGGTTGGATTGTGCTGGTCGCGACCATCATCCTCACGTCTTGCGGAGTCGTCACCTGCGCTATGCGCCGAACCCTTGTCAGCAGGAAGGCAAGGAAGCGCCGGATCGCGGAAAATGCCGAGATGAGTGGAGAGAACTATTACAACCGACAGAATGGTACTGCGGCTGTGGCTGCAGCTCCTGTTCCGGCCCCTGTCGAGCCCAAGGAAGCCTTTGTGTCGAACTCTCTCAACTCCGATTCGGGCCCAACGTTCGCATCCTTCCACACAGATACACGTGACAGTGATGACGATCGCACACCCCTCAACTCGCGGACACCAATGAGCGATATCCCAGCACCCCCGGACCATCGCGGTGCCCCCTATGGCGCTGCGCAAGATGAATTTGCCAACATCCCGCCTCAGGGACCGGGTCCGTACGGTGCTGGTCCAGTGTCACGGAATCCCTCCGATCCGCGCATTCGTCCCCAATATTCCGACGGTAGTATGGGCTCTCGAAGAGGAGGAGCGCCACCTGGCTTCAACGGACGCGGGCGGGGTGGATATCCCCCCCCGTGGTGGACGCGGAGGACCTTACATGGGACCTCCTCGCGGTCCTTCCCCCGGCTCCCGGGGTGGATACATGGGGCCAATGCCAGGTCGTGGAGGTCGCGGTGGAATGGTGCCGCCGCGAGGACCCCAAATCGGCTATGGACCCAGTTCAGGCGGCCCCAACCGCGGTTTGGACGCATACGGTCGATCTGTGTCGCCTCCCACCGACGACCCTTATAACTATGGACCGCCGGGTCAGATGCGCCAGCCATCTCCCGGGCCCATCGGCATGGCCGTGTCACCGGAGACGGTAGGTCAAGCCATTGAGATGACTCCGCAACATCGGCCGCAGTACGATATGCATGAGTCCATTCAGCCAATGAGCAGCGTACCACAGACGCTGTCAGCTGAGATCAACAGCCCCGTCCCTGAAAGCCCGACAAGCATGTACAGTCGACCTGGGTATGTCAAACGTTACAAACAACATCACTAAAATAACCACTAACCTTCCATCTTTAGCTCTTACGTTCCCCCTCGCTCGGGCTGGAGTGCAAATGATCCTCGTACATCCCCGCGTCCGCCGGGGCAATCTCAGCAACCTAACAACGCCGGATCCAACTACTATGAAGACGTGGATCCCCGCTTCGCTCGTCGACCATCACCCCCCAATGACTCTGCTATCCCATCCTCTCTAACGCCTGGAGCTGGAGGAGGTCACTGTACGTAATCTCACATACCACACGCGTTGGCGGGGCCTTACTGACTTTCTCCCAGTTTAATGAAATCTCCTGGCTTCCAAGCGTCAATGACGCTTGACACGATTCTTCCACCTTTTCTACGCTTTGCGATACCCTTTATTTTTCTTCACTTCTCTTGCTAAATTTCGATGAGTTCTTTTCTCCTCAATTCCATGGGACACTAGGTCCTTTTGAGGAATGGAGTTACGGGGGTTTTTTTCTTCTTCTTTACATTCCTCTACAAACGCTCTCTCTTGGGACGATCCCTTAACGTTTCATCTTGTCCTCAAAGTATCCGCTACGAAATAATGGCGTGAAAATGAGAGGTCCCTTTTTTCCCGCTGCTGAATTGTACCCCGCCTGAACTCTGATGTATAGCCGCAGGCGTATACAATGTACAGAAACCGATCTTTGAGATCTCTGGCTTTATGTGATATCAAAAGCACTGGACAATGCTTCTGATTTGATCACCCTTTTACTTTCTACTATGTACTTTCTTCCACTGAGTGGACTGTGAATTTTTATTTTACCCAATTCCACATACATTTCTGTTCTCCGGGTATATCTGGCCTTGACGAATATATATAACAAATGATAAACTTCTCTCTGACTTCTGTATATAGTTATGTGTTGAAACTCCAGCCCTGTGAAGTGCCGTCGATCGGACCTTCGATCTTCACTGCTGATCATGGCAGCCATGCCACTCTTGTCGCTAAAACACCGGCTTGGGTTACCATTCAGTGCGCCATCAAGACTGGCTTTTCCTCGACTTATTTCTCGTGCCATATGGGTCAAATTCCCGTGTATTTCGATAATAGGATTCCATCGGTCGGGCCGAAGACTGAGGTTGAATGCTGCTCGAGGTACTAACTGAAGTTCTTCAATGGGAGTTCAGGCAGGCTAGTCGGTATTATAGTTTGTCTGAGGGGAGAAGGGGACCTAATCATAGTCAGTTGTGTGAGCAAATCTAGCATTTGCCCTTTTCATGCTGATTATTTAACTCGACTATAACATTTATATTACATGAAGCCAAATCGGTCCTGGGATGCCGGAGGCCACCTATGATGGACAATAATTGGTTGCCAGATCTATTCTGGATACCCTACCAAGTACCTTTGATCACTTGCAATATGCACTCATGGAACCGTTTCTCTTTGCATTTTATCAGCAGAGCTCTAAGGTTGGTCTTTTATATTGGGCCGAAGCGGATATCGATTTGGCTCCAGATTCTGTCTCTCATTTCGAGCTAGCACAATAATACTGTTAGAGCGGGCTATTTCGAAGTGCATGGTGGAAATGCAGTCCTTGATTGAGTAGAGAGTTGTAGAAGTTAAGTTGAGAGCTATGAGGCCTACAGATACTTAAGTCGATGGTTACTTCCCCTTAGGAGTGCCAATCATGTCACATTATAAATAGCCATTTTCATTTCAACTTGTCCAACTTCTTTTATAATCTCATTGCTTGCCTCCTGCTATCTAGAACCCACAACCAACAAGGTATGACCTCTTAGCCCATGATCAAGATTTGGGACGAGACAGTGATCTAACTACGACTCTGCTTAAAATTACAGATTCAACGTCATCATTATCTCTCAAAGTCACAGAGAGCACTATTAAGCAGCTACATTAGCTACGTCTTCATCAAAAGTGAGATTCAACCAATTCCTGACGCCCCGAAAACAGATCTAACAAGTATAAAGTGGCTGAGACTCGACCCATTCCCACCCCCAACAACGAGCAGCTCGAGGAGCTAACCAACCTTACAAATCGTGCACGTGAGCGAGCTCGGAAGCGCCAGCGCATACATGATGAGATCCAGGAAATTATGGATGAGAAGGAAGCTATGATAGCCACCAATCCATATTTGTCCTATACCCATCGAGACCAGTTGGCGAACATGGACAGGGAATTGGCGTCTTGTGACCAAAAGTTGAACAATTTGAAGGCCCAAGAGAAAAGGGATGCCGCTAAAGAGCGGGAACTATGGAGGCACGTCTGTTGAGGATGCCCAGAAGGTAGAACAGATATTGCCTATTTCACCGCCAGTGATGGGTAGTGCTTGCATTCTATTTCCAGATCTATCGGAATATCTTTCCAAGAATGCGTTTAAAATAATGAAACGCATTTCTAGATTTATGGATTCATTGAAGTTTGGAGTTTGTCTCTTGTTAGTAGATAGAGGTCTCTCATTAAGAAGTGAGAATGAAGTGAACATCAGCCAATAAATAAAGTGAATGTCAATCAACACGATGCCGTATCACTTCGTCCACGGTCAAACCATAGTCCTCATCGTGTTCTACCGCCAGTATCCCCGCCGTCAAGGCTCGCAAGGCCTGCTCCAGGGACCATATGACGTTGCTAGCATGGAAGTTGTGGAGTATCAATACATCGCTGCGGTATCACTTTCCTTTGTTTTTATAAACCCGGGTTTGTGTGAGGGTTCTCGCTGGCCGTCATTTAGGGATAGAATCCACCGAATGCTCCACTCTCAAGCCTTGTTGGCTTCGTGTTTAAGAGGTGCTTGAAAACTGAGATATGAAGTTAAGGTTATGCCAAGCAATAACCTGGGGTAGTGCAATAGTCAAGAGCAATGACAAACTTGCAAGGTTGTTCTCAACGAAGCACAGGCCTGGGTTCGATCCCCCTTGGAACCAAAGTTCGCGGTCTGATGGTCGCCTTGGCGATTTACTGCTGGGAATCACCTCTTCCTTTTTTTATTTTATGTAGTTGAAATACAAGTCCTAGGTGGTGTAGATTTTGACAGGAACTTCCCCTCAAGAGTACAAATGCCATTTCATTACATCCATGGATATTAATATGATTTTTACCCCGAGAAATTCCTATAAAACATGTTAACCTAAACTATCGTGGACTATTATCAAGTGAAAAAGCGTAGGTGGCTTAATGTTGACACTCTTTTAATGGTATTGCTGTACCAAGCTAGTAGTACAGACTTCCCAGCTCTCTTGACTTAGAATAATCACTGCATCCCCTCTAGGAGGCCAAGACCTGCACCCTCTTCCGGCTGGAGAACGACCACGGCAGCAACGAGAGACTGCATCCTTCGCTCGTAAAGCCAGAGCACGTAAATATCAGGAGGTTGGCCATCACAGAGGTATTGCTTCATCATCACTTGAACCGTTTGCATGATGTTACATGCTTCGTGGAGGATTATGAAGCGAGCGTGTTCTCGTGCATGTCTATGAGGTCGCAATTCATTCCTAGCGGCAGCCACTTTTCCTTTGTCAGCCATAAGTTCAAATCCCAGTTTGAAACAAAGTAGCAAGAGTGAGGGATGTATCTCAATGATGCTTGAAGTGTATGATATGCTGTGTTCGGCTATTTTCAAGGGAGTCCGGATTCTGAGATCCAAAGAATAACGGGTTTATGTTAGTAGAGTAACTGGCTATATCCTCTAAGATCTTGATCTTCTGCCAGAAAGCCCAGCAAGTGATGAAAGACACACTGTATCCTTTGCTCAAGTCCCAACTGAATGTGGAGAGGAGGAAAGGGTATCGGCAGAGGGTGCCACACCGCCGTTCCGAGATGAGTCGGTGGTGATGTCGATTGCCTCGATGCTTTTGGAGGCTTCTCGTCGTAGCTGTTGTCTAGCGTGGGCTCGGCTTCTAGCCGCCTCGCGCAGGTGGGTTAGGAGTTCGAGCTTCTGGTGATTTGGGGCTCGGATGGGCTGGCTGCTCACTTTGTGTTTGTTAGCTTTGTATTTGACACCCGGCTGAGACACGACACTGATGAGAGGGTTGAATCTCACCTGTGGTGACGTATTTTGGATAATATGTTCGCTTTTTTGTCATTAACGTAGTGCGATAAAGTGGACGGGCGCGCCTCTATCAAGGAACTAGTGTTAGTTGAGTCTCAGTTAGAGGTAGGAGAAATTTTACTTTTCTTATGTGCCGTCTTGAGGTCGGACAGGAATATGGGAATATGGCATGTAGAGAAGGAGAAGAGAAGGAATGAGAAGATTGACGGAGCGGGGATTTTATGTGCTGCTTGCGACGACGATACTGACTCGCGAGGAAGGAGCCAGAGGGACTGTCACCCTGACTAGATACTCATTCATACAATCGCGACAAACACCAGGTCTTGAAACTAAACTGATATCACAGTAATATTTACTATAGTGCCGTTGAAGGGCTACGTGAATGAAAAGCAAGAGAAAAGTGAGATTTTATGATCCAGTCCATCAACATATGACTTTGTTCTTACTTTTCATTGAGATCGGTCCTCATTAGCCTTAAAAATTATCATTTTCCTAAAAGTAATACCTCAGGCCATACACATGTACCATCATAGCTGGTGAGATAAAGGTGATAAAATGGTGAGAATTGGTTGCACTTTGTTGCTTAGGCAGTTCTCTCCTTAAAATATCAGTTGCACCTTCCTCGTGAAAACGCACTTCCTATCGTAGTTGCTGGATAATTTCTATTCCAGATACTCCCCACACTTCTTCCCTTCTTATTTCTCTTTCTTCTTCCACGATCCCGCGAATTCTTGTCCCACAACCTAAAATTCAAGGTACCATTTGGTGGGCAGTACGGTAGATCAATATCACAGCAACTAACATACATTAATTCATTTATAGTCCGAGATTCCTTCTTCTTATCCGATACACACAGCTTTACCAAAGTATTCCAGCGCACAGAATCATGGGCAGACCTGTGCAAATGCCAGACACTGCTGTCCCGTGATTGGGCAAGACGAATCCAGTCAGCCAGGAATCGGTGCTACAAATCGGCAATGATTTTATGGCCGTTGCGTGCCGAGTTCGAGTATCTGGCCGATTTCTTCTTGAAATGTGTTTTGAGCCCCGCTGTCAGGCCCGATGGGATATTCAACATCCCAGGATTCCGCGGATCCAAACGCATAATAAATACCTACCCACTCCACATGGTCCTGTTCGATATGTGCATTATAATTGAGAGAACTCGGGCCCATCGTATGAGCTTCCCGGACACACCCGATGGCGTCTCAGCTCACAGTTCCAGAATCTGCCTGATAAGAACCCACGTTCGCGCCATCATACGTGATACTGTCTGTATTGCAAGTGCATCATGGGTAGGGGTGTACCGTCTCGCAAATATCCACACCAAGTATGAAGGAAGTCAAATCTGGCACTATGTAGGTGGTGGGTACTTAAGACAGAGAATCCAACAATTCTGCGTGACACCTGATAATATATCCATACGCAACTGTTTAGCGGGATTACCACAAACATTGAAAATCAAAATGAGACCCTTCAAGGTATTCGAGACAAAACGTAGTGCGGATTTCAATAGGAAAGATGCCAGGTGAAAACGATTTCTTCTTGACATCAATGTAAGAAGCGACTCTCCAAATCCCCTATGTGAGCGATGAATACACGTCATTAGGTAGTATCGCAGTGTGTATAGGTCTTTGGAGTCTGCTGAAAATCCCGTTTCCCATGTCCACAGGCAAGCTGTCCTATTTTCGATACTACTAACCAACTTGACGCCCGATATCCGCTTTTAAAGGGGCATTTGTTTTGTCCTTGCCCAAGGTTGCGAATGTTTCAAGAATGAGGGCTATCACCTGCGCCTCAGAGATCTACATGAAATCACGGACTGGACATTGGTGATTGTCGGCATATCGGGCGACGATGAGGCAGACCACGCGTATCATTGAGTTTGGCTGGTCGCAGATGACGTACTGGCGGTGAGCCTCATCTGGCAGAGGGGTTGGAGCGCGGTCAAAGCCTCTATCCGATGGGCATGTGGAGCTGGAATCCGGCGTTGAGCTACCTTTTCCTTGCAAAACCCATGTTTTGGATGCATGTGACCTAGAAGGTGATCTAGAGCAGATATGGCTCATGGTCAATCTACCAACTAAGCCACGGGTTTCTGCAGTTGCCAGAACACTGCTTCTGATACTTAACCAACACCTAGCCACCTAGTCGCTATATATACACTTAAATATGCTATGGAAAGAGGAAGTGGAAATCTGGCATTCAGATGAATGATTTCGGTAGAGTGAACACAAAATTTAGATCATCGACCGCGAAAGAGTAATATGACCCAACTGTAGGCTGCTTCGGTCGACACAAGTGAAGGAGAGGGGCTTTATTTTACTGGCCACGATACGTCCGGCACGTTTCATCTAAGCTTAATATGAGTATGAAACGAGTTTGAACCCGGGAAACGAACTAGTGTTGGTTAGAGAAAGAATTCGACCATTCCATGTGAGATCTGATAATATCTCCATCCAGCTCCTATTGGATATACAACGAATACTGTAAAATAGAATGTGATGGGTTGTGGGTACCTAAGCGCTAGGCATGGGGTGTGGTTGAATATAGAAAATTGCTAAACGGAACGGTTTCTCCCCCAGTCGAACCAAACAAGCGACCTTCAGACCGTCTCCTCCGTACGCCACTTCCTCCCGCCGCACCCTATTAGTGATAGGGAGACATCATGTAGTATCGTAATCGGTCCAGGTTATCGAGGATTACTGTGGATACCTGTGGCTCAGTCCACTCGTGAACACGACCTTGATGGGCTAATTCACTCGAGACCAAGTCTCCAGTTCCAGCAGCCGGTCCATCTCTTCGTCGGCGGAGAGGGTGATCACCTCTATAATGATAATCCGCAATCCCTTTCTCCAATGCGCACATGAACTAGCGATGCGGGGCCTGGTGGTCATGGGCATATGTGGCAACGATGATGCATACTGCGCGAATGATAGCAGTTGCCTAGTAGCAGAGCAGTTCCAGTCGATAGGCTGTCGTGATTCTTCGTTCTCGAAGTTGGGAGGCATCTGGTACCGAAATGAGGTTTTTGACCAGCTTTTTCCTTGTTAGCTTTGTGTTTAGGCCGCGTACGGTCTAGAGGTAGCTTGAATGGGATGGTATATATCTTACTAGTGGCGACGCCTGAGATATCTTCTGTTTGTGGAGAAGTAGATTCTGCAATAGATCCAAAGCTAGGAAATAAGCAGTCTTTGTTAGGTCTGTATTGTTTCGTATATTCCACTCATAGTTGAAGGGATCATACCTAGAGCGCCGTTTAGATTTGGGTACCGACGGTGATAATGTGAAGAAAGAAGGAGAGAAGAGGAAAGAAGGGAATTGGGAGATAGAATGTGAAACCGTATGTAAACTTCAGCGCTAAACATGCTGTATGTTTCAATGAGTAAAAAAGCTAAAAGCAACGGTTGTTTCTCCAGTGCAACCAAAGAGAGACTTTCAAAATGTCTCCCCCCCCCTAATTCCTCCTGTCGCCCCCTGTCTGATGAAGAGACACTAGGCGGTATCGTAACGGCACCAAGTTTTAGAGGGTTACTAAGGATGTCGGTTGCTCAGTCCTCTCGTCAAACATTATTGATACTTAGTTGATCTGAGCCCACATCTCCTCCTCTACCTGCTGGTCAATTTCTTCCTCAGCCGGCAGAGCCATCATCTCAAAAATGAGACCCCTCAACGCAAACTCCGAGATCCAGATGAACTCAAGAGATGCTCCCTGGACGCCATGGGAATAGAGAGCCACAACTAGGCATGCTGTACGCATGATACAGGTCGCTTGGGCCCGGATGAGTTCCAGTCTATGGGCCCTTATAGCACGTCGCTCTCGCAGCTGTGTAAGAAGCTCCAGCTGGTAGTTATCTGGGGTGGAAATGCGGTTGTTTGCCACTTTTGCTTATAAGCTTCGTGTTCGATTTGGGTACGCTTGGGACGAAAGTTGAAGGAGAGGAGGTGTAACTCACTGGTGGCGCGTTGTGAGATATGTCTTGTTTGGGTGAACTTGATTCTGTAGTTGACCCGAACCTAGTAAAGAATCAGTTTTTATTAGCTCCTTATTATTCCGTAGACTCCCCTCGTCATCGGGGTGATCATACCTAGAGCCCGGTTTGGAAAGATTTGGGAACAGAATGTGGTAACGGAAAGAAAGAAGGAGGAAGGAGAGAAGAGGAAAGAAGGGAAGAAGAAAGTCTTACTTTGAGGGATTTTGAGTATTTCCCCAGTACTAAGTGAGGAATCGCGTTAGGAAGCCAGGACTTCCACCTGAAGAAAGAGCAACACTGGTAACCACTGCTTCCAGGTATTAGTACCGTCACCGGCCTCATCCACCGGAACATAGATATATATAGAATATATGAATGTAAAGAATCTGTACAAAGTAAGATATAATTGATAGTAAGACCAAATTTAACAAAGGCCAATGACACAATAATTGAAGATGAAGAGCAAGAGGAAAGTGATAGTTGACAGTGTCTATACAAGGATTATTTCGATACGCAGTACCAACATCCATATGAACAGATCGTCAAGAGTGAGGCGTATACGCTACTGGCTTACCATTGGTTTATAGATTCTGTTAGGTCGCCGAGACCGTTGCAAATTCCCCTGTAATGTAACTAGTTTTAGTTAGGTTTCGCTATCTGACTAAGAAATTTTACCTTTTTTCCCCGTCATTGCGGTCTTGAGTTTGAAGGACGAGACAGTGTCAAAGACAGAAGGAATCACAGGCAATCTCAACTAGTAATTTTAGAACTAGATGACTAGAAAACCATCACTTGAGAAAGGACCACGAATCGTGAAATGTGACATTTAATTAAATAGCATCACTTGCAACAACCCAACGTCCATAGCATCTCGATCACGTTGGAATTATATAGTGAAGAGGAGAAGGCTTAAGGCTGCAAGCTCTTTGGCATGTCGGTGGATTCAGCACCATACCCTTTGATAGAAAAGGGACCAGTTGGGAAGGAAAATCAGATATTTGAAAGAGGTGTAGAAGTGTATATGGTCAATCTGCAACTTTCGCCTACTTATATTCGCTGGCCACCTGGGCATGCATCAACAATTACATCATAAACCGTGGAAACATCCACGATGGATTAAAGAAACGGACCGGCCATTGGGGATTCTCCAAAACATACAGAACTCCAACTCTAGCGATTGCAGCAATGTGGATTTGAGTAGCAAAGATACGAAAAGGGAATCGGAAGTGGGTTGTATTGTTGGCTGTTTATCGTTACAATATGCGGACTGTCATTTTTGAAACGAAACCTTGCTGTTTAAATCTTTCATATTGTTCTCGGTGTCTCATCGTATTTATGATCCACAACGTGTATCGCATCTCCTAGCCTTCCTCTTACTTTTTAACTAAGATGTGTCCAAATTTCCTCCTCGGACACACGATCGTGGATCTCCTCGGTTTACATAGCCAGGAGTTCGTCCATGAGAACTTCTATCGTTCTCTCTATGTTCCATAGAGGCTCGCTGGCTGGTGGTTGATACGAATCGGCGAATTGCAGCAAAGTCATGCGCGCTTCTTCTAGGAGTTGAGATGCATCACGCACGATGCGTATGTGCTCTTCTACCCGCCGTGTTGCCCGTAATTGGGAATTCCGGGGTTAGCCTCGTTTGCCGCCTCAATTGTTAGCAGCAAGGAGTCTAGCTGGGCCCTGGCACAGGTGGCCTCCTCGATAGTCAGTCCGATAGCCATAGCGCGGGCTGTGCCTTGTACTTGCAATTGTGTCAATAATTATAATTGTGTATCATTGGGGCTTTACCATGTGCTCTGATGTCCTCTCTGCCTAGTGGGTGAGTTGGCGCCATAAATCTCGCAGGGTTCCAGGTACCGTACGTCCCGCTCTCGTAGCACTATCAATCGATGAAATAGCTTTGCGACAATGTGCTCTAGCTCGGCGATTACAAGCATATCCGGGTTGGGCTCGGGGCGCGAGTCCGTTGTCTCTATCATAGCATCAAACTGGGCCATTGCGCGGGAGGCCTCGCGTGGGGCACATTGGATAGCCGGGGCTCGGGTTGTTATTCGATCTCTTAGCTGCGTGAGAAGCTCCATCTCCTCCTTGTCAGTATCATGTTTAAGCGACGGAAGGACAATGTGGGGTTGGGGGGAATATCGTACTTTTAGGAGATCTCGAGATGGAAGGCTGAGAAGGGAGAAGAGAGAAGAAGAAAACAGGAGAGAGATCGGTGATAGTGATATAAATATTACTTGCTACGAGAGAAAGCGCGACCCCCCGGCCTCTCCAGAAACAAACAGCCGACACAGGTCAATATGGAGACCTTAGCAGTGCGTATCTGCTATTAAGAGGCGTGGGTATATATATATTGAACCATACCTGATGCCATAATGATTTTGGATATAGGGGGTTATTCAAGATTGATATCAACTGAAAGTGAGACCGGATTCACATCTGGCAATATATATCTGGTTTAGGCCTCAAACAAAGAATTCGAAAATGTAATGCCAATCCGTGACAAAATCCTGTGAGGCAGCACCACGCTCTCTCGAGCTAGGAACCAAAGGGAGATTTTCGCTTAGATTCTAATGGATGCCATTGCCATGGCTTATTAGAAGTGAATTCGATCTACTTTCTTCTTGGTGTAGAGGACACATTGTAGAGCTAGGGTGTTCTTCTAATGAAAGTCAAAAACCCATGGTGGACTCATATATTGTGACATCAGTCTTAATGGTCCCACTTTGCCATCAACTTCTTGGTCAAGTATTTTTTTTGCTTTCTTAACAGACTAATCAGTACCTCAGTCACACATTCTACTGTTTGATCAATGTGCTCTTCAATCCAGATTGCGTGAAGCTGGCCTAGAAGGTAAGACAGTGTCAAATACCAGGTGAATTCCTCCAGTGTGATCACCGATAAACGCCTCCACCTCCCTGCTAACTGATTCAACAGGGTCTAGGGGGTGCTTTTCGTTCCATTTGTTGAAGAATAGCCTCACGATGAGTTTCTAAACTGGCTGGAAATCTTACTAATGCGGCGTGTGCGGGGAAGTTAATGTCGACTGCATATGCGATATGAGTGACAGGTTTGATGGCATCGGAAATGGAGAAAAGGGCTCAGTATCTGCTAGCCATAGCTAACCATACTCACTGGTATCCTCGTGGGTCAGTGGCCTTATGACTCGATATCATAAATCCCGTTGAGACCTCATCGCGAATTTTCGGACAGTTGGCTAGATTAGACGGCCTATTTCTAGAGGGCTGCGGGATTTATGTAAGTAAACTGTTTTCACCATTTGTCAACTCCTACTAGGCTTGTAAACTTCGGGTATAAACAAAGTGGTATTACCCTAAGGGCTATGATACTCTATCGTCTATATGTAGAAATACTAAAAGATAATTCATTTTCCTTGAAGTTGGCAGACAAATGAATGAAATCCCCCACCTCGGCTAATTAAAGCCAAGAATAGATATGAGAGAGATGAAGCTGGAGAACCCATATGAAAGCCAAGTGCTTCGGACAATTCCTTGTTGGGTGGAGGAAAAATGAAGCCTGCTCAGAGCTAACGGGTTAAGTGCTAGTGCCAAATGCCAGACATCGCCTGATATCCAAGTATCATCTTTAGACTTCTATGTTGGTAATTACAATTTTGAGCATGCTACCATGAACCCGTTATATCATCGATATCTTCAAACACAGAAAGTGGGAAGGGAACCATATGGTTCGTTCGGGGGTTGATTCAGCTGGAGCAAGAAGAAAAAGTAACTAGTGACATCTGAATAAATGGAAGGTCTGATCACCCGTGTGTTATGGTATGCATATCCTAGCCTGTGACCTGGTGCCAAAGGTCTTCCTCCAAGGCCACATCAGCCTCCTCCTCCTCGCGTAAGGCAATCAGTCGGTGCATTAAGTTTGCCATGATGTGCTCAAGGGTCCGCAGAACGAGGATATCCGAAGATGCATCATCATTTATCATTCCTTCCAGATAGCTCATCTGATGGGCGGCGACACGAAGTGTCATACGGCGAAGGTAGGGCCGCTCAGCAGCGCGGACCCTGAGCTGTATGAGCAACTCTAGCTGCTCATTATTTGGGCTGGGAATTGCATGTGGGAGATCCACTGTCTCCTTGTCAGCTTTGTTTTTGAACCTCGGATAGGGCCAGTATCGCCTAGTGTGCCTCAGTAGTCTGGGTGATAACTGAAATAATATTGTGTCCTTGATTCCAAGGTTGTATCAACAAGTAAAAGAACTAGCTTTCGTAAGCTTATGATTTAGCCAGAAGTCAATGTCGTATGGTTTGGAATCTCACCTTTCGTGGTACGACCGATGTTTAGAGTGGAAGGAAGATGGAAGAAATAGAAGGGCAAGGGAGACGAGATTAAAGACCTCCAGTGCTGAGTACGATGGAAAACGCGATTTCACGAGGAAAGTGCAACTGTTACCTGTAAAAAGCAAAGAGCAGGCCCCGTGAAGTGTAACCAGCAATAATAGTGCATTCGCTATAAACCAGCATCCTCAATTCCTCCCCGCCCAGAAAATGATGTAGGCTTTATATAATATATGGAAATCAAGGCATTTCTGTTAAAAAAGTGATGGTTGACAGAGGACTGAATAATTGAAGAACTGATCCTAAGGAGAGGTCAAAGTAAAGTGAAAGAGTAATATTTATAGCTATCTTTGGGCACCGTGACAAAGAAATGAAACGGGTAGTATGATTATATGGGGTCACTTGGCAAGAAAAGTACATTCTAGATATGTTAAGACTGAGACATAATTGATTGTCAGTTGGCTCGATTGGAGCAATAGAGGAAATAACCAAATCTAGATCTTATTGTATGTCCTATCCCCCATAGGTTATGTTGTGCCTAAAAAATCACATCCTACTCCGCAAGCTAGCCACATAGGTCTCGTTCCAATGCGGCATCGTCCTTCTCCTCTGTCCGCACGGCAATGAGCCGGTGGAGAAGATTTGCCATTATGTGCTCGAGCGTGCGAAGAACCAGGATATCAGATGGCTCGTTGTCATATATTCATCCCTCAGGATATCCCATCTGATATGCCGCGTCTCGAAGGGTCATTCGTCAAAGGTAGGATCGGTCAGCGGCATGTAGTCTTAGTTCTGTAAGCAGCTCCATCTGCTCGTTATAGAAACGGCAAGACAGGGAAAGCTTTGGGTGATGGGGACAAACGGAGAACGTTGCCAGATCTCCAAACTATCTTCATGTTGGTAGTTTCAATTTCTAGCATGCTATCATGCGCCTGTTCGAGTATGGATACTGTAGCACAGGAGAGACGAGTAGAAACTCATATTTTGTGGTCAGATGTTAATTCAGCATAGAGAAGGGACAGGATGAACTATGCACACGTGAATAGATCAAAGGCCCTACCCTCTCCCCGGCCCCTAATACTTAGTGTGCTGTTTTAACGATATTTCTGCCGAACCAGTCGGTTACTTCACGCCGCAACCCTTGGTCGAATGCCGCGTCCACCCGTTTCTCTGTGCGCAGGGCAATCATTCCATCGATGAGGGCGGCCATGATATCCTCCAATCGTCGGAGAAGTATCGTTCCGGGCAAGTCGCATACATCCGGTGACCCCTCGACGTGAAGCGACTCGAAGTGTCATGAGTCAAAGGTAGGGTCTCTCAGCTGCGTGAGCAACGCTAGCTGCTCATTATTGGCGGCCGGAATTGGTCGCGGCGGATCCACTGTCTCCTTGTCGCCTATATGTTTCAACCTCGGATGGGAACAGTGTATCGCCAGGTGTGCCTCACTAATTTTGACGGTGTTGCAGTGATACCGCCTCCTCAGTAGCTTTGACTAGGAAGGGCGCTAGCCTGGGTAAGCTTATCATTTTGCCGCAAGTACTAGTCGCAGGGTGAAGGAATCTCACCGTTTTCAAAGATCCAATTTTGGAAGTGCGATAAGTTGAGTAAGAAGGGAGATAAAGGTACGAGAGGGCATATTAAATACATGGAATAACCTCTGCGCAGAAAGACGCGTTTTCGCGAGGAAGGTGCGACTGTCACCTTCAAAAGGAAGGAGTAAGGCTGGTGAAAGGTAGGTAGGGCAATAGCTATGAATAAACATCCTCACTTTCATACTGCCTTTTGAATCGGGTACATTCAATACAATATAAAGATATAAAGGCACACTTCACAGGAAGGTGATAGGTCACAGCGACTAGTTGAAGAGTGATTGTAAAAAGAAAGAGTCAAGTGAAATATAATGATATTTCTACCTACTTTTACCGCCTCGCCTGTAACAAAGAATACAAAGCGCAGTGTCACCCAAGAGGTCACCGGGCAAGCAAAGTGATTTATAGCAGTTGAACGACTGAAGGATACTTGATTGTCTTTGAGGTGAGTTGGATTAATCTCAGAGATAAATTCATAGATATGTTGTTCTCTTTACCAATAACGACAACCACACGTCACTGAATCTCCAATTCCACCGCCTGCTCAATCTACTACTTCCAGGTGAAAACAGATTGCTTGAAAAGCATAACGATTCAATCCTCCAACTCTCGCTGGATTATGATACCAGAATCGCCTGAGCTTGCACATTCGTCACACTTACCAGGGCAATTTCTCTGATGCTCTCCAAAAACAAAATGGCATGCAATTTATTAAGTGAATTATGGCATCGACCGCATATCGAAAAGTGAAGTATCGCTAGATCTATGTTGGTTAAATTGGCGCCATGGGAGCGAATTGTGTCTCAGCGGCCATAGCAAGTTCCATGTCCTTGCTGGACACACAGAGCATCATCTTCCTTGTCCTTCCCAGACCCGCATCTATCATAGAGTGAATCATTCGACATTTCTTTGGGTCCGACCATCGTGCCAGAGCGATCAAAAGGCTGGGAAGCTGACTCGGCGTCCTGGCTATGGCTAAATCCACTGCATTCGGCGTTTTGCTTCTTGCAGAACTCCCACTTTGTTGTACCGCGCATCGGTGTAATAGATGATACGCCTACTGTCTGGCATTGGGATAATCTCCCAGATAAGCCTCCAAGTGCCGCATATAATGTGCCCAGGAAACTCTCGAAATACATGATCATCCTACCGGGTTCCAGTATAACTACTTTGCGGGTAAATATCCGCCGAGAGACGTGAACACGGGGTTGAGTGAGCATCTCCAACTGCGCATCATTCTGTGTGAGGGATAGGCCTTGGGCAAGCTAATATCCTCTTGTGAGCATCATTTTTGAAGCACGATCCAGAATTGGGAACACACCATCGGGGGGTCTATCTTGCTACTTTATAGTTAGCAGGCAGTTATTATTTTGGGTATGTTCCAGACACTTGGCCAGCAAGACGACAAGTTTTGGTGAAATTGTTTGGTGGAAGTCTTGCGGAATCTCACCTTTGGTAGCAGGTCTAACTTCACAGTACGGTCGATAAGATGAAGAGGGGGAAAAGAAGGGGAAACAGAGTTTTGCCAGTGTCGACCTTCAACGCAAATTTTGATATTAGGGAACCTTTATTTTCACGAGAAAGGCGGTACTGCCAACTCAAAACGAAAAGGGGAACATCGGTCAAGCAAGCGTACTTGGTGATCAGGTACTTCCAGTATCTATAAAGCAACGTTGCCAATATTCCAATGAGTTGTAAATGCGGTCGATGAATATAATATAATATATAGATATAGAGGCAGTCTTCATTGATTAAAGAATGATGGAAATAAAAAGGATAAGGGACATGCAATTTAATGATATTTCTACCTATCCCATAACAAAGAATGACAAAGCGAATGTCATCCTTATACTCCTCCTAAAGAGACAACATACCTTTTAGCGGTAGATCCACTAACGGGAAGTGGATTAAGGTTCATATCGACTAATAGATTGGAATATAGGAATCCTTGATTGCATGTAAATTGCTCGGAATTTTGGAATTAGTAAAACAAGCTAGTCGTGACTCTCTCGCTGGTCACGTTAACAGCATACACCTCGACAAATCCTTTTGACTGTAACATAACTGGGGTTGAAGACTAAGCCCAGGATCAAATTTTATCCATCCCAGCCACGGCTTCAACCTGGCTGCGGGAACAGTCGTTTTAGAGTTGAGATAATGGAAAATCATTTCATTGTTGATGTTCTATTGAGTGAAGGTTCTCAGCCTGCCTATCACCTATTGTCCCGTTACCTCTGGCTCCATATTTTGCGCTTGACGGACCTATCCCTGGTTTCCTCGTCCTGTAGGTGAGCCATATATCCCAATATTTGCCCGATACAGTTCTCCATAAGGCGTCGAACCGGGATGCTAGCATCGCTCCGGCAGAGAATGGGGCTTGAGTATAGGTGAGCCCAGTAATAGCTTAACATCTCGTACGCGTCGACCTGCCGGACACTTAAGTCAATGTTGAGTTGACATACGTAAGAAGCAAATATGAAGTCCACAGCGTAAGCAGGACCCCGAAATGAGTAAAGCGAAAAGCCATGACGCAGAAAACAAAGAAAACGAGGCTGTCGAACATTTGAGCCATCGACAACATAAAAGCATACTAAGTATGATGTTGGTATTGATTTCGATGTCGATGGTGTTTTGTGGAACAAAGGCGAATAAAGCGCAAACACGCAGGAAGAAAAGTAAAGTCTGCCGGACAGTGAAGTCAACGGTGACATACGCAACACGAAATGAAAGGCGAAGTGAAGGGCGACATGAACAACGCGTCGGCTGGCATTGTCTACGTTGTCATTGCTGATGATGCATAGTGTCTGAAACGGTAATTTTAGAGTTAAATTAATTAAAGGTGAACCCTTCAAAATTGTTTCAGCGTTGGTGTTTTATGAGTGAAGGTTCTTGGCCTGCTCACCAATCATTGGATCATTCCGTCTGGCCTCCAAAGAGCACGCTCGATAGCCCGATCCTGGCGTTCCTCATCCTGTAACCGAGCCATATGTGCCAATAGTTGCGCGGTTCGCTCCTCCAAAAGGCGCAAAATTGGGACGCCACCGTCGCTCCGGCAGAGAATCGGGGTTGAGTTTGCGTGGGCCTGAAAATAGCTTAAGATCTCATGTACCTCGTTGAGCACGGCCTCCCTATCTTGAACCCGTCTGATTTGGCGAACGTGTAGTTGGGTTAGAATCTCCAGCTGGTCACTGGTCAATGCTGGAATAGGGCGCTCGCTGGCCACTGTATCTGGTCAGTTTTGTGTTTGAAATGCGGTTGTGACCTGGGAATGTATCTCACTGGTGGTAGATGTGTCGGATTAATCCACGGGGTTTGGAACGATATTTGCGTCAATGTGGTCTCGCTATTGAACATGCAGAGTTGTTAGCCCATTTCTCGTCACAGATGTTAGTCATTGAACGGAGGAGATTCACCTTTATTTCATGTTGTCTTGAGATCCAGCGGGAACTGTGAATTACAAAGTGGATAAAATATGTCGAATACAGGAAGGATCTTAAATAAGAATATCCCCTAGGAAGGCGCGACTGTCAGCCTAAGAATCAAGGATCAAGACAAGCGACACCAATTCCCCCGTAGTAGCTATATCCACATACCCCCTGGGCAACCATGTCATGTGTGGCTCATATGCCTTCATTGTTAGACATACTGGTTAGGTATATAAGAAATGATTTATAAGTGATAGTAATATGGTATTTGATAGATATATAGTTCCAGGCTGAGATCAACCGACAGTATGAGCGAAGTGAGAGCGAAGTGGAAGTTGACATCAATATATAGCCAGTTGAACAAAGAATTATACAATGTAATGTGATCCATAATGAAGTCCTCACGGCGGTGTATAGGACATAATACGCTGGCTTCGACTCACATTTGAAAAATCATCGTGCGAGCAGGGTAATACAAAGGATTGACGATTTGATAAATTCACCCGAAGCCCCAAGCCATTCACCAAGCACACCGCCCTCCACTCCAGGTAGCCTGCTCCTCAAGGTTATACGGGCTCTGTCAAATGAGTATCTCAACCATTCCCCCTACAAGTTCGCTCATTCTTTCTTCCAACTTGGCCAGAACAGCGACTGTATCGTTGGACCAGCACATGGAAGGCTTGCTTTCGATCACAAATTGAGCGTATCTCATGACCTTGGTTGTCTCGCGTAGGATATATCTCCGAACCCAAGCATGTCCAGTCGCCCGAAGGTGAGGTTGAGTCAGGAGCTCTAAATGATAGTCGCTTAGAGTCGGAATGGGGCGTTCCTTCCCCACCTTTCGTAGGTCACCTTTTTGTTTGCGACGAATTTGCGACGAATTTACAACTAATGGGTCTATGTCACTAGTTGTGACATTTAAAAGGAAGGTGAAAGCTAGCCGTGTTCGGCAAACAATTCCACATCAGATATATAGTTATAAAGAGAAAGCCATGAATCATAACAAAAGGTTTTATATGAAAACCGTAAGATAATGATCTCAGCAAATGTTGAGTGCGAAATGATATTATTCCAAGAGCTGCTCACATGTTTCCTCAAGTGCGACAAAGGCCCGGCGGGAACATAATGTTTGGCTAGGAATTCCAGAATTCCCTCGAGGGCCTTCCATGGTCTGTGACAATTCCTAGACCATCAATGGAATCGTAGGAGCTCTCTAGTGTGGGGATATCAGTCCCCCGCTAATGGAAATAATTCAGTTTGCCTGTAGTAGCATGCTAGCTCTCTGCATTGGAAATACCCTTGAGCTTTTTCAAGTAATGGCTACGAATCTGCTCGCAGATGCCCCAAATCCGTCTCCTGTTGGCAAGTCCGAAAATGTAATCATCATTCTCAGATGTGTACCGACTCTTCTTCTGAATATCAAGAAGTAGCTTGGAAGTGCTGTCCTCCACCTCTTGGGACTGGAAAGCATCGATATCGTGAACCTCCCAAAGCCAAGGTATTTCACTCATTAACGTGCGTTTCCAAAGGTCGCAGGGTAAGGCGGTAGTATGCATCACCAATGAAGCGGCCTTGAGAGCGAGAATGGAACCAGCTGGAAGAAGTTTGAAAATCTCGTGTCGTAACTCTAACGGGAGAGTATTGAAAATATCTTCGCTGTGGGAATGCCGACTCGGTGTGGCCTTCTTGCTGAAGGAGTTCGCGATAACATCAAGTTCAGACTCGAGCTGGGGAATTTGAACCGGATTGACGACCAAACTCTGGTCGCAGTAAGCGTTTGTTATTCCTTCACGGTTCATCAAGTTCCACGAGGCAACGTACTTCTTGGCCTTGAGGATGGTGCCAAACCTGTTCAGCAAGGGGCTCTGGTTCACCGTAATTAAGCTGCAGCCTAACGTATGGATAACCGTTCAAATTCTCGAAGACTTCAAATAACACAGCTTTCTTGATTTGTTCAGGGCCCTCTTGGCGGAGGCATCTTTGAAGAATATCATGGTAGCAAATTGCATGGAAAGGAAACACACAAGGCAGCCCAATTTCGGAAAAATCATGATAGCTATAACCATTAGGAAGGAGTAACGAAAGGTAGCGGGGGAGCATACGCAGTCATATGAATATCAACATCACCATCTCCCCTGGAAACGTGGACTTGCCCCTACAAGACAAAGGTTAACCCTAATATTTTGTGTGCTACATGGAGAGATCCTTACATAATCCCAGTAACGACCATCATCCATGAGAAATGATCTAAAAACAATAAAAAATTATAACCTGCGTAGTGTCATGGGTACGCAATAGCCACATACTTATCGTTTCCATGGGCGTCATCGTTAATACCCAGAACACAGACTTTGTCTAGCCATTCCAAGTTGCAATCCCTAAGGACTTCGTACCGATAATAGTCCTTGTCCGTCCCTTCAGGATCCATATCAACTTCGCTACAGAACGTACCACCGCATATTGCACAATAAACTTCCCATCCACCCATGCCGGTAGTTCCAAGGTCGAATGCTTTCGGTAGTGACTAAGAGTAACTAAGGATGAGGGTTACGGAAGACGTTGAAACTGAGTTTGTCACGTGGGCGTAATTAGACAAAGTTCACTAACACGTGGGAAGCTCATGAGCGCCCCACTCGTGAACTGTTACAGTATCGTACCAACCTTGGAAGTTTCGTGAGTTTCGTGTAACTCCGTGGTTGTGGAATCAAACACGACCTATTACCAAATAAGGAAGAAATTTTGACTAGCAAATTGAAGGTTAGGTTAGCTCTAAAATCATCCATGGATGCAGCCCAGAAAATCACCTATCATAATAGCTAATATGCAAAATCCTAATATGACAAAAAGAGCCTTTTAAGGTAAATTACTCAATATATCTGCATGTTCTTCATAGTACTACGTTAGAGAAGATGAAGATAGATATCAATAGATGGTAATGCGACTTATTGTCTATCTTTTATGACAGTAGGTTCACTGAGCCTTTGTCTAAATCTTATCTCTTGGAGTGGTCCATCGGCCGGGCGCTAGCGCTTAGTATATGTTGCGTTTTATGTGCTACTTTTTGGCAATATCCACTAAGATTTTACAGAGTTGCTGTACGGAAGCAACTTCTCCTCATGTAGCAGGAAGTCACGCTTTTCGGTAGTGTAGGCGAGATAATTCTGTTGAGGTGCGACTACAAATGTAGGAGCGAGAAGTGTGGAGGGAGAGAGTTGATTTCTATAGAGTCTGTTAGCACTAAAAGGTAGGGGAATATAACGATGATGTATTGTTGTAGCTGCCGAGCACTATCTATGGGCCGTCAGAGCGGCTGGTCGGCCCGTTACATCTGCCGATACCTTAAGATGCCAACCGTCTTCGGACGGAGCTATGTATATGCATAGCTTAAGAACATGAGATAACAGAAGGAGTGTAGTCATATCCCGTATGATCTGTCGCAGAAAGGTTGCACCAACGTCGACGTCAAACCATCCCATATGGCAACCCGCAGAAAAGGTTCTGGTCAGTCGATGTTGTGTGGTTTTAAAATTCAATGTTTAAAGAATAAAAAGCTGCCAGAGGACGTAGGGGGTTTGCTGACCACCGTAGTTGGACCGACATCCTGCGTTGTGTCTGCTTGGTTCTAAGTTTCCTGGCCGCCTGCTTTTGTCGTTGTGTCAGCCTAGGCTGTCTAGTCACCCACCTCTATGGTTGTGTCCACAGAACTGGCGCTCGCCGTAGTGTCAACTAGATCGCCCGCCAATTGATGGTGCCGGCCTGCCGGGATTGTATGCGTTCGTTTGCCGCTGCCAGCCGGTCCTCGTATTCTTGTCGGGCCTCTGTTGCGTCGATGTACATCCGAATCATCTGTCGACTCTCCGGGGTATGAAGGTCTACCTAAAATTAACGCCAGGTCTAAGCGGTTTTTAAGATCTTGTCCATGTCGTCGCAGTCTGCCAAAATATTGTCCTCAAAGCCACTGAACATGTCGCGTACCGCGGTGGTAGGCGCTTCCCAGTGTGCTCGGGTGACGTCGGGCTTTTTGAGATCAATGGATTGTTGTTGAGGTCGTCTGGGGAGAGTTTCCGCAGGAGTTTCGGGGTTCTGTCATTCCTTTAACGTATCTGTTCAGCTGTTTTAATGTTTCTATATCAACGGATACTGGTCCATTTTATCGTCTTTCCAGCTCGACCAAACCTTGAGACATCCCATTCCGTTATTTACCTCATGTAATGCCATTTAGGTAGATGAGCTCGCCTGGTGACAAGAGATCCCATCTGTGTGAGCATCCCCAACCGCTTGTTGTTAGATTACGGCATCTTTAGTGGTTTCACTACACTGTTTTGGTATATGGCTTTCTCGAAGCGCGCGCACATCTGCGAATGTAACAAAGCAGCATCATACTGGGAGGAACTATTAAGAAGCCCTTCATCACAAGTAATATTGAATGATCACTCCCACAGGCAACTCAGAAAGTCGTCAACAATGCTTGACTAGTACTACTTAGTTTGAACAAACTTATTTCCGAGGTTACAGTGATATAACGTACACATAGTCCTAATGCATAGCCGATGGGAAATTATCCTTTAATATTTGATCAGAGGAATGACTATAGCAAAATCTCATAGCAGATCCATATTGTCCTTGCTGCATACTCGGCTGTTCCCTCGAAATGTGAAATTCTGTACCCCAACGTTGGCTCCAGACTGGTAACCCGTACACTATTCAACATCTTCTTGGGCTTGCAGCGCAGCCATCTCACCGACAAGCCCCAGCATACGGCACTCCAGTGTAAGGAGCATGAGTGGGATCATTGGAGAGTAGTGGTAGGAGAAGCTAGTGCTCACGTGGAGATTTATCAATCCCGCACTCACACCCATTATGAAACGGGCCTCGTCAATAATATTTTGTCGAACGTTCGCTCGATGAGTGCCTCGCACTCGGTGGCTTGGCTGCAACGGTACTCGTCGGTTCTCGGTCACTTTTCCCACGCTGTTAGCCTTATCTGTGCAATGCGGCTATGGACGGAGTAATGATAGGAAACAGCCCCCCCACTCACTCGCGAGGTTTGATAAATCGGGGTTTTAACGGGGAAAAGAAGGTTGCAAAGCTCGAGCTGTAAATACCCAGTCTTTGTCAGCTGCTTATTATGTTGTGTGTATTTGTCATGGACTAATGGATTGTACCTTTACAGTTCTTAATTGGAGGTGAGATTGGAAATGGTATGTTGGAGAAGGAAAGACAGAAGGCCTTTTTGAAGGAGGTGGTATACCCATTCCTACAACAGTGCTCCTTTTCTTGTGGAAGGACCAATCCTTATTTGTCACCTTCAAAATACAAGAGCAAGACTGGCGGGGAAAGCCCAATAATACTTCCCTGGTACTACGTAGTGTGAACACAGCCTTGTTTATGTTGATATAATATAGACAAGATAGTGCCAAGGCATATCTCATACGAAATTCACTTTTTGATCAGTTGTCAGATAAAGATGAGCTCAGCAAAATATCAGGGTAGATTGATAAATTAATAGTATTTGAAGTGGTAACTGCACCTCGAGGTTTGAAATCCTTTGAAGCGCTGTTTGCCACAAACCAACCTTCCACCCACTAGCAGACATTTTCTCGGGTTTGTAGCCTATACAGATCCCATAGAAGCCCTAGCATGAGTTTATCCAGTGTACGCAGCTTTTGGGGGATGGAAGAAGAGTGGTATGAGTTTCCGTTCCCATATAGGCAGATTAAAGCTGCACTAACCCTCATGATGAGACGGGCCTCGTCCATTATGCTTTCCCTAGAGTTTGTTTTCTCACTTGGTGTCTCGGATTTGTAGCCGATAAGGGGACCTTCTTCCTCATCACTGGGTACTGGCAGTGACTGGCTCAGCCACTTTCCAATGTCTTCAGCTTTAGCGTGAGCGGAGGACGGAGTGGGGTGATCGGTGCAGGGGGTTATCTCCCTTAATCGTCTGCCTTTAATGAGCTGTGCTTCTATGCCCAGAATGAATGTGGTGATATCCAAATTGTAGAATCCTTAGTCATTGTTAGCTCCTTGTGCTCTTGTAAATTCTAATCATGGATGAAGGGATCGTACTGTGCTTTCTGTCCGGGTGGGATGTGAATCGAAAATGTCGAAGGAAGAAGAATGAAAGAAGAACACGGTTGTTTGAAGGCTGAGTTTGAATGGTACTTCTTACGAGAAAGCGCGTTTTTCATGAGGAAGGAGTACTTTTCACTTGTCACCTTCAAACGCGAGTCACAAAGTGAGGCCTAACCAATATTAGGTTAAACTGATAGAATCTATAGGTTAGTACTAAGCCATATCTGATAGGAGAACCGTTTTGGAGAGATTCGGCTTGGGATGATGGGCTTTCCAAGATGTCAGGGCAATTCATTCGAACATGTCTCTGGACGATGTCTTCCAAAAGTGGTTCAGGCAAAGTTAGCCAAAATTCACCCTTCCGTCGAGTTGTCCAAATGTTCCTGCGCTCGCAATATAAGGCTATCGAGGATAAGTCCCAACATTCGCTGCTCAAGTGTTATGAACATTGCAGAGATTGACCAGCAAAACTTTCCGTCCCCGTATGGGTTTATTAAACCTTGAGTGACCCCTAGTATGACACTTGCCTCCTCCATGATCCGTCGGTGAGCTCCTGCTCGCTCAGTGGCACGCACTCGTAGCTCCGTTAGAATACCAACGCATTCGTGATCAAGTGACGGCACTTGCCAATATTTGGCCACTAACCCAATCCTGTTAGCTAGGTATCCGCAGCAGGTTGGCGAGATGGGAGCTGGGAAGCAGGGGAGAAGGGGATCCTGGACAAGTGCTGAGTGGTGTCTCACTTCTCATCCAGTCCCAAGGAATCGTGCTCTTAAGTGGAGATAGGAGTTGAAGTGGCCAAGGTAAGCGGGCAACTTTCGGTTCCGTATTTCTTTTTAAATCTTAGTCATAGACTAAGCGATCGTAAGGCTGTGGTTGGGGGTAGGAGTAGAATTCGGAAGGTTGTAGAAGGATGATTGTTTAAAAAGATCTAAAATATTAATTCCTGCAAGAAACCACGTTCTCATGAGGATGGTGTACCTCTTACCTCCAGAAGTAAATAATGAGGCCTAACCAATAGTTGTAGTTCATTGGTAAGTCAGAGGGTGCTCTTCAGAAAATAGGCTGATTACGGAGTAATTTGAAGTTGTTCGCATCTTATTGTTCGTTGTTTGTCCTGGGCTCGCAGTAATATTAATCTTTCCAGAAAGAACAAAATTGTATCCTCCAGCTCTCATCATTTTTGGGATCTAATCAGACCGGCGGAAGTTCTGTTTAACGTTTGAGAGGATCAAAAACCTTCGCAGTCGTCTCTTAACGGCAGTCTATACACGCTACCATTAGGGGTCCAGGCCAGTAATCATTCAGAACTGGTCCAGCGGGTTATAAACCCCACACTCTAAAGACGTTCGTTGGTTGGCCCGCAGAACAGGCCGTGCGTAGATCTATGTCTCGATCAAAGGCGGCTTCGTAGGCAGTTGGGAAACCTGGCAACACTCTAGGCATTCTAAGATGAGAAGACTGGTCTGCACCGGTTGTGGAATTGGTCAATTTGCTTGGAAACAACTCACCTAGCACATCTGTCATAGTCCGGTTCGAAAACGGAAAACATGACCGGGGAGTGGTGGGGATCTCATCACCGTTATCATAATAGCCTCTTCTATGACATTCACCCCCGGGGACTCTACGGACTCTCCGCTGCATCAGCAGCTCTGATTAGCTATCACTGACTGATACCACTGGCCCAGTGTTGGTCCCCTTTCCAGCGTTCTCAGTCTTTTGTGTAGGGTGTGATTGGGAACCGCGCAATGTGCATGTGATGTAACTCCCTTGTTTGGCATCTGGTTCTAGGAAGATTCTCTGTCCACATTTCAGGTATGCTGATAGGTTTAAACTGAGGAATAACCCCGTCGCTAGTTCCTTGCTTCATCATAGATCTTGATCATGGAGTAGATGGTCGTACCCTTGGAGGTTGTGGAGGTCCCTAGGTGTGGGAAGGTCTGGTTATTGAAGAAGGAACCTTGTAACACCAAACTGTTTGCGGGATTAAAAAGGAACTCCTGCAAGACAGCACACCATCACGAGGAAGGGGCGACTGTCATCTTCCAAAGGGAAGAGCAAGATCCGAAGGTTTATCTTTGCATATGGCGATGAAACAAATTTGTAAGCAACTAAGCTCGGAAAGGTACAGGAGTAGAATGGCTCTCATCAATCCTCTCTGGAGATTTTCCAAACTAGTGGGACACAATTCCAATTGCGTGGTTTAGTAATTCGACAGTTCGCTACCCAAGTATGGTGCAGAAATGAGTCAGCGCCAAGCTTAGCAGCTTGAACTTGGGACCAACATCGGGATTGGTGATGCAGGTGCAGCTTATAGACCAAGCGCTTACCGGGCAGTACACGTTGAGGATGTGAATGGTCGGTTGTTCATGTCTTCTAACAACTAGAAGGTGCTTGTGATTAAGGATTTGTGTATGACAGTTGAGGGATACTGAAAAGAGACAATTATCCCTTTTTGGCGTTTCCATTCACCATAGATCTGGGACATTGGCCATGGAGTTTCACCGTTGGAGGACTGTTGTTGGTGAAATTATTAAAAGGTATACAAGAAGAGGAGCAAATAGGATCTTAAATAGTAATCGAGAGACTGTCCCTTCACGAGGAAAGTGCGGTTGTCACTTTCAAAATAAAGGAGCGAGACCATGACTCCGGATGATGATCCAACTCAACATATTTATATATTTCAAATTAATACTCATAATAAAAAATATACTTAAGCTGCCTTTATGAAACCTTCCATATATAACTGAGGGATTTTCCAACGGAAAGTTGGAGGAAGGTGGGCTGGGCAGTTGATGGCTATATAAGGTCTTTGTTGGCTTGATTGCTCTACCTAGCATAGTGAGATGCGCGTACCAAGCCTCAAAGATATAATGGCAACGTGAATTGTTTGACTGAGTCTCTTTTTTTGCTGCCCACATCATAGTCAATCGAGGTGTAGCTCTAGCGTCCCATTAAAGAAGGTTGTAGCTGTAACCAACCATATTGTAGCTCATGAAAGTACTTTATGGTTTATGGAGCGTATGGTGCCTACTTTAACGCCTAAGTAACGGCTAGGTAACGTCCAAGTAACGGGAACTGGTATATTAGCTATTTCTGTAGCATCATTTATAGATAGTATGTGTAGTAGGCATAGCACCTGCTTCAACGTCTAGGGAACGGCTAAGTAGCGGGAACTGGTATACTAGCTATATTTGTCGTATAGATACTACGTATAGGAGCAATTACACCTACATTAACGTCTAGGTAACGGCTAAGTAACGTCCAAGTAACGTCTAAGTGACGTGGACTGTATATTAGTTGAAAGTTCCTTTTACACTGATAGTCTCGATAGTCTGCCAGACATGGTGCCTGGTTTGTTGGGTGGCGCATAGGTGCGATATCAAACACATTTAAACGCGTCTGTGGTCGACAATCCCATCTTACCTTCTTTTATCTTACAACAACCGGACACCCTCAGGGTACGATTGGACAACCCATCAACGCACTCACCATGGATGGCAAAAATCGCAAGAATGGTCAGCCCGACTGCCAACCGCTTCAAGAAATCAGAATTCCATGTCCTGTGTGCAAATGCCGGAATTTCAGGTCAGAGCAGGCGTTTGGTCATCATATGCAGGACGAGCACAACATCTTTCCATGTCATAAATGCGACGCACTCTTTGCGTGTAGGGATGACCTAGCTACGCACAAAAGCGAGAGACACGGCAAAATCTATGACAAACTCAAGCACAAGAAGAAACGCAAGCAGAAACAGAAAGGCAAATTCAGGCCTCTAATCCAAAGTGCCTCCATGCCCGCATCAGAGAATACACCGTCGACCCAGCTGCCAACAATGCAGCTTCGTCCACAGCCGGCACGGACTCGTCCATCAACCTCCCATGCCCGCCAACCATCTACTGAGACCCCGAAACCACCAGCACAAGTACGACAATCAATCATGCAGCCCGGTCAGTCATCCGCTTGGATCCACCAAGGACATAAGCAGAGCGCTCCAGCACGCGCTGAAGTCTTCCGATCTCCGCAACACCAATTCCGTCAAATGCGCCATCCACTCCCTCCACGGCCAGCGAACGTCCCTCAAGTCCCTTTAGGGGTATATCGAGTACCTTCCCACAGCTTTCAGATGCTTTCCCCAGGCTTTCAGCCACCCCCTCAAGCCTTCCAACCAACAGGACAGGTTACTCAAGTCCCAATGAGATTCTATCAAACATATAAACAAGTTCCCCAACCAGTGGGAGTCCCTGAATCCCCAGCAGGGGTTTATCAGCCACCTGTTGAACCCTATCTTACACCTTCTCCGGTGTATCAGACATCAACTCCGATCTATCAAACACATCCTCGTCGCATGAAGAACAAGGTACAGGTCTATTGGCTCCCGCTTCAGGTGTCTCAGTTCCTAGAAAATAAGCATCGGTCTCCACAAGCGTTCTGGAACTCTGAGTTCTTTAATAAAGAGCCTCAGCATCAGCAGTCTCAGTATCAAGAGCCTCGACAAGCTGAGCAGGTCTTACGGGCGCCCAGGCGGGCTACAAACTCTTCTGCGCTGGACTTGCACTTCCCAGGGCAGTACTCTCAATACCCAATTCGGGACCACCAGCAAGCAAAGGAAGTCTCGCATTTTCCCCAACAGGACTCGCAATCTCTACGAAACTCTCAGTCCTTAGTACAGCACTCTCAAGATGTGGAGATTCCTGAGTCCGTAGATGACTCTAAGTCCCCAGACCAGGGCACTCAACAAGAAGAGCAAGCCTCTCAGTCTCTGGGACTGGACCCGCCCCCTGGAACTCCCTCAGTTCCCAGTGCAGGTCCTTCAAGATGCAGAGGACGTTACTCAGTCTCCAAAAAGGCACTCTCAATCCTTAGGAAACCCTGAATTCCTAGTTTGTCACCAAGAACAAGCAAAGGCAATCCCTCATTCCGAAAAACCCTCTCAGTCTGCTGTGCAAATCCCAGACCAAACGGAACAAGTTTCCCACTCCTCCCTGCATCTATCCGCCCACGATCCCATAGCCGCAGAAGCAAACGAAACCGAAACACCAACCACCTCAATCCCAGCAACGAACATAACAACACCAGACCTCTTCATCCCACCCCCACCAACAGACCCAACCTTCAGTCTAGTCTACGGCACAATGCCACACCGCTGGACTGACCTCGAACCCCTCGAACAGACCCTCATAATCAGATACCTCCTCGCAACATGCCACTCCCCCAAACGCCTACATTCACAAGGCTACAACACCCCGAAGACCATCAACACAAAAGCCTGTGTTCACCAGAACAAACCACACCAACACCACATCGACCCCCGCCCCGCAAACCCAAATTCAAGACACCGAAAAGCAATCGTGCTAGACTGCGAAATGATCGAAACAACAGTCTGCACCAGCGAACTAGCCTTCATAACCGCAATCGACTTTCTCACTGGCGAAGTCCTGATAAACAGCTACGTGACACCAACAGCACCAGTGACGAACTGGCTGACACCCGTTAGCGGGATCACGCAGGAGAAAATGGACACCGCGATCGCGGAGGGTAATGTATTTGTCTCGAATGCAGATGCACGTGGCGCATTGCGGAAATTCTTGAATCGGGATACTGTCCTCATTGGCCATGCTCTTCAACATGATCTACGGACATTGAGTTTGATTCATGGTCGGATTGTGGATACTTCTGTGATCACGTCTGAGGCGGTTTTTTCAGATGTTTCGTCCAAGACGGCTTTGCCGCGCATCTGGGGACTTGATACTCTTGCGGAGGAGTTGATTGGGATTAAGACTCGGCGGGGTGAGGGACATAACTCGCTTGAGGATGCGTTGGCTACGAGGGAGATCTTGATTTGGTGTTTGAGGGGTCCGCAGTGTCTTAAGCATTGGGCTAAGAAGACTCGGGGTTCGCTTGCACATATGCGGAATCGGAGATGGGCGCGGAGGAATCGGGGGAATGGAGGTGGTGGTGCTAATGCGAATAACGGTTAGGAGAAGGAGCGGGCTGCGGAATGAGAGAATCTTGACGCTAATTGCGCTGAAGTGGAAGGGGAAAGTGATTCAGTTAAGGATGGTGGATGAGGCCATTCCTATGCTGCTCATCATGTCTGGTCAGGCCGTTGGTCAGACTGGGTGGTGGTTAATCGGTTTGGGTTTGGCGAAGATACTGTACTTTATCGAACTGTTTGATGTATGAAATTGTTTTTGATTGTCTCCGTTCTATTGTAGACGGATAACTCGTAGAAGGATAAACACCTCCCTATAGTACTACGTAGAAAGGTTGGTGGGCAATTAAGTATTATCGCCGTTGAAAACAAAACTAAATCATAAAGGAAACAAAAAAAAAAACCAAGAAACACAGCAAGCAATATGGGGGATTGGGGGAATTAAACGCCAAATTTACAAAGACAGGCAAGGAAAAGACAGGCAAAGCATCCACAGAGAAACAAGCCAACAAGAATAGGCCTGCTTGGGAAAAGTCAATATAGAGATAGCACATTCGGTATGAATATAGGAGTGCCTCTCCGAACTTCCCCATGCATGCATCAATCAGCTCAGGAAGTAAAATCCAGCGTTAAAATCCTTGATCCCAGATAGGGACACATCACAAGGCAAAAACGTCGATTAAAGGATACTCCGACTGGCCTGGCTACGGCTCGCCAGACTAGCACGGCTGGGATTCGTGCGACTCGGCTCATCTTCCTCAAGGACGTCACTGAGACGCGTAGGGTGACGATGGCGCGGTGTTACGGACTCCCACCCAGTGCCAGGACCCCATCCGGCGCCACTGTAATCCGCAGCGGAGGTGGGCGCAAGCGGAGGGGCGGAAGAGCCAGCAGAGGTGTAGGCACCATCGGGCATGTAGTGACCCTCTGGCAGGGAGTGCTCATATTCCTCGCTTCCCTCTGAGGGAGGGCCTGGTGGGTAGCTTAGGGAGTTGCCATGCGGGTCGTGAGAGTAGTGGGCATATTCATCGTCGCCTGTTTCACTGCTGCCAACGTAGGAGCGTGCGTCAGGTTCTGAAGTGGCGGGGCCTGGGTATGGCACGCTTGTATTTTCATGTTCATACAGTGGACGCGGGTATGCGGCTTTTGAGGTAGGTGGGTCAACCTTTTTGGGTTCAATGAAAGGGTCAGATCCTGCAGGAGACATGGGCGTGCCATCCTCGTAATATTGTCCGCCAGCGCTTCCTGCGGACTTGCCGGGATACGCATCGGTGCCCATGGTTGTAGCCGTCGGGCCGCCGGGGTATGGGCCCTCGCGAGTCTGTGGGCGCGTGGTGTGACGACTAGGGAGACCAGAAACCATAGGCACAACCTGAACGCCTCCGACGAGCGTGGGCTCTCCATTGCGCAGGGAATTGGTTCGGTCGCGCTCTTCTTGTTCACGACGGCCAAGCTCTTCCCAGGCACGACGTGCTTCCTCCTTGGATATTTGAAGTTCACGGCGCATCTCTTTCAGCAGTTCCTCGGCCTTAATTTTGTCCTTCTCGGATTTCTGGGCAGCAGCAAAGGCATCCGCTCGCCCTTGTCGCTCTTCTTTGAGCTGGCGCTCCAGGTCAGCCTGCACTTCCTTCGAGCGTTCTTGCTCAGCACGGGTGTCGAAAAACCAGCGCTGGAACTTGCGTTCGGAGGAGGCTCGTAGACGTTGGAGTTCAACCACCGCATGGAATAGGTTGGCACCCGCGGCAGACAAGTCTGTGATCTGTCGAGCTAATTGTTGGCTCAGCGGATCACGCTCTAGATCGTCATTGTTTTGTTCTAGCTTGCGCATCCAATAGCTGGTGAGACCCTCCCAGTGTGAAGAAAGCGTTTCCCAGCGCTCAAATGCATGCGGAAACCCAACTCGTTTCGGCTGCTGAAGAGCTTGGGGAGCACCAGGTTGTCCTGCAGGAAGGGCCTGGGCGGATTTGGAGAACCCACTCGGTCTGGGTTGACCTCCCATTTCTGCCGCACTTTGCGAGCGACCGTGTTGAGGCTGTTGACCAGTTGCTTGTGTCGGCTGTGGCTGGTTGGCCACTTGCCCCGTCGTAGCTGTCTGTGGTGCGGTCTGGTATTCTGATGGTCGGGTACTCGGCGCAGCATCTACTGCTGGTCGATAACCGGATGGTGGCCCTGAAGCGACAGGCATGGGTTGGGGCTGTCCTTCGGGGCCCCTTGGTGGTCGTGGTGCTCTAATTCTTGATTGGGAGGCATTTTCGGCGGCAACGCCAGCGGCGTACTGTTGAGCTTGGGCTTGGGCCTGAGCCTGTGTTTGTGCCTGTGCCTCGGCTTGAGCTTGTTCTTGCTTCAATTGTTGTCGTTCCAACTCCTCTTGTTCCCGCTCTCGGGCCTCTTGTTCCGCCTTACGGCGAGCCTCCCGATCCCGGCGTTGTCTCATTATATCCGTAGGTGTCCTCATCCCACTCGGTGGCTGCGATGTCCCTGAGATGGGGTTCTGGGGTACACGGGCTCCACCATTTTGAACACGGCCATTGCCCACAGGCCCAGCGGGGCCAGCGACGCCTACCATGTCTGACATAGAAGCATTCACCTCGTCCCAGTCGGTGGAGAGCTGCAGCGGTCCACGGATAGCTTCCTCGAGGGCGAAAAGGATTGCCGATGCAGTGCGCGAAGAGACTCCGGTGGTTCGCTGCGGCCAATATGAGGTATTGAGGAGCTGGTACGGGTCGTCGACAGTAGACCCGTTGTCGTCGGTCTCCGCTTCGGAAAGGGCCGGACGTAGGTGTGCGATGCCACTGGCTGGGGGTGTTGTACAGAGACCGGGGTGGTACGCGCCGGCTGAGGTCTATTGGGGTGTGAGACCGGGGCGCGTGAAGAGACGGCTCGACGGAGGAGTGATTGGCTGACCTCTCTCTGGCGAGGGATGCGACGTAAGGGGCGCTGAGAGTCAGAAGCGCTCGGGGGTCTGAATTGAGAATCAGCTGAAGCCGAAGAAGGTCGTTGAACAGTCGGCTGGCGTTGCCGCGCAAAGGTCGTTAACGTTGATGGGTCGTAAGAGTCGTGGGCTTCGTCAGACGCTTTTCGAGTGTGTCGAGACACCTCTAAGAATGGTCGGTGAAATTGTGGATTGGGCGACAATTTGAGTGTTGCGTCACCGATCGAAACAGCGGAGAGCTCTCAAGGATCGCGATCGCAAAATGACCGATCGCTCCCAGTTGGAATGTTGACAGCCCCAACGGCTGTAAAAATCACTGCTAAATGCACAATATAATGCAATTGGGAGAAAAACAGAAGCAATTCGAAATCAGGAGATGTCAAAGGACGAGAAAGGGTGGGAGTTGTGAGGTGGCTGGTTAATTGAGATGGCTGGGGTTGCCGCAGCTGTAGCTGCAGCACACCAAACGTGTCTCGGGGATGAAGCGCCAACACCCTCCAAGTCCGGCTGCCCGGATTCAAATTCAAATGTGAAGAGATGAAGAAGAATATTGAACCTTGGGCGTTGAGAAGTCGAAGGGTGATCCACGTTCTCCTAAGGCAGGAATGCCAGCGCGGTTCCTGCCCTAATCAAGCCAAGTCAAGGCCTTGTTCGTCACTTTGCTTTTTTGGTTTTTCCAAGGTTATTACGCACTACCTAGGTAGATACTTCGATACTTCATAGGTGGTATGTCAGGTCTCAATATTCGAATGTCATGCGTCCAGATCATAACGTCGCTGCGCAACCAATTTGGGGGAAGCAATACCTCAATAATTAGCTGCACCTGTACCGGTCGCACGGACCGGCGCTATAGTATGTAGGTAGTACTCCGTAAATAGTGCGAAATCGAATAGTCCAAAGCGATGCAATTTTTAGAACATGTGCATGTGCATGTGTTGTAGTGTACAGAGTACAGAGTACGAAATCCAAAGATAGGAGAAGGTCTAGGGCTACAAGGGAACCTGATGAACTCGCAAATTTAATTTCGTCGTGCCATGGTTGACATTCAAGGCTAACAGGAATAGAATCTACGTACCTAAGTAACTAAATATATCATGATGCGTTGGCAGATCATACTTTTGTAGTTGATGTCGGGCAACAATATATCCATGGATATATATATTCTATCATAGGATGTACGTAGGTCAGATATATATCGATAGCATCAACACTTGGAGACTTACCATGTTATTTATTATGCTCGTTCCTTTTTGCATTTTATTTATTTCCAGTTGATTATCATCATATCTTGGTTAGTCTCCATCTGATCCACTGGTTCGTGGCTATTCCAAGGCTACCTGGAACGAACTACTGTTTCCCCCACAATTCACAACCATGGAAAGAGGTCTTCTGATCAACAGTTATTGCGATTTGTTGAATAACTAAAATACCTACATAACTACCTAGGTAGAACTTATTGCTCTATTATTCTACTACTAATATGATAGTTATATCGAGTCCATCTATGGATTTACACGGCACTGTTCAGCATCTCCCCCGCAATGACATCGCCCCCAGCCCTGGATGTTCCCAAGCACGATGACAAAGCGAAAAGAGGTCCCGAGGCCCCCAACCAACCACCGAAGGGTAAAAGTGGATTATTCAGGCACCTCGAATTCAACCCTAAAGCTGAACAAAATTTAACTACAAAGATTCAGTAAAACTGTGACTACAAAAAGATGCCTCTGGACGCACTAAAAAGTGCTGGGACAGAGGCCCCAAAGACCCCCCGGCTTCGGTCACCATAGCAGATGCGCCCATAAAATCCAGGCCGGGCGTCGCGGAAGCCCCCGAGGGGACCCGTAACACTGCACGGGGAGGAGATTATAGGGAGGATCAGGCGATTCTGGGTCCCGGGTAGTACCGTTGGAGTGGGTGATCTGAAGTGCGGCGCGAGGCAGCAACTATCACAACCAAAAAGGGGGTCAGGGTGACAGGAAAGATACGAAGACAAATGAACGTTGTCTCTACACATACCCACCGACCCTATTTTGGTGATAAAAGTGCACACAACAGTTAAAGTGGCTAGAAATTGCTCCGGGGGACAATTTTTGTATGGAGCTGGTCCGTGCACGACAAAATCACCATACAAAGTGGGCCACTTGGGCCCAACCCTGAGTGACTTTTTGAATTGTCGAAGGGACTTGATTAAGATGAATATGTCAACTGGCTTCGAAATATATATTAGGTATTTTTGCAATTCTTGCTTCGAAGGCCTGACGGTTACTTAATGCCTGTTCAACTATGAAATCTATAACACAAATCCTTTGAAATGAAACCAAGAGCTAGTACAAAGTACGAGTATCCTACTGAATGGATTTCACCTATAGCGTTCTAGATGAGTTATGCGCGCAGCTTGTACCCTCCATTGGCTCAATTGCATATCTTAAGCATATAAGCTATCTCCAAATGCAAATAAACACCAGAAGGGGACCACGGGCATCTCTCGGGAAAGCCGTTCTCGGCCGCACCGAAGCCTCCTTCCCCCCGGTGCTAATGCCCAAGCGATATATTGGGACATCCCGAAGTCTCTACAAAATTAGACCTAATTACCTGGGCACCAATACATGTATGCAATATAGCTAGCACAAACCCCTAGCTATGCCCCGAATCCAATACCTAAAGCCAGGAGTCCCCCAATACAAGACTCCACCGAGACTGCAACGAGACACCCAAAACAAACACGAGCGCCCCTAAAGCACTACTGCCTCAGTAATATTAACAACCCCCTACCCAAGGCCTAGACTCCAGGAGCAAAAGGACAGCAAGGGCCATCCCGGAACCGGAAAATTCGATACCTCACTCGGCCCGGGGAAGGTCTTCCCGCACCGCCGCGGACGCACGAATACGAAACCCGGAAACTCTCCAAAATCCCAGTATTGAGGTAGGTTTCAACCATGCCTTGCAGTTTGCAGTTTGGCTCGGGAGCTTGGGGGGGTTTGGGACCGGGGGTGTTTCAGTTTTTCCAGTTTCCAGGTTCCAGGTTCTTGGGTTTGGGGTTTATTGGCCAATTGCAGGAATATGTTTGCTGAGACACTTCCGGGGATTGGGGAGTTGAGTTCCTTCAGGTAGGGATCTGTTCTAGGTCTGTGAATCTGGGATATTGGATTTTGATGATCATCATCAATATTTAATTTTGATTCTGGTTCTCATCTCTGATGAGATGAGGTCCTTGATCGAGGAGTTTGTTCTATCGAGGGATTGGATGTCTTGGATTGTTGTTCCGTTTCTCCTGGGCGAATCCCTTCTGGAGCTAGAACTCGATAGATGGAGCTATGTTGCAATGGAGATGCTGCTAGTCCATTGTGAATAAATCTATTCGAAACTCTATGTGTCTGCACTCAACATCTAACGACAAGAATGTGACCGGGAGGACGGGAGGCGAGGGTTTCTGCGGAGGATGCTTCCGCGGCGAGTTAATCGCTCAGAGATCGCGCACAGTGCATGAACTGGACGATAGAGAGGTATTGGGCCTGCAGATCAGGGGTACTACTGGGGGATGCGTCGATACTTATACATGGGCGGGATGGCTGCACTTCGGCTGTACGTATAGCGGGATGCATGCAAGTCACACTTTTCGATGGAATGTGGGGTTTATTGGCTTAGCTGAGCATATGTCTCTGCTTTGTTTTGTTTTTCCCTGTTTTGGCCTGCTTGAGGGTTTGTAAATTTGCGAGAAGATAGAATGATAGCAATGTTGGGTGTATACAATATGAAACTGGAAACCCATGAGATGGAACGATATCTGGATTTGGATCCAGCACACATGATACATGGGCAGGTTTCAAGTGAATTTGTATGGTCCGATCATAAATCGATCAAATAAAAGAGTTCCTCGACTAACCAATGGCAGCACAATGTCAGAGTTACTAATGCACAACATTTGTGATCTGTCCACTGTCAAGGTATAAGTCCGGCTGTTTGAGCGTCCGACCATCGCGTCTATATTACGGAAAGTTAGGATGGTTAATCCGACTAAATTCAATCTCGATATAGTTTTATTATGAAATCAAGGCAAAACTAGGAGAGATAGGAAAATTAAGAAGACAAGGGAGCAAGTATAACTCCTCTTCCTTCGACCCTACAAAGGTGCAACAAGACGTGATGTCACTATAGGAAAAAGCATTAACGGAATCTAGCCAGCCACTACTTTGTACTCAAAGGCAAGAAGGAAAAAACAAAAATAAATAAAATAAGCCCATGACGTAGGTGATACAAGAACAATTTCCGAGATGGAACGTTGTGGCATCGAACTGTGAGGCTCGAAATTTAACGTTGCTAGGAATACGAAGAATGTGCAACACGGTTGACCGAGCAAAGGCCTAAAAAGTACCGAAGGTCCAAAGACCAAAGTCCGAGTGCGAAAGTACAGCCACAAAGTGACAGAGCAATTGGCCATATAGATCACGGTGATCGGCAGCATTAGTGGCGGATCCCGGGAGCTCCGCAGACTGTCTCTGATATCTCACATTTTCCATCCCAGCCCTCTGCGCAGGACTTCTGCAGAGTGCAGATGTAGTATTATTTTCTCTTTGAATTGTTATTTCTGACAGGCTGAACCTGATTTCAAATGTTGGAGATGTGGTGGTACGAGTACCTCGTGTCACTTCCTTGGCTTCCATAGCACATAGCACAGATCACAGACACGCAGGAAACACAATAGCACAAGAACACAGAAGAACACAAGAGCATGGGGACAGAGATACAATCCACATTGTATGCCTCGGGATGTTTCTTAGAGCTATTGTACGGGTCGAGTTCCGCGCGCCCTTGCTGGGGGACCCAATCGAAGGGTCCTTGCTGCAACCCCATCCCTACGGAAGGGGACCATGCAAGGTCAGATAGGTCATGATCGTCTGTGCTTCTGTTGTTTACATTGTGCATTGGCATGCATCTATTTTTTTTTTCTTTTGGGGCTAGCCACCGGGTCATTGTAGGGCTTCTAGGTCCTCGAGGTTATTTTTGGTATAAACATATCCCCTTCACCCTGGCCTCCACTTCGGTCATTTCATTCTTCATTCCATCTCTTTCTCTCCTGTGGCAGTTCTCCTCTCTTAGATCCATTGTGCTGTGCTTAGATCCTTGTGATCTTGTTTACTCGTGATTCCTTCTCTTTTATCTTACTCGAGCTCACAGTCCCATGGATCACAGAGGTCTTTATTGTCCAGGCGAGTTGGACGTGTTGTATCAAGATCGAAATAGATCAGAGACAACCATTTGTTACCCATCGCCCTCACCTGCAAAGCGAGGATCATCTTACTACCCGGCTGGCCCAAAGGTCCTTGAAGAGTCCAATCTCGATCCATTCTACCTCGAAGAATCATTGGCCGCTACGCCATCTTGGAATCCTTACACTTCGGACATGCGCAATGATAGCTTTGAAGACGCAAACCAATACTACACCCTGTCCTTGAACCACAACAAGGACATCGGCAACCCACTACAATATCCCGGACCAGATCGCTCCACACTTGCACAGGTCGAGTTGGAGAACAGCTTGCGATTCCACCGATACACTTCCTCCACCGAGGAACACAGTCCGCTGCACAGCAGCCAGGTCTCATTCAGCTCGGTTCAAACAGACAGCACCACTCCCGACTTAACACCAAGCAGCTCATTCTCTTCTTCCTACGATTCACCAAGCTGCCCAGACGCCGTGCTCGAGGCCACTCAGCAACTATACAAACACGCACACGAGGTCCAGCTCGAGCCTCGTCGTCGCTTCTATCTTCCTGCATCAACACCACCTACTTACTCTCTTCCCCCCTCCACCTCCTCCGCCGGTGCCCCCTCTCACCGCGGCTGATACCCGTCCCACTACACCTTGCTTCCAACACTCAAACGACTCTACTACAACCATCACCATGGGCTACGAGGATGTCACAGGATCTTGCTCCTCGCGGTCCCGCCGTAGGAAGCAGCCCCCTCCCGTCCTCAACCTGTCGCGTACAGCTAGCTCCCCAAGCGCATCCCGTCGCAAGCAATCCAGCCCTGGAACCCGCCCTCCCCTGGACCCTTCCATGATCTCCCCTCCATCCCTGATTAACCCCGTCACAATGGAACCCCACATGACTCACTTTGACCACCCTCTCTTCATCCCCGCCAATGACTGCCCGAGTCCTGTTCCTAGCCCCGTGGCTAGCTCCCCACCAATCTCCCGCCAGTGGACCGCAACCTCCATGGAGCGGCCTTCTATCTCTACTATCGATGCGTTCTGCGAGCAGTCTGTTTGGGAGTCTGACTCCGACTCCGAGTCTGCTGGACGCAAATCTATGTCTCGCCGGCCCATCGACACATTGCGCAAGGTTCGCAGCCGCGCTAAGCTTCGTGCGGCCAAGTCACAGCCCAGACTTCACCAAACTATGCTTGATAGCCAGGCTGTTGAGCAGTTCCCATGTATGCCAGAGGATATCCTCGGAGAGCCTATTCCCGAAGCTTTCCGTCCTAGCATGGACCGCCCCAGCACTAGCAAGGACGCTGTCCGGTCTACCAACGCTCTACAGACATTGCGCCTTGTTGCTCCTTCCTCTACTTCTCTCACTCGCCCTCCTCGCTCTCGCAAGAACAGCAGTATCAACAGCTCAGACGTTGATCGCTCCGCAGCTGCTGCGTTCCAAGCTCAATTCCGACGTCGCCAGCGCTCGGAATCCCCCGATTACCCCACATCCAATTCTTCTAGTTCCGACAAGGGTGAAAAGGAGAAGTTGACCGCATTCTGCTACGACCAGTACTCCCAAGCGCCGATTACTGGAGTTCGTGAGCAACTACCCCTCTTCGAGCGTTTCATGAACTCCTTACGTTCATTAAACTGCCAGAAACCACCAAAGTCTCACAAGAAGACCAATGTTACAACCATCTGATGCATTTTCACTCGGCGTTCCGGCTCTCTGGGTTCAATTTTAACGGACGAAAACATGCTACAACATACCGACTTTACCAACGATCCCTCCAACGATTTCATATCACTTGTCTTCATGCTTCCAATGTGTCTCGATGACCACGAACACGTCCACTCCCTAACGCGAAACTCCGATTCTGCTTCCTGCGCACAAATGAAAATAATGAATCTCCAGACCCGATTGTGGCTGGACACAGACGCGCTCAAAGACGTTCTCTACTGCGCTACCCCGCGCCACGCAACGAATATCATGTCTACTCCACAGACTATGACTACCGACTCATGACTCGATACCCTCGAGCTAACTATCTTTAATTTTCCTACTTGTCATCTCTTTGCTTTCCTGTCTTGATTGCGCTATTTCGCGTGCTGTATTACCATCGCTCCTGTTTTATTACGAAGTTACTATCAACGGTCTTCATTTATGCCTGACTGAATCATGTCTTGCTATCACTGCTGCGACAATTTCTTTTTTCTTATTCAACCTGTTATCTATAATTACAAAATAGAGGAATACGGCGCCTTCTGTGGTCTGTGTTTCTATGACCCAAAATATGCATTCTGGAGTCTTGCATTCATCAAAAATTGTTTCACTACCTCATTCATACTTTCTACGTACACACAATTCGAAATCATCACATTTTACCTTAAGCATGAATGGACCTTTGTTACTTCGTTGTCTAGGAGATAGGAACTTTGTGGAATGCTGCACTGCGGATCTCGAACAATCCTCAAAGGTATCTTCGATACTACCGCAGCCTCCGCAAACCATCCATTCGACCGAGTAATGAAGACTATGTAACGACGGCTCCCCTCCTCTACCTTGGTGGGAGAGTCATCATAGCCGGTGGGAAGTCATCATAGCCCTACGCCACCCCGCACGGGGACCAAATTACACAGCCCGCAACCTGGACCACTAACAAGGGCGAAAGGAGTCATCAAACCTTCCCCTGAGCCAGGACAAAGTAACACCTCAGCTAGCAGCTTTTGACTTCTGCCTTGTAACAGCCAGCTCGTCGCAACAATATGCATAGTTGGGCTTGAACTGGCCACGTATGTAGTGCGTCATGATCATTCCAAATTCACAATTGTCCTCTTGCAACCGTTTCAAACTAACATCTAGCGACAGAATTGAATCCAGGATCCCGGGTCCGCTAGCCTGAAAACACGAATACGCGGGTTACCTATCAAGTTCTCGATGCACAGTCATTCGTACGTTCCCCACAACGGCTGCACCGGGGAGCTCGGGTGGGGATCCACTGGTCGGGGATGTGGGATGGTCTTGGATCGACATGTCGAGGCGTTGATGTTTGAGTACTTAGGGCTTGAGATGGCACATGCCAACTAACACCCCACTGACCGACAATTGCGCCCAATATACACCTCTCACTGACTTCACACCGAATTGTTCATATTCAAATACTATCTCACTAACAGCTGCACTTACTGTACTTAAGTATATTGTACGGAGTACACAGATCCAGATAGGAGGATAAGACTCATCCCTTGCATGGGCCCCTCAACGTCCGCCAAGAGCCAAGAGCTTCATTGTCCGAGACCTTGATTTTGCATCTCGGCTGGAAAGACTCAAACTATATTCTTTTTATCTATTCTACTCACTGTGTCATACTACTATACAGGCTTAGATCAAATCTACTGATCTAATTCGTCCGATAAAGCCAAAGTCAGCCAACGCTATCCCCGTCTTCCCCTCAATCCTGAACCCGCCAATCTGATATCACACGTCCATTCTCTCTATTCAATCCAACTCCAATCAACCGGCTGATCTATCCCCCCAATAGCAACTTTGACAGGTAGCGCTAGACAGGGGTTTTATTTGGACCGACCAAAGAAATCTCCTTCTCCCTGTGCCGGGGCTCTTCCGCGGCCTCACACGCAAGGTGCTTGTCCACCGGCTGTGCGCCTATTGCGTCCCCGAGACCCGCTATCCTGACGGGTTTCAGATCTATCGGAGTTTGTGATGTGGGGCTGCAGGGTGCTCAATCTGGGATTGGGATGTCTAGACCTTTTTTTTTTTGCTGTTTTGCTGTACTTTTGTTTTGTGTGATGACTACTCCATACATATAGGCTTGACGCGTAGGGCTAAATTGAGTGACATATGACTTGTCGTTTCCTCGTGTTTGACAGGCAGGCGCCATTTGTTTGCTTTTTGTGATATGACAAATTCAGTTCAATTTGTAGAATGCAAATATAATTGAGCTGTTGGCTATCCTGGAGGTCTGGCGAATGTCTCTGAAATCGCAGGAGGATAAAATCGGGTACCAAATCCAACTTGCACCACCACCATGGCAACACCCGTACCTACAGTAGTGTGCAGAAACCCCAGCGTCGGTTTGTCTCAGAAAAACACATCTAGTATATCCCAAACAGCCGAGGATAGACAGTCCGGACCTGCCGTCCGCCCCGCCCGCCCGCTGCATCTACCTTGCAGTGGCAGCGGAGCCTGTTCCAAGTATTTGGATACTCGCATCACCGCGGCAGGGATACACCTTGCCCTGCAGCGGGGAACGAGCAGCGGACACCCCGAGAGACAGTCGGCCCATCTCTGCAGGAACTTAATCCTGCATTCGCATCTGCAAGACGAGAGGAGAGATTTGCCTTCCTCCGTCCCTGTCTCCGGCGGGGCATTGTTTTGTAGATCTTCAGACAAAGTACAGCCCTGTGTTGTATCCATGACAAACACATAGCACAAGCCGAGAGGATGTCTGCGTAAATCCAAGACAACTTCAGCTGTGCTCCACAGCCTGGCCCTGGGCCTCGCCCTTGCCCTTACTCTCCTCTTTCTCCTTCATCTCCAAAGCCTCCATATTCTCCTCCCACCTCGGGACATCAACCCTTTCCTCCCACTTCGAAATAACAACATCCCCCTTCCGTCCAAGCTGTTTCTCCGCTCGTTCCTCTTCCCCGTCCTCAGCTCTGGGCGCAACCTCCGCCGCGCCACCATCAGCCCCGGCAAAAACAGCCTGCACATCCAGCTCCTTAAGCGCAGCTTCATACAGCACCCGGAGCTGCTCCCTCTTCTGCTTCCGCAATTCTCCAATCTCAGTATTGCCACCGCCATCCGTTCCCGTAGATCCAGCAGCAGAATGACCTGCCCGCACAACCGGCTTCTTCACAACACCCGGTCCACTCCGCTCTTCGAACCCGCGTAGCAATCCTTCCATAATACCCAGTACAGTACCGGCACGCATACCCAGCTGCGCGCCGACGGGGAATCCTCCGTCGAAGCCTTCTTGCACGTGCGCGCCCTTTGAGGCGGATGTGCCGTCGCGGTAGCCTGCTGTGACGTGCTGGCGGCGGAGGCTGGGGAGGTCGGAGGGTTCGGTTGATTGGGTCAGTGGGTTAACTGTTGATGGGAGCGGTGCAGTGCGAGTGCTTTCGTGCGGTGGGGAAGAGCCGAAGATGTCATCGAGGGAGTTGGCGTTGTCGTTATCGACTGCGGGGTAGTCTTGGGACATTGTCGTTGCTGGGGAGGGTGGTGCGGACTGTGCGGAGGAGGAGTCTGTGTGGGTTGATGTCATTGGTATGGAATACCTCAGTATTGAGTACTGACTTGAGCTTTGATTGTAGGGTTGTTGTGAAGTGTACGTTCAAGGTCGGAGAAAAAAAGATTGCGGGTCGGCGGGGCGATCCAGCGATCCATATAGACTTACTTCTATGGAGATACTAACAACGGTTTATTAGCGTTGGGTTGTTTAGTATTTAGTATTTAATATTTTTATTATATAGTCATAGCTATGTAGTATGGTATGGTATGTTTGGTCAGATATGGGTACATAGTAGGTAGACTAAAATATGGTTGCATGTACAGATCAAGGCTACTTACTCAGTACTTCGACCGGAAATACATTCCGCCACTTGCTTCATGCGATATTTCTTCCTTGCACAGTCGAGCCCTATTGATGAAATGGTTATTACATGTGGTATAGGCAAAAGAAGGGTCACATACAATTGAAACCTTTCGAATGATAACCTTTCTGGCGGGTTTTCCAAAAAAACTCCAAATCTATACCTGGCTCACGTTTACAGAGGTCAACCTCAATGACTTGAATGGCTATGTTCTTGCCAAATTACTCGGGTTGATCAATATCTCCGTTGTCTCTGGTATTGGTAAAGGCCATATTGTAGATAATAGGCTTTTGTTGGGTTATGAATATTGTGTAGCACTTATCCCAATAACAGACGCGAGGAACGTGAATATAGCCTGATGTATGGCCCTTTCCCTACGAGTGGGTATCCTTACTCTATTTATTTTCTTATGTAGTTATATGTCAAGTACATACTGCCATAGGGTGGGGAAAACAGGGCTTAGAGATGAGCGGGTCGGGGCGATCTATTGACCTACAGATGGAAGGGCAGATGTCTACTATGTCACATCGATAGTACGGTTATATTCGTGTGGATTCGTTTGATTATATACTAACTACGTTGTCTAGTTCAATTTCGGCGTTTGACATATTGAGATGCGAGTGGTAGTATGTAGTAACAGATGCTATGTTGGGCCAGCATTTTCTTTGGCCCCCAAGCGCATCAGACGATGTGCCAAAAGTAGTTAGCAACCCCAAGACCCCCAGTCTTTATTCCAAATCTACGTGGAGCTCTCGAATCAACCTAATCACCACACTCGCTGCTATGCCCAGACGTTCCCTCCGCCTACTAGGCTACACCACCGCCGTCACCAGCATAGCTGGCTACAGCATCCACCGTGGACTCAGCCATCTGGAAGAAAAGTACCCAGCACTTCCTCTCGCAGCGGGTAGTAGAGCCCTCCGCAAGCCACAGAACCCAGACACTCAGCGCTGCGCATATGCCGACATCTACGCAACACAAATACCCCTACAAGCCCTTGAAACACGGGTGCCAAATTCGAAGACACCAACAAAAACGGAGCTCGAGTATGCTTGGGCTAGATCCGTCCTCGAAACTAAGGTCTTACGAACTGAGGGTTCTCTCTTCGGACTTTTCGCGAATTTCCGCTTCACACCGGGCGATACAGGAAACTCAGAGGACGGGTTCTCGCCAGATAAAATCACCGGTGCACCGCGCGTTCTACTGAACGGTATGTTCCAAGTACAGCGGGTCCCCGCCGCTGATGCAGATAGCAATGGACTACTTGTCTCGTTGAAATTGCCGGACGAGCCCCGTGAGTTCTTTGAGCAGATTGCGCGGTGGGGATATCCTTGGCGCTTGATGTCGTCTCTGCGACATGAGATGAGTGTTTCTGAGCCATTCCAGGTGAATGGACAGGGGCTGTTTGTTGAGGTGCGGTTCTCAACTGCGCATGATTACGAGCTTGTAGATGCAGAGGGAGGGTTGGAAAAACAGAAGATAATTCCTGCTTGGACTTTGAGGTTACATCGTGGGTATGCGAGGTTTGTTCTTGATTCTGCTGTTCGAGAGTTACAGCGCGATGTCGGGAAATGATTCCATCAAACAGGAACTTGGGTTGTATTTGGTTTCGAGGTATTGGTGTCTCTTTTCATTGCCCTCACCGGGCCACGCTGCGGCCTTACTCCAGGCCTAAGAACGTGGAACACTTCGGCTTTTGGTTTAAGTTCCCCGGGCCTATAAACTCTCGCAAGCTTTTAGCAGGTAGCAAAAGCCATTTACTCCATTCTTACACTCCGCTCTTCAATATCAAACACACATATGCTTGACATTTCTTCATCTAGGACATTCCTTCGGTGCCCTTTCAGTAAGCACATGCAATAGGCCACATAGTTAACGTGGGTAGATGACATTCATCTCCTGTACTCCACCATTTCCAATCATATAAACATTTGTCCGATACACACCATATTTAACATACAATATCACAAGTTTTGCAATTGCCAGATCCAACCAATCTATTCCTCCCCACCTTCATCATCATCACCCGCACCTGGAACGCATGCCTCCCCATTCGGAATAATAGTCCATGACTCAAACCCATTGTATAGATAGCACACATCCCACCCATTGCTAATGCTCCCTAGCAGGGCACCCTCCCCACCAGAACAGTCGGGCGAGCTGAACATGCAAAGATCATATCGATTCACGTCCGACGGGCTCTTCCACGAGATACTCTTGACGTTTGTCGAGTTGAATTCCGCAAGGTTCAATACCTGACAGTCACGCCGTTGTGCCCCAGAGTAGTGTAGAATGGAGTATTCAATATTGCTCACGGAGCTGTTGCACACTGGTGGTGCCTCGCTGAGGAAACGGAAGTCCCACTATGAAACATTAGCGGGGTTGATCATGACTTCGGGTTGTTTCACGTACGGCTCTGTAGGCAAGGACTGTGAGATCTTCAGCCTTGGGTAGTGCATTCACTGCCCAGGGCGAGACGCTAATGAGCGTCAAGCAAGCGGCGAAGATTTTCATTTTGCTGTAGTTGGTAGAAACAAGTGTGAAAATTAGGATTAATATCAGAAATACGGAGCAAGCTGAAATAAAATGTTTATTTGAAACATCAGGAAGCGCAGAATTGCTTCTTTTTATACACCACGCCCACCCCAGTCAAAACTATTTTAGTCTACAACTGCACCTGCAGAAGCGGAGTCAGCGTCTCCAATCACATCCTTCAACAACCAGTCGAGACTCCATAGGCTCGAGGACAACTCCTTTTAGCTGCAGCTAAACAGCAGCTGAAAGAACTTGGCCAGAGGGGTTTCGGTTACGTTTTTCTTGGCATCGGGGAAAATGCGTCAGGGTCCTGGGTTGTAATTGGATGGATAATTTTCGACACCCCTAATTTCGTGAAGGATCTCATCGGATATGCTGCAGTGCGGGTCGTGCGGACCTGATTATCGGAGGAATAACAGGCGAGTCATTTTCATGGTTACTGGGTACAGGGAAGGTTGTCTCGCCGATTCAGGAACAGGGCGAATCACCGCTTGCTTGGCTCATGAACGAGGGGACGGGGTATTGTCTTATGTGCAGCTTGCAGCTTGCAGTGCTGACATCCAGGGCTCAGGAGATGAGTTCGCTTACTCCATCTGGTTATATGGGTTGATGACCGTGTGGTCAGACCATGACCTTCATGGTAATAATGCCTCATACATTGTGCTTCGTCTGGACCTTTTGATGCTCGCACAAAGCGAAAAGTATATCCAATTTGTACCTACACCAGGGAATTGACCTGTGACACTAGGATATATCAACCTAGCCTCTTTCTAGCTCGGTAGTGGAGGGACACCCCGTAGACTTGCTCTCCTTCCCTGAGTTAGTCATGGCAGTTTGAGCATGTGGTGGAATAATGTGCTGGGATAAGGTTGCTAGAGAGCTTGTGAGGTGCCTGAGTGTCATGATGGGGTCACCCCCCTTCCTCCTAGAGCGTGTTGATAAGTATCAATTGGATTAGTATCGAGGGAAAAGAAGGTCTGCGTACACATTGAATGGAGGAAGGACCTCGGAAGGATAGATAGTATAGGTAAAGAGACAAACACTGCGGTTGCATAACAACATGGCGATTGTCCTAGGTTGAGAGTCGTAGAAGTTCAATTGGATGTTTTGTAACTTGCGCCTGTATATGCGAGTGACCTCGTTCAACCATTACTCGGGATGCGAAAAAGAATGTTAACATGTCTAAATTATTTATTTATTCAATCTATCGAATATCCCACAGAGGGTATAAAAAGACATTATAGGCCGTCACGTCACACCAAAACTCACAGTAGACAAACTGTATCAATTCCGCTGGGGACTAGACGACAACCGCCAAGCCCGAAGAGGTAAGTCCTGTAGCTTCTGCGCAGCAGGTTTGATAAACATAATGAATGTGAGCGTGCCGATGAGCACACATAGCACGTTGGTCATGTAGTACCCGTCACGGTCGACGCGGCAGGTACCACCACCGTTGATGCAGCGGTTCTTCTCTGGCTCGAGGGCGCAGGAGAATGCCGTTGTAACGAGGGCGCCCTTGAGGGATTCAGCGGGCGGGGCGATGGCTGGGGGAAGACATGTTGCTTGGGTGAACATGTCGACGAGTTTGAGGACGAAGATACGGGGGAATGTTCCACCGAGGTTGCAGACGCTAGTGATAGGTTAGCTATTATGCGCATGGTTTATGAGGGGGTAGGGAAGGAATGGTACTAACGTTGCAAGGAGGGTCATGTAAGTTCCGCCAATGGCTGGATCGGCGATGCGGGCATGGAAGGCCGAGATCGCGACGAACATGACTGTGTTCATAAAGGTCGAGAGGACATGTTCGCCAATTACCGTGAGCATGTACCACATTGGCACTTCCGTGGCAGTGGGGTAGATCATGACGGTGAATTGGGCGAGCACGGCGGCTGCCAGTCGTCCGATAAAGGCCCAGCCCCAGAGACGCATTGCTCCGTAGTTCGTTGACCATTGACCGGCATAGTAGCCTAGCATGATTTCAAAGGGGAAGTCGATCAACACCACCAGGGCCATGTTGTCTTGGCCAAAGCCCTTGTCCAGGAGCTTGAGACTAGTGACTCCGTCGTTGGCCTGGAAGCCGATTTTGGCAATCAGGTGAATAAGAATGATGGTCTGGATGTTCTTCAACTTCAACACGCTCCACATGCTTTTATACACATCCATGATGCTGTCACGCTCCTTGGTGCGTTCTTCCTTCTTGAGGAAGGCCAGACCACAGGTCACGATCAGATAAGCCCAGCCCCAGAAGTTGAGATAAGTGCCCAGGGAAAGAAGACCGCCTTCTCCGGGGATGGTTCGGAACCACCTGTTGGCAAAGTCCTTCGAGTTGAAAGCCAAGAAGACAGTGTAGGAGAGGAAATGACCGGCTGTCAACCCGACCGTTTGTGCGGTCGAGGCGTAGGAGATGTTAGGAGGGGACATCAAAGTGATGGCCCATCCATCCACAGCAATATCTTGGGTGGCACAGAAAAGCACCAACATAAACCACCAGTATGTGAATTTCCAGACTCCCGCGCCGCCATTAGCGCCGGCTTGTATCATCATATCCTCGATATGACCACCCATATAGATCATAGCTAATCCGGCAATCACCTGCACGGGGGTAATCCAGCTCTTGCGCCGACCAAAGCGCGTACTCCACACAGCATCGACAATAGGACTCCAGAACAATTTGAGCGAGTATGGGTATGAGGCGAGCGAGAATATTCCAATCTGGCCATATGAGAGGTACGGTTTGAGTAGGAAGGGCACGGAGCCGGTGGCTAGACCCATGGGGACTCCTTGGAGGAAATATAACAAGACCAGCAGCAGGAAGTTGCGGCGATCACTGCGAGGTAGGTTGTGGAAAGTTGTATTCGTCTGGATCGGAGTTTGAGGCACGGCGGGTTCGTTGTCGAGGGAAAATGAAGGTCGTGACATAAGTTGGGCTGTTCTTTCGGCTGAGGTCTCCGTGGAGGGCGTATCCCTCCTGCGCATTTCGATGCTGTTATTCATCTTTCCATTCGCACGTCCGTTGGACCCGGTAGAAACTGTCAGGTTCGCTTTGGAGCGGCGCTTCGAGAGGCTCGCGTTCTTTCGTGTCATTGAATGCTCTGTTATCGTAGGGAGAGATCGCCTTCGTCAACTTTGTCCTGATTGGATCGAGGGTTGAAGTTGGATATTATGATATTAAGTAGTGAAAGGGATGAATTGAAGGTTCCACTTTGAAGGGGTCTGCAGGTTTAGATACCCTGTCCTGTATGTTTAATACCACCGAGAATGAAGGAGTGAATGAGGGATTTGGAAAGAAAGAAACCTCAATAGATGTTTGGTGGGGGGAGGGATCTTCGAACCAGAGGATGACAAAAAGAACATGAGGCAAGCTGTCCTCTTGGCTGTGCAGATCCGGGGAGCCGGGGCAGGGTCTATTTTAGTCTTCTTCATGTGGAAAATGGTCGAACATGGAAATGAACATAGACATAGTCATGGACATGGATTTGAATATGAATCTGATCGTTTGATATGTGTTCTCTGTCTTGTTACACCTATATACCACTTTAGCACTATGAGGTCACCATATCAACACAGTGGGACTCTACTTCGTACAGAGGTCAAGCATATATCATATCAGATCGATATGAACCAAGCCCACCATCTAAGCATATTTAAGGCGTAGACCCCTATAAGATCTGTTCAGATCTTGCGTAATAAAATAATCTAATAATCCTAGCCCATTGAGCCCAAGCTTCTGCATAATCGCGTCAGATGTTGACGTGATCACGTGTCGCAAATAAACTCCAACTCCCCAATCTTCGACTGCGCATGTACAATATCCATAGCTTACGGTCTATGACAACATTGCACCGGAAAACCCCCATAATCACCTCCAGCATTGTACCAAGCTCTACAAACCAACACCCCAAAATGACAACAACCATATCTCACGCTCCGACATCACCAGACCCAGAAGAAGTTGAACTAGACACGGAGATCACCTCAATCCGCGCAGAAAGTACGCATCCCAATCCAACAGAAACCAGAACCAAATCCGAATCTAACCAAAATCAAGTCCAAAACCTCCAAAAACGCAAGCGCATCCTCACATCCAGCCTCCTAACAACTGACCCAATACAAAAACTCCGCAAACAATCCCTACCCCCCACCACAACAAACCAAACCGACCCCCTCACAACAATCTCCCCACTTGTCCACGCCGCCGGTGCACATACCTCCTCAAACCACCATCGCATCGCCTTCGGCGCAACTGCCTTCCCATTCAAAGACCCTTCCCCAACATCCAGCGCCGCGCCCCTCCTCGGCGTGCGCATCGACGTATGCGCCCGCAACGGCCGATTCGCAAAACCATACTACATCCTCCTCCAACATGAGCGAAGCCGCGCGGGTCCCGGTTCAGCTTCTACGAAGATGTTGAAAGTCCATCGACACACAGTGCCCGGGTTTATATCGATAGCGAAGCTAGAGAGTGTATACCTACCGCGGCCGGGTATGACGCGCGACGATGGAGACGGGAATGAGGATGGGGAAGGATCATCTGGCGAAGATGAGGATGCTGGACCCGCAAAACCGTGGAAGAAGAGCGGCAGTTCTACTCGGAAACAAGATCTGCGGGGATTTGTGCGCGAGCTTCGGAGGGAGCTTGTTGCTTGGCATATGCGTGTTGATGCGATTGACTTCCTGCGCGAGAAATTGGGTCTTGTGGGTGAAGGTGGGAAGGCATTGCCGTTTGATGTTTCGCCGGATCGGGATACGGGGATCGTGTCTTTGGCTGCTGCTGCGGTTGAGGCGCGGTATGTGCGAGTTGAGTGGGTTGATGGTCGGGTTGGGCGGTTTAAGCTGTCTAATACCGGGGTTGTGGAGCGGGCTGTTGTTATTGGTGATGAGGGGAGGGATAAAAAGGTTGAGAATGCGATCACTGGGGGTAGTGGCAGAATTGAGACTGTTTTGGATAGGTTGAGGGTGGATGTGTTGTCTGGATCACCTGGTACGCCTGGCACGCCTGAAGTATGAGATGTTGTGGTTTGTTTCTTTTCTTTTCTTTTTCTTTTCTTTCAGCGAGAGATACCCCGATTTGAAGTTTAAAGTTTTTGAATCAATTTGAATTTGAATTTCATTGCAGCTAAATTATAAACAGGATTAGTGTGTCTATCCAATGGTCTCCACCAAATGCCATGCAATCATGAGACCAAAAAGCCGCCGCAATGCGTGTATGGGAAGGGTGACAGTCGATCCAAAAGCATTCAAAAATATTACAAGAAGGGTAAAAGGCATAACAGGGACAGAAGAAGGGGTGATTAAAAGGGTATATTGAGTAGATGTCGTGTCATCGTCTCCAATTAGAGAGGCACATAATCATGGCTGGGATGGATTGTATCGGGTGTTGAAGTTTCGAGCGGTGAGTGTTGCACAACAGCAGTGGGAGTATTGGGGGTGAAGGCGACAAGGGGCAAAGAACCATATGATTGGCCATGTCGCACCTCGAGATGTCGACGTAGGACAGCCTCTTCCAAATACCAGCGGTGCCGCAAAGTCGTCTTTTTCGTTCCCAACGCTTGCACAAGAGAGATTTCCTCTCGTTGGTGTTCAGCTTGCAAAGTAGCAATTTCCTGGATGTGTCGGTTACACATTTCATCCAGTTCCTTTTCCATACGAGCTGTGGCTTCCTGCAGCTTCAGTTCTTGCCGGTCACGGAGGACTTTGATGCGGGCGTCGTGGAGCTGGTCCATATTCTTGTGGGAGTGGTATTGTTGTTCTAGCTGCTCCATGTGTTGGCGAGTGAGTACACGGGCTGGTGGGGTTGAGTCGTATTCTGAGCATGATTCGGAGGAGTGTTCGGATCGTTCGGCTCTGATTGATGTTCCGGCGGGAGATGGCGGTGGGCTAGCATTGCGGAGATACCCCTCCATATGCTTGATGCGAGTGCGCGAATTCATTTTGGCTCGATCGAACTCGCGCTGTTGTTCAATTTCCACGGCCAGCTGTCGTTCTTCAATTTGGGTTATAGCTTGAAGGTTCTGTACAAACGTTTGTTAGCATAGAAGACAAATAAGAATCGAATTTGGTAAAACGAACCTTCTCGCGCTTCTCATCCTCCTGGCGCTGGTTGTCAGACTGCTTCTCTGAGATAGCGGTCTGATGCCGACGCCGGAGGGTACTTAGAGCGGCGTCTTGGAAAGCAAGATGTCGGTCCCTTTCCATCTGATGCCGCTCGTGCATCTCACTTAGCTCCGGGTCGTCCAGACTTCTTTGTAACTCCTCCTTGCTGAACAAGGGGATTTCCAATCTGGGAGGTGATGCCGCATTTCTGGTAGTAGGTGAAACATCATGGGCGGCATCATTAGGTTCCGGTTTCGGTTCGAAGAAAACATGTTCAATGCCCTTATCGCTCGTGGACACAGTCATGCGCCCTTCCGAGGGCAAGATAATGGCCGAGGATGTGCGCCTCTTGCGGAATTGAATTCTCCCAATGGCAGACTTCAAGCTACTCCGTCGCCTCTCCTTTTTGTCGGCAGATGCGACGCTGAGAATTGAATGCCGGTGGGACTTGGCCTCGAAGGTATCCCCATATCCGTGCCCAATAAGGCCTGTCCTCCCCTCACTGGAGCAAAACGAGGTTGGGCGCGTAGACAGCGAAGCCAGCGATCGTGTACTGCCAGCCTTAATGTGATCCGAGGCCAGTGTGATATCCGACAGTGACGAAACGATTTGATCGAGCACCGATGGAACGGGGGAGGCCGGCTCGTGGGACGGAGTAACGGAGCCGCACACGGAATTCCGATCGGTCGACGATCCAGAAGACAGGACTGGCGAGGAGGGATCGACCATTCCTAAGGCGATGGTGGCAGCCAGTGGTGCTGATGCTTCGATCTCTGGCACTTTCAGACCCAGCTCTTGAGCCTCCTCGGCTAGATGTTGCGCCTGCGCTGCTTCGGATTCCGGTGAGGGGTGGTGGAGGACATCGGTGCGATATTGGGCCTCATCAAAGATGGGCCCGGTGGTCGACTCCATATGTACAGTTACAGAAGGTATGTAGCGCCTAACCAGCGGGCGCACATGAAATTCAAGATAGAGCTAAGAATAATAGTCCACATGGACGCATTCTATGACGGCATGGGAATTGTGAGGGGTTGTAAGGACAGTAATTAGAAGAATAAGAGAGGTGGAGAGGTAAGAGGTCCAAGCTAAGGGGAGAAGGGCAGAAAGTAGAGAGAGTAGAAAGTAGAAAGTAGAAAGGGGAAAACAAAGACTTGACGGTTACGGCCTTGTTCGGCGTTTTTTCTTGTTTCCTCATGTTTGGTCGTTTTAGGCAATTTGTCCAAAGAAAATAAATAAAAACCATCATTTTGACCCACGAGTGGCCCTGACGCAATCCCTGGTTACTACTATGGGTAGTACTACGGGACAATGGGGCCATTTTGAAACGGGCTAGTCTTAGATATGAAGATGTTGGGGATATCATACGGAGTAGAGGAGTATAGCGGTTCATATTCTAATTAACTTATGGAGTAAGTAGCTCAGTTAGAGAGGATATCGGAGAGATATAAACTATTCCAGTTCAACACCCCGGCCAGGTCAAACCTTGCGCCAACCTGCATTTCCAACTGTATGCACTTGATCCCTGGAAATCCCCTGATCCAACCCTCAAACCCCTCCATTCTGGCCAGAATGGGAAGGTAGGGCTTAGGGCTACCCGGATAGCCTCGGTCCCATAGAAAGTATGCATCAGGCCATAGATCGGCCCATGTAGAGCTCAATAGTCATGAGCTCAACTCATTCAGCATATCGAATGCCAATTTATAAGCCCGCTCCTTGGCTTCGTATTGTGGAGTTCCCACCCTCGTCCTCTTATCCCATCCATGGCTACAGCCCGCCATGCGCTCGCTGACCACATGCCAGCCTTGCGAGTTCTTGATCTTCTGGGCCAGTTCCTCAGCCTCAAGCGCGAGAGTATCCCCATCTGCGGTGATCATAAGGACACGCTGGGGGAATCGATCCGGCTGGGCGTATAGCGGAGAGATCCGCGGGTCCCGCTTGTCAACCGATGAGGGTACATAGCAGCGGTCGAAGAGACGCATGACTGGAAGGGGAATTGCAAAGTCACCACGGGCTGGGGCAGTCTTTGAACCAGGGCCAGGACTTAGGTCGGTCACAGGATAGAATGCCAGCAGGGAGTGGAACGTATCGGGAGCGAAGAGGCTTGACGCAGCTGCCAGCGCGAGGTTGCCCCCGGCACTAAATCCAGATACAGATACACGGGTCAGGTCGAATTCATCGGGACGCGTGAACACATATTTGATGGCATCTTCCACGTCGTTCAGGGCGGCGGGGAACGGGTGTTCTGGTGCCAGACGATAGGGGACATCTAAGACAGTGTGCTTAGTTTCCTGACTGACTCGTCGACAAAACTCATCGTCGCCACCATGGAGGGGTAGCACGAAGCCACTTCCATGAAAGTTGAGGAGGACAGGTGATGGACCCGAGCCGGAAGGCTGATACAGATGAACCTTGATGGTTCGGCCAGCATCCCGGGACTTGATATGGCGGGTTTCATCTGGACTAGCCGATATATTTGTGGCCAGGCGCATAAACATTCGAATAATATATGCAAAGCATTTATTATAATAATACATGATAATATCCATAGTGGGCGTGGGAGGATGTAGCATGTTGAAGCTGAGTCCCAGCCGAGGCCCAGGGTCAAGGATGCCACTGCTGATCTCCACCCTATTTTAATCTGCGCCCATGTCTTGCAGTGCTTAACCTGGAGGTACTAACTTGGAATCGACTAACATATTTTATTTCTCCTGTCTAATATACGAGCTATCAATAATAATCGGTAAACATCATCCGTCAGGCAAAATTTACGCCCGAATTTCCAGGCACCAATGCAGTAACTAACGTATTTCACAAGCGAGCCGCCACCACAAGCGAGCCGCCACCCAACCCCAATATATTAAATTTAAATGCATTTTTCTCTACCAAATCGCTATCAAATTAATTCAACTAACTAATTTCTCGATCTGGGCATGTTTCTCTTCTATGCCCTGGCTTCCTACATATTCCACACCCTCGCAGGCCCCGCGTACGAGGCTGTAAACCCTCTGAAACCTGCTCACGATAGCTATTGATACGGGCTATTTGGGTCTCAAATGGCTCTGCACGTAGCTCGCGAACCTGTTTAACTGAGAGATCCCCTTTATGAGCTATCTGCCTAGTCGACCGAGTCCGCTTTTGCTTTTTTTCTCATTTTCAGCGCGTAAATCGCTTACTTCTTTTTCAAGAAATGCGGCTGATTGCATATTAAGTTGGCAAGCCTTTAATATCTGATTTATAGCAGAATTCAGTAGGCTTGGTGGGCTCCGAGACCTCATACGAAGCAATACTTTAATTGAGAAAGCTTGCTTTTGTAATTGGACGTAGTTCGTAGGCGTTTTTGGCTCCTACTCGCTCCCTCGGCTCGAGGGGGGTATAGGGGTTCGAAGCTGAATATCAAGCTTTGAAATTACTCGATCAGGATATAAAGGCACTAATCCAGCAGCAGCGAAGCTATTTTTAATAGTGTCTGATTTGAAACTATTAACTCGGGCGGACGGGTAAGCCTCGAGGAAATTAAGTTTATCGATATGATTTACGCCAAAGCGCATTTTCGAATCGACTAATCGACTATATAATCGTTTCAAGACCGCAAAACAACCGATATCGAGTGGCTGTAAAAGGTATAACGAATACGTAGGCATATAAATTGGTATAATCGAGTTTACTTTACAGATTTGATCGAACTTCGGGGTTAAATGACTTCCGTAGCCGTCGAGTATTAACAGTCGATACCGACCTTTTAACCGCGAACTAGTCGCTAGAATAAACAGTTTTTCGAGCTATCGAATACCGATTTCATTAGACGTCCAGCCATTCGGGCTAACTTCAAATCGCCAATCATTCGGTAGGTTATCGAACTATAATTTAATAAAAACTTTGCCTTTGAAAATCACACATAGAGGTAAGACCCAACCCGAGGTATTAATATACTCAATTGTAGTCACCTACTCGCGATTTCTAGGCTATAAAAGCGATCGCCGACTGTAGTATTCGGATCGAGTTATAACTTTTGCAGTCGCGGTTAATCCTATTGCAAATCCGGTCTCGTCGAAGTTATAAATATCATTAGGATCGATGCCGTATTAAAGGATGGTTTTTTGAATAAGGTTAAACCATTCGCTTATGATTTTTAGATCCTCGCATTTCGCACGCTGATAATCGTAACGTTTCGAGAATCGGCTCGATAACTTAGAGTGCCGTTTCACGAAGTTTGTAACCCAATTCGTACCAACCGAAACTGTCGTAGTATCTCCCCGCGCAGCGAGTAAAAGATCCGCCATTTCTCGTACAGTAGAAGGCCTCGGAGCTGATCCTCGGGCGTCTATAGAGAGTATCCATTTTTTAAGCGATTCCTCTTCAATTTGGGTCAATTTATGCGAGTTTGCGCGTGTAATACTTCGTTGAGTGTGGCCGGAAAGACGATCGCGTAAAGTTGACCGCGGTATATTGAAAGTGCGAGCTGTAAGAGTAACAGAGCTTAATTCTTGATTTTTAATAGCCTGAATAGCTAGTAATATCCTACCCTCTTGCTCAATTGAATTTTGCGAGGATCGAGAGCGAATTGGTGGCATAGTGGGTGGTTGAATTAATAAGTTCTAATTCATGGACGCGATTTCGGGTTGGGTGGCGGCTCGCTTGTGGTGGCGGCTCGCTTGTGAAATACGTTAGTTATACAGTGTAACTTTTCCCCGACAATCGAACTGACTGGGGTGACCTTACCAAGTCTAACACGGACACTTTAGATCCGCCGTCGATTCATCTGCAATATCTCCCTTCTATAATCTCCGTAATGTGAACGATTCCAACCTTGGAATACTCTAGTGCGTCGATATATCTGACCGTTCGTGGTGGTATTTAATCTCCTAACAATTAGCTCTCAATTCCCCGCATTAAGAAAATTCCACGCAGAGCCTCATTATCTTCCACGCACCTTGTCTACCAATCAAAATGACCGCCTGCCGTCGTCACGCTCATCCCCAACACTCATCGCCATCACATATATTGTATCCTTTTTGGAGTTCCAAGCTATCTGGGAAACAATCATCTAGTTTCCAAAAGCCCTCCGTTTTGGCTATCATTAAGCAAACAAGGTCTGCTTATTGAGCTGGACAGGAGTGCTGGAAGATCTCGCATTCAACATCGCAATCTACACCCAATCTACACCCAATCTACAGAATTTACAGCATGTCCACCAAAGTCGACCCCGTTGACACTAATTTTACAGTCTTCATACGCCTACCATTCCCCAGAGGCGATTTTGTTGATCCGCCGCCTGCAAGTCTCCCAAAGAGCAACCCCTTGAGCATCCACTGACGTAAATAGGTGGAATGGAATGCATCCAAAGATCAAGCGCTATGGGATATCCTTTCTCGGCCATCAAAAGGCGATATTGACTGTATGTATTCTTATTCCTGTTACTTCGAGACTTTGTTTTGTCTTTTTTTGACATCACTGACACCACCGCAGGGAAAGCTTTGTAACTGCTCTCTACCCGGGACACTGTAAAGCCGCCGGCTGCTAACATGGTTGATATAGGGCAGAGAACTTCGAGGTCACCTTGCAGTTCCTTCTTCAGCAGGCTGCATGGCTCTATGATCGCCAGCTGTCACAGGTTCGGGCTCAAATGCGCAAGGTCGGCACTACGCAGTCGACCTCTCCTTCTCCGGCTCTAGGATCTGTCTCTGGTAGTACGGCCTTGTCACAAAAGGAAACGCCATTACCAGGTATATCCCATGGTTACTTTAGATCCACTACAATCTGAGACTAATATCAATAGGTTCTCGGGCGCCATCACGGCAAGTATCTCACCAGAAAGATATCCCTGTCCGAGGTATGGACCGAAACCCTACCCGTCTGCGTACGGGACATTTGATACCGTCGATGGATCGATCGCGTCTGACATTGACTACAGCCCCCGACAACCGACGTACGAGCTTTACATCAGCTACAGCTACTAACCAACCTCGCGGATCCCGGGACCCTGCACGCACCGGCACGCCGACAACCGAGGAGAAAGAACCACGCTGGGATTCTTTTGGTCGTCGGCCTTCGACTGTCAGACGGGAACAGCCGCCTGTCGCGTCTTTACCCCGGTCTCCAACACTGGAGGAAGAGCCTCTGTCCACGAGCTCGTCGGAGGAATCTGAATCCGACGATGAGGACACAAGGCGTGCACCCCTGTTCAAGCGGTTTGGCAAATTTTCTACCCACCGGTCTGGTCTCCGGGATGATGAGGACGACGAAGAAGACACTCCGGCGTTCCTTCCCATGGCTCGAGAACACCAACATACCCATCTGGATCGTCCAGGCCAGGAACTCAGCGCCACCCTCCGTTTAGATGCCGAGCGTGCAGCGGCGCAACGGCGACATCACGAACAGCGATCTGGTCCCAGAGTACCCGTTGCTACCGAGTCATCCACCAGCTCTATCAGCTCCGGCGGGCGTAGCAGCCTACCCGGTGGACCCAGACGGACCAGCCAGGGGGCATCGATCCTGAGCTCACAGCGCGCCGCCGAGCGCCAAAATTCCCGCAAGTCCACCGCTTCCGGTCGGGAAGCTAGCGACGGTACTCCCAGTATGGGAAGCAGCTTCAGTGACCTCGACGGTATGTGTCCCAACCCCATGGATTCCGAATATCAACTAATCAACTTGTCAGATGCAAGCGTTACCCAGTCAGCCTTGGAAGAGGCCCTTCTAAGCAACATGCAGCATGGTGGAATGGCGAGTCGGATGAGTACCATTAGCCAAGCCTTGCGCAGCCGGTATTTGCAGTGAAATATACCTCTTACATAGCAACATCAATTTTGGCAGATTGCAATCTACGATGTAGTATGATGTGTATGATGTAGCTCATGCGGGTTGTCCAGATGTCCGCATATGGCATCCACGTGACTGAGTGGCACCTCGGTATCTCGGTGATGCGCACCAGTGACATAGACATTTGTGGATATCTTCACTTTGACCGGAGCTCTCTATACTCAGATATTCCAAGTATTCATCGTCACGGATCGGTCAAACGGGAGCGCTAGTGCCGGATCAGGACGATCATTCTCAACGCCCACATATAATGGAGGGGTAGCTCAATCTAGCTACCTGGTTGCCTTGGGAAAAAAAAAAAAACGTTGAATGTACTCCGGACAATATAAAGAACTCGTGGGTATTCCAAGGTTGTGAATAAAGGAGACACTTGACCAACCCTGGAAAGCTGACCGGCATCAAAGAACATCCACTGCAACCCCACCAAGGCCCCAGAACGCGGAGCGGCAAGCCTCGGCATCTTAGTTGCAGTTCACCTCAACGACCGACCTTCCGTTCACAATTGTTCACCTCTTTTTCTCGGTCGCAAATTATTCTATCTATAATCCAAAATGGCCGCCCCATTACTCGGCGAAATGTCCCCAGCGGAGGCAGAATCCGTCTATTTTAATGAGTACCCCCCACCAAAAGCCCTACCACGACATGAAGCGCTGGCACGCGCATTCATTAACCTACACGTGGAGGAGAACCGCCGCGTAGTACTCGTCACATCTGGAGGCACAACAGTACCACTTGAAGCGCAAACAGTACGATTCATCGACAACTTCTCCGCCGGAACTCGAGGCGCCACATCTGCTGAGTACTTCCTGGAGCAGGGGTACGCAGTCATCTTCCTCCACCGACAATACAGTCTCCTACCATATTCACGGCACTACAGCCACTCCACCAATTGCTTCCTGGATTTCATGGACGAGGCGCCTGCCTCAGCGGACTCCTCCAACCCCGGCCATGGACCTATCATGGTGCGCGACGAGTACCAGGACCAGATGCGCAGCGTGCTACGGAAATATCGGTACGCGAAGCAGAACAACCGTCTCCTACTGTTACCGTTCACGACGGTCTCGGAATACATGTTCGAGCTGCGGTCAATTGCGAAGCTGATGCGGCCGCTTGGACCAAATGCGCTCTTCTACCTTGCGGCTGCTGTTAGCGATTTCTTCATTCCGCGCAGTCGCATGGCAGAGCATAAGATCCAGTCTGGGGATTTGCCTCCACACATGCGTGGCAGCGCAGTCTCAGCGGATGAAATCTATACGGGCGAGAATGAGGAAAAGCCCTCGTCAAATAGCAGGAAGCTTGTCGTCAACCTCGACCCCGTGCCTAAGTTCCTGCACCAATTGGTGGATGGATGGGCTCCGGAGGGGAGTATGGTTGTCTCGTTTAAACTGGAGACGGATCCTTCGCTGCTTGTCTACAAGGCGCGCACTGCGCTGCAGCGCTACTCCCATCACCTTGTAATTGGCAATTTGCTGTCGACGCGCAAGTGGGAGGTTGTTTTCATTACACCTGATGAGCCGCATGAGCGCTGGCTTCGTGTTCCCAAGTCGAGACGCAGCAAGAGTATCTCTGGTGTTGAGGATCAAGTTGGCTTGGCGGAGGCTAAGAAGGGGAATTCGGTGACGCTGGAGCAGGCGGAGGCTCAGCAGATTGATGAGAGTAGTCACGATGGAATTGAGATTGAGAGTCTCATTATTCCAGAGTTGGTTAAGTTGCACACGAAGATGATTGAGAAGCAGACGCAACCTGCGCAGTGATGGTTATATGGGCTATACAATAATGCATTCTTGGGTCTTGGAGTTGAATTGATTAATACTGTCTTGGATTCCGTGTAGTAATATATACGTATATAATTCTATATAATTTTCTTATAGCTAGTTGATACTTTCAATATCCTGCACTGCCCGTGCTGATCTCCGGTGGATCCTGACGTCGTGCGGGAGGGAGCTGTTCACCCCCTGAAGAAATGAAGAAGCCTGGGATTTCTCAATTATGGCAAGGGATTACCATATCTCAAACAAGAGGTATTTGATTCAAGGGGCAGCTATTTAAAACCCTACAAATTCCACTTGGGCTACGCGTCCCGATGTGTCAGCGGCAAACTTCGGCGTCAATCAACTTTAGCTCCGACTTCCCCAGTTCTTTGCTCTTTTGGTTAACAGGAGAGGGGCAAAAGGTCTGAGATTCATCTGCCCCAGCGGAAAATGACCAATTGATCTATTCACTGTTTGGTGTACTCATATTCTCTCAGCATGGTGCCCCGCCGGTTCAGTCGTCGCCTGATTGCAGTTGCAACCGTCATCGCACTCTTCTTCCTCTATAACATCGGCTTCCTCTCCGACAATACTCGCCAATGGCGCCCTCACTTCACAACACCCAGAGAAATCCCCCCGACCCTCGACGAAAATGGTGAACCAGCCCCATTCTGCCCACCCTTGCCAGGCATCGAAGATGTGCTCGTGGTAATGAAAACCGGAGTGACGGAATCGCGCGAGAAAGTCCCCATCCACTTCAAAACAACTTTACGATGCATCCCCCACTTCGTAATCTACTCCGACTTCGCCGAAGAAATCGAAGGCGTCCAAATCCACGATGTCCTCGCAAACATGGACAGCGCCGCAAAGAAGAACCCGGACTTCGACTTCTACCACCGCATCGTGAAATACGGCCGAAAGGGTCTGGAACAACATGATTTCTCCGATGAAGCAAACTCCGCCATCGGAAAACCAAACAACCCAGGCTGGAAACTCGATAAATGGAAGTTCCTCCCAATGGCACAGGAAGCGCTACGACACAAGCCAGACGCGAAGTGGTTCATCTTCGTCGAAGCGGACACGTACATCTCTTGGCCAACGGTCCTTACCTGGCTGGCCGGGTTCGACCACACAAAACCACAATATCTTGGCACGGAGACTCAGATCGCAGACGTTATCTTCGCCCACGGTGGTTCGGGCTTCATGCTCTCGAACCCTGCCCTACAGCGCGCCTCTGACGAGTACACCACCCGCGAGATCGAGCTGAACAACTTCACAGACGAGCACTGGGCCGGCGACTGTGTGCTGGGTAAAGTCCTCAGCCACATTGGCGTCAACCTACACTTCACATGGCCGATCCTTCAAAACTCCAACATCGGCGAACTAGACGAGTTCACAACAGACTTCTACCGGAAACCATGGTGTTTCATCGCCGTAGGCCTCCACCACCTCTCGCCAAGTGATATCGAGAAGCTATGGAAATTCGAACAAAAGCGCTGGCGTGATGTGAGTCGACCCAACCCCAACTTCTGCCCCCCATTCATCTACTATCCCATAACATCATAACATTTCCTAACCCTTATACTATATAGAAAAACAAACGAATCCTCCTACACAGCGACCTCTTCCGCGAATTAATCTCCCCGGAAATAACCGCACAACCCATACGACCGAACTGGGACAACATGGCTAGCGAAGAACAGCCCTTCGCACATAATTTCGATGACTGTCGCGTGATCTGTGAGACGCAGAAAACATGCGTGCAATACGCTTTCCGTGAAGGTAAATGCTTCACGAGTCTCAATCCGCGTCTCGGACATGCGGTTCCCAGTGGCGATGCGACGTCCGGTTGGATTACTACTCGAATTCGTGATATGACGGAGAAGAAGGGGTTGTGTCGCAAGCCGGATTTCGGGGATTGAGGTGGTTTTGACTGTACTTTCATATTGATTTTGCTTTTTTTTTTTGCTTTTTTGGGAGGGGGAGAATGTTGATTCTTTTGCTATAAATTATTTGCGCTTGCATCGAGAGCGAGAAATGGGTACGCTTTGGCATTTGCTTGGTTTGGAGCCCGGTCTGGTATTTGGGCATACCGGGTAATTTGGGCTCGTTTTGGGAGAACTTGTGTTTTTATTCTCCTCGGTTGCTGTACTACCATCTCATCTGTTCTGTGGATGACCATGAGCTTGAATGGACAAGCTGTGTTCATGGCGTTGGTGTTTGGTTGAACACTTTTGATATACTTGCTTGATTGCTCAATACACATCTTGACACACTTGGATGGGTTTCCATTTGGCTTTGTGGAGTCGCAAGTGTTGTTTGCTCTATCATTGATTCACTGTTCTAAAATGTAACTGGAAATAGTAACAACAAATGAAGGCTAGTATTGCTCGGATGGTGTCAAGACACCAGTTAGGAGAAAGATTATGTATACACTTAAGAATATACACAGGAAAGGTGCTGCTGTGAGTCTATACAGATTTCACGTCATTGGCCATTCATAGTGGTGGAGCGGATACATCCTCCAAACACTGATCGATACGCATGATGTGATATCCAGCACCCTTGATATGTCGAATAAACTCCGGTAGGTACCCAATGGTAGTCGGATTCAGGTAGTGCATGACAGCAAGATTCCCGCCCTTGCCAACACCGCGGAAGAAGGCTTCAAGCTGCTTCTCTGGGGTGGACGTGTTTGCCCATAGCCAGTCTTCGACATCAACACTCCAGTTCACAATGTACGGGTTTGGTATGTGTCGGGCTAGCTCCTGGCGCAGCCGGGCAGCTACTGTACCGAATGGCGGGCGGAAGTATGAAGCTGCAAATAATGTTTAGTCAGAATCATTTTTCAGGATGCATCAGGGTATAGCATACACTGGATGCCCAGCTTGTCTCTAAATATTTGCATGGACCGGATGATCTCGTCATCAATATCGCGGAGGGTTGGCAATGACTCCATCCTTCATCACCATGTTAGCCTCTTCACATTAAATTCAAATGCTCAGAACAAACTTACTTTGGATGAGTGTTTGAATGGAGCGCCACTTGGTGACCCTTCTTCAACATCTCCTTATAAAACTCCGTGAAATTACTTGACTGATCTGTGAGTCCCGCCCCAACAACGAAGAAAGTAACCCGAACATCCTCCTCGTCAAGGATGCGCATGACCCGCTGAGCGAACTGCGGCTGTCCATCATCAATACCAAAGGCAAAGGAATTCGGACGCGAACAACGGAGAACCAATCTCCCATTGGGCAGCTTCCCAGGCAACCGATAGTAACCATTTTCCTCCGACGGCATTGGAATATCAGGCACGATCTCCACATGATGTAGAGCGATTGGTTCCCTAGTATAGAAGCCATGGAACGAAACTGACACGACACGATTGAAGTCAATATCAAAATGAGTCAGAGGGATATAGAGCTCACGGTGGCCCGATGGAATTTTGGTATGTCCTTGGGGGTGCTTGCGTCGGCCTCCCTTGGATCTTCCATGCTTGTGCTTGTTCCTCCCAGCATTGGCGTCCACATCATCGTCATCATCATCGTCCCAACCTTTATCCTTCCCAAAGGCCTCAGAGGTAGGATGAACCACATACCGCTCCGCCTGGACGGAGTCGGCAATGCCGGGGAAGGGACGGCGTTGAGGGTTGCATTCGTCGTTGTGTTGGTTGAAAGAGATGCTGTACTGATCCGTGCCCTCGAAGATGACATGGAGGTACTCGTTGTACCAGGGTATTAGGTTGTAGCAGGTTTGGGAATCGAACTGTGTGTGGAAGTTCTGATCCGGGTCTGTTGGGAATAGACGAATGAAGCCTGGCCCGTATTGCACAGGTAGATTCTCACCGGATCCGTGCCAGAATCCTAGGTCATTGCGAGTTGGATTTTTGAAAGTGTCGATTACAAGAGGCGGGCTTGCCTTCTTTGCTTGTGAGGTGTTATACGAAACGTTGTGGGTGAGTCCTCGGAGTTCATTCCAGTGACCATAGTTAACAATTCCCTGAAATAAAGCCGAGGTTGGGAGCAATAACGAAAGAGCGGCAGAACATATGAATAGCCAATGCATGACGAATAGTTTCCTTCAGAAAAGATCGAATGTGTTTCGGTTGACGAGGTCAAGGTGGAAATTGTAAGAAGCGTCGTTTGTACTCGGAGTAGTCTAAAGAGTCAAGAACGTCTGACTGCACATTTATACAGGAAGGAGCTACCTAGGTATACTTCCTTGGTTTACAAATCTCTACATCTCTACGCTCTACTATCTATCTCTACAAACAACAAGGGAATGAAAAATAAAACTAGATAGTTGCGTAAAACCCATGAAATCCGTAATGTGGCACATCTGCTCGACCTTTGCATCCATATCACTGCCTTCGCACGCACGATAAAACCCATCCAGTCCTGATACAACAATGCAGGAGAAATGGTCTTAGGTTCCACAGATCCAGGTTGCAAATTGTCGAGAGATCAAGCCCTCAAAACTTCCTTCAGGCCACTGTGAGATCTGATCCTGATCATCCAGGATAAAATTGGGAATTTGGTAAAAATCATCTTCTCCACCATTGGACTTCTTTCGTTTCCATTTTTTTGATATTTTCTTGGAGATATTTTCTCGTTCCATTGTAGTTCGTGTTTGTTTCCGTGTTCTGCGCAGCCATAGTAAGGCAGAGCTCTAGAACCAGAACGAATCTTGGTCCTTGGGAGGTGGGGGTACAGGGGCCCACTGAGAACCTGCCAGACCAGCCTTGATCTGCTTGCACTTCTCTTCCTCTTCCTTGCGCTTCTTGCGTTCGGCCAAGGGCGGGGCTGGCGCCCACCATGAAGAAGCATCCTCCTCCTCGGATGTAACAGTAGGATTAGGAACAGTGAGCTTGCGAATCGGGGGGGTTGCTGTTGTCATCGGGGCCGCTACGGTCATCGGGCTCGCCACCATTGGCAGGTTCATTGTTGGCATCTTTGGCATCGCTTGCAACCGCTTTTTCACTCTCCTCAACTTCACCAGGCTCAGCGATAGGGTTGGATTCAGCTTCAGCTTCAGCCTCGGCGTCAGAGCCAGCGGCAAATCCATCGTCAGAACCGGCGTTAGATGGGTTGTGAAAGAATTCCTTATCAGAGTCATCGTCGAACTCCAGCACATCACCCTCGGGCCGATAGGCCTTGAGGAATTCCGGGACCTCTTGCTTGCATTCGATCAAGATCTTAACAAGATCCGGGGCAAGATCCTCATCGCGCTCATTGAAGAAAGACGTGGCGATGCCTTCGTTTCCAATGCGAGCAGTACGGCCTGTGGATAGTAGAAATACGCATTAGTCCCAATATCATCAGGAGAGTCGGAAATAAAGCGGTATCAAGCTAGAGTAAGACATACCAATACGGTGAATGTATTCAGTGATGCCCCCGTGCGCGGCGCTGGGGAGATCGTAATTGACGACGTGCAGCACATTGATAACATCGAGCCCACGAGCGGAGACGCCGGTAGCAATCATCACAGGACATTTTGCAGACCGGAAGGCACGCCTTTTTACGAAGGGTTAGCGAGGTAAAATAAAAGAGCGGAGGGAACAAATACTCACATAGCGTCTTCTCGCTCACGTTGAGTTCTTCCACTGTGAATGGAAGTAGTAGGCATTCCAGAATTGTAGAGGTAATCGTCGACGAAGTCAACCTGCTCCTTGCTGTTGACAAAAACCAAGGTACGAACAGGCGGCATGCTGATCAGAAGGTCATAGATCGCACGCATCTTCTTGTCCCTATCAACCCAGACGATCTTCAAGTTTCACTAAGCGTTAGCATTGACCGGGAACCTTACATGCATCTCGTAATCTCCGTGGTTCACATACATCTTGCACAACGTTGTGGTGCGAACTACCGGCTCGGCCAACGCGGAGACGCACATGGTCTTGGCTGAGATATTTCTTTGCAAGCGACCGGAACTCCTTGTTGAATGTAGCAGAGAACATCAAGTAGCGGTGGTCATCGTCCTCGTTCACATCTTCTTCAAGTCAGCAACACTGAAATGCAGAAACGTGTAAAGTCGGGGTTAAGAGCGCGCGCCATCGCAAACGCTTCCAATCACTTACCTCCTCCAGACATTATCTTCTTGAACTCTTCCTCCCAGTCTGAATCCAGCATCTCATCTGCCTCGTCAATAACGGTGTACCTGTACCGCCATTAGTATCAAACATATGCATGCAGGTATATCAAGTAAGTCATAAACATACCTGACGCGGCGGAGAGAAAGAACGTGGGTCTGTTTCATGAAATCGAGAAGACGGCCTGGAGTGGCAATCAGAATGTCGCATCCTTTCTGGAGCTCCTCACGCTGGAGGCCAGTAGGAGCACCGCCATAAGCAACACACGGACGCAGCATGGAGCGATAGCACAAACGACGCGATTCATCAAAGATCTGAGTGGCTAGTTCACGAGTGGGGCAGACGATCAGAACTAGAGGCTCTGCTCGAACAGCATCCTCCCTTGGGTTGAATCTCTCCGCGATGTTAGGTCGAGGAGCAGCCAGCTTCCTCGCCTTGCCCATCAACTTGGAAAGAATTGGAATAAGGAATGCCCCCGTCTTTCCGGAGCCTATATTTTGTTAGGATCAACTTGTGCCAAACACCATACTCCGCTGCACGTACCAGTTTGTGCCACGGCAATAAGGTCAAGGTTGGCTAGAACAGCCGGAATTGCATATGACTGAACCGCAGTTGGTTGTTCGTAACCGCAGAGACGAATATTCTCGAGCATAACCGGATGCAAACCAAAGTTTGCCCACTATGAATCGTTAGACTGGCAAATTGTTGCTAAGTTCTCTCGCAGACCGACCTCGGTAACCGCCTTGATCTCGTTAGGGCTCTCAATGTTGACCTTGTAGCTGTTCAACCTGAAGACAAAGGCAAGTTAGATATCAATCTGGTGTCTGGTTATCAAATTCACGTCACTTACTCGTCAAGCTTAGCCCCCGGGCGAGCAATCAGTTCACCACGGAAAAGCTGTTGCTCGAGTTCAGGGACATCAGGTCCGACATCACCATATTCGTCCTTCCATTCATAACGGACAGCAATTCCAGCCCAATCACGATGATCCTTGTTATTAGCAAGGTCCGCATATTCGAATGGAACTGGTTCAGTCCAACCCTTCTCACGGGCAACCTTTTGAGCAGCTTCGGCGTTGGGTCCGACACCAGAAAGAACGCCCTCGACAGGCGGCTCTTCAGCGTTGGAACCGTTCACAGAGGCAACCTCAGCGGCCGAGATGGACTCGACAGCTGAGGCAGCGCCAGCAGCCGACGCAGCATCAGGGTCGTCGTAAGAATCCATATTCTATAGACCTGTTGTGGATGGTAAGCGTCTCGGATGATACCTGTCAAGACAGGCAATGGGGTAGATGACTTCGTCGTGTGAAGGGGAAGAGGAGAGGAAGAGGAGATGGGCAAGCAGTGAATTTTTATTTATTTTGCAAACGATAACAGAACGCGCGATACATATAGTAATGCACAGTATCAAAAGTAGTGGATTGCGCGCGTAACTACCTTGTTCGTCCTCGACGCAGGAGTACTTCGACTAGACCCAAAGTTATTATTGGAACGCCATACAATACAGAAGTACACTCCAAGTACCACTCTTGATTGGGAAGGAGCGACCCACCGATCTATATAGATCTACCTAATATATCGACACCGTCCATATATCCAACCTTGGAAGACAACCTTGGAATATACATACATCCCCATACAATCTACTACTTGTATTGATGTACTTTGTTCAATCTTTGAGAATGGTCGGTCTATACATTTATACGCCAATTCATATGTGCAACCTTAGGTCCAACTAGTTTGCTACAATCCTTCTATATCAAACTGTCTTTCATCCATCTGCTTCGTCCATGTTAGTTACATATTTCACTCCACATCTACACGGCTGATCATGTGCAAATATAATCATGTCTATGTGAACTATGTAACTAGGTACATATGGAGTGAGTATTTAATACTTCATTCTTGATTCTAAAAGCGATCTGAAGTGACAACCGAAAAGCCAATTTTGAAGTATGTGTATATCGGCATATCATAATCCTTCCAAGGTTGAATGCCACGATCTACCAAGCCCTAGAGCCTCGGGACGTTAAGCTCCTCGGTTTCCAACGAAAGAAAAAGTGGATCTCCAGTGGCCCGTTCCGGGTAGAAGGAGATATACGCAGTAAGCCTGGGAACGGCTACCTTCTTTATCTCCGACTCTACTCCATACCTCCTTTACATTGAACATTCACCATGGCCTCCGAACGGATGGAGGTAGATACCAATGCTCCGCGGAAGCGTCCGAACCGTCTGGAAGCTGCAATTACCAATCCCGGCGCCGTCAAAATCAACGTCACGGGCGCATTCATTGTCGACGACGAACCTCGATCAAAGAGTCCCGTGGACGCAGAGGGCGTACACTACGAAAACAAGGATATTCGACTTCCGCATCATACAGGCGTTGTGAGCCATGTGGCTGTCGATGTGAGTTGCTCACGAGAATTTTATTTTCTCTGCCCCGCACTGCTTCCGGTTCCCCCGCAATCTAGGGGCCGCACACACAATTCCTTCAGAACACCAGAAGAAAGTATGGCTAACGAGGAATTGGGCCTTGATAGATTGGCGGAACACTTGCGAAGCTTGTTTATTTCACCCGAGAGCCAGACACCGAGGATAATGGTGGCCGACTCAATTTCCTGAACTTTGAAACCCAACGGATCGATCTGTGCATCAACTTCATTCGACAGCTTAAAGAGGAACACGAGAAGCGCAATGGTTCGACACGGGAGGGACTGTGTGTGGTAGCCACGGGGGGTGGCGCATACAAGTACTACGACCGGCTGAAAGAAGAATTAAATGTTAATATTCTACGGGAGGAGGAGATGGAATGTCTGATCATTGGTAAGTCATTGAATATACCGAATCATAGAGCATGCTGTCTAACATCTCCAAAAAAAGGATTGGACTTTTTCATTACCGAAATCCCCAACGAAGTCTTCACATACAGTGATGCCGATGCTGAGCCGATGCAATACGCCGAAGCCCGGCCCGACGTCTACCCTTATCTTCTCGTCAATATAGGATCAGGTGTCTCGATGATAAAAGTCTCCGGTCCAAGACAATTCGAGCGTGTCGGCGGAACACATCTCGGTGGTGGAACGTTCTGGGGCATTATGTCTCTGTTGACCGGCTCCCGGACCTTCGACGATATGCTAGCAATGGCCGACCGGGGAGACAACAGCGCAGTGGACATGCTTGTCGGAGATATCTACGGCATGGACTACAGCAAGATTGGCTTGAAGAGCACAGCTATTGCCAGTACTTTCGGCAAGGTGCTCCGGCTGAAGAACGATGCGGAGCAAGGTGCTGAAGACGGCGAGGGCTTGATCCGCGGCGACCCTGGTGAAACTAGTGATTCCGGGGAGTCTAGCCATGGACCCAAGCCCAATCCGGAAGATATGAGTAGGAGTCTGCTCTACGCCATTAGGTACGTTACATTATCTCCATTCTCCGACGGAGTCCGAACTAACCCTGATTAGTAATAATATTGGTCAAATCGCATATCTGCAGTCAGAAAAACATTCAGTCAAACATATTTACTTCGGAGGTTCATTCATCCGGGGCCACCGCCAAACGATGAACACTCTCTCCTACGCCATCCGCTTCTGGTCCAAGGGCGAGAAGCAAGCCTATTTCCTGCGCCACGAGGGTTACCTGGGTGCCGTCGGTGCCTTCATCCGACGCCAGCCACAAAACTGGGGCCGCAGAAACAGTGTTGACGAAGTGGTTGCACCGCAGGCGGTCCGAAACCTCGTTCAAAATAACAATGTCCTTCAACAACATAGCAGGGCGTCCAGTGAGCTATAACATTTGATATGCGAAGCCATTGTGACCCTACCCTCCCTCCGCTTTGAGTATTGATACCCCTTACAAACAATCCGTGAACTAGCAATCTTGTGCCGACTTCTTGTGTGCACCCAGAGTGGCTGCTTTAATTGGCCACCTGTGAAAAGCCGATGTGGCGATTTCGGGCATTTGTCCATGTTGTACATTTAGATCTATCTGAAGTTTTCTAGCTTCTTGTTTGAATTTCGGACATGTTCGGTTATCATGTTAGAGAAATAATTTCTTTTTTTTTTTTTTTTTTTTGGCTCTAGGCTTTCTACTTTAATTGTCTCATTCTAGTTGCCTCGGTTTGCATTTGGCATTGGATCGTCAGTGTTGCCAGTCATAGTTCTCTACAGTTCTTAGCTAAGGATGATATACAGGTTGTTATATGTAAGAACTCTGATGTGCTTTTAGATAAAGGCGTTAGAAATCATAAACCATATGGAGGACAATTTTATGTATAACCAGGGATTATATTGCTTGGTGATCTCACCTAATACCTAGTAATATTTTCAACAACAACCTCTTGGATTTAAGTTACGGAAGAGTTAAGCTAATTTCGAGTTTGGAATTTACCATGGTGTAGTTCTCGTAGTTGAGAAACAGGTCGATGATGAATAATGATATAGTTAACGAAGCATGTTATTTTGCTCGTTCGGAATCTCAGACAAGGCATCATGCGCACCAAAGACGATCCAGAATATACCCCGTGGGCCCAGAATATGATCGATCTTGATATTCGGCTACGCGAGATTGTCCAACGCGAAGAGCTTTTAGTCAGCCAATGCGAAAAGGCATAGGAGCTACTCGATGATCCAAAGGAACGAAAGAAACAATTAGATGAGTGACATACAGAACTACGAAACTCGAGCAAAGTTACTGGAACGTGGAGCGGATGTGGTACGCTAACGACTCACTCTGTCCTGTCGGTCCTTCCTGGCGAGCATATCTCTCCCTTCGAAAAATCCCACAGTGGTACCTTGTTCCCTGTTTAGTTGAGGATTGTGCACGAAGAAGCGGATGCTATGGTCGATCGTGTGGATACTGTTCGAAGCTACGTAGCTCCCCCCCCCCCGTCCTAATGGCCATGGACATTGTACAAAAATGTGCGGTTGCTGTCTCCAGGCTCGGGTCTTTCCTTTCGACAAGGAACAAGAGAAGCTATGTCAGCCAAAGATGGACGTCAAGCGAGGGTTATTTGGCTCTGCTGAGTATGATCGATCTATGTTGTCGGCTCACTTTTGGCTTTGGCGTGCTTCGGGACCGGAGAATCCCAATGCTGAAATGAAGGTTTTGCTTCAGTCAGATTTACCTTGCTGTCATAGACTTGATATTCGGTAAATTTGGAAGGAAGGAAGTTAAAGATCTAATAGTGTCGTCTAGCATAATCATGGACTATATGAATTTACCATCACTTTAACGTTTAAAGGACATACAAAAAGACATAGCGAATAATTAACCACACAATACGCAACATCATGTTGGAGACAAATTCCATATTCCACTCATTTTTGCAACGCAACTATGTGATTATAACGGTCTCATTCCCATTCTCTCGGGTTGCATCTGATATTGGATTGTCATGTTAGCAATCAATTCATATTATGTCGTCTAGTTAACACATCTTTCAGTTTCATTTTGCTGACATCGTCATCTTCCAAGTCAACTCTTATCCTCATCTCCGCGGCTGTTCCTTCCAGCTTGGGCTTGTTCTTCAATTGGCCCTGACCTCAGGTTATCACCTAAACTTGAAATATTACTTATGTACTTTGATTTTACTTCCATTGAGATTTATCTGTGTGGGGTTATTGCTTCTTAGCCTTGAGTCCACTCCTATTGTTATTGTTCGAGCCTCTTCCTCCCTCGTTCGTCTTTCTCTTTTACTCATCTGTTTTATTCGTGTTCTACATCATTTTTATCTTCTCTATCCTTATTGTCATCAATATGGCGGAAAACGGAGTCAATGAAATTGCAAATCAGCTGGAAACCCTCACAGCACAATCTCCGGCTCCTCAGGATGCATCCCACCTCTCAGCTTCCCAGTCTAGGGAGACTGAGTATGCTTCTCGAGACTCCTTTCTCAATTAACTCGAAGGACTGACACACCTATTCCTAGTTCAACTGAGTCTGATCTCACCGATATCGATGAATCACTTTTGCAAGATGATGTCCCTATGTCCCAGTCGGTTTCAACAGGAAGTCATTTCATAAATCCTACTGCTCCCAAGGTGAGCTACCAAGTCTCCGCATCTGGCGAAGTCTTGATTATGGAAGAGCCCAAAACTCCCATTCAAAAAACCGCTCCTTCTCCTGTGCCCCGGTCTAGCCCTCCCCCTGTGTTCCTATCATTCGAGAGGTTTTATCAGGGACTACCTGCAAACACGGCGTCCTCACCTCCCACGACAACAATTCAACCACCATCTCTGGCCGTAGAGCGTATCATGGGTCCAAAGCAGCCAATCCCAGCCCGCATGCTTGAGCTTCTCGAGGAGTGGCATGAGGACTACCCTGATAGTGAGCATCCTTCAGCTTTGACTGGTCGCGCCCCTTCTACTTGGAAGAATTTCAAAGCTTTCACCGATGACGGCGATGAGTGCGAGTTATCTATCTTTCAGATATCGCTCAAAACTCAGACCCGACGCACCGTGACATATCGAATTCTGATATTGCACTCCCAGAATGGACCCGAGGAACTTATTGTGTATGGACAACCCCGGCCGAAGTTCAGGGGACCCTTGAGCAGGGGTACGAAGGGAATGTACCTACTGGACTGGCTCGAAACCGAGACGAAAGGCGAAGTTCAGGCTTGCGGCTTGAAACTGTGGAGAACGGATGACAAGAAAATTACGTTCACTCCACAAATGTTTGATGATGGACGGAAATGCACTCGGATCCCGGGGGTCAGTGATATTTTTAACACGCGTGTGTCATACACTACCCCAAAGAAGCAGTCAAATACAAATGACGACAACGAGGATGCCGGGTCCAACTCATCCGATCCACTGTTTCTTTCCTTCTTGAAGTCTAAGCACCAACCTTCTACCCCCAGTTATTTCAGAGCAGAGATCGAAAATGCAAACAAACCCCCAATTCTGTCGCGCCTGTTAAGGGATGATAGAAAGAGGCGCCGCAGCACACTGAGCTCTAACGATGATGTCTCCATCCTTATTCGTTACAAGCTGATGTCGGATGTGTCCGAGCAGGTTCGCGTCTTCAAGACCGATGATGCAAAGGTTCTATTCCAAAAGGCTCAAGAGTTTTACAACGGCATTGGCAATCGCACGGGACTGCTGTGCACTTTCTCTGGTATCGGGGGAGTCCGGTACGTTGGGGAGGGCTGTGTGGATGAGTTTGATATCCTTCAGGAGGATATTCGGAACTCTTCTAGTCCTGGTGATAAAGATCCTGTTGTTGAGGTGAAGCCTGCCATGGGTTTCTAGATTCTTGTGAGATGGGGTGTGCCCGAAAGGTCATTGAGTGATAACTTTGGTCAATAGCTGCTCCTCGTCATTCCTGATGTGGTGGCCATCGTGGCCTGTGTATTCTGTGACCTTCATCTAAACATGTGGAACTCCGCACGTGGGTGCTCTTGTATGTATGTGTACCTACATTCGAAAAAGAAAATGCAAAAAAAAAAGGACGTTTGTCCGCCCATCGTCGTCTTCATGATGTATTGGAATTGGGTCAAATGGGGATTCTCAGGGTTGATTGTTCCCAGTCATCAATCTATAATTCGGATAGCCTTTTTACGCTTAATTGCGGTCTTGTTTATTGCTTTTCTTGAGATGACTGGCTAGGGTGTTTTCCATGCATTTAAGGGTTGGTTTTGCTAATTTCGCTCGTGGGTTGTATTTCGCACCAGGAGGAATATATATTTCTTAGAACTGTAAGTATCCAAGGTGTTTATGTTTTGATAAATAGTACATTTATGACCCAGACACTCTGAAGATTATAAACTGAAGATGTATAACGACTTTGAAAGTCAATAACTTGGTTTGAAGCCTTCTGTCCCACCTAAGAAATGAATCCCAATGACTCGTCCAACCCGAACAAAGGGCTGGTGAGGTCACGTGTATATATAGATAACTGCTGAATCAGCATTTAGATAGAGCTCGCGCGGGTCGCGCCCTCGTTACAACAAGCCGACATCTACATTACAACGGACTTATTTTCTTCTCACGCCATGCCCCGAGGCTAGGTCTAGTTGTGCTCGATGACGTCTCCTCCTTCACTCGACCCCTTCCCTCCCCCGATTCCTGTCGACACCCATCCAAGTCGCGCCCCGGGGTCCAAGTCTCCTGAGCTCGAACGGTCCCTCCCCGACCCCAATCGACTAGCGCCCGAGGATGCATACTTCGCACCCTCACTTTCGCGCGGCCGGTCAGCGCCCAGCAACTACGAGGAAAATCTGCGGTCGATGAACGGCGAGAGCAGTGCCCATATTGGGTCTGCTGCGGCGTTGCGGAAGAAGTTGGGCGGTGCGGGACGGCGTCGCAAGCGAAAGAGTGCTTGGAAGAAGTTGCTTTGGGTTAAGCAATCGTGTATGTCTGCGTGTGGGCTTTGGCCATGTACAAAGCTCGAGGTTGGCGTTCCGCTGTTGCTGACAGTTCATAGATCCGGATAACTATACCGACACGGAAACATTTCTCGACCACCTTCAGCGTAATCCTCGGGTGCGCCCGTACGATTTCTGGCCTCTGGTGGCAGATTCGACTGTGATTGTCCAGCATGTATGCTCGGTGGTTATCTTCATTTGTTGCTTCGTTGGCATTGTCCAAGATCGAGTGAGCCCTGTCTCAATTGTCTGCTGGGGAAGTGTTGGTACGGCTGTTGGCTGGATTCTGTGGGATAATTGGATCTGGAAGGAGCATGAGGAATCCCTTCAAAGTGCAAATGGAATTACTGGAGGTGACGATGAATCCAGTTCGGCTTCTTTTGCTAGCGCCGTCGATACACCCGCCAATGATCCACAATCCGACGACACTAAGACCAACGCCATTCACGGCCTCGGGCTGTCCATGGCTGGGAATGAATCAAAAGAACAATTCGCCCGTCGCAGTGGGGATTTCAGCGAAAGCATCGACACAGTGACTCATTTGACAGGGCAAGGTGGTGTGCCGTCTGCTCCGGGCAGCTCCATCATTGGCACCTCGGACCCGTTCATATCGCAAGATACCCACCGTGTTTCGACGCTATCACCACGCAACCGTCAGCGCTTGACTACGGTCAAGTCAGCGTTCCTTATTTATTTCGCCCTCCTAGGCCTCAGTCCCATCTTGAAATCTCTTACGAAGTCTACCGCCAGTGACTCTATCTGGGCGATGAGCTGCTGGCTTTTAATCATGAATATATTCTCTTTCGACTATGGGAGCGGGGAAGGCGCAGGCGCCACCACCAAGTTCCCTGCCTCTTTGTCCACCAACGCAGCTGTGATGGCTTCTACCGTGCTCGCGTCCCGGTTGCCTTCTACGACACACGTTTTCAGTCTAATGCTATTCTCTATGGAAGTGTTTGGGCTATTCCCCATATTCCGGCGTCAACTACGACAGAAATCATGGACTGGTCATGTGCTCTTGACACTGATCCTTGTGATCGTTGCTGGTGGCGCTGTTGGTGTCACGCTGAGTGGTGGATGGGCAGCGGCCATTATTGGATCGGTGCTAGGAGGCATCCTGACTGCGTTTGTAATGGGCGGATGCAGCTGGTGGCTTATAAGCTTGCAGAAGTACAAAAACGTTGTGATCGGGCCCTGGGACCCTGCCCGGCCGATCATTCGGCGCCACTGGAACTAAGCCCCTATGTTTGATTATTGATGATTTCGAGCGCCATTGTAATATAGATTGTGGGCGTTTGGTTGCATTTTGTTATTGCTTATACCCCTAGATCAATGTATCATTTTGAAACATCCTGAAGGTTTCAAATTGCATCCTTCTGTCGTCCAGTTTCGCCGAGTTTTGACTGCGCCTCATGCCAATGCTTGGAGAGTCAGATCCTGAGTGACCAATTTCCTTGAGGAAATAATCCCAGAAACCTTATACATTACATTCGGTTTTCACCTCTATGGTTATTGGGTACAACTAAGGGGGAATGCGGGTTGGGGGGAATGAATGCGCAGATCTGGCATACCAACCTTGTCCATCGTACACCGTCATTGACCATTTACTTTCAAAAGAAAAATAAAAAAAACCCTCAAATTTGAAACGCGTCAATTAGGATTATGGACGTTGAACCTATTTTTACCGTTTCAATTATTGGGACCAATAACTACTTCAGGCAGCCCTCCAAAATGCCTTGGCATGCGGCCCATCAATCCTTAGCGCGCGCCTCAAATCCTTCTTTTCAGGGGTCTTCCTTACTGAATTATTTGATGGCACAGCCGGGAAGGATGCGACATTCCTAAAAGGAATGGTCCACATGCCCCGCATAGACTGATCAAGGCACATGTTCGACAGCCCTGAGACGATCATTCTGGCATGTTTTTGTGTTTGGGTATTTTGCAAGACTCGCCGCAATATATACCTGACCTTATGTCCCTGATGTCTTACTCTATTCCTCTTTGTTCGGTTCACTTTGTTTGCGGCTTGAAGCTGCTTTCCGACTCGAGACGACAGACTGGGTATCTGTTCATACATTCCTTCAATCACCGGATCCACCTTTCGACCTGTTCATAGACATTTCACCACTGTCGTCTAATCATTTACCATCATGTTCAAACGTCTTGCACTTGGCCTGTTGGCCGTTCAGTCCGTGGCTGCTACACGCTTTGCTATGTACATCGACGAGTGAGTTCAAACTTGTTCAATCTATCTACGTATCGCATGCCTATAGCTAATACCTGTCTTAGATGGCATGCAACCGATCTCCCAAGCCAGGACAAGACCGAGGGCATTGACTATGCGATCATGAGCTTCGCTGCCTCGAAGCTATTCAATTCCGACTCGCCCGAGGCGTACAAGCCATTCGAGTCCCCCGAGACCATGCGCAAGCGCTTCAGCCCCGATACCAAGCTAATGGTCGCCATTGGTGGCTGGGGTGATACCGCTGGCTTCTCTGAGGGAGCAAAGGACGAGGCTTCGCGCACCCGATATGCTAAGAACGTCGCTTCGATGCTTGACGCACATGGATTCGATGGTGTCGGTAAGACATTTAAAAAATATTTCCTAAGTTTTGAAGTGGCAAGTTTATTAACTTTCATTCATAGATATCGACTGGGAGTATCCTGGCGGTAACGGCCAAGACTACAAAGACACGCCGAACTCCAAGAAGGTGGGCGAGATTGAAACCTACCCTCTCTTCCTGGAAGCTATCCGCGAAGCAATCGGCGACAAGGTCCTTTCTATCGCAGTCCCTGGCCGTAAGCAGGACTTCATTGCCTTCACCAAGGAGCAGGGTCCCAAGATCTTCAAGTCTGTCGATATGGTCAACGTGATGACTTACGATCTGGTTAACCGCCGTGATAACGTTACCGACCACGCTAGCGGTGTTCAAAACTCTCTGGACACTATCAACGAGTACCTCGCTATTGGGGCTGATCCCGCAAAGCTAAATCTCGGCTTCGCGTACTACGCTAAGTGGTTCACCACCGACCCCGACTCCGACTGTGATGAGAACCCTCTCGGCTGCCATCTCGTCAAGCTCGAGAACGACGATGGAACCGACAATGGCAAGTCCGGTGCTTTGACTTTCGAGGCTAGCAACGCTGCTGCTGCGCCTAAGGATCTGAAAGACAGCACCAATGGATTGTGTGGATTCGGAGCTAAGGCCAAGTGCCCATCAGGACAGTGCTGCAGTTCTTCCGGCTACTGGTATGCATAAACATCACCTGCTTCTGATTGATATCTGAACTAACTTTCCACAGTGGTACTACTGATGAATTCTGCCAGGCTGGTTGTCTCTCGGACTACGGTACTTGCAAGGGTATCTCTATCACCGACTCATGGCGCAAGGCCCAGAAGGATGGCAAGGCCGACGCGGAGGGAGGTGGTCAGTACTACTTCGATAGTGAGAACAACCTCTTCTGGACCTGGGATACCCCCGAGTTTATTGCCCGCAAGTTCGAGGAAATCGTCGCGGAGAAGAAGCTTGGTGGTGTCATGGCTTGGAGCTTGGGAGAGGATACCTACAAGTTCGAGCACGTGCAGGCTATGCAGAAGGGTCTTGAGTCGCAAGGCTGAGAGAGACTGTGTCTAGTTCTTGGAGGTGAGCTTGCGAATGATATACCAGATTGTTTTTACTGTCCTAAAATCAGCCTTTGATTTCTTGTTTCCTCCGTGTTATCTCCACATCTCGCCCATTGCTCTCATATTTACTATCCATGTCGTTATCATTAATATTTTTAGTGGGATATCACGGTAAAATTCAAATCATCATTATATCCTCATTTTCCGCTCAGTACTATGTAGTCCATCGACTAACCCATGACTCGATATACCTCTGTATCAAACCACCAGCGACGGGGTCCTCCACAAGAGCCAAAAAGGGGCAATCTTGAACCGTACGCTCAGTTTCAAATGCAAGTCCAACCTGCCCATTCCCTGCCTTTCCTGAAACAGAACCATCTGCCTCCGGCTGGCCATGACTTTGATACTTAGACCTCCAGAAATCGACAAGTTTAACACTTGGATTCTTCTCCGGATCCTGCTCACTACTCTCCAACCTCTTCAACCACTCCTGCGGAGACACAACCTCAAAGTCCGACAAGGCCGATCCCTCTCTCAAAGAAGGAAGCAAATCTTCCTTCCAGCTAAAAGTCTTCGGATTAACCAAATGGTACACCAAATTAGCGTCGGAAGATCTAGCATCATTCATGGCAATATCCGAAATAGCTCGACCACACTGATCAACAGGCAACCAACTCGGCCGTTCATTAAGTTCCGGCAATGCACCCGTCGTCAACGCACTTCGGAACATGAGCGCAACGGCCTCCGTCTCATTCCATTGCGCGCTAGCAGTGTCGCCACCAAGCTGGCCGATTCTCAGAACGCGGGCTTGCATGCCCGTCTGGCGCATAGCGTTGCGGGTGATGTGTTCGGTTACAAGCTTTGATCTCCCATAGCCCGTTTTTTGCGCATGGTCCAAGTTTTCAATCACGGTCTCGGGAATCGAGGCTGGTTTGGGGGTATTGCTTGCAGCGCTGACACTGGAACAGAAGAAGAAGCGCGCCGGTGAGGGTAGACGGGAGCGAAGGCAGAGGTTGATGAGGTTGTATGTTCCGCGGATATGCTGCTGCTCGAAGGATCGTACACCCAGGTTGAAGTTCACGGCCCAGGCGCTGTGGATGACGCATGTCAGTGATGATAGTAAGTGTTGCAGATCGTGGTCTTTGAGACCGAGGTTGGACTGGGACATGTCACCGGGAACGGCGTGGAGCTTTGCGGCTTGGGTATCAGTGAGAACGATGTTGCGATCAGCTAGCGATTTGTACAGACGAGCTCCTGCCGCTGCTTGTCCTGGTGCACGCACCACTGCCCAGACTTCAGAGACTGTTGGTCGCTTCAGTAATTCTGAGACAATGAATGCTCCCAAATTGCCGGTTGCGCCAGTCACCAACACCACCTCTGTTTCTGGGGGTTGAGTGATGGTTGGGAAATGTTGAGTGAAGTGGGAATACTTTTCGATCATTTCACGCATGGACTCAAGTTCATCTTCCTTCTCAAATTCTTCACCAGTTCGCAGTTGGTAGAGGTGCTTCGCAAGAGCAGCGACAGTACCTTTCTCAAACACAATGTTCTGAGAAAGGTGATCTCCTTGCTCGCCAATATCAATATCGCGCATGATGCACCTCCATATTTGTGTTGTCTGCAAGCTATCGATTCCAGCCGAGAAGATATCGGCTTCAGCACCGTGTAGTGGTACACCCAAGTCTTCGCTGAATCTTGAAAGGAGCCAATCCTCCAATTCTGGTACGCTGAGTGCGAGGGAACCTCCTTTCTGGCCACTCCCTTCGAACTTGGCATATATCTCCTTAATATCCTCCTCAAATTGCTGATAAACTTGCGCGCGGATACAGGTTCCTTTATCAGTTCTGGGGTACACGACATCAGCACCCTTGATCACGATGAGCTCCTTGGGGATCCGGGAGAACGTCTCGGCACGAGCATTTGCCGATTCAACAGCTGGCCAGATAGCTTCCAAGAATTCATCGTCGTTCAGGTGAGGCACCTTACCAGGTGCGCGGAAAATCAAAGCCCCAGGCACAGTACGTTGGAAGCCGAACACAACGCAGTCACTCACGATAGGCTCTTCTCTAACGCGACCTTCGATTGGAATAGGGAGCACCTTTTCACCATTTACCAGCGTAATTCGATCATCCAGCCGACTCAAATACTTATAATAATTGCCCTTCTCTGGATCCGGGTGTCTAGTGAACAAATCGGCTGTTCTGAAAGAGTTCTCTGGGTTCTTTGCGTTATACGGTGGCTTTGAGTTCGAAGGACCCTTGCTCGGCAGGCCATCCAATGCAACACATTCAAAAACCCCCGGCGAGATCTCATCCATCAAAGTGAGGTCTGCAACAGGGCGGTGCAGTCGCATATACTGCCACTCCTTATCTTCCGGGGCTCGGAAAGAAGTCATGATCTGTCCCGTTTCCGTCGCTCCATAGTTGGCGACCAGATTCACGCCCTGTGCCACAAGACGGTCGCCAAGATCATCTGGGCAGCTTGAGCCACCATACAGCACGAGTTGTGGGCGAGCTAGTGCTTGGATGCCTTCTTGCTTCTCTGCTAGTAGTTTGATCACATATGGCACGGCGCTGATTTGCTGCGGTTTGGCCACCTGGAGCGCATCGAAGAGATTTTGGTATGTGACTGGAAGAGAATGATTGCCCAGATACGCTGGCGCTCTTGTAAACAATGCTCGTCCAAGCTCCATCAGAGCATGAGAGTGGAAGAGTGGGCTGATGGTGAAAAGGCGCAGGCCGAAGCTCTTGCGGAAATTGGCTAGCGTCTGAAGGTTGGTAAGGAAAATCGGCTTTGGGAAACCGGTACTCCCAGAAGAGTGTAGAATCCAGGCAATCTTCTTGCCTTCTCGTAATGGATCTACACCGGCGCGTTCAAATCGAGGATTGCGAACAGGACGGTTGAACCAATCCTCCCTTTGTAGTAGAGAGAAGCTACTGCAGCCAGGACGTTCGATACAAATATCAGTTACAACTTGCTGGAACTGCTTGGTGTTGATAATCTGGCTGCAATTTGCCATGTCCATTAGCCGGGCATAAGCCGGGGCTGTGAGACGTGTAGACAAGAAAAGCACAGCATAGCCAAGGCGATTGAGCGCGAAGAAAGTCACCACGACCTCAAAGCTAGATCCAGCTAGCATAGCAACGACAGGCGCTTGCTCGAGACTTGGGTCCTAGAAGCTAATTAGTTGAGGTTGACATAGAAAAGTAGAGTCATCCTTACTGCAGGCACAAGTCCTTGCTGCATGTAAAAGCGAACAGCAACATCAGTGTACCGATCGATGTCTCCCGCTGTATGCTCCTCAAAATCAGCTGCTCCTCGAATCGGGTAGCATACTAGAGGCCGTTTTGCCTCATCTGGCTGAGCAGCATGGGATTTCAGAAGGCCATCGATGGTTGCGAATTGTTCAAACGCCGGCCACTGGGAGTGAAGCGTGCCGTTCAATAGCCGAGTCGCGATATCTTTGGTCTGGAGCGGCTGCACGCCTGCTTCAGTTGTCGTAATAGTTATTGTAGCCATGATAGTTGTTTAAATTATAGTTAGTAGTTCATTCGCTCGAGATGGTTTTATATCTGGCGGAAAAGCCCCACGTTGGGGTAATCCCACGCATTGCGGGTGCTTTTCCGGGTTTCCGACTTGATGCCCCCGGAAAACACTTTCCCCCGGTTTTGGATATCCATGCTATTTCCAGGTGCCAATTTAGGACTCATGTGAGTGTTGGCTGAATTGGGCCGTACGTTGATAGTAGATGCGGTTTTTGACAAATTTGCCGCATGGCATGAGACCATCTCTGTATTGTTTGAGGTTGATGGCTCGGATATCCCAAGTGGACAAGGCACCGGTAATTATTGCTCATCCCCAAAAGGGACCTTTTTATACTGGTACTGTACATAGTTCATGTCTATCGAAGACTCACTGTACATATCTAAATTCTAATATACATGCTATCACCTCAAACACGACACAACCGACCATTCTGATCCGGAAGACCATCAAGGCTCTTCACAACCCAATCCTCACTTCCAACAGCAGTAGGTGCATAGAACAAGCCAGTCGGGTCATACCGCTGCTTAAGTCTATACAAGCGATCGTAGTTGGTACCATAGAAGGCCTGCTGGAAGTGCGGCTCTTGAATATCCGACTCGGACATGTAAGCACCGGAGTCGGGGCAGACAGCACGCCACTTGCCAACGGCTTTGGTAAGTTCATCCATCTTGATCTTAATATCAGCATCAGAAGTGGTATCCGTCCAAGATGTCGATGTGATGCCGTGCATCAGCGCCTGACGGAAAGCCGGATTTGCCGAGTTCGAGGTGAAGCCCTCTTGCAGCTCGGCTTTCATGTTGAATGCGAGCAATGCGAAGCCGTCCGTAATGGTGGTACGCAAGGCATTGAAGGTCGCATTTAGTGAGGCGGGGGTTTCCCAATTTGCGCGTGGGAAGAGGCGAGAGCCGGTCATCATAGTTGATGACGCAACTGCTTCGAGTGGGAAGCCAGCGTCCCAGGCGCCGTGGAAGCTGTCGTAGTAGGTTGTGTTTGGTTGGAATGAGATGCCCAGCTCGTGCAGCTCATCAAACCATGGCTTGACTAGAGCATTGAATTCGTCCACGGTGTGGTTGACGGCGAAGAAGGGGTTCATCATGAAAGTGAAGGCGCCAGGGCCTGTCGGTAGCACCCAAAAGTAGGCGTAGGTGCCAGCGTCGGCGTGGGCTGGGAATCGCGACAAGTACGATCGAACGCCGGCCCAGAAGGTATCCACGGAGATATTATTTCCGGTAGAGAAGTTGAATGTCGAGACAGTCACACCGACTTTGGGGTACACACGAGAGATCAGAGAAGTGACAACTCCGTAGGTTCCTGGTGGGAATCTGTTAGATGAAATCGCGAGAAGAGAATGTGAGAGCAAACATACCACCACCGCCACCACGCAGGGCCCAGAATAGATCGCGGTCACTTTCTTCAGTCACTGTTACGAAGCGTCCATTGGCCAGTACGACCTCAAGAGCCAAAACTTGGTCGGCAGCCAGGCCGTACACGCTGGACATGGGCGAGTGGCCGCCGCCGAGGACGTAGCCACCGGCAACACCGACAGTCTAATACAGTCAGTCTTTTTGCGCAAATATTGGTATCGAAATGACCAACTTACCTTCCCTTCGCCACCAACGGCAGTGAATCCAAGTTCCTGGGCCTTTTCATAGACCTCAAAGGCCTGCACACCTGCTCCCAACTTAACAGCTGGACCCTGGTAGCCTGAACCACGATAGTTCTCATAGTATTCAATATCCTTGAGGTGGTGGGTCCAAATACCCAAAGCACCAGCACCGGTTGACTTTCCATTGAAGTCATGGCCAGTGTTCTTAACGACCAGACGGATGTCTGCATTGCGCGCAAAGTTGACAGCAAGCTGGATTTGGGCCACATTGCTCACATTCACAGCATAGCTGTTGTAGCCACCCACCGTACAAGATGCAGAGGCATTGGTAGTGGGCAGGCATGTTCTTCCCTCAAACAAAGGCCACATTGCCGATGCCGGGTCCGCAGCACTAACAAAGTTAGTATATCACATCTATGTTTGTACATGGGTTGGGTGGACTAACTGAAGATGAGAATCCGTCCACTGCGAGCTGATTCTCGTGCACTCCTCGCTGTCGTATTCCGGCCATGAGGAATAGCAAGACGCCGCCAGGGGCACTGTCTTGATGAGCGCGCCACCTAAGAGGTTATCCAAGGTCGACCATGCAGACCGCGACGGCCATTGGTGGTCACCGGGGAAAACCTTGCATTTCCCTGTAGGGCGTGCGTGTTTATCAGCGCCATGACTCCCAAATTTAACCAGGGCTGACTGGGAATGGTTCAGCTTCGCAATGTCATGATCTGTCAATTGGAACTTTTCGCTCTCAAATAGCGGTGCACCAGCTACAGAGGCAGATGAATACTGTCCAATACGGGCATCTCCAGGTGTTACTAGTAGGAGAGCACCGAGCAAAATTCCCGTAAACGAAGAAGGGGCCATGGTGAGCGTGTGAAGGGGAAGAAGCTATACCCGAGATCGGGAGTGAGGAAAGTGGTTAATATAGATTTTTAAATCAAAATCTCCGACGTGCCCTAACTCAAAGTATACATAGCGTATCCTAACGTGGATAGTACTTCCGTTACTATGAGGTTGAGATTCGAAGAGGAAAAGCCGCTTGTTACCTCGCCCCACGGCAATTTACATCTCGCTCAAGCCCTCTCCCAGTCCACTCTCGTGCGTCTTTTCGTCTTTTCCAATCTTTTCCAACGAGAGCTAGAAAATGAAGCTAGAGCCAGATGAGACGTTTTCTCCGGATCTTCCGCTTCAGTGGAATTTTCCAAGCCACACTTTATCTGTTACGCGCGATATTATAGAGAATAAAATCCTCTCCAACCGAGATTGTCGCCATTTCGCTGCCTTGAATTCGGTATCTCATACCCCGGATACCGAAGGGAACTGTCTCTATGTCAGTCATCCCCGGTCGGAACGGTCGGGTTCTCAATATTCTCTTCAAGAGAGTATGTGAAACAAGCGCTACTCTCTACGCGCGAATACGATCTTTCATTTCGGCTTGAGTCTAATTAGGCCACCATTCGGTCTAACCTGAGTACAGTCTCCATCCCCATCCGTCATGGTCCACTATGCTCCACTTGGGTAGATCCGATCTGCCGGCCGGGCAATGAGAAACCTGCAACGCAAGGGACTAGGAGAATGCTGCATTTCATCTAATTTTGCCAAGAGTGAGCACAAAAAAAAAAAATAATACAAGCTTGTTAGCCGATGAAGCAAAACAATTTCATCGTGGGGGCCGAATATTATGCCCGAGACATTGAGCTCTCGAACCGACTTATTCCTGGCGTCGCTGAGGCTTGATCCTTCGTGGAAACTATCTAGGTACCCTTGCAAACATTAGTTTACTGATTGGTGGAATTATGTACTCATTCAAAGTTTAATGCCACCATGAGTGTATTGTCGGATTTCTCATTCACTCCCTCCCCCCTTTTCGCCCCCTTGCAAGGATGAGCTGCGCCTAACGCTGCAAGAACAACTATGTTCTCCACTGGCTTCCAAGAGCCGACTGTTCTCTGTGCAAGTGCCTGTACTAGCTGCTGACTCGGATGTTGCTCCGTACTATGAATAATTTGTTAGAGGCTGGGGGTTTGAAACCTACGTTGGACGTACTCCGTACAATTCAACAATCGACTACCCAAACGACAGCGAGGTGACAAACGACTTGGCTTTCCGTCTAGAATTGGGGCCAAGAAGAACAACACTATTTCAATCTAAATGGACGCATAGGCCCGCACACGCCATCCATTATTGGCTATCCTCTTAATTACCGGCGTCAACGGACATAGAACCAATTGGGAGACGGAGGACCACAACCCAAATTGATTGAACTAATAATGTGTTTGTCATGAAAGAGCAGAAGTGGTCCCCGAGATTCAGAGAACTAAAGCCAAAGAAGTGGACCTTTGGGTGCCGATCTTGACTCGCTATGGTGACCACAATAACAACCGTGCATCTTAAGATTGAGGGCGCAGGCTGTTCGAGAAATCTGACGCTCTTCTGAGCAGAATGCACAATGATTGACGACCATTATCAAAAAACCGCCCTTGGTATCGTGGTCGCGTTCACGATTCTGGGTGGAATTGCAGTTCTACTTCGGCTCTGGGGCCGATGGCTATCACGATCGGCGTTGACAAGCGGTATGGGACCAACCCTCCCGTGCTCCAGATCGACACTGGATTTTGACTGTTAGACGTGATTGCTAATGACACTCTTCATAGATGACTATTTAATTGTCGTGGGATATGTACGATCTTCAGATCTCTAGATCTTTGGAGAGTGTATGCTAAACATGTTCCTAGGTCATCGCTATCTCCCAATCTGTGACCTCGTGGTTCTGTAAGTGATTCAATAAAGAGGTGTAAAGTGAACAACTGTTAATGTACAAAACCAGACATTAAAACCAACTATGTCGGCATTCACATCGGGGATGTTCCCAAACACTACAATCCCAGACCCGGGCTGAATGTAAGTCTACTACACAGCTTCCATCGTAGACCAGAGAGACTCACACGAACCAAACAGTGGAACTTCGCAAACCAACTCCTCTACAATCCAGCCTTGACCGTGGTAAAACTGTCGATCTTGTTATTCCTGCGCCGACTCGATTCACGTTCACGGGTGGTCAAATACCTCATCTGGAGCTCCTTCGCCATAGTAACGGGCCTTTTCATCACCGTCCTCCTGGTCGACATCTTCCAATGCAAACCAATAGCATACGTCTACGACATGACAATCCCGGGCGGAAAGTGTATAAACCAAGGCGCATTCTACGTCTCGACTGCAGCATTAAACCTCTTCACCGATATAATGGTCCTCTCAATCCCGGTCATAATCACCGCGCGCCTGCAAATGCCCCTCCGCCGCAAGATCGCTGTGTGTATCATCTTATGTTTAGGTGGAGTGTAAGTAAACCCCCAAACCTAACCCGCCATACATCCATCTAACAGCCCATCCAACACACAGCGCAACCGCCATCGGAGTCTGGCGCATCGTAATCCTCGCCCAAGGATTCCTCTCCCACACTCCAAACCCAGATCCAACCTACTCAATCGGATTCTGCAGCTCAGCAGTCGAAGTACACGTCGCCGTGGTAACAGCCTGCGGTCCATCCCTGAAAGCCATCACCAGCAGGTTCCTCCCCAGACTTCTCGGCAGCTCGCGTAACGGAAAATCCACGTACGGCGCCGGCACCGGCTCCGGAACCGGCGTTGGGTCGCGCAGACTCCGCTCGAATATCTTCAAATCCAAATCTGCCTCACAGGCCCAGCCTTCATTGTACTCCGCCCGCGGCCCGGATTACGAGATGGCGGATCCACTGGGCGGGCCGCGTGTTGACATTGTTGGGGATTTTGAGATGCGTAAGTATAAGCGTGGTGATGATAGTTCTAATGGGAGTTTAAGTGATGATGGTAAGGGCATTATGAAGACGACTGATATCTCGGTCGGGTATAGTATAGAGCCTAGATCGGGTAGTCGATCACAAGAAGGCAGACCGGCCAGTGTTGGTAGTTTGGTATAATACTTTATATAGATACACAATTTATAGATATGATTTATGTAAATAGCCAATAGCCAATAGCCTACTTGAAGAAGAAGGATATCAAAATGGGCCGAGGATCTACTCCAATTTCGGACATGAGGGGTCACCTCCAGGGTACATAAAGGGTATGAGGTTTCCCCTCTTCTTATAAACATCACTTGCCGGTGAATTTAGTTATTCTACCTTGATCTAATATTCAAATAATTTTTCATTCATCAATATGGCGACTCAGTACCAACTACCATTCAAGGTATGGCTTTTATCCCTCTATTCCCCATCCCGCGGGGTACTCGGCGAGATGTCCGAAGTGTGGGACAAACCGCTAACTCGATTTTCTGCAGCTAGCGGATCCCAGTCTGCTGAAGTTCGAATCCATAATCGGCGACAAATGGGTCGGCGCAAAGAGCGGAAAGCGCTTTGAAGTACTAGGTAAGTCATTGTGTTGGGAGGATGTAGACCGAAGACCAAGCGAAGACCACTGCTAACATATTCCCCCTCAGACCCCGGCACTGACAAAGCATGGGCCAGTTGCCCTGCAAACGCAGCAGAAGATGTCTCCGCCGCCGTTGAAAACTCCCACACAGCTTTCGAACAATTCCGAAAAGTCAACCCCCGCCAGCGCGGAAAGTGGCTACTCGAATGGCACAACCTGACCCTCGCAGCCCGCGACGATCTTGCCCAGATCGTAACCCACGAGACCGGCAAGCCGCTGGCAGAAGCATACGGCGAGATCGACTACTCCCTCGGCTTCCTATGGTGGTTCGCGGGAGAAGCAGAGCGCATCCAGGGTAGTGTATCAACAGCCGCAGCACCCAACCGTCGCCTGTTCACTATCAAGCAACCGATCGGTGTAGCAGCCGCACTCGTTCCATGGAACTTCCCCGTTGCTATGGTTCTACGGAAAGTCGGTGCCGCCCTGGCGGCTGGGTGTACGATGGTCGTTAAGCCTAGTCCCGAGACGCCGATTTCGGCGCTCGTGTTGGCGGAACTGGCGCAGCGCGCTGGTATCCCTGCTGGTGTATTGAATGTGCTGACTACGGATTTGGAGAATACACCTGCGCTGAGTGAGGCGTTGTGCAAGCACCCGCTCATTAAGAAAGTGACGTTCACTGGCTCGACGCGGGTGGGTAAGTTGGTTGCTTCGCACTGTGCAGATGGTCTTAAGAAATTGACTCTCGAGCTCGGTGGAAATTGTCCTTTCCTTGTTTTCGACGATGCCAATCTCGACCAGGCCGTTGAGCAGCTCATGTCGTTGAAATGGCGTCATGCCGGTCAGGCTTGTATTACTGCCAATCGCATCTATGTGCAGGCTGGTATTTACGATCGCTTTGCTGCTCTTCTGAAGGAGCGCACTGCCGCGATTGTTGTTGGCCATGGTGCCGTGGCTGGTACAACGATGGGACCTTTGACCACGCCTCGGAGTATTGACAAGGCTTCTGCCCAGGTTGAGGATGCTCGTCGACTCGGTGCTGATGTTATCTTGGGTGGTAACCCTGTGACGTCAAAGCCTGGTTATTTCTTCGAGCCTACTATTCTGTCGGGAATGACGGAGGAGATGCTCATCTCGCAGGAAGAATCGTTTGCGCCTATTGCTGCTCTGTACCGGTTCGAGACTGAGGAGCAGGCTGTCAAGCTGGCTAATGATACCAGCATGGGTCTGGCTAGTTATGCTTTCACCAAGAATATCGATCGCATGTGGCGGTTGCTGGAGAACTTGGAGGCGGGAATGATTGGAATGAATACAGGTGAGTCTCCTATGAATATTCCTATCAATAATCAATCTAACGAATTCGCACAGGCAACTCCTCGGCTGCCGAATCACCTTTCGGTGGTATTAAGGAGTCCGGTTATGGCAAAGAGAGTGGAAAGGACGTGGCTGTCAATGAGTACTTGGTGACCAAAACGGGCACCTTGACAATTGAAGGACAATATTGAATATTCCATGATCTGTATACATCATCTCTACCAAATTGAAATGAAACTTATGAATATTTTGTATTTACTTCATCATGACTGGTCAACTAAATCCACTTTTCTCCAAGCGTAGATCGAAATAGATGTTCTGATTGGCTACTCACAATCTGGGGAGATCTTTTCAATATCAGATTTTCTTCACTGCACACAACATCAATATTGTCATTATGGACAACCTTAGCCCTCTACGAAACCTGATTCAGACCCACGCGCTCATCGACCACCATGCGCACAACCTGTTGAATCGCGAGTCGGCCACCGACTCCGACAATTACCCAATCGAGGCCATTACCTCCTCGGCAGACGGTCGGGCCCTAGAAAATGCCCGCACCACCCTCCCCTCACTGCGGGCCATAACCCAGCTCTCCGAGTTATACGGCCGCACCTGCGAAAATTGGAATGACATCCAATCCGCCCACGATCAAAGCGTGCGCGAAGACTACGACAATCTGATCCGAAAGTCTCTATCAGGCACACACGCACTGCTCCTCGACAACTACCTCAGGGACGACGAAGATATCGAACCTACAACCTGGCACGATAACTTCACCGTCTCACCAACAAAGCGAATTGTACAGGTCGAAGCCTTGGCAGAGTCCACAATCCTGCAGGTCTCGAACACACGCAAGAACGGCGAATCAGTCTGGAACATTTTCCGACAGCTGTTCCAGGATGCTCTCGGTGAGGCATTAGATGATGCCAACATCGTTGCATTTAAATCGGAAATTTCCTGTCGGACCGGATTGGACGTGGATCCGTATTCTTCTGATGACACCACGCTCGGCGGGTCATTGATTCGCATCCTCGATTCCGGGACGACGAAGTCTGGGTTCGAAGTCAATGATAAGGAGATCTGTGATTGGATTGTCCAGCAGACGCTGAAAGCGATCTCGTTTAAGAAGAAAGCCGGTATTGCGAAACCTTTGTTGTTCCACACTGGCTTGGGAGATGATCGGATTAATCTTTTGCGGGCGAACCCTGCCTGTCTGCAGCCTTTGATCGCGCAGTATGCTAGTGCGGATATTGTGCTGTTGCATGCTGGATACCCTTACACGCGCGAAGCGGGGTATCTCGCTTCTGCTTATCCCAATGTCTATCTTGATCTCGGAAAGGTGTTTCCCATGGTTAGCCGTGAGGCGCAGACGAAGGTCCTGAGAGAGAGTTTGGAGATCGCACCTACCAACCGTCTGCTCTGGAGTACCAGTGGCCAGTTTCACCCGGAGATGTTTTGGTTGGCTAATCGGCAGTTCCGCCAGGCTCTTGAGACGGTTAGTTGCAGGACTTCCTTTCTACTAACTTTTGACCAATGCTTATTTTCTGTCTTACAGGTACTCGTGGATTATGTTCAGCAGGGCGACTTCACTGCGGCTCAGGCCATGAAGATAGCTGCCGATGTTCTGTTCTATAACTCCAATCGCCTTTACAGCCTCAACTTGACTCCGTCATACACACCTGGAGAGTAAATTGTTCACTATCCAATAATACACAGGTATGTCCATGTTCTTAATTTCTATTCACTAGATGGATACTGACAATTATATCACCAGCTGATGCTTCTACTCCCACGCTATCCCAATGCACAGCCGTTGGGTATCGCCAATGCAGTTTCCAAAGCTGATTACCGATTACGGATGGTCTAAGTTCTCTCAGATGTGATACGCGCTTGCACTGCTATCGCCCAAGCAAGTGAAGAACTACTTGACTACCAAGCAAGCCTCACCAGGGCACTTGCTACCCGGGCCGAAAGAGCGCCGAGTGTGGCTTTAGAAACAATACGAAGCGCGAGATACGTATGTATTGATAAGAAATATGTATATCGAATTCTCATATTATAACAGAATATGATCCCGATTTTTCTCATTCTTCATGCCGTCCTAACCTCATCCCAAATCGTATACATATCGCAAGGTCAGCAGAGCCAGCGCCACCTGAAGCAACAAGAATCTATGTGCGTGTGAACTCCAGCCACCAAAACAAAACCCAAAAAGAACACGCATGTACATGTACCACCAGACAGGTAGATCGTTGCACGCCGTGCAATGTTGAGTATCATGCAAGAAACGAAAAGAGGAACGAGAGAAAACCCGAAAGCAAAAGATAAGAACAAGGTATACCGACTCCAGCCGTCGCTTCCCGTATATCCAGCATCGGCGTGGTATAATACAGTATGAATCATAAATAGTCAAACAAGTGAGTCGTCGTGTGTGGTTGGTTGGGATGTGGAGGAAGAAGAAAGGAGCAAGGGGGTATGGTCGGGAGCAGAGATGTTAAGAAACAAGGCGATGCAGCAACCAAAATGAAAAAATTCAGAAACAGGCTTGCACGCCAAATCAAATGGACAAAAGCTTGCTGTTCAGCATGCCATCTTCCGTTCTGTTACCATCCCATCTCTTTCCCACTCATCCAGTAGGCGTGCTACTTCTCTGAAAGAGACCGGCTTGGTGAGGAACAGGTCCACACCGGAAGCTATAGCATCCGACTCATCGCGAGAGCTGCTCAGTCCAGTCAAGGCAATGATGACAGCCGGCTTGCGACCATCCGTATCCCTCTCCAGCGACCGAATAGCACGAGTAGCCTCAAACCCATTCATCACAGGCATCGACATGTCCATAAAGATGATATCATAACCACTCTGCATGCGCTCGACTGCCTCCACTGCCAATTTGCCATTCTCAGCTGGATCCAGCTCAGTCAGCTGACGCTTTTTGAGGAACGTCATCATCAGGTTGAGGTTTATGTGATTGTCATCAACCACAAGCACTCGTGCCAGTCGCTGAGGGTTTCTTGTGCGCTCTATCAGTGGTTCTGGCAAGGGGGCTTCTGAAATATCCTCGGGTAATGTGGTAATTTGTGATGGTTGTTGCAGTGGTGATATCGTCATGGGGCGGATTCCGGGACAATCCAGTTCCGGAGCGCTATGGGCATCGGCTTGGGATACGCGGGGCGAATCGAGTGCAGATGGCAACGAGGATGGCCGGAGCGGTAGACTCAGTGGTTGCAAAGCGGAAGCGGGTGTCACGGATCTCGATTGACCGTGGGTCAGACACCTCATTACGCTTCGAGCTAATTTGTGTGGCCCACAGGGACGCCGGATGATGTCCACAGAGGAAGCAAGAGGCAACCACTCGGATTTCGCCCCGGTGTAATCCACTGACTTGTGGCATAGGACGAGAAGAGTAGGCAAAGTGACCGATGGTGCAGAGGTGCGGAAGTTGGGTAAGTCAGTTTCATCCATAAGTACAAGATCAATATGGTCATCCGGTTTCCATGTGACGATCTCCATGCCATACCAGTCTGAAAGATATCGAGCGATTTCAGACCAGTTAGAGTCGGTAATCACGTCGGTTGGGTCGGAACTCCAAATAGAAGCTCGTTTGCCAGAGTATCTCTCGCGTAGTAGAAGAGTTTGGGTCAAGGTCTCTCTCTGTTGAATAAGCTGCCCAGATGGTTCGATGGCCGGGCTTTCCTTTCCAACAGGTCGCTCTAGGGGAAGAGATACATGTACGACAGTACCCTCCCCTGGACGGCTGCGAATTCGAATGCTTCCATTCAGAGCCTTGACCAAGCTGCGAACAATTGACAATCCCAGTCCAGTGCCGACAGCCAATGCGTCTTCCTGGGCAAAGGGTGTGTAAAGTTTGCCACGCAAAAATTCTTCCGATATACCTTTGCCTGTGTCAGTTACTGTCAAGGTAACTAAGTCTTCCAGGCCCTGCCGCCGAGATCGTCCTTCAGATTGACTAGACGCTGCCAATGCTAAAGTGACACGGCCGGATTCTGTATATTTCATCGCATTGCCAAAAAGATTCATAATGATGCGCCGCAAAGCGCCCGGCTGAGTCCTGTAGACCCAATCCCGGAATGAAACATCAATAATAACTTCGACGTTGGACCGTTGATTCTGGGACTTTGTTTGATGTGGCAACAATACGGGCAGGTCAGCTGAAGCAGTAGAGCTCTGGCCGTACACATGGCCAAGACAGATGCCTTCAACAACTTCCTCTGCGAGGATAGCCACATCGGTAGCTACAAGTGTATCAAGGTGATGTGCTAGCTTGTCAGATCCTTTGAAATCGAGCGGTGACTCTTTCTTGCGTTTCATTGACCGCCATGTCCGTTCCAAAGATACTACTTTGCTGAAGTCAAGTACCTGGTTCATTGTATCCAATAATGTCCGGCCACAGGAGTTGACAGTCTCAAGCAATGAGTCCTGGAATTCATTTAGATGAGTGCTGTTCAAAAACTCGGCAGCGGCCAAGATGCCATGAAGGGGGCTACGGAGTTCATGTCTAGTAAAGGAGAGTAGTTAGTAACTACGGTGGGACATGTCAAATGACCAAGATATACTCACGAGATACTCCCAATAAAGTCACCCTTCTGGCGATCCGCGATGAGAGATTCGACGCGGCTATATTCGGCCATGATAGAGGATGAAAACCCAAGCACAGAACTGAGCTCGACTGAGGTGGTAAAAACCTGAGTCTCTATTGTGCTCCAGCAGAAACACCCCCCAAACCACTGCGAAGAAACAGCGTTCCACAAAGGCACAAACATGATTTGTGCGGCATTTGGGAAATATTTGTTGAGTACTAAGTTCTCTGCAGCTTTCCGCCGTTTTCGCAAGGGCTTTGAAGGCTGTGCAGAACTAGGCGGGGACCGGCTGGTGGCACTGGTACCAAGAGGGGCCTTGTCTTGGGGTTGCTGGTCGTCATCATCTGATGTCGAGATAAGTCCGTCGCGGTGGAAAGACCACAGCTTTCCTTTGGGATAGCGTCGAAGTAACAATTGTAGGAAAGATCGATCTAAGTTGGCCGCAGCGCATGTGGCCATCGACCCTGCCTGGGGAGCAAAGGGTTCTTCATTTGTTGATGCTGACAGAACAGAGGCAGGTCCGCCTGTGTCGGAGTAATCACTCCCCATTTCGGCATCCGTAAAAGGGCTATTGTTAGCCTCCAGAAATATGACCCCACTGTCGCCATTCAGGTCGAGACTTTCACGAAGCAGATTGGCCGCCCTGCGGAAGCACCAAGAGTTGCCTTGCGAATCATCGGGTGGTAGTCTATTCCGGCTGCTGCTTGTCAGCCATTCTGGCAGAGAACTCTCTACAGTGCCCGATTCAACTTTTGAACCGCTGTCCAGTTTCGAACCACTGCTCATCTTAGAATCGCTGTCCAGTTTTAGATCGGACGGGACAGAGCTGAAGGAACGCGCGTCATTACTGAGTGATCGATCGTTCGGTGGACTATTGGATGGTGCTTGTGATGCATTTTCTGAGCTGTTTCCACGAGAGTCACCAGAGGCACTTAGTCGATTGTAGGAAGATGGCGGAGTTGTTGATGGAGCACCGACGCTGCCGGTGCGCGACTGGTCGATACTATCCACGAAACTAGAGCTTCCTTCAACGAAATAGCTAAGCCCGCGGGAAAGTCGCGCGGCCCGGCGTCCTTCGCAAGCCTGTCTGCAAACGCTCAAATAATCCACCACAAGCGTCGATATAGATCCCAGTATATCTTTCTCTAGCGGTGTCAATCCACCACGGGGTTTCGTATCCAACACAAACAGGCAACCCAAATTGATATTGTTATCAGTTGTCAAGGGAGTTCCAGCGAAAAAGCGGAAGTTTGGGTCATTTTCGACGAATGAAAGGTGCTTGTAGCGTTCATTTTCAGTCATGTCGTTCACGACTAGAAATTTATAGTCTGCGTTCTCGCGGCCGTTTGGGGGTAGTGAAACAGTGTCCTGTCGAGTGGTGTCAAAATCGAAGAGTCATTGAAAATGAATCATGGGAGTTAGTCCGACAATAGCTCCGGATCAGCCAGCTCATCAAGTGAGCAAAACTTACCTTGCATACACTCCATGTCTTGCGAGTGTCAGACGCCCCCAACCAGACATTATCCTTATCGTTGTTAACAGACGGGTCGTTCAAATTGAGTGATTTTGTAGCCTCGGCAACGATGTGTTGCACATCACGACCCAATACAGAAATAAACACCCGCTCAACGTTCAATCGCAAGGCCGCTAGCTGGGCAAATGACGTCATTGTGTTATTCGAGGTGCCCAGAACGAGAGCTTCTGAGCCAATTGCCGTCGCTGGTCGGGAGGTTGCACTGCCGTGTGAAGGTACTGATCCTTCAGAGATTGGTGGAGTGATTGTACTTCCTGAAACCGCAGAGAAGGGGAATCCATCGTTCGTAGGAAGCCAAGATGGAACCGCCTCGGCTTGGGAAGCAGGCTGGTAATAGCGGTATAGCTCTCTTACTCTGCGATCTGCATTGTGTAGAGTATCTTCGCGTTTCTCAGGAATATGCATGGTTTGCTGCTAGCGTTGGAAGAGTGAAGATGCAGTGCTGCATCCTCGGGCTCAAATTTCGAGGTTGACGAAGCTATCACGCCGGTGACTACCGAGGGAGGGTAACGAGGGTTATGAAAGGTCAAGATGCACAAAGGAAGTGATTAAAAATTGGGAAATTATCGGAGCGACGAGCATGACTAGATTAGTCACAGATTGTTGGAGAAGAGGAAAGTGGGAGTTCCCGATTTAGATACCACTCTCCACCAAGAACTGCAAGTCAGGTGAAGCGTAATTGGGATTCCAAGGAAGAGTGTGGGACGTTCGGCAAGCGGATCCCACCTGTCAAAGTACAACAGAGATGGGCATTAACGAGGTGGGCCAGTGAAGATAGAAATGCATAGAAGATGATTAGTGGGAACTAGCGCTCGGTGCACATGGAGAGTCGACTGTGTACTGTATGAGCTACATCTGCTCCACTGCTCCATTGAGTCTCTCATGGGATTGTCCGAAATCTTGGGATCGGCACGCCCAGATTGCGCAACTGTAGCTGGACCAACATATTGACTGGGGTACGATGAAGTGGAGGGCTCAGTGGGCGTCCACTGAGGATGACAGTTGTAGACAAGATGTGGAGGGGAGTAGGTTTCATGGTTGTGAAGTGGCCCTGTGGCGTTCCGAGACGGTAGATCATTGGCTCATGGCCTCGGCCACATTATTTGCCGTGAAGATCAGGCACCTAGATCAACGCCAAGTGGACCAATGAGTCTTCACGATCGTTCTAATAGAACTTGCTAGTTACATTATTGCCTCATGGTTCGTTTCTTGTAACCCTGGAATGCGAACCATGCTGTCTCAGCACCTTCATTAAGGGCTGTTCACTAGGGCTTCCACATGTATACCCTCATTCAAAAACATAACGATACGTCATTTCTGCCAGGGGCTTGAGCCCGGCAAGCCCCATGACGACGGTGGCGAATTCATGAAGCAGCCATACAACCGTTGTAGGCAATGTGGACTTCACTGCTTATGGTGTGTAGAAATTGATCGTCTCTTCCGTCATACGACATAGGCCTGAACACCCAAGATGATCACAAGTTTCAAAACCTCATGCAAATCATGTTGTATTCAACTCTTCCAAGACTTTAATATCTGACTAGGAATTATGGCCGGTTACCGCACCCCAGATATACGCCACCCACGACCCAACTGTCAGCAAGATCAGAGCGCCAAAGCAAATTATGGAGATCTTCCGAGTGCGCTGCTGCATGGTTACCAAGTTGTGCTCTCGAATCCGCTCAATGATAGCCGCGCCCGATGTCAACCGTTTGTGACGAGTCCACTGTAGCGGTGCCAGGTTATCGGTCAAAAACGAGCCGATCAGGATAGCCGCACCGACAACCAGAGAACCGGCAGCAAGAACTAGATAGACCTGCACCACTCGGCGGTATGAGTTGTCATCTGCGTCTTGCAAAGCTCCCGTGATGATCCGAACTATAATGCTCATACTGTGATGATTTGAAATGTCAGTTTGTGTCTCTTCAATGCAGGGATGTTGGACTAAACTTACGCATTGTTCATGGTGACCTTCAATGCATACGCAGATCCAAAGACCGATTGGTGCCATAGCGAGGTGCGAATGCTGTCGATGACCGAGGTTGGTCCGAGGGACACAGCAATGGCGTAGATGCCGAATGCAGCTCCCGTGCCTGCCGTTGATGTTGCAAAATTAATGAGAACCATGCTCAGAAGCATTCCCAGACCGCAGACAAACACTAGGGGGGGTCAGTATCAGTCATGTTTGGCTCGCTTTAGATCTTTTTGGTCACACTCACAGACAGATGCTCGGTTGCCGAGGACATCAATAAACACGCCCAAGCAGGGAACGAGGAAGAATCCTGGTCAATGTCAGCTTATATCCAGCCACAATCATCCCACAATCATCATGCATCCTTGGAATATTCGTACCTGCATACTGCGAAAGTGAACTATACCACCCGGCCTTGATGGAATCGACATTGAATCGCCTCTCGGCCAGCTCGGTGGCATTTTGACTGAAGACTGTCGCGGCACTCGTTTGGAATATAGAGAAGCCCATGACAGCCCAGAACATCCACGGGAGCTCAAATATCTTTCGAAATTCGAACTTTTTGTTTTTCTCTGTCAGTTGTTCCTTTGTGGCTTTATCGCGTCGTCCCTCGAAATGGCGATTACAATACACGTTGAAGAACCAGAACCCTGCGCTAGCGAAATTGGTGAAGAGATTCATGAACACCGAGGTCCAGAAGACCCACGCAAAATTTCCGGTTTTCTATGCGCCTGTTAGCATTGGTTTTACTAAGTCAACCCCAGGTGAAAGCAATCACCTTTGCAATGACATTGGCCGTCGCCTTTCCAACAAACCCGCCTATCTTGCCGATAGCGAGCTCAAAGCCTAATGTGGATGCAAATCCACTACTAGGAGGAAACCAAGAGGAAAACATCTTATACTGAGCGATTTGGGTAGCGATATCGCCGAGTGCAAGGATAACCCGACCTCCGATCATGAAATCGAAAGAGCGCACAGTGGCGGCGGCAGCAACGAGGATAGAACCGATGGTATAGACGATATTTCCGTAAACGATCATTTCTATTCGCACATGCTGGTCAGTATATCTCTCGTTCATTTGACCCACTCAGCAACATACGAGCTCCGCCAACTCGGTCAGTGACCACGCCACTTATCAAAAGCAGAACTGTGGCCATGAAGTTTTCGCTGGCTTCCAAGAGCGAAAATTGAACATTGTCGATATGCATTTGCTGCCAAACAAAAGCCGTCAGTGAATCCTGCAGACCGACATTTCCATAGTCTTTGGTACCTTTTTGATCGTGCTCTTCATAGCACCCGTCACGCCAGAGCTCCAGTGTGAGCCAAAGCTAATACACGAGATCAGTGCCACTGCGATTAACTTTGCTGCAAGCGGTGGTGGTCTTTTTCCCTCGGAACCATCGCTAGATTCTTCCGATGAAGTGCGAATGTCTTCATTGACAGGTGCCGAGACCGCGTCCACAGACTTGGTCTCCGGGGTATCAACTGCCATAATCACAACTCGATGGCAGAATGAGATAGAAAACTCCTAGCTCCAAAATAAAATAAAGAACTTTTAGACGAACTCAAAAGGGTTCCATGCTATTACTATTTATGGGCCTCGGAGATTGATAAAAAAAATCTACCGAGAGAGCGGGGCCCTACCGGTGCTACGGTGAGCTGATCCCGGTGAAAGAGGCCGAAGCTCCTCATCAGCTCGAGCACACGTAAAAAGGCAAAAGAGCATTTTCTTGGCACTTGGCATAGCGAAGGGACATCAGATAAGATAGGGGGTCTATCCCCAAAGGAGTTTAGCGTTGCAAATATGCTCCAACTCGGGACAACGTCGGTGAATTTTAGCTTTCTCTAGTCTGTTCCAAGTCGGTTGAAGTCGGTTGAAGTCCCCCAAGGTCTTGGACGCACTCAGAAAAAGCCTGCTCAGGTCCACGTGGAACCCCAACATTCAAACCAATTCTCGGCTTCTCTCCGAGCTGTGGCCAGTTTGGAGATGTCGTTATTTTTTTTTGTCTCCATCTAGACCCGCTCGGATTCTTACATCCGATTCATTGCACCATAAATAAGTTTATTTTATTATTTCGGACATTCTAACCCGGTCTAGCAATGATTTGTACCTCCAGTACTTCTCTGATTTTCTTAGACTCTCTGGAAATATTGTTATACTCTTATTGAGCCACTTTATTGTTCGCCAATCACCGATCCACCCAAGGCCCTCCAGACGCCCCCAATGCAAACTGCCTCGGATGGGGCATCCCAAGAGAAGCTATGAAACCATGCCGACTTTCATCCGGCCTGCCAGATATATGCAACAGAGGAAAAGAAAGAGAACAAAACGCAATGCGAAGGACGTCTCATAAGTATTCGATGGGCCAAATTAAAGGCGCTATGTTAGCCGCTTACGTACCATCAATATGCGAGCTCGTTTGTCGTACATCTAAGCATGTATATAGCAATGGACATATACATGAAGAGAAGTTATGTACATACCGCCAATATACTAAAACACAGTGTGTGTGAACTATCCGCAGCGAGCCATTCCATCACGAAAAGGGGGGAAATCAGGTTGAATCCCGTAGCAATGCTGCAAAATACAGATTATGACAAGCTAATGTTGGCAATCGCACCCAACCATGACTCTCACATATCCCCGGGTGTTCACTTCCGGGAAATAAGTCGTGAGACTTATCAATGTAGTACTAAATAATGCATTGGTATCCCAGGTAAGAGTTACCTACAACAAGTACCATGTTCAAGTCATATTTCACAGAGAATGTCATTATGATCAGTGAGATACTCGGCATCATAGTAATTTCATTTTCCTAGTAGAGCGAGGTACTTCCCAAAAATTAGTATAAAAGGAGGCAACTTCCTTATTCTATGGACCATCAACATACCATCCTCAGAAGCATATTCAAATTTCTTAACTATGGACCACGTCACCGCCAGCCTGAGGGCATTGTTTGAAGGCCTTGATGGTCATGAGATAATTATTCCATCACAACGGAACCTCAACCCAGGCTGGGAAGTCAAGGAACATGATCCAAGCAATAAGAGCATTAAGGACGAGCTGACTAGTTGGGTTGAAAGGTACCGTTCACAAGGTTTCTTCTAGGAGTTATCTAATGAGAACATCACTCTAGCCGGTGGTCGGATATTCCAAACCGAACGATGATTGAAGCCCTCAATCTGGAAAATTGGGTTTCATTGTTGTATCCTAATGTAAAGTATGAAAAGCGTCTCACAATAGCCAAGAGCCTTTCTTGGGTAAGCATTAATATCCTTGAATAATTCGTTCTTGTCACTGAGTCACTAGATCTTTACTTGGGATGAACCCCTTGACGATGGAAAATTCACACATGACCCTGTTGGGGCTATCAACTACTGCAACGAGACCATCGAATTCATGGAGCTTCTTCGCGATCCAAGCAAAGTCTCGTCCGCAACTCATCCGGATCCTAATATCGCTTCATTCAAAGACTCATTCGTGGACATTTTAGAGAGTCATCCAGGTATGTGTAGCACTAGTTACCTGCACATGAATATAATGCCAATGAGGTTTATGAATGCAAGTGTGTACCAAGCGTTACCTTAATGAATGCTTGCTTTTCGTGCGCGGAACGTCGGAAGCAGTTGAACGCCGGGAAAAGAACCAGGTTCCTACACTTGCCGACTACTTTGATTGGAGAGTACTTAATCTTGGCTTTGAAATATACTTCACCTTGGTCGAGTATGCGAACTCCTTTCATCTTGCCCCCACAGATATTTTGTTGAAATTTTTCTCAATATATCTATCAAATGCTTATAATTGTTAGGTACTCGCAAGATCTTCAGGTCCCCGACGAATGCTCGAAGCCGAACCCTTTCATACAGACTATCTTCCGAGAGGCCTCTTTGATCCTATCTATGTCAGTATTTACAAAGCAAGGTTCACTGACCATTATCTAACTGTTTATTCAGATATAATGATCTTCTTTCTCTCCCGAAGGAACTAGTATGACCCCCGGGCAGCATGTTGGACTCGTTTTGGCTAACGTAGAACAGGATGCAGGTCAATTTGAGAGCTGCGTGCCAATCAAAATGTTCGAATTTGGACTGTCATTGGATATGACCATTAACAGCTTCGGTCAAATGATCCAGGATTGTGCGGGACGACTCAAAAAAGCCGAACAGGACCTGTATAGTCAAACCAGTCCCGATAGTTTGGCGTCTGTTCAGGCATTTGTGCAAGGTATAAAGCAGCAGGTTGTGGGCACCCTGAGACACTTGTAATACACCTCGTATCCCAGACCTGGTAATATTTATCCATAACTAACCCCTACTGATAGCTACTTCATGAAACGATATGTTGCCAAAGGTGTCAATCAACCAGATGGCTCGATTAAGTTCAAAATAGCGTTGGGACAGTAGTTTGAGACTGTGCCATCTCAGATGAGCACTATCGCGTTACGGGCCTATTGAACTCAATGTTACTATGCGATTTTGCATGGTATCTTCGGGAATCTCGAAGTATGGTGTCTACTAATGTACTATACTGGTCCGATGGAGGTCTCTCAACAGGTCTCCACTATATATTGCGGGAATATTTCGGTTGCACCACATGCACTATTAAAGAGCTTCCTGTTTGTTCTAACACCACCACGTATGCCTTTTGTAGATTTTTAATGTATTAGCTTTGATAGTAGTGTATAGAGAACTAACATTAGTAGGTAAATATGGATCTCTATTCCTTCGAACGATTCAACGATAAATTACTTCCAAATGTGACGTCGGGAAAATATGTCTAAAACAATCCCCACAGCAAGGGCCATCGCGATGTATATATGATCAACGAGGGAAGGAAAAGAAAAATGCAATGCGAGAGATACTCCACAAATATTAAATCGGCCAAATCAGAAGCGTTCCATGAGCCGCTTGCGTACGGTCCACATACGAGCTCTCTTGCCGTATATGTACATAGGAATCGACATGAGCATGAAGAAAAGCTGTATACCGCCGATAGACAGGAACACGGTACGTGAACCAGATGCGTCCAGCCAGTCCACGATGAAAAGGGAGAAAATCAATCCGTGGAGGATATCTGCAAGAAAAAAATGTGTTAGATCAGACAAAACGAACAAGATAATGAAGGATAGCTTAACATACTCTTGCTAAAGTTCAGTGTCACTAGCGCCTCGCCAGCATACTGGCGATAGCTATCTACACAAAAAGTGATAGCCGTTGTGCTACCCAAGCAGCAACCAAACGAGATCAAACCGAAGAAAATAGTCGGAACAATCCAAGAGTCACCGATCTCAGCACTCCATCCAAAAGCCATCAGACCGATAACAGTGGACAAAGCGATAGGAATTGCCATGACGAGACGGAACTCAGGCTCGTAGATACCGCCATTGCGTCTGGTCATAAAGCGCGTGATCATATCTGATACTTTGCCCGCCACTGCGGTTCCAAGGAGACCGCCAACAAATGGCGATATGTAGATCAGACCCGTCTGTAGTGCGGTGAAATGGTAGTGAGTCCCGCCCTCGAAGATGTGTGCAACCGACTCCGAAAGCACGATTAGCCATCCGACCGATAGTGCGTATACCACTGTTGACCAGAGCACGGCGGGATAAGCAAATAGGATAAATGGTCGCACAGCAACCCGGTGCCAGCTGTCCTGCGCGATTCGTCCGTTCCAGACTCGAAGTAATTGAGAGTAGGGGATCTTCGGGCGTTCACGGAGTCGGTTTGTGTATTGTAGGGTCGCAGGCAGCGGTGTCCCCGCAGGCTCTAGTGACTCGGTCCTCGTAGGCGATATGGCCGTATGTCGAGCTGTCTCTAGGTCATCCTGGTGTGTGCCAGACAGAACAGCGTGAGGTAGTGGCTGGAGGAAGTCATCGTCTTTCTCATTGGCTGGGGTGGACTGCTGAGTGGCGATTTGATCACCATTGGTAGCGTTGCCAGCCTCGGAAACAAGATCGGACTTTTCAGTCTCGACCACCTGATCTCCTTCTGGGTGGTCATCCGCGAATCCAACATGGGCATGCTTGGATTTTTTCGGCCCCGTTGCTGGATCTATATCCGCTTGTTCGGTGGACTCGTCCAAGGGTTGAACATACGGGCGCCGCCCGCGGAAGCCGTGGGAAACGAGGTCAGAGACACTGCGACCAGGGCCGTGAGGGCGCTTAGGCTTGTGCACACGCGGACGAGGTGTGCGGTCCCAAAATGTTTCAGGCACGAAGAAAAAAAGTAACACTAGACACATGCCTACAATCATGGCGACGATCCAGAATACCCAGCGCCAGCCCAGGCTTTGGATGATGGCGGCACTCACCAGGGGAATCAGATTCTTTCCGCCTAGCAGCAAGAGTGTATATATACCCACCCGATAGGCTCTTTCGTGCAAGAAGTAGATCTCTGCAATTGTAGCAGATGGAAGACACTCGACTGGGCTGACGGCAAGTCCTTGGAAAATACGAGCGACCACGAGACTTGGGTAGTTCGGTGACGCTGCGCACCAAATTGCCGAGATCACGAACAGGGTGGCCCCCAAAAGATAAACTGGTCGTTTCCCGTATAGAATGGCTGTGGGCGACATCACGACAGACCCCAAGCCTAAACCTAGCATATAGAACCCGGTGGTAAAAGCCACTTGTTGGGTGCTGACATCGTATGCAGCTGCGACCTTGTTAAACCCAGCTGCCAAAATGGGGGTCATGCCGCCTCCCATCAAGCAATAGAAGCCCAGCGAGACCAATGCGGTGTCTCGTTGCCACACAGGCCAGTTCAGAGGGTCATTTACGGAGTCATCCGGTTGGGGATCAAGCACAAATTGTCCGTCCGCTGTTCTTTTCTTCGTTGGAACCGCCGACCGGGTTCGAGAATTGGATCGCGAGGGACGATAAGACGAGGATATAGATGATGTCGATGTCCGATGCGGTTGGTGCCTCATTCCCAGAGGTTCATTGCGATTTGATGACAATAGAAGTACCGTTCCTAATCCATATCAGCCAGTTGTCAGTTTCCGTTTCACAATACCACTTCTCTTGATAACAGGGAGATCTCTACTAACCAGGAACTTCGTCGGTCTCCTTATCACTTAGGATTCCCAACGTCGATTTGGCGCGATAAGTTAGATCCCCGCTAGACTCGGCATCTTCTTTGGTATTTCCTCCAAAGACTCGTCTCCAGCGCGAAGTAGCTGGCTGCTGCGGGACAGGTTCAATTCCTGTGTTCTCCTCCATTGTTGCAGAATAGTTCTCGGTTGGCGAAGCCATGTTCTGTTTGAGAACTACGACCGAAGTCTTCGGCCTATCGCGTTTGCGTTTGCGAAACAAGTGCGCTAAACATGCCATATTAGCCAGGGTCTTTCACATCTACACAGTAAAAGAGCAATCTCTCAAAGTCAGCAGGGGGCTTGGGGGAAGTCACTCACAGCTATCTCAGATGGTCAGCAGGGGATATCGGAATCCAATAACAAGCCCAAAAATGCTGCTGGTAAAAACTAGCAATTATAGACGACGCGCTGGCAGTGACGGGATGAGTCCCCCCACAAAAGGACAGGTAAAGTGTATGTCGCTGAGTCTTGCGAAAGCGATCAACGCTTCTGGATTAACGCAAGAGGCAGCAGATGAGCTCCACTTAAAGGCATAGCTTAATGAAACGGGAAAGAGGAAAAGCGAAGTAGAACAGAACAAAGGTCTAGCAAGTGGCAGACGGCTGATATATAGTGTTCTGGCGTTTCTCGGGGTCCATGCGATAAGCTCTTAGGTATATCACGCGGTAAATATTGAAAAGACCAAAAAGCTGAGACACAAAGAAAAAGGTGTGATCGACGATCTCATGTGGGCAGTGGGGGAGGCGGTGAGATGTCTCAGAGTACTCACGGAGTACCATGGGTGTCGTACGATTGCCAAGGTTAAATCAAGTACCTTCGAGGTACTATCTTTCTGATTTTATCAACTATCTTTCTGCATCCACATGTAAATATAGTTATGTATGTATCTAACATATACTTTATACATAATCTAGTGGACTGAGAATGACGCAGGGGATGATAAGCACCGTTTTCGGGGAATGCCACTCCGTATTGCTCCCCACAATATATCGTTAATGATGTTACCACATGGATCAACAGTCCGCGTCGATAGGTGGATCCTTAGGCCACGCATATTACACGCAAGATAACGTCAAAAGCAGCAAGACGGACTACACTCACATATATTAAGCACGCATTTAATCCCTAACAGGAGTCTACACTCCGTAGTGAAAGATTAATCCTCCTCGAATATCTCAATCCCCGAATGCGCCCGGCCATTCCTGGCATATGCCAAGCCATTCAAATCCGGCGCTTGTCGCGAGAGTTTCACTTGCGTGGTCTGCCCGTCCATGGATATGTCTGTTGACGAATTCGAGTATTGGACAATGCTCAAATGATGTTTCCAAAGCCTCAACATTATCTCAGCTGACCAGCGGGAGGTGTTGGCTGTCGTCATTGTGCAGATGTCCAATTGCGGGGGAAAGGAGCCCCAGCTTGGGTATCTTCATACCGTTGGATATCAGCATTTCCCTTCCTGGGTGCTTGAGCTCGTGTGGCGTCATGGGTCAGACTATGGCTGCTGATCTACAACCTTATACATCATGTTTGGAGGAGGGGGATCCGACAAGCCAGTTGCGTCCATCCACGCAGGTATTACGACCTTTGGGGACGCCACCTGATGTTAGTTCTCGGATGGGATCGACAGACTCGTTTTAGGGTTATTTGGTTCGTGATATTGCCATTCGTTTGGTATTGTGGGCGGATTAATTGACTTGCGGATCGAAGATAAGGCATTTCCATCACTTGATAGCATTGATAGCATTGTCTGCTCCTCTTCATTGGCAAGACACTATTGATTAAAACTCCAAGCCAATCACACTGACAAATGAACGGAGGCACTAATCGAGATCAGCGAGTTGGGGAAGAGTGTCGCGCTACATACGCATTTCAACCATCCACAGGAGATCTCGTGGATTACAGAATGGGGAGCACAGAGATTATTTGTAGCACCAGGAGTCAAAGGTAGCACGGTTCATGAGTATCAAGATCCATCATGGCCGCTGCCAGGGTAGGGAATACCAGTGTATCCAGGCATTATATTAAAAAAAAAAAAAAAAAAAAAACCAAAAAAACAAAGAACCTTTGCCCCCGAGGGCTATCCATATGCCCAAGTCCCTACGAGACTAAGAACCACAAATAACGTGCTGAACAAGGAGTATTATACGTTAACTAACTAGCTAGAATGGGTTATTTATTTATTAATGGTTTCGAAGGTTAGCACAAGGTTGGCATCGGGGTAATTGGTTATATACTCCGCAACCTCTGGGGCTACAAGGGATAAATAACTAGCTCAGAATCTACTCTATTTACAAAATTAGGCTTATTTTACCTTTAACCTGATAAAAGTCCCTTCCTAGTATTAATTCACCACAAACGTCCTATTCATCCAAATAATAAACAAAGGTAAGAAGCATGGTGTGGAGGAACACATGACTGATATTGCACGCATAGCATACTAAATAGCAGATCACCCAGAGGATGGTTTTCCATTCCGATCATGCACATTCATGTTAGCAACACAACATTACCAGTTGCCAATTGCGTCCAGGGGTGAATCAGATTGTGCCGATTTGCATTACAGGGGGGCCGTTCGCGGGAGGTCACGTGGGTGCCCCCTTTGGCAGTTCAAGATGAAGGCGAAGGCGAATGCTCTTTCTTTGCTTTGAATTCTTCTTCTGTTATTTGCTTATACGTCATCTTAATATCTCTACTTCTTTTTTACTACTTTACATTCATTCCGACATCCATCCTCGCACTTGAAAAATTGTCTGGTGTTAATCAAATCTCAGACGCGACTTAGTGTCGTGGCATCTCTCGAGGATTTCTCCCACTTTGGATATCGGTTCCACCTCTTTTTTTCCTCTTGGTTGTGAAAGATTATCAACTATACATTCAAATCGCCAATTTCAACTATCATTCATTTTTTCCGCGGGAGAAACAACCGTTCATCATGAAGATCACCCAATCGTCCTTCCTTCTTTTCCTTCTTCCCGCAATTTCGGCCGTCCTCGCCGACACAACATACAATGACAACATAGATTCTCGAGTCTCGCGTGAGACCGCTGGCAACAACGCTCGACTCGTCGACCCGGATATAGTCGCATCCAATGTCGCTAAAGGGGCGCCGGACGTCCCCGTGGACGGTAAGGATGGTAGACCGCACGCTGGTCCGTGGGTGGAAACCAATGGAGACCGGGACCGCAAAGGTGTCAAGGGAAGCGATGATATTGATTCGGTTCCTATCAAATATGACACCAAGATTCCCTCTTCGGAACACCTGAGCACCGAAGAAGGGAAGATGATCCCGCATTCAAATGGCGGCGTTATGGATGACCCGCATCGGGCGGGCCCGAAAGAGGGAACACGGGGAACAGAGGGTGGTGTTTCCGAGAAAGGAAAGGAGAGCCAATTGGCCTCGGAAAAAGTCCCGGGAGGACCAAAGGAAGCGCCTCCGCTACCGCACAGTGAGACTAAGAAGCTGGGCTCTGACAGCGACGACACAACAACCGGAAGTGGAAGCCGGTCTGTGGAGGGACCGGGAGGCCTTGGTATGGTCGGAGTAAGTCTTCCTATATATTCGCTCGAGTCCGAGGTCCTTCATTGAACAAGTGGAATTAATGTACATCCTAGAAACCCGCCGACCTCCCTGAAAAGCCACACGATATTCCATACCCCAAGCCCCCCGCTGTGGTCAAGGACGATCCTCTAGGCCTTGGGCACGACTCAGTCGCCTCGGGGTCATCTTCAAGTTCACCCTCGTCCTCGTCGAGCCACGGTCATGACCACCACCACGACCATGACTCTGATATCCATGATGCCGGTAGCTCACTACACTCCCTTGTATTCTCCTTCACCATGATTCTCGTCTCTGAAATCGGCGACAAGACTTTCCTTGTGGCTGCGCTGATGGCCATGAGACACCCCCGCTTGGTGGTGTTCAGCGCTGCATTTAGCGCCTTGATTGTAATGACTGTTCTTTCAGCCGTCCTGGGCCATGCAGTTCCTACTCTCATCCCGAAAGCATTCACCAAATTTATTGCTGCCATTCTGTTCTTAATTTTTGGAGTGAAGATGCTCAAGGAAGGTCGTGAAATGTCTCCAGATGAGGGTGTGGGTGAGGAAATGCGAGAGGTTGAGGCGGAGCTCGAAGAGAAGGAGCACGAGCAGCTGCGCATGAGCCGCCGTCGCTCCTCGGTTACTCCTCACAACCTCGAAGCAGGTCGCGCTGGAGGTCGTCCCAAGACCCGTGGCTCCGGAAACCGCCTGCCTTCGCCCCCGGAGAGCCTGTCCTCATCCTCGTCCCGTGGCTCGTCCCCCCAACCCCGACAACGGTTGAACGATGTCTTGTCTGGATTGAGCAACCTCTTTTCCCTGCTTCTCAGCCCCGCGTGGGTCCAGACCTTTGTCATGACTTTCCTCGGTGAATGGGGCGATCGCAGCCAAATTGCCACTATCGCCATGGCAGCTGGTCAAGACTACTGGTGGGTGACAATTGGAGCCAGCGCTGGTCACGGAATCTGCACTGCAGCCGCCGTGATTGGAGGACGGGCTATCGCTGGTCGTGTCAGCATGCGTGTTGGTAAGTATCCTCTGCTAGATTTCTTATTCATTACACTTGCTAATCTTGACTTTTATAGTAACTCTGGGCGGCGCTGTGGCATTCCTTGTCTTTGGCGTCATCTACTTCTTTGAAGCCATATTTTAAGCGCTGCATATCCGCGGTTGTATGTGTTCACGGAAACTTATTGTTACGGTTTTTGGCGGTTGATTTGTTGTAAAAGTCGAATGAATGCATCTTGTGACATACCTAGTGCTGTTTTAATATAATTACGTGTCTGGCCCACGCAATGGCCAGGTTCACAATGTTATCTTTTTTCCCTCGAATGCCAAATTGTACAGGAGAAAAACACACTGGTCAACATGGCTACTTCGTACTGAGCAGGTAGATATAATTATTCATGAAATGGCAATCCTATTTTCAGGGCTATGGATACTTTCAGGAATAAGGAGTCGATTTGTTAGCCAATGTCACGCTTTTAATAAGTAGTTCCTAATGCTTTCCAAATGGCGAGTACTAGGAAATCGTTCGGTCTCAAACCCAAAGGTCAACATGGATACCTTTTGATCCTGTATCATAAACACGCCATCGTCGAATAAAATAGGTCAAAATGAGTAGCTTAGGTAGAGTTGGGTGTTTCGTAGTGTTTAGGGTTTGTGTTAGGGTTTCCAGCCTCGTATTACAGGCAATAATTTGATACTGTAACCTGAGGCATCAAAGTTGCTGAAGACAGTTTAGCGGACTGCGCGTTATTAATCTTCCGTTTTTCCGAGGAACGCAGCCCCGAAAACCCTGACTCCTTGGCTCCTCCCTCCCCTAAACGCTCCACCACTCCATCGCATTCGGCATCCGTCTCATCACGCAGCCATCAGAAAAATTCCAGTCTCGTCTCTTTTCTCAAGGTCTATCAAGTTTTCGTCATAGCGCGAAAGAACCCATAACAACAAGGCGTGGAGAGGGTGACGCACGTGTCCTGCCCGACACTCCCCACCGCCTTCCATGGCTCGCATCACGGGGTCCCGCATGACGCGAAGTCGGAGCCGGGAGGCAAATGCAGGGTTTATGCCAAACAAAGGAACCCTGGAGCGAAATTGTAGGTAAATTCAAATATTTTGGTGTGGCCCAACAGCATGTCGCACAGTGGGTGGGTCAGGCGACTGAGCATTAAGAACTATGCACAGTTGTGTATTCCATTCCCCAATCTGTGACTCGCCTCGATACTTGCTTCATTTTGTTGTACATTTGCCTCACTTCTTGGCATTGATGCTTCAATCACTTCTGTTTTACCATTGAATGTGTTCTGACTTCATTCAGGGCTGAGCGGGGTGACTGAGGAGCCTTCAACTCCTTCTCCCGGATTCATCGTACCCAGGAATGTGATACCAGAGTCGCCTGAGAACCATGAAGGTCATACCAATGTCTCTGGTACAACCCTGGGTCACAACGACGTGGAGCCCCTCGATTCTCAAGTCGCCGATAAAATCGTGACCCACCTGCCGTTCGTTCAGCAACAGGCGACCCTTGTGATGAGTCTCTTGGTTCGCCCGGACTTGAACCCGGACAGCCTTGCAGCTGAATCCAAAAAGCTCCTGGATTCTAACCACCCAAATCGCAAACGCCTGAGGCGGTCCGTTGAAGGGCTGACCGATGAGCTGGAAGACTCTCCTCTTTCTCGTGATGGCAAGTCATTCTTGGACATCTCTCAGGCTCGTCGTTTGCTTTCGTCCGCCCAGCTAGACACCTCAGTCTCAGATATCTACATGACAAACAATACTTTGTTGACCCTCAACATGTTCCTTCCCAGCATCGGTACGGAGTCCCAGTCAGAGGTCATCCAACAACTGGATTCTCAGTTTCCTGCATGTGTCATGAGCAACCTTGCAGACAGTTCTATGTCAAGGGCAATTGGCACGAGTAACACGACCGAGGCCACCTTCAATCTTGCATTGGGTATTCGCACACAGTTTTTCATCACGGAGTTAGAAAGACGGCAACATGAGCAAGATTTCAGCCCACTCTCCATCCTAAGACAGGTCTTTGCTATGGACCTCACGCCCATTGAAGATGATTCCCAGAGTATCCCCGCCTCGTTCCGTGGGTTCAACTTGCCGGGTGTTTTACAGGACGACGATGGCCATCTTCCCGAACACCTTCCTGAAAAGTTCATCATTGCCGTCAGCGATAGGTTCAATGAGCTTTACGAGGAACTTTCCGAGTGGGATTCCCTTGACATTGATGGTCTGAAAAAGGCATACAGGTGGCGATCGTTTGAACGGGACCTTGCACGTTGGATCTACACTCGTGACAGAGAACTCAAGGATGACATTAGACGTCTGGCAGAAAAAGTTCATAATTCACCCGCGCCTCGTCGCATTACTTCTGTCCCCGCTGTTACTCCCAGCCGGCGTCAAGCATCGACAGTGCCTCCAAGTGGTGATATCTCTCGTCGGGGGCCCCAAAAGACTCAGTCTCCTCAGAAAGGACGATCAGTGAACATAGCACCAGATTCAGATACGGCAACTCAGGCAGAGCCGGCAGAGCTGGCAGAACAAGCAGCCCAGGCGGATCAAGCACCTGAAAAAAACGTTTCCGGGCTACGCACCACTCCTCAAAAGGGTCCTCAACAAAGTGTCTCCGACCAAGTCGCACAGCTGGCGGCAAAAGATCCCGGTCGGCGCAAGTCCAAAAGGTATGCTTTATTCTATGGTTTCGCACACTCTGTGGATACTAAATTTCATCTATAGCAACTTCCGAGACCCAGCCTCGTTTGCGGCACTTATGAGGCGCCAGGCTACTAGCCATCAACAACCTATCTCGAACGTTGAATCGCAGACGCGAAATATTTCTACAGAAACAAGTATTGTGGCGCAACTGATTAACCCCGGCCCTTCTGCCGCCGCCTCTTTTGAAGTGCAACAATCCCCTGAGCTGCGATACACAGATATCGCGGACGACACTACATATGTGAACAATGACGAGGAATTGGAACTCGGCCATGGCGCGGAACCTGACATTATGACATCGACCAGTCCTCCTAACTCCGCTAGAATCAGCCATGTCAGCCACAACCCTCGTTTCTTCGATTCTCCAAAGGATGAAAACACACAGCGATCGGTTCCGGTCCCTCGGCGCTTCCTCGATAAGCAGAGCAACGCTGGGGTTGTCTCGCCGATCAGCCAATATGACCCTGAAGGCGCAGGGAATTTCACCGTGTTGGGCAAGCGAAATCGAAGTGTCGATGACCAAGATGATGACTCAAGTGACGAGTCAGACGTTGAATTCGAGCAGAACAATCAAAATGTGGACCCTAAGCGCAGAGTGGAAAAGCCTCAGCAAAATTTGCCTGCTACGAAGCGACTGCGCCCCGAGGACAATGCGGTATCTGCCGAAGAACGGTTGCAATCGAATATCAACAAATCCTTCCACCACAATTCTAACTCATCGCAAATTTCTCGAAGAGCGCAGACAGCTGATAGTGACGATATCACTGATGAAGAGACCACTGTTGAACAGCATGAACCACCCTCTGGTACCCAGAGTCGCTGGGCAGCCTCTAGTTCCCAGGCTGCGATAGCCACTCGCAAAGTTCCAAAGACCAGTCACAGGTGGACAGAGGAAGAAGATGAACGTCTGATCTACCTTATGGGGATTTATGGTACTGCTTTTGCTGCCATAAAGAAGCAAGATAATGCTTGCCCGCCGTCTGAAGGTGGTCCCATGCTCGAGCGTCGCTCGCAGGTGAATTGTAAAGATCGTGCTCGCAATTTGAAGAGGAAATATCTCAGGTGAGTCAAGGTACCCTTTCGTCTATGGTGTGTAGGATATAATTCTGATGTGTTGTTTTATAGAGAAGGTCGACCACTTCCGCCGAACTTGGATCAGGCAGCAAATTAATTTTGACGAATTCATGATCTACAGACAGTCGCGGTTTGCTCTTGCGTTTCTTAGCGTTCGTCGATATACCCCAGGGGCGCATGGGATGGAGTTTTGAGCGTTCATTTCTTGGTTTCTGCTTTCGTTCTGGTTTTTTTTCTTTCTTTTTCGTGTATGATTCTTTTGCCTTGTATAGGGCTCTTTTACGAAGAAACGTTGGTGGTTGGGTGATTCCTTTACTCCATTTTCTTTTTCTTCGATTTCTCATACTGTCAGGATTAATAAATTGTTGATTTTACACGTTCATCGCCGCCCGCGAGCATCCCTTAATACCTGTTTATCCGGTTGCTATGCCAGATACACTCTACGTGAAAATCAACGCAAGAATTTGCGGACTACTTGAAACCACTAATTTTGAAGGGTTTTTTTCAACCTTCTCCAAGTTTCTTTCTATGCCTTTTTCTGTTATTTTTCTTTCCTTCTAGAGAACGATCATCTAAAAAGAAAAGAAAGCGGGGGAAGGTAGCTACGGGAAGTGTTTCGCACTGAGACAGTGAGGCAGAATCCAAGATACAATGGAGCCTGAGATGAAAGGATGTCCTCAGCGAAGACCAAGGCTGAACTATAAGGGATCAATGGCTTTGTGTAGAATGTACGAGGAATCAAGACGAAGCCAATAAAGACTATGTCGTATTGGGTGGGTGCCTTGGCTTCTTAAGGTCCTACCCAGTGCTTTGTTTGAACTCTTGCGCATCTTTGATATATGACACTGATGATGTTCACAGTGACTGGGGATCAAAGAACGTTACGTATTTCACGAGTTTCGGGGTGCATCGCGTAAACAAAGAAATACAGATATTATGCAAAACACTCTAACAAAATCCTAAATCTACGGATAACTCCTACACGGTACATACCGGAGGAAGAAATGACTTTTAGTATAAAAACAGATGAATTTCTTGACATTAGCTCTTCAGATCAATTCTACAGCACCAAGAACCGGCAGCTTGCATCCAAACAGACCTCCAAGAAATTTGCTTACCTTATTACTAGGTCCCAACTCTCGACATGGGTAATGGCAAGGGTAAGGGTAGAGGTAAGAAAAGAAGTCGGAGTCCAAAGGAGAACAACATCGCAACGACGGTCGAGAGCAAGGGTATGTCCCTGGGCAAGCATCACTGTCTTGGTAGGCACGCTCCATCTCCGCGATGCATTCATCTACGCCATGTGGTCCAATGTCCAAAGCATCCTAAAAGCTTCCCCCAACAGTTGAAGGATTGTGTGCAGTGCATTAGTGCTGAGAGGCGACTAGTGCAACAAGAGCGAAAGGAGAAAATGAAATAGAGCAACAGGTTGGCTCATCTTGGTATTTTAGATTAGATGGTGCATATCAACTCATTTTGATGTATCTTGAGTCTCGTTATTGTTATGATATGTCTAAATGTATATACTACTACTAGTAGCAGTAGTGATGAGAGGAATTAATGACAATTTCTAAATATTGATACATATACTACTAGCAGAGAAGATGTGGAGACAAGTTATCACCATCTCTACACATACCCACCGACCCCATTTTGGTGATAAAAGTGCACACAACAGTTAAAGTGGCTAGAAATTGCTCCGGGGGACAATTTTTGTATGGAGATGGTCCGTGCACGACAAAATCACCATACAAAGTGGGCCACTTGGGCCCAACCCTGAGTGACTTTTTGACTTGTTGAGGGGACTTGGTCGTTTTGAATATCACCAAGTCACGTGTTGGGACCTTCGGGCGTGGCCTCGGGGGAAAACACCCCCCCAACATCCCCGGGTAACTCCAATATGCCCCCCCCTGTGTCTCTCCCAGCAAGGCGCCATGGCGCCCAGCACCAACTGGCTAATCCCCGTCCCAGGTTTACCCCGCAATCTCACTCATCCTTTTTCTTTGTTCTTTTATGTTTCTTTCCATCTTAATCCTACTTCTTGAGCCTCCTAAATAGAACATCATGTGGAAGAATACAAAACCAGCGCATCTTGCCTTCCAAGCACACGATCGACATATCGTGACCTGTTTACAATTCGACGACGACAAGATTATATCCGGTAGCGACAATGCCAATATCAACGTATATGACATCAAAACCGGAGCACTTCGAGCAATACTCGAAGGCCACAACGGCGGTGTATGGGGACTTGAATATCATGACAATACTCTGGTCTCTGCATCAACAGATTCCACCATCCGAGTATGGGACATTGCGAGAGCCAAGTGCACCCATGTGTTCCAAGGTCACACATCCACAGTACGGAACATAATGATACTATTGCCAGTTCAAATTGACCAGCATCCGGACGGTACGCCAGTGATGATGCCCGAACAACCATTAATCATTTCTGGGTCTCGTGATTCGACCATACGGGTTTGGAAACTTCCTAAACCAGGCGACGCGGAGTATTTCCCTCCTGCTGAAAGTGACGAGGAATGTCCATACCTCATTCGGGTATTGACTGGTCACCAACATTCCGTGCGAGCAATTGCTGCGCGCGGGGATACCCTGGTCAGCGGTAGCTACGATCTTAGCGTGCGAGTTTGGAAAGTATCCACCGGGGAATCCCTTCACCAGCTACAAGGCCATACAATGAAGATTTATAGTGTATCTTTGGACCATAAGAGGAACCGCTGTATCAGTGGATCAATGGACCATGTGGTAAAGATCTGGTCTCTTGATACTGGTGCATTGTTATATAATCTGGAAGGTCACACATCATTGGTGGGTCTACTAGATTTGAAAGAAGATATACTTGTCTCGGGCGCTGCAGACGCTACACTTAGAATCTGGGACCCTGAAAATGGACATTGTCAGAGCGTGTTGGATGGTCATACTGGATCGATCACAAGCCTCCAGCACGATGGTGAAAAGATAATATCTGGCGCTGATATGAATGTGAAGATATGGGACCTACGGACTGGTGCATTTGAGAGGGACCTCTTCACCGACCTCAGCGGTGTCTGGAAAGTCCGATTCGATGCCCAACGCTGTGTTGCAGCGGTTCAACGCGACGGCGAGACCTATATCGAGGTTAGTGCTCCCTCGAGTTGATATCGTGTGTATACTTTGTCTGATTCATGCAGATTCTTGACTTCGGCGTATCCCCTGACGCCATGCCATCTGACCGGCTGGGGAAACGGATTTTAGTTGATGAGCTAGGTAATGAGATCGATGGCCCAAAGGGAGATGATGATCTGAGTGATTAAAGTCACTAGGGCTAGGTAGTAATTAGGCAGCCAAAGTTAGGTGCATAGATGTCCCACCTTTTTTGTTAGACGTAATGTTATGGAAGTGCCATAAAGTCCTTTGCACGTATGAGGGTGAAAGGCATTTAGAGAAGTTGAACCGAGTGTCAACGGAGTGTTACTGTGGTGAGGAAACATTCGTGCGAATGGTAGATTGTATCAAAGCAGCAGTGCATTATTTATGACCTTTTTGGGTCCGCTCCTTTCGTACGTACTTCGGAGCTGTCAAAGCTAGATCGAGCCTTCGATATTTTCCTTCTACGCATTGAGTTCGAGGGATGAATCATGACATCTCCAGTATAAATCGCAGAGATCGAGTATAAAAGGAACGAAGTGGACAAAACTATGATTGGATGTATTAGTGAATGGCCATATAATAAACCTTTTGGGTAGTAGAAACCTTACCCACTGACAACCACCTCATGAGTGATAAAGCAGCAGCAACCATGTCCCACTCCGAGCCCTCTGCATATCTGTCTCCCTGGTAATACGACGAAGTCTCGCGTACAAGGCCAAGGATACCAAAAAACCACAGATCAACCTTGAAGACGCAATCCAGAGCAATCTCGGCGCCGGGATGGAGAGGCCACCCAAGGGCAATTGGGATAGTGTTGATCAGGGCCCAGGTTCCTGGGATGCCAACCTGTGATTCTTGGTTAGCCTGCGATGTTGAGAAATGCTAGTGACATTTAGATGTCGGGGTCCACGAACGATAATATAGTATGCCCAACCGTAGGTTTCCCATAAATCTCCAAAGAATGATATTGGCATGACGGCCAGGATCACAGCAAAGATCCGCAGGCTTTGCCTAGGCTTACTGGTTCCAGAGGCTGAGATCTTGGTCATGTTGGTGGTTTAATGAGGGGAAGTCACGGAAGGAGATGTAATCGGAAGCAATCGAGGAAGAATTTCATAATGAAGATCCAGTCTATTTGAAGATAGATAGAGGGTGTCGCCTAAAACACAACAAATGGCAGTGCAATTTATTTTGGTGAGGATCATCGCCGGGCGCAGTCTTGTGGGTCGACAAGTTTATTGAGAAGAGCGTCGAAGTGAACTTTATTACTTCATGAGATAGAGAGTTAGATAAATGCTAAGGCAATGGTAAAGCCTCTGGGGTGTTTTTCGTCGCTGTTCAATAAGAAGTTGTTGTAATAGAAATGAAAGGTCAAATGGTCACTTTTATGTTTTCCATTTTAGGGAATTTTGCGCAAACCCCACCCCGGGGGCGCGAAGTTTGGCCCCATCGACGGTGATCTATCCAGTTTTAGGTACATGACTGGGTCGCCCTGCCCAGGCGCTTAGCCCTGAACCCAAAATGGTGGATGAGAACTGTAAGCACACAGCCAACAAGCGTGGCTCCAATTCTTTTGCTAATTTTGAGGCCTAGTAGGTACGGCAAACACAGTCTATCACTAACTAACTAGTTGGTTACAGCATCTGTTGTGGAACTCAGCTTGAGTGCAGGCCTCTGCGAGTATTTCTTCTATTAATTTGGTTTCATATTCTATCACCTTCACTACCTCTTCCACACAGTATCATGTACTGAGAACCTCTGTCGTCTCTGTACGACTAGAAAATTTAGTTTCTAATAAAAAAGAAACAACTCGATGGGGGTGAGCACTGAGTGATACGAAGGCTACTTGGAGTTACTGCAAGTGTATTTAGATATACTTAGAGAACAGAAAGCGACCCTTATCACGCAGCAAAATACAAGAGAGATGCTAAATGAGTGAAGACGTGCCAACAGGCCAACAGGCTAGAACATCAACCCCTATACCGTCCTTTATCGGCAGCCATGCATAATCTCCGAAAATGGCCCATTATATTCGTGGGTTAGATCTCGGTATGATCTAACAGCAAGGTCTATATCAGTATATCAATAGATTTAAGACAAAAAGCGAAGGTACTTACCGTGGATTGCTTCTAACGTGAAGTGAATAGACTCATCCTGGACATCCCTCAACTCCAGGTATAGGTCGGGTGTGCGGGATAGATAGAGCGACGACGGAATGTCTTGGAACGTAAAGATGGGATTTTCCTCATCCACTCGGGTGACTCGAATGGGGATTTTCGGCCCCGCGGGGTCTAGGTAGCATGGGATGCCCTGCTCACATACAAGAGACTTAGATGAGCCTACAGGGGTGATAACAGCTTCATCATCAGCGAAGCCCTCGGTGTTGAACTCCCAGGACTCCGAGTTGGAATTGGGCGCGGTACCAAATTGCATAGAGGTTGCATCTCGGGTATCATGGAGTAATGAAAGCGTGCTGCCGTTGATGGTTTGCTTGATTTTGTCCTTGAACACCAGGCCGTTGGTCGAGCAAGAGAGAGCGGCAAGCAAACCAGCCAAAAGATGGGAACGCATCATATTGTCTGGTAGAATAGTAGGATGGAGAACTTCTATGTTTGAAGGTTCTAAAGCTCTAAGGGTTGAGGACAGTGATTAATGTAGAAAGGTTGAGGAGAAATGGGGTATTTATCTCCGACATTCGCGGAGGCCTATTGCAAAAAGAACTGCGAGAAAAAGCAATCAACATTTATCGATTTTTGAGCCAAGGGGATCCTAGCATTCAACAATCCCACGCTGTATTTATTCTCTGCATGAGACTCCACGATTCACTGATTAGTCAAAGGAATAAGGCTGGCTGAATCCTGAGATCCACAATTAGTGTTCAGCTTGTAGCTGACATCATGTAGTAACTCAGTTTCTCACTCTGCTATGAAGTGAATCCGTTAAGCTTTTATTCATTTGATTGCTGCTGATTTGAAGTGTTGATTATTGAATTTAATCTCGCTTAGAGAGATCCTGTACTTCGATCCATTATCCTAAATCTCAAAAGGGAGCATTGGCATGATAGCCTGAATCATAGCAAAGATAGGCTTGGCCTAGACTTATTTGATTCAGAGGCTTATACGATGGCCACATATGTTCCTTCATTCTTCTCTCATCGGATACATGTGTTTTTCTCACATTGAAGGAAAGTTGGTCGTCCCATGGGTCATGGCTCCGCTCCGAATTTGGAAGGTGCCAACCTTGGTCACTGCCTTCCTTGATAAAAAGACTGGAGTCCTTTTTCCTCTTCCTCTTCCTTTTCTATTTCCTTGCCCTCTTCGTCCACTTCATCCACTTCGTCCTCTTCGTCCACTTCGTCCACTTCGTCCACTCTGTCCTCTTCATCCACTTCGCCCTCTTCATCCACTTCGTCCATTCTGCCCACTCTGTCCTCTTTAATCTGTTAATTCTATCAGTTGTGCCCTTGTTTTATCAAGACCTTTCGCGTTTCTCCTTTCCTTTGATCTGCAAGGATGCCGATGTCCACTTTTGATGTGATATCACGTCTTCATGAATTGCGGGCTCGTCTGAGGTCGGTTAGAGACAAAGCCCTCGTCTCCAACTTGATTCGCGAAATGAACGAATCCCCCCAAAGCTACCCGAGTCTACCAATTTCTTCGCTCGGACTCAAGGAGATTCAACAGATCCTCGGCTTGAGACAGATGAAGGAAAACTCGGACACTGAACTGCAAGATGTTCAACCAGTCTCTTTACCTGCCGAACTACGTGAGTACACTCAAGTTCCCAAGCTTGAGTTAACTAACTCGAGCTAGGGAAACATTTTTCGCGAATCAGTCACGCTGTTGGTCGTGGACCGAATACTGAGGCCCACAATCGATTCACGCTCAATGAGTTGATCTTCTATGCGCATGAACATGTGCAGAAATCTCGTTCCACCAAGAGCAACTCCATATATGTACAGGCTGAACGTACGTGGAGTTATGAGCCTGTTCGATGGAAACGCAAACTGTGGAGTTTGAAGGGGCGGCCTGATTATTCTATCTGGTATGGCGCCGAAGAAGAGGTTTCCGTCAATGTCATTGCAATCGAAGCAAAATCTGATTCTGGGTTTTCATCGGGAATCCCGCAAGTATTGGGCTATATGGGTAAGTGCTCTTTTCCTACTACTACTATATATTAAAGGCTGACTAACTCGTTTGGAGGCGCCGTGCATCTTCATAGAAAGCAGCAGAAAAAGCTGGATTCTACTGTATATGGGGTATCAGCCGACAAGTACAATTTCTGGTTTGGAAAGCTGGGTGGAAATTCACAGGTTAGCTTCTTCAAAGGTTGTTTAAATCTGTTGTCATATTCTAACACTACCAGTGGACGCAACGAATTGTGATGGCTTATGAATCCAACTACGAAGCGGCGTACGGAATCTTGATTCATATGATGAACAAAGCAACCACCATCTCACCTTCGCATTCTCAACTTCCGTCCACTCAAACGCATTCGCACGAGAGTTCTAGAGAGTCCAGAAAATCGAAGATTAGCTTCCACGTGAAGGACAACGACGTTGCAATGGAGGATTTTTGACAAAACCACTACTGAGATACAAACACGCCCAAGCATGGCAAGAGTTATCGAAAATTTATGGGCTGTCATTCGCATTATTCCGACTTCCACCATGAGTGTTCAACTTTAAGCTGACATCATGTGGTCGCTTTCTCACTTTGCTACCGAGTGAACCTACTAGGCTTTTATTCGTTTGATTGCTGCTGATTTGAATTATTGATTATTAAATTAAATCTCGCTTAGAGAAATTCTTTACTTCGACTCATTGTCCAAATCTCAAAAGGGAACCTTGGCATAGGTATAAAACTTCAATACGACGGTTAAGTAAATTTTTTCGACAAGGCTTGAGATATATGATCAATACATTGGATCAATTCAAGTGCTCTTAAAGCATTACTCTAGGCAGTCGCATAGATACGACTCAATTTACTCTGGTCATACTCATGCGCCACGATATCCTCAAAGACAGCAGGGTACTTTTCACTGACCATGGGCGCCAACGGCTTCAATGACGCTGCCGGATTAGGCTTTCCAAAGTAAGCAATGCAGTGTCGAGCAGGCACCGATCCAGTCTGAGGAGAGAGCTTTTCCGCATTGATAGGGACACGATGACACGCGGAGTAAATGCGCTTGTTCATCCAGCGCATCATCGAATCACCCACGTTGACGATCAATGTCGGGAATGTGCATTGTACGGGGTAAAATTTGCCGGAGCTTTGGTCTTGGACCTCCAGGCCACCAGATCCGTCCTGCATGAGTAGAGTCAACGAGCCGAAGTCCGTGTGCTCGGCGATCCGGGTCTGGTCGGTCTGGGCGACCCGGCTCTGTGGGATTTCGAGATAGTGGAGGAGACGCAGTTCGCTGGCGCGAGCGTCATGAAGTGAGTCGAAGAAGTGCTCGTCCATGCCTAGAGAGAGAGCCAGGGCACTCATGATCTCGAGATGAAGTCGGTAGCATTTCTCATAATAGCCAAGCATGTACTCTTTGAAACCAGGCACATCGCTCTCCTTGGGCCATATGTTTGGGTACATTGTGTTTTCTGGAGCCCCGTGGTCGAATGATTCCTAATGAAATATATTATAATTAATCCCGTTGAGTAATTATATTGTGGTAGGAGAATTACCTTCATATCGACTACTACCTTGCCGCCTTCTTCGCCTCGCTCGAAACCTGTGACACCGGAGATGTTCTCTTGGCCGACATAACTATAACCTCTGTGGGGGTTTGGCCGCGGAGGATGTGCAAATTCATTCTTCTGCTCTTTGCTGAGCGCGAAAAGCGCCTTGTTCTATTGCAGAATTAGCAACGTCTCGTCTCGTCTCGTCCGAGCCGATGCGTACATATTCTAGGCCTTCCGTCACATACTCAGCGCTGAGGCCATGATTGATCAATTTGACGAACCCATTCTCTCTGAAAGAAGCGAGCAATTTCTGGCAAAACTCCGACCGTTGAAATTCATCCCCGCTGTGGAATTGGGAGAGATCAAGGGTATGTAGCTGATCCATGATGAATCTTTTACTTGAGTGGAGATGCCAGCCTCACCAAATTGGCTTGGACATCCTCGAGGCTCCTCAATATAAATATATATACTCGTTCCTGCGAAGATAGTTCCCGAACATCTACGCGCACGCAGTCAGCACACAGGGGCCGAAACCAGAGTGGTACCACCGTGATGTGACCACTGGGCGTCGATCGGCTCACTCCCCACCACGGGAGCTGAGAAAAGCATGAAAAAATCAAAATCAAAATCAAAATTTCAGTAAATCGCAATCATCTCTCACTTCGCAAAGCATTATGGGCGTTGCTGCGGTAGATCTTTCGCGTCTTCAAGGCGCCCCCGCCGAACGGGAAGCCGTTCTTCTCTCATTTCTCGAATCGTGCGCATCTCATGGTTTTGTTAAAATAATTGGCCATGGAATTACAGAGGCCAGACTCGAAGAACTCTTCCGCTGGGTAAGTTCAGTAAATTGGGGGCGAAACATAGCGCTAATGATTTGCTCCAGACCAAAGAGTTCTTCGAGTTCCCAGCCTCGGTGAAACAAACAGCGCCTCGTCCACTTGTTGGGCCAAATCGCGGATATATTGCGGTCGGAGGAGAGAAACTCTCTGGAATATCAGGGTATATGAAAGGAGTGCGAAATCCGGTCATGCGAAATGATGTCAAGGTGTGTAGGTCCATGTTGGCCTTTGTCATTTCAATATCTCATCTGCAAAGGAATCATTCGATGCAGGCCCCGACCATGATAAGATCCACCCCACCCCTTGGCCTGTAGGTCCACGCTGTGACGAGTTCAGAGTGTTTATGGAGGCATTCTTGTTGGAATGCCTGGCGGTGCATAATGACCTACTACATCTTCTGGAAGAGGCCTTGCATTTGAGTCCCAATGCTCTGACCTCTCGCTGCTCTGCTGGAAACGGTGAAGTACGCATCACACACTACCCACCTGTCCCGGTCAGGCAATTGAAGACAGGGTCCACATATCGTATTTCTGAACACACTGATGTCGGGATCCTCACATTGCTCTTCCAAGACGCGGTGGGTGGACTTGAAATCGAGGGACAGACAAAGTCCTCGGAGTTTATCCCAATCGAAAGCTCCAACCTCAATGAGATGATAGTCAACTGCGGCGACACCTTGCAGCGATGGACGGCGAATTATCTCCGTTCAGCAAACCACCGCGTGACATACCCGCCGGGGTTGCAGGACGAAGATGCTTTGATTCCAGCTCGATATTCAGTGGGATTCTTTGGAAAGGCGAACATGTCTGCTTCTATGGCCGCGCTGCCAGAATTTGCATCACGTCTAGAGGATGGAGTGGATATTGATGAGAGGACCGCGCAGGAGTATTATAACTACATGCACGAAAGAACGGTCGCTGCGCCAGCAAAGGTTTCAGCATAATTTCCCTCAGATTTGTACCTAGGTATGGAGTAAATATTGTTGAAAATCCAACTTAACTTGTCATGATCAACATACGTTGGAGTTCAACGTTAAACCCTAATTGATCTCATGCATACGTTGCCTCTTCTGCAACATGTCAATTCTTGCATAGCAAAAATTCAGGACTCCTACAGAATAGAGACTAGCAGTGTTAATGCAGTTTGACGCCTCTATCACCTATTCCACCACACAAACACAAGAATCCTGAAATCATGACAATGCATTGCTATTCGGACTGCCTCCATGCATTGTCGCCATTAATCCTTGTACGAACCATGAAGAGCACGGCGCTTAGTGCTGTGTTGAGGAATAACACCGCTCATTGCCTACAATTCTTTACAGTGCTCATCACAAAAAGCAAGTTTTGTGGAAAGGAATAGATGATTCTATAGGAGGAAAAGGAATATATATGGCTTGATTTCCATGTATGAAGAGATTAGACATTATTACAATTTATTTTCTAGACCTCTGTGAAAAATTACAATTCTGTTATACATGCTGTTTAGTGCAGTACTTTGTCGTATATTATTCAACAGATATAATTGAGGCTGCTGTGGCTATATTTTTCGAGTGTAGCCGGAGATGATGTTCAAGGTGGAAATATATATACAAAGCACGTGTCCTTCCTAGCGAAGCGTAACGTGTAAAATTGAAAGTACATGAGTGAGACTAAGCAAGTGTCATAGACGTGCTCTTCCAGCTACTAAACATTCATCAAATACCAACAAAAGCCGCTGTACAGCATCCTCGCTGATCTGATAATGGATCACCAAGCGCGGACCGTCTAGTTTAACGCCGTATCTAGCCCCAACCTCAGCAAAAGCATCTGCAGAATACCCTGCAGACCGAATATTCAACCAGACTATGTTGGTTTCCACATTGCGAGTTAACTTGCCTTTCCGTTGCTGCCATTCATTACCTAGTCTCTTAGCCATACGGTGCGACGCGCGGAGTCCATCCGCCCGCTCACCGCGTCCCTCCCACCCAAAATTCTCGTCGATCGCAGCGCGCATCATTGTAGTGATAACACTAGTCGGACGCAAGCCTCCCCCAAGTGCTTTTCGAATTCGTCGCGCGCGGGTGATCAGCACCCGCGAGCCGAGAACCATAGTGCCGATCGGCGCGCCCAAGTTTTTCGAAAAATCCAAAAACACCGTGTCGAATAAGCTACAATAGTCACGCATGGTACCCGCCCCTGCAGCGACGGTCTGAAAAAGACGCGCACCATCCAGATGTAGTCGAATCTCGTGTTTTCGCGCCCAGGTGCAGATTCGGCGCATTTCTGCCAGAGGAGTGATCGCCCCGTGGGCAGTGTTTTCCAGCGAAATTACTTTCGTCGGCGCCTTTTGCACGTCGTCCGTTATGATCGCCCGGGGCTGAATATCCTCCAATGTCAGGTACAAATTATTTGCAGGCATGACGGCTTGGATCATTGCGCCCGTGAGATATGCTGTCCCGCCGGCTTCAAAGTTGACGATGTGGGCGCGCTTGTCGGTCAGCAGTGAGTAGGGCGGTTGTTCGAATAGCACGCGCAGGGCAATCTGGTTGGCCATGGTACCGGTTAAGGCAAAACAAGCGTCTTCGCAGCCGGCCATCTGCGCTACGGCTGCTTCCAGCTGTTGGGTCGATGTATCCTCCCGAAAGATATCGTCGTCAAAAGTTGCCTGGACGAGGGCATCGAGCATTTGAAGCGTCGGTGTAGTGTGGGAATCAGCTATTCATGAACCTCGTTGTTATTTTCTATACTGCATGAAGCACTGGAAGATATGGGCATACTGCGAAAATCATATTGGGCGTGGCCGGGAGACCCCCATGTTGGCCTCGACATGATGAGATCGAAAATTATTTTACGGTCGCACACCAACGATACAATACTTCTATTAGACACAAGAATCCCCCATCTCTCATGCCTTCTCACACCCCATTCCGCCAGAAATGGGGGTTGTGAGGTTGTGACGGGGCCAAAAACCAGGTGGCACCACCATGTTGAGCCCACGATGGAACGTGTCAGACGAAGGAAATGATAACGAGTGTATAATCTAGCAGTTGATCAAGCGGATGCGCTGTGGGAATCTCTTCGCAATTTCGATTTCACGCCCCCAATCTGTTGCGATACCATGTCGAAAACTACCAGCGAGGAAGATGACTGTCCTACGCCCAACTCGCTGCCCACAACAGCCTCTTCCATTTCGCTCAACAACCACATCGAAGTCTCCGAGCGACTAACAGAATATTATCGAACCAAGGACCGAAAAGAAAATCCACAGCCATCAGCACTATTGCTGGCCGCGCAAAATGAGAGCGCCACAGTGTATGCCATTTTTGGCGGCCAAGGGGTTTCGAGTCCCCTTCATGAATTGCAGGAGCTCTATGCAAAGAATGATCACCTTATCGGGAGTCTGGTTCAGCAGTCGTCCTGTCACCTGCAGCGCTTGCTAGTGGAAAATCCCCGATTTGCATCGTATTATCCCGCCGGATTGGACGTCACGTCGTGGATTTTGCACCCGGAGGATCAACCACCATCGCACGAGCTGAACAGAGCGCCAATTAGTCTTCTGGTGATTGGCCTTCTTCAGTTGGCTAATTATCAAGTATTGATTCATGCACTCGGCCTCAATCCCGGCCAGATGTCCACCTTCTTCCGCGGTATTGGCGGTCATTCACAGGGTATCGTTCCCGCCGCAATGGTGTCTTCCGCACAAGACTGGGAATCTCTCGACCGTCTTTCCCTCGACGCGCTGAGCATCCTTTTCTTCATTGGATGTCGTGCACAATCATGCTTCGATGTCCCTGCGGTCAGCGTTGAGGCGCTCACAGAATCCGAGTCCCATGGGGAAGGAGTGCCTTCATGCATGCTACGCGTTCACGGGTTATCTCTCGACGCGTTGCATGCCGTCATGTATAAGATCAATTCCCAGATTCCGGACTCGGAAAAAGTTGAATTGGCCCTGATCAACGGGCCACGAAACTTCGTATTAGGTGGTCCTCCTGCGGCCTTGTATTCCGTCAGCCGTTACTTGCGCCGGATCAAGGCTGCCCCTGGGATATCCCAAGCCCGCGTTCCATTCAGCCAGCGCAAACCAGACGTGGCCACTAGTTATCTGCCAATCAGCGTCCCATTCCATACTTCTCACTTGGCTACTGCCTGTATGTTGACATTACATGATCTCCGCAACATTTATCTCGCGCGTTCAAACCTTCAAATATCAGTCTACGACACTGGCGATGGCTCCGATTTGAGTGACGGCACAGGTCGGGATGTTATTCCTGATTTAGTTCGGATGATCATGATTCGTCAGTTGGACTGGACCAAAACAGCAGACTTTCCCAAAGCTACACACCTGGTAGACCTTGGGCCCGGAACCAGCCAAGATGGGATCGGAATGTTGACAGACAAGCTCAAGCTGGGCTCGGGCGTGCGCACAATAGTTTTCAGTGCTAGCAAATCACCATCGCCTGAATTCGGTGATCGGGAAGAGTTACTTGACCATGCCTGTGTCACACCCGGCCGGGATTGGGTTGAGCAATATGGGCCTAAACTTGTTATTTCCAACGCGCCGACCCTCGAAACAAAGATGACCAAGCTTCTGGGCTTGCCTCCACTCATGGTCGCTGGAATGACACCGACAACCTCCTCCTGGGAATTTGTCGCAGCTACAATGCGCGCAGGATACCACATTGAGCTCGCGACAGGCGGATTCCACGACGCGGCCAGTTTGGAGGCAGCCATTCGTTCTATCATTGATAATACCCCCCGGGGCGAGGTGTCACATGCAATGTGATCTATGCCAATCCACGGGCTCTGAAATGGCAGCTGGCTGTCATCAAGAAGATGCAAGCTCAGCATTATCCTATTGAAGGCCTCACAATTGGCGCGGGAATCCCATCTCCCGACGTTGCATCCTCGTATATCCAGGATTTGGGAGTGAAACATATCTCGTTCAAGCCTGGGTCGGTGCAAGCCGTGAAAGAGGTAATCAACATTGCCAAACTAAACCCGGACTTTCCGATCATCCTACAATGGACTGGTGGTCGAGCGGGTGGTCACCACTCGTTCGAGGATTTCCACGAGCCAATACTCCAGACATACCATCGTATTCGATCATGTTCGAACATTATTCTTGTGGCAGGCAGTGGATTTGGAGACGCCAAGGAGTCATATCCTTATCTTACTGGCGAGTGGTCCACCGGTTTTGGCTTCGCACCCATGCCGTACGATGGTATTCTGCTGGGCAGTAGAGTTATGGTAGCTCGCGAAACGCGCACCAGTGAAGATGCCAAGGCTCTGATCGTTGAAGCGTCTGGTATCTCAAGTGATGAATGGGAGCAAAGCTATGATCGACCCGCTGGCGGTATCGTGACAGTAATCTCGGAAATGGGAGAGCCAATCCACAAAGTCGCGACTCGAGCAGTGCAGTTCTGGTCAGAACTGGATAAGACAGTTTTCTGTCTTGACAAAACTAAACAGTCGAAAATACTTGAGAAGAACAAAATGAGCATTATTAATCGCTTGAATCGTGACTACTCCAAGGTCTGGTTCGGTCAAACGACTTCTGACAGAATAGTCGATATCGAAGAAATGACCTACGAGCAGGTGGTGTCCCGGTTAATTGATCTAACCTACCTCAAAAGCCAGGGGAGGTGGATCCATCCATCCTATCGCGATTTGCTACTGGAATTTGTCAGTCATTTGGAATCTCGCTGGATAGCGTCTTCAAGCGCGAAGACAAGGGTATTCCAGACCAGGAGTGATGCCGTCCATCCAACCGCCGTCCTACAATCTCTCCAGGACCGCTATTCTCAGAACTTACAAAATCTCATTAGCAAGCAAGATGAAGCCCTTTTCACGGCAATGTGCAGAAAAAGTGGCCGCAAGCCAGTTCCCTTCATCACTGCCCTGGATGACAAGTTCGAGTACTATTTCAAAAAAGACTCGCTTTGGCAGTCTGAGGATATTGAGTGTGTTTACGACCAGGACATCCAACGAACATGCATCCTGCATGGCCCAGTGGCAGCTAAATTCTCACAACGGTCAGATCAGTCAATTTGTGAGATCCTAGGTGACATTCACCAAGGATATATCGACTGCCTTGAGCGATCTGGACCAGTACGCCTGGAACCCCCCGACGCTCATTATCGTCCTTCCGATGGGCAGCTCAAAATTGAAAGGTTCCAAATCGACGAAGAATGTCTTAATAATGAGGAGTTGTGGTATCGAAGAATCTCCCAGGGAAGGTCCACACATTGCAGGGTCGCCTTGGTTGCTCAAACAATGACCCGAGAACGACAAATCTTCAGCAACCCAATAAAGTCACTGTTCAAACCCCGTAAAGGAATATGGATCAAAATGGAAGAAACATCACCTGGCGCAGAAGTTCTTTCTATTTACGAAGAAACCGAGACCAGCGAGGGGAGAAAGGTCACGGAGCTTCAAGTCTCTCCTGATGGACTGATTGATCTCGAAATTATCAATTACGAAACCGCAAATGGACAGCCAGCCTCGTTGAAATTGGAGTTCGGCCCCGGGAATACACTGTATCCCTTGAGGGATCTTACATTGAATTTGAATGAGAAGGTCAAGGAACTCTATCAACGAATCTGGTTCGGTGACGAGCCGACGGTCTCTGGCTCAGTCGACATCGCCTCCGAATTCGATGGAGGAGAGTTTAAAGTTTCAAAAGGCAGTCTCCGCCTCTTTGCCGCCAGCATTGGAAACGTGAGTCAAAATCAGCGCGCGAAAGCGCCGAGAATTGCCCCATTGGACTATGCCGTTGTGATCGCGTGGAAGGCACTGATCAAGCCATTGTTTGTCCTGGATGCGAACCTGCTTCGTCTCGTTCACCTACAAAATTCGTTTGAATGGGTCCAAGAAGCGTCTTGTATCCGAGAGAATGATGTTGTTTCAACGACCTCACGTGTCTCAGCTGTCGTTCCACAAGAATCTGGGACTCTTGTGGAGGTAAAGGCCACAATCAACAGGGAAGGTTGTTCGGTCGTCCACATCACCAGTCAGTTCTTGTTGCGCGACGCTGCAAATTTTGATCCACATATCACTCCATTCAAGAATGTCGATGAACAACCTTTTGAGGTAGTGCTCGACACTGTTAAGGCAGTTGCGATTCTTGAATCCAAGCCATGGTTTAAACTGTATGAAGCGCCCATTGACTTGCTTGGGAAAACAATAACCTTCCGCCCGCAATGCAGATATCTCTATGGCCCTACAGGTGACGTGAGACGGATCGAAGTGTCGGGAACTGTTCACGCACTGAGCAGTCGTAAGACTGAAACAGAGGTCGGCACCATCTTTTGGCAGTCTACCTTATCGGCGAATATTGTGACGGGGTACCTCAATCGCCATGGTCACCCCTTAACCACCCGGGTTCTCTTCGATACCCCTCTTGATTTGCAGGTTAATCCAGATACATTCATGTCGCCTTCAGATAACACGGAATATGCCCGTGCCTCTGGCGACTTGAATCCAATTCACATTTCCAAGTCTATGGCCGCTTATGCAGAGCTACCAGGCACAATAGCACATGGTATGCACACAAGTGCTAGAGTCCGAGGGCTGCTCAGCAGTCACATGTGTGGAAGTGATGAATCGCTCTTCCACAGCTTGAACGTGTCTTTCACCGGCATGGTTCTAGCGAATGAGCCGCTCCAATTGGATGTCCAGCATATTGGAATGGTTGAGGGGCGTCGGATCGTCCAATTTACCGCGCGGGACAAAAGTGGACATACCGTCGTCAAGGGAGAAGCGGAAATGCGAAACGCCCCCACCGCTATACTTTTTACAGGCCAAGGCAGCCAGCAGAAAGGAATGGGAATGGATCTTTACAAATCAAGTGCGGTGTCTCGAAAATTATGGGACCGCGCAGACACTTATTTCCTCAACACATACGGTATGTAGTCGTCGGCCCTTACCGAATTCGTCACTAACGCTCTCTCACAGGATTCCGCATCTCTGAGATCGTCATCAAAAATCCCAAAAGTCTCACCGTTCGCTTTGGTGGTATTCTTGGACGCAAATTGCGGGATAATTACAGGGCACTGCGGTACCTGGCGCCCAAAAGTTCCGGAGAGTCAAAGTTGAAAGCAGCACAAATATTCCCGGAAATCGACCATACCACAACGTCTTATACATTCAGATCAGATACAGGGTTGCTGTCCGCCACGCAGTTCACACAGCCTGCTCTCACGCTGATGGAACTGGCTATCTACGAGGATCTCAAATCTCGCGGGGTTCTCTCTCCCACAGCAACATTTGCTGGGCATTCTCTTGGGGAGTACGCAGCCATCGCAGCATTCGGCAAATTAGTGCCCCTTGAGACATTAATGGCAATTGCTTTTTATCGCGGGCTTTCTATGCAGATTGCCGTTCAGCGCGATTCCGCAGGCCGGTCGGCGTTTGCCATGTGTGCGCTGAATCCGTCCAAGCTCTCCCCAGGTATGGATCTTGACTCGATGATAACAAGACGCAGCGCTGACAAGTTTATAGCCATGGATGGACACCAAGTAGAAACCATTGTGAAAACCATATCTGAGGAGACTGGTTGGCTGATTGAAATTGTGAATTACAATATTCAAGGTCAACAATACGTCTGTGCTGGCGATGTCGGTATTCTCCCATGCAACATCATACAGCTCTAATACTAATAATACAAACCAGGTCCGCGCTCTTCTTTGTCTCACCAAACTGCTAGACTCGCTGTTCCAACAGCCCCCAGCATTCAAGATCGGTCACGACAGACCATCACTTGTTGAAGGCGTCCAACAGGCCGTGGCCCGAATTCTGCCGTCTGTCTCAAAATCTCCTCTCAGTGCTGAGGACCTTCCCCGTGGCAAAGCTACCACCCCTCTTGCTGGAATAGACGTTCCGTTCCATTCCAGTTTCATGAAGGATGGTATTCCTGCATTCCGCCAATTTTTGTACTCTCACATTGCATGCAACTATGTGGATCCACAGAGGCTGATCCGGAGATATGTGCCGAATTTGACAGCGAGATTGTTTGATATCGACAAGGACTACTTTGAAGCGACGAATACCTTGACAGGATCTCCTGTCTTGACAAAGGTGCTAAATCAGGTACGAAAATTATTGATACGTGCAGGCTGTACACCGCTAATTAGTTGCAGTGGGATGAGATACATGCTGAAACGGAGGATCCAGCTCGTATTGTGCAGTTGTTGAGAGGGTTGCAAGAGAAGGTGATGTGATTGTAGTTAGAATGCCGGACTGAACGCACATGGTTGTATTTCATCTTATTACTTGCGCTTTGTGGGGGTGTTTAGTTGCTTTTGGTCGTTTATGGGTATAATTATGACAAATTGAGACTCAAGAATACCTATATACCCATTAATTTTACTCATCTGTGGATGCCACCCACTCTCAAAGGTATTTATAGAGTAACCTCTAGGCTCCGAGAGTCCTTCAAGCCTCAAAATAGTGCCCGTGGACCTAGGTACAGCCGTGGGCTGCATTCAAAAACGCACACATTTCACAAAGATATTCGTATTTATTTTCAACCTTGGATTAGCAACCTGTTTTCGATCAACCTTTGAATACTAGCCTATCATTTGGCGTTACCGCTCAGACCGTCATGAAAGTAAAATATACCTATTTATGATACTATCGCGAGGTTATATATCGAGTCAATCACGTACAAAGAGCTCCGCTAGTCTCGAAGCCGAGTCCTCGAGCAGCTCGACCGGGTTACCCATCTCCACCAGCTCACCGTCGTCAAAGACAGCGACGAGATCATACAAACCAACATGCTTCAACCGATGTATAACAGAAACAACCGTCGTTCCAGGCAGACCTCGATTAACAAGTTCATGGACCTTTTGATCGGTTGCAGGGTCGGCACTACCGCAGCAGGTTAGTTGAATTCAAAATCGGAGCGAACTGACTGTTCTAGACAAACCTGGCTGTTGCCTCATCCAAAACCAAGATTTTACTCTTTTTGACCAACGCGCGTGCAAGACAGAGTTGCTTCTTCTGGCCCCCGGAAAGAGATTCGGCGCTTGTATCGTCTTCTTTCCCGAATCGCTCTTTGACGGATTCCCACAGTTCGGCTTGTTCTAATGCTTCAATGACTTCTGTGTCAGAATGCTGATTTTCAGGGTCAACATTGAGTCGGATTGATCCTCCTAGGATCACTGCATCCTGAGGGACAACAGAAAGCGCCGAGCGGAGAACTTCGTGGGGGACTCGGGATATGTCTTGTCCATCGATCGAGATGGTGCCGGATATCGGTTCAAGCATACGGAAGAGAGCCATGCATAACGTTGATTTTCCGCTTTGTGAAAAACACAGATGTCAGTTCAAATAGCTTTGATATTCCTGCGGAAGCTGCTTACCTGCCACTTCGGCCACATACGGCAATCTTCTTTCCTGCTGGAATGGCAAGTGAAAGGGATTTGACGGCGAGTGAATCGGAGCTATTTTCGGTTAGATATTCGCTGTAACTGACTATGTCGAGCCAATCTTATCCACTTACTCGTACCCCAGACATAGCTCCTGTATTTGAATGGCCCCTAGCTCGGGCCAGCCTGGCGACGGGCTAACCGGCGAGCCTGTGGACTCTTTCGGGGTTTCCTCGGAGAAGTATTTCACACGCTCAACCGCCGCGAGACTATTCTCCAACGTACACCACACATCGACCAAGTCGGACAAGCTTGGTCCAAAGCTAGTCAGATTGATCAGCGCAACACCCAAAAAGCCGCCTGAGAGACCACGAGTGGCTGTTGTGACACCAACTAAGATCAACGCTAGGCCTAGATTCACCAAATTTAGTACCAAACCCAGCCATCGCTGCGCACAGAGGAGGAGATAAAATGGCTTCTGTGATGCGTCGAGTGCTGTGGCAAGTCGTTGCTCAAATTCCTTCTGCATATCGAAGGCACGAACCACATGGAGGCCATTTAGCAGTTCAATGAACTCCGTGTACAACGGACTCTTGGCTTCGATATCAAAGAACCGTAATTGTCGTGACGTTCGAATGTATAACCGTTGGGTGAGAATACAAACGCCGAGGATGAAAGGGATGGTGGCACCAAGATAACGTGAAGATACAGCAATGATGACGAGTTGTGCGACGCAGGTTGTGAAGGCTGGATATATTAGCGAACCGCAGGGCAGGTATTGGGGAGATACAAACTGACAGATAATGGTGTTGGCGAAGGCCATAGGCAATTCCATATCGACCAAAGCCATATCCTGACTGAATCTGTTCAAATGGTCAGAAAAACAGTTGATATTCGGTTTATCGAATGAAAGACGAACCGGTTCACTGTAATTCCTGGATCCGTAGAAGTAAACACAGATGCGACGGCCCTGTTGATGTTAGCAAATCTGTTCACTAAGAGCTTCCGAAAAGGATACCTACCGCTCAACAGTCTGCACCAGTTCTAAATGCAGAGACTCCGCTGAGTCCTTCACCATGTTGCAGAGCATGAGCCTGTTTAATGTCAGACTAAGGAGCGAGTTTGTGATGATTGAGACCAACCATGAAGCAGCAATCAGTGAGAAGACGGCTAGGAATCCAAAAACAGCGTAAACCCCGATCCAGTAGCCCAACCTGTTGTTAGGGTGGTCTACATTAGACGCAGTCCACCATTCAAGCCAAATTTCTGCAAGCGAAACAGATCAGTAAGAATCATCGAATATCTATAGATTATGACTCACGGGGGAACAAGGAGAAGAATACATAAGATACGACCAGAAAGACGGCGAGGCCCAATTTCCTGAAGCCCAAGGAGGCAAAGTAGTATTTGTATGCACCCAGTTCACCTTTCCGACGGTCGCGAGGGTCAGAAGCCGCAGTCTCAAACCTGGCCTCCAGAGCAAACGCGAATGGATTCTGGGATATGGAAATTGGCGCTTCAATTGGAAGCTTCCCCGGGCCGATTGGGTTGTCGGATTTCTTCTCAGCGTCGGCAGGGGATTTGCGTTCGAGCACTGTTCCATCACCATCGAGAGTGATGATCTGATCGAAAAGACTTGCGTTTTTTACTACCATTTTCTTGTTATTATCGCACATTTCCCTCCACTATTCGAAGTTCTTACCATTCTGTGTTGCAAGGATGGCAGTTGTACCCGTCTGCTTTATCAAGCCATCAGCACCCAGCAAACGATCAAAAATATGCTGTATGGAGAGATTATCAATTCCTGAAAGGGAGTCATCAAGCAGAAGAAGTGGGCGACGCGAGTATACGGCGCGTGCCAACGACTAGCGGAGTGTTAGCTGTCACTCTTAATGCACCAATGAGGTTTACTAACAATTCTCTGCTTCTGCCCTCCACTCAGGCTCGTGCCTCCACTGCCGGCCATTCCTTCACTCAGCTTCTGGATAATTTCCTCCAATGCACAAGCATGAATTACGGTGTTATACCAGGCTTCATTGTATGGCATGCCGGCGATGATGTTATTCCGAACAGTGTCATTTCTGAGCCATGGTTGTTGTGAGCAGTATGCGATACCGGTTCGTAGGTCGAATGCGGAGTCAACTTGGATAGAGTCAAGTGGACATGGAAGCTCCCCCAATAGGGCCTCAAATAGAGTCGTCTTACCACACCCGGAAGGTCCAACCACTGCTGTTAGTGTCCCACGCTTGATTCGGAGGTTGAGATCCTGCAATATTGGCTCGCTGTCTGTAGTGCGCCAGAGCTTCCCGTCTACAACACGGATCAAATCACGGCCCAACTTTGTCGAGAAAGACCCTTGGCTGCTACTATTGAATTCGATATAATTAGCACATATTTCCGCGATAAAGAGAGATGAAATTCTCATTGGTGCGATACATACGATGGTCGCAGCTCAACTGACAGCATTTTCTCAACAGATGTGGTGGCCGAGTTCATCAAATATCTGGTATCATTTCGGGAATCCCGCTGGAGGAAATTTCCTATGCGTTCGAAGCAGGCAAACATTGCAATCACCCCAGGTAAACTTTGAATCAGAATACTGAGCGGACTGCTCAGGAGACTGAAGATCGAGAGCGCTGGGAAGGCTGTCGCAGCCAAAAGTGTATTTCCATGATGTGAAGCCAGGGCAGTATATACTGCAAATCCCACCATAGGGGAAAGGGTTGGGGTGGTGAATGCTTGGAGGAAATCAGCTTTGTCAGGAACATACAGAGCCCACAATATAAGAGGAACATACAAAGGCCAATTCCAACAGTTAGGAAGCGTCGCATGGTCAGTGATACAACCAGCTCGGTTTCCCGTAGACCCTGAAGTAGGGCGGAGGAATATTTGCCTAGACCAGACATCTTGATGCCTTTTATGGAAGTGAGTATGTCAGTGGTAACGCTGACACGCTTCTCCACGGCCTCGACCCAGCGCTTCTGTGCATTGCTGATGCTTTTACCGAATGTCGCAATCACAAGCATGCTACCTTTTACCGGTCAGCATGCTAACCTTTGAGCTTTCCGAATATAACTTACAGACCGACACCACAATCGGAGCGATGGCACCCACGCCAAGCTGCCGTTTGAGAAGCCACAATGCCACACTGAATGTAAAGAGACTGACAAATGATTCGTGAACGTAATGCAAGCCTTGTATAATGCGCTCAACATCGGTACTCATCAGTGTCAGTGGTGCCATATCGGATTTCTGTAGTTCAAGGGATTTTCGGAAAATAAGAAGAACAAGAGTTCCTCGTATAGCGGCAATGAAGCGCACAATCTGGTATTGGCTATATGCCGTTGTGAGCTAGAACACCGTTAGCAAATAAATTTAATCAATTAGAATTTTAGTCCACGATCCAACATCGCATAACTCACTGCAATTCCCAGGTAAACCAATCCATACGAGACGATGAGCCCCCATGCCACACTCTGAGGATCAGTGTCATCCCGAGCGTCGTACCAGTTCAGAGTCCGTTGGATAAGAAAAGGCTGGACGAACTGAAATGCAGCCTGGGCGAACCGCGTCGGAGTTGGGATAAGAAATAGCCATCGAAATTCCCATGCGAGCAGCAAGAAGAGATTATGCTTGCTCCTTCCAATAGCCTTCTTCTCCCATACCACATCCACAGTACGCGACAATCCTGCACTGGTAAATTCGGTCTCGCATTGAGAGAGCTCGGGAAGTGAGAGTGGCTCTCCCGCAATACCCCGCCACATGAGTGGATTAAGCCAGAGAACGAACACGCGATTGATGATGCCGCTGAGTGCCTCGGGCGGATACTTGCTGTAGGGTATATTCAAGACATTTCGTTTGCTGATCTCTTCGACCACCAGAAGCAGGACTTTCACTCCTAGAATGGAAGATAAGATACCCAAGCATGCCTTCGTTTCGTCTGACTCGGCGAGAAGTATAATGCGTGCGATGTCCGTGAGTCCCCACGCTGCCGTAAATAGTTGTCCGAAAGATGAAGCGCGTATCTCCCACAAGTGGCTAACTACCACGGCCAGTGAAAGGAATATCGAGCAGCAAAGTTGCAGAGCCGCGGCACAGATGGCGAAACGTCGGGCGGCGCCGTGGAGCGAACCCAGTGTAGCGACTGTGATAAGGTATGCGAGATACAAAAGCACCAATAACGTGCAAAGTATCTAAAGAAAGGTTATCATACAGATCAAAGCTCCCATGAGAGTAGAAAATACCGATTTCGCGAAGACTACGCGTCCGTGGAGCGCGACCTTCTTAGTCGGACGTTGCCACGATCTCCGTATCGACCAAATTGAGAAACCGACTATTCCAAAGCTTGACAGCACTATAGTTAAAATGACATTGCCGAATAATAGTTGCAAATCACCGACAGCACTCTGGCCGTGGAAGGATGGGATGGAATTGGCGACGTCTCTGGCATAATGGCCAATGTCTGCACGCATCGTGGAAAAGTTGACTCTCAGAAGGCGCCCAGCGAAAATTATTCCAGCCCTTGAATCAATCTCTCAGCATCTTTAACTCCTGAAGTTGACGTTTAGGCATTCATGAAAGCGTGTCAGACGCCCCCGCTAGACCAAATCAGCCGCTGCTTAGGTGGTACCACCCCCCAGGCGCGACAATTGTCATCCAAAGTTCTATTTTATCTTGGAATCTGTCATATATTTTTACATTACCACTATTCTATTCCTTCATATAAAGTTTATGGATCCAAGTCCTGGGAAAAACTTCTATTTTCAAACACCGTCTAACCCGACGCTAAAGCTTGACAAAGCCTTCAGGAAGCTCCTTATGTTCAAACCATGCTGCGGCAGTCTCTGCAAATAGCCGCGGATCCTGACGATTCCACGGGTGTCGCATTTTCAAGTGCGTATACGCGATAGTCTCTTCATTCAGCTCTCTCCCAATCGCCATCAACTTCACAGCATCACCCGCGCTATCCTTGGTAGGCACTAACCCCCCTTTCCCCGCTACAACAATCAGAGTACGCGCAGGCCATGGTGATGGCCACTGTGTAGGATGCTCCGGTGATACAATCTGGCGACACAAGTCAAGTGTACAGAGATTGGTATCAATACGTGGGATATCGGCACCATCCATTGCCCAGCTGATAAGAGGCCGGCCAAGGCAATTCTCCACACGCGGCATCGCCCAAGCTGCGTATGGAATATACGGCGTGAGTGATGTTTGAGGGAACATTCCAAATCCCGAGATGAAGACAGAGTTCACTACATCTGGTTCGGTACAGGCCAGGCGGATAGCCACCTGAGCACCCAGACTGTGACCGACAATATGCGCTGAACCATTCGCGTGTGTGCGGATCAAATGGGCGATCTGTCGCGCTGCGAGATCCACTGAAAACGGCGCGCTGGCGGACTTGCCATGGCCTGGAAGATCTGGGACCAGGAGGTGGTAAGACGTGAGGTGGGGGATGACTAGATCCCAGTAGAGGCCAGATACCAAGGCGCCATGGATTAGTACGATGGTAGTCTGGCCGGTGTTGTGTGAAGTGTGGTAGAGGTCGAGAGACATGGCGAAGTGATACGAGGACCAGTGGGGGGCACCTTGGGGGCCTCGAACTTCTCTCCGACGGTGTGTCCACCTTGGTGGTGCCACCTTATGTCCGTGCACGATCGCCGATCCCGCAAATCTCCCGAGATTCGAGATTTTCCCCAAATTGGGGTTTGAAGTAAATAACCGGGGAAATCAACTAGCCTCAAAAGCATTCGCGAATGGTTATGAAGTAACTCCCTATACCTGGGTAACAGTTTATTTAAATATTTTATCCACGTAGGAGGTAAATAATACTAGTGCCCAATGTAGTAAGGACAATTCATTCTTTATTTTTTATATAGATCATCGTATTCATATAAAATCCCACTGCAACGCTTGAGAGAATCAAACGTGAGATGTAAAACTAGACCGTAGAAGATGTCAAGCCACCTGCCTTGGCCAATTGTTTCGCCTCCTTCTTGGCCTTTTTGGTGGCCTTCTTTTCCTCCTTGCTGAGTTTCGGCCAATTGGCGTCCGGTCCAACAAGAATCTTACCGGGGTGGATCACATTGAAGACAATAAGGGCGAAGAACATAGGTAAGGAATCGAAAATATACATGAAAATCTCATGGTTGCTGATCGTCGTAGCGAGCTTACTGGTGTTGTCTCCCGCGAACTCGATGATGCGGAATATCACTCGGAACTAATGAATGTCAGAAACCTGAAATCTAGCAAAAGTTGAGATTCTAGGAGCTGATACCGAGATTAAGGCGAGAGATAGATATAGTGTGTATAAGAGAGGTTGGACGCTCTTTGCCTTTTCGGGGTCACATTCGCGAGCCAGACGACGGCGGAAAATCACGCTCATCACAATGAAACAAATAATAAAAAATTGTTGCAATGCAACACCAGCGGTATAAATATGGAGACCAATGTTGATTGTGCTGTTATCGTTGGATGTGGTGATGGCGGCGCCAGCCAATTGGAGAATAAACATACTGGAAAGGAGGTCGTGTCGTTAGCGACGAAGCTCTAGCCAGCAAAAATCTACTTACCCGACATCCAAACCAACGAAACAGATCCCCACGCGCCGTGCTGCGAATCCACAAATCTTCTTGTCGGGAAGACAGTAGTTGACCAACCGTCCGAGCAGCAGGAAGTCAAACGCATTCATCCACATTGGAGCAATCAAAATCAAAATAAACTGCGCCTCGTAAACCTGGAATAAATCGACCTGATGGATGCACACCAGTCGCAGGATGTATGAAATAGTCTCTAGGCCGGCACCCATGCTAATAATCCAGGCATTGCGCATCCGGTACTGGTATGTCTGGAAAGTGTGAACACATGTTGTGAGGCCGAAGAGAATTGCGAATAAAATTGCAGCTGGCTTGGAGGGACAATATGACCAATACACATTTGGATTTTGGAAAATCGCAGGATCTGGTATGTAGCAGTTAGATGGTTACTCGGATGCTGGAAGCCCGAATTAAAACCTACCGCAAGTGGGCATTTTCAATTCAATTCTAAAATCTGGAATGCGAATTTGGGATAATAAACAGGAGGACAATTTCAAGTAGCAACTTTACAGACGATTGTTGGGGAGCTAGCGCACTAGATAAATTACTATGCAGTAAGCAGAGATAGATAACTAGAACTAGTTAGGGCTTACAAGGGCCGGTGGCATCACCATATTCGGGTCCACTTTCTTTCTTTGTTGCCTTTTTTTGGCGTTTTAGAATTCCCCAACATTCTAGGCAGTCACTTATTTTGACGTTTTCGTGTTTGGTACCCAAATCCCCCCCGAAATAGAATCGGATCCAATAGTGCTCCAATAGTCGACACTCTTACCCCAAGGCTCTGATGCCTCAAATACCCAAAGAGTCTGAGGTCATGGATTGGGGGCCGGAAAACAGCGGCCCGACCTCGACCTGGCTTACAACTTATCCACATTGTTCTGTGATATGTCAAATCCTGCGTTTCAAATGATAGCTTTCCTGTAGGAAAGTCAGATCATCATCGTATATAGTTTTCGAAGTTGACACAGCTACTATCCACTAGCAGGCATTGGATATTTATATCTAATGAGCAATGGATCCGCCCATTGGCGAAGCTATCGTAATATCAAGCACGAAAATAGAGAGACGCCTATTCTATAGAATTCCACCCACACAATTCACACCATGTATTCTTTTTACTTCTGTGCATACATGTATAAATAGGAGCTCTCAGAACGTGGTCAGAGGCCATCGGAAGACCCCACACTTCGATTAATATTCTTTCTTAGTGTATTCGAGATATGATGAGGTGTTGGTGTCTCAACGGCTCGTATCGGTGCAACACCCGCACATCCCGGGAGAGATATAAGCCTCATTATGGTGAAGTTTCCGCTTACAAAACGTCAGCGACAGACATCAACCTGAGTAATATCGCATTTCACCATTTACTACAAGAGTCAGCCATCTGCCACCCAGCATACATGGCACATCCGTAGTGTGGCCACCATTCATCGTGCCACCTTACCGGTATTCAGCATTTTTAGAAGATGCTTATAGACCTCTATGGTATAGCACTTCAAAGGCTCAATCAAAAACCGATTCAGACTCTGCAATCGCCTTTATTCAATTTCAATTATGTTCCCCGAACCCGCTTCCCAAGAAATCGGTCCGTTTGATACCCCAAAACGAAACGCGCGCACCTAACTAATGACGTACAGACTGGACCAAGTTAAGTCTCAAGGGCCTTGATTTAACCTCCCATGTCGAATCCCATTACTCCACCGAAACTGGAAAATGGTCTACGCCTGAAATTGTGGCGTCGCCATACCTGAAGGTCCATGGCTTGTCGCCTGGCTTGAACTACGGACAGCAGTGTTACGAGGGACTGAAGGGTAAGCAGAATGCAACCGATCTTTGTTTCGTCCGGTTTTTCGTGATCTTAACAAGAACCAGCCTGTCGTACCGCCGACAATCAGATTCTACTCTTTCGCCCAAACGAACACGCGAACCGCATGCACCACTCGACAAGCACGGTCTCCATCCCCAATGTACCCGAAGAGCACTTCCTCACCTGCGTCAACCTAGTCGTGGCTGCTAACTCAAGTTTCGTGCCCCCTCACGAAAGCAACGCCCTCCTATACGTCCGTCCAGTGGCCTTTGGGTCCGGTCCACAACTCGCTCTCACCTCGCCGAGTGAGTTCACCTTCGCGGTATTCATTCTCCCAGGATCTGCCTACCATGGTGTCACAGCCCAGGATGCTTTGGTCTGCGAAGGCTTTGACCGTACTGCACCTCTCGGCGTAGGCAATGCCAAGGTTGGCGGAAACTATGCTCCAGTCATGAAGTACACCGACCAGGCGTACCGTGAAGGCTTTAGTCTGCTTCTCCACCTCGATAGTCTTACTCATACTGAGATCGATGAGTTCTCTACATCTGGCTTCTTGGGTGTCAAGGCCGGCGACAAGCCTACTCTAATTGTTCCCAGCAGTCGCAATATTCTTCCCAGTGTTACGGCTGATACTTGCATTGAAGTTGCTAAGTCACTTGGGTGGAAGGTTGAGAAACGGACAGTAAGTTTTTCTCTTATTCTTACTACTCGTAATTTAGTAAGGAATGCGAATTCCGCTAACAGCCCTCCAGGTCAAATTCGATGAAGTTCCGTTCCTGGACGAAGTTATGGCGGTCGGAACTGCGACGCTACTTCTGCCTATCAAATCTATTACGAGGAAGTCTACGGGGGAGAAGATCTTGTTCAGTGAAGGAAAGCCTGAAGCTGGCCCGTGTTGTGAGACCCTTCGCAAGGCGATTGATGATATCCTTCGCGGCAGAGCGCAGGGCCCTGAAGGCTGGAGCGTGGCCGTTAAGGAAGTCTGAAATATTTTCCAATATTTGCGCTCTGTTCATATCTTTAAAAGAGCACATTCAATACAACATTATATGATTTGTGTATCGTT